AAAAATTATCACTTTATAGCGCATAGAAACTAACACTTTATTAAGGTACTTTTTTTAACGCGAATGGCAATTCGGGATAATTCAGGGATTTTTATACTCCTGGACAAAATTAACGTATAATTTTTTTTCACTTTTTCTTTAAAAACTGATATTTAAATTTTAACGCAAAATTTTAAAGAAAAAATGAAAAAAAAGTTATACGATTAATTCCATTTATAATTATAATAATTGAAAGATAACGTATTACCGTATCCATTTTAAAAATGCAATATGTACAAGTTTTATATTATTATAGAAAACATAAATAAGAGAACGTAAAATAAGTTTTCATTATACACGTCTTCTCTATTATCAAAGTTAATCTTATATTGTGACAATTTAAACTCGCGTATAAATTTATTAATCTAATAGAGAGAGATTACAGGGATGACAACGTCGAGTTGACGTTTCATGTCAAGCGGAGACATTTTAAGTGCGATACGGACATTTTACGACGGCAATTCTCAATTTTACGCGACGCGTGTCCGAGGAATTCCCATCTTTGAGAATCCTCTCTATTTATCTCGAATTAAGTCGCTTATAATACGTCAGTAATAAGGGCTCCCTTGTATTTCACCGTCGTATATTTGTCAAAACATGATTACTCGCGAAAAGAATAAGCCTGGAATGTTTATCTCTGCGCAAAGAGATCGTCTCGGTGCGAACTTATTTGCCTCGCCGACGAAGAGAAGAGCTCGAATCTCCAGGACTTATTTATTCGTTTCGCGAGCGGGAGCTCTTTGGCTGACATTTTATGTATAACAGAAAGAGCCCTTTTCTTTACACTTTACGCCACGGTAATTTTACACTTTGTACGCGAATGAATTTTCTCGCCATTCTGCGAATCGTTCGAGGTCCTTTTCTCTCTCCTTCTCTCTCTCCACCCTCGCGGATTATTTTTGCCAACGTCGTCTGTTGCGCGCGGCAGACTTATATCAAACGTTTAATTGGACGTCGAGAACGCGAATAAATGCGGCGTAAATTTGATGGGATAGGACACCTGCGCACGTGTCGACGTAAAACCACCACGTGTGCAAACGTCACCATCTGTGGTGTGTCAGGGTGAAAGCGCCACTTTGGTTTTCCCTTTTAAAAACGCGTGATCTCTCTCGCTGAATTCTTACAACGTCCGCCGTTTAAGGGGAGAAAATAGATATGTAATTTGAATTTCAAAAAAATATCTCAAAATATTCGCGAAAAGATACCGGAAATCAAGAATACTGCAAACAAAAGTAAAAAGGATATTGTTTACTTCGAGATAAATTTGTTTATGACAAGATTTTGCAAACACGGTTTAAAGTAAAATATTCCTTTTTATATGATTTTGCTCCTTTTTTTTTTAAAGATAAACTTTGTATCATGATATTAGAAGTTTTAAATTTTAGGATTAACAACAGTCATATGTAAAGATAAATAAAGCATTGAAAACAGCAGTGATTCAAGTCGATTATTTAGAAACTCGAAATGAAATCTCAAATAGATAGCTAGCTTGAATTCTAACTCTTCGACTAAAAGATGCGAATAAATTGGGCAAAGTTATTGAGAGAAACAGTGATTGTGAGACAGATAAAGCTCGGTAGTTGTAAAAATTCATCAACTACGGAAATTCCATGGGGATACAAAGAATATTTATTCTCAAAAGTTGAAGCTTTAGACGGTGTCTCAAGATAATAACGACTTCGTCTCCGACTAATACAACGCATCGTTAAATTCGGCCCATTAACTTGTCCGCGACACATGTTCTGTATACAGCCTCGGCTCTTCTTTGTCAACGATTTTGCCCCTTTCTTTCTCTTCGCATTCTCCTCTCATCTCTCTGAAGCGAGAATCTCGCGGTTGACCGAGGAAAAAGAGACAAAACGCTCAGGAACGCGACTTATAAATCACGTTAACGGCTTCTGGTCAGAGCTGATCACTATTTCGCGCTAACTCGCTCGAAACAATAATTTGCTCTGCGCTAAGATTTACGGTGCAAGAGCACGTGTGTCGGCGATTTTTAACATGTGTGACGTTGACTTTTCTCCAATTCCTCTCGCGCGAATTTTCTTTTGACCAAAGTGGAAAAAGAGCGGGCGAAACGCGTCGTAAATCTCTGACGCGCATTTTCCTTCCTTTTCTTTATTCTTGAATCGATTGTTCCTTTATCTCGCGATAGACGATGCCACGTTTCGCAAAAACAACACTTTTGTATCCAAAAGATTCCAACATCAGAATTTTTAGGAACAATCATCAGCAACCGATAGTCGAAAATTTCAATATTTCTAGCCCAACAGGTAGATTAGAGATGAATGTAGGAAATTCATGTTCATGTTCCTTGTGTGCCTATCGATCATCTGTCTAACATTAAAGATGGTTTCGAGACAGGCTGTCTAGAAAACAGGCACAGCAAAATATACACAATAAAAAAATAATTCAAAAGATTCGAGATGGACCTTTTTCCAGAATAAATAACAGTTTCATCTCTATGACGCAAATGAGAAGCGTTACGCTTAAAAAAATATATCTTTAATCGAGAAATGTTTAGAGTATCGTTCTATCTTTACAGACTCCATGATTTACATCGTGTATGAGGAATCGAGCCATTCGATGGAGAAATAAGTATCATAGGTGTCGACGAGATGCATCGCAAACAGTCCATCGTGATCTATCGCGCCTTCGTAGATGAATCTTATTAGACCAGCTGCGTGTGCACGATTTCGTCGTTCTTCTTTCGTCGACGTTGAGCGACGACGTCACGGTTCTATTCCTGGCAACGTGGACGCAGCGATATCTTTAGAGCGACCATCGGGTACCGTTTCCGAGCTTTCCTTCCTTCGAAAACGTGTGCCAGTTGACGAGAGAAGGCGCGAGACGGAGATGATTTATACCGGTTAAATCGGACCACCCCTTTCGTGTCCTCATCTCTTTCCGCGAGGCGCTCTTAATATTTCGTTACTACTACTGCTACCATCTGCGACTATTAGTTTCATCCAAAACAGCAATCCATCTCGAGATAGAGAGTCTTCCAGCAGCGGAAATTCGATTCGGATTTAGATGCGTTCTAAAAGCCGCTTGTTTAATTTATTATCTCGCGAGATAGAATTAAAGCGTAGCGCCGAAAATAACGATTTACATTGTCGAGTCATTGATTAGACAATTAAAAGTTTAATTTGGAAAAAGATGATTTCAAGAAGGAGGAGAAAGAGAGAGACTGGAAATGAACTAGACCTAAAAAATGATAAGATGGCTCGAATTTTATGATGATAATGACAGATAGATTTCTGGTACATTATTAAGTCGGAAACCGCAGATTCGACTGTGGTACAATCCGATTCGAATGTGGTAAAATATCTCAACCTTTCATCTTACTCCCTATATATTTTACATTAGCACAATCGTGAAATAGAATCATAAAGATAAAATGAGAAGCAGAGTTTTACAATGTCACTTTACATGACTCAGACAAGTAAAACTAAATTATGTTTACCATAAAAAATGATATACAGATGACTAAGTCTTTCATGTGTTCATATATATTATTAGCTGTTGAGAAAAAAAGAGAGTATTAGATATATTTTGCTAGAAATAATTAAACATAAGACTTGAAAAATGCAACAATAGATGAATAGAACCCGTTGAAAACCTGAGAGCTAATTTGCTCATTTATTTTATCGTTAATTAGACATAAGATTGCTTGTAATTTTCCCTCGCAAAAATTTAAGGAGAAAATAAATTAATCTCTCTTGGATGCTAATTGGAAGGATGAAACGATGCAAATTTCAAGGTATTTCCGGAAGCGGAACGGTGTAAATTTTTAATCGACGTATAATCTCTAAATAAAGCGGGCGTCCTTTGCCGGCGGTGGCCGAGAAACACCGAGCTCGTCATCGTCTCGTCAGCTCTACATTGAACTATCTGTTGTCTCTGGACCGATGCCAAACCTCGATGAGAAAGAACGTTGTGTACAGATGAGGATCAAATGGATGATTCTTGTACTTTAATTGACTTTCAAGTCTGATCATTATCGGAGCAATTATCGTATTTCATATATAAATCTAATCCCATGAATACAGTAAGGATTTTCCGTTTATAAATATCTGTAAACAGGGATTTTAACATATGTGGAGACGAAGAGGAGATAGATTGAAATTTGAAAATAATTAAGATTTATCTCTGGTTCATATTAATTATAACAACTGCTCGGCTTAATGTTTGACATGAAAATGAATAAGTTTTATCGCGAATCGGCATCGTGCCAAACACAATAATTTTCAGTTTGCGATGCCATCTTTTATTGCTACTTTGCGCCTTTGTTTGTAATAATACGGACGAATGCGAACAGTAATACTCGATCGGAATATTTACCGTGAACGAAGCTTATTTATTCTGCCAGCTGTTACGATCAAAATCATTTTATCATTAATTATAACGAATTGAGGAGAACTGAAATTTAACTATTGATTTTTCTCATTAATATTTTTTATCGATTATTTTTTTCGTGATAATTGATGAAAAATTTACTTTTATAAGTTCTACTGAATTAAGTTACCGTAAAGATGCAAAAATTTGAAGAGCGCCTTTTTAATAAATCGACGATCGATCAGGGTTAAAATGTCCAACCAAAATTTGGATCAAAGATGTACAAAATTTTGCAGTACAAAAATGTAATTGTAAAATAATTTGTAATTGTAAATTTAATATGGCAACAATTAATAAGTATTTCAAAATTGACATAATGGAAATTTAAAGTAATAATCTATCGCCGCAAAATGTTGGCAGGTAAGAGAAAATTGACAATTTTTTTATACATATAATAATATTAACATATATAAATACATTTATATTAATATTCAATATTATTATTAATATTTAATTAGTGGTGTCAAGCAAAAATCAAGAAAATATCTATCAACGATGATATAAAAATCTCTCTAAAAAATCTTGATAAAACTCCTTCCTCTTCATCGGCCGGAAATTAAATGATGAATCAGAAAAATCACTTTGTTTCGACCTATCAGAAGGACTATGTCTGGCCTGACATGCCAGGTATATGTCAAACTGAACCATCAACTAAGCCCCCAATCTCTGTTAAAGTTTGCGCTTGTACCGATTCACCGCAAGTGCTTAAAGAGCTTTTGGATACGAGTCTCGGAGGGTATCTCGATCGGGATCGAACAAGACAATTGTCAGAAACTAAGATTTGTAAGACTAGACTCGCAAAGAAGCTCGATAGACCGTCTAAAATTTGTGTGAAAAAAGTAAATAATATTTAGAATTTTATTTTCTCACTTTCGTGCATAATATAATTTATTTTATTTTAGAAAAATTAGTGCGTAGATAGAATTTAATTACAGAAAATAATGCAATTAAATCCTGAATTCAATTTCTAAAGCTTAAAAAGGAATATCCCGATGAATTATTAGAGGAGATATCACCAGATGTTGACCGTTTCAAAACGACGTATCAAGCGCATTACAGTGATCCCGGTGAGTGTGATAAAAATATCTAGAAAATATTGCGGAGATTACGCATATTTATAGACATATTCCTATTTTATTATATTTGCTCAATATTGCATGTATTTTTTACTTGGACAAATTTATATTCTTCGTTAGCAGCTGCACGTATGACACAACGTGATCTAGCACGGGCGAGCATTCATACGAACGGTCAACAATTGCAATGTCGTATGCCAATAAAGATAACGATAGAGACTGATTGTTCGACGACTGATTGTCATCCCTCTCCTTCGAGGCTAATGAATGATTACAAGCGAAAAAATGGATCCAAGCGCGAAAAGAGATGCGAGATAGAGTCTAAAAAACTACCGCCCTGGAAGTCCGAGTATCAAGAGAGCATTAGCAAAATTGGCCACGCCATTATGCGTGTTAAATTGCATCACGCAAAGAGAAAAGTTCCACTCCAGTATCAGCAATGTATATCCAATTAAAAAAAATTGCAATTAGTTGTCAATTTAAATAAAACGATGTAGAAAGCTACAAGTTTATTGAATATTAATCATTCATCTGTCTCTCAAATGCACAAAAATATTTTGCAAAGAAAAGATATATTTTGCAATTGAAAAGAATATAAAGTAATTATTAAAAGAATAAATAGAAAGATAAGAGATAAAATTGTAGGAAAGAAAGGAGAATTTGCATTTTGACATTCAAATTTTTTATTTAGATTATAAAAAAAATATCGACTACTTCAGATGATATCTGTCATCGTGTATTTCGTTCTGTTAATCAAAATTTAATGTAATTATTTATGCAGAAATATGTATCCAGTAAATTAATCGAATTGATTGAGATCCAACTAGCCAGTTTTGAGAGGATTAAATTTCATACAATGCGAGATAATTGAAATCTATGAAAGTTTATATAAAATAAATAATGAAAAACAGCTAAGTCGTTCTTCGTCTGCGTTGTAATTGCATTATTGAATGCAATATTATACTATGCGCTCTACAGAGCGACCATCACGTCAATCGTGTTGGTGAAAGGATGCATCATCTGGCTATTCCAAGGAATGTCAAAATTTAATCTTTCGCAAGGTGCCACCAACACTTTACCTATGGATCTATCTCTATCTTGTCCCGCCTAATCTCGACGTTTTCTTCGAAATATTGAAAATTCCTGGTGTACAGACTTTGCAATTTAATTGTTAAGAAAACCCTCGCGAAATCGAACTCTGTCAATATGTCGAGTGCACCTTTCCTTAGCTTAATGAAACAAGATTTCAATAATCCTTATGCAAAACCTCTCGGACCACCACCTCCGCCGATGGATACCGGTATTCAATTGTATCTTCCCAGACCTGATCCAGAAGATTGTAAATGTGACGCTCACGGTTTAGAAAATAAAAAAGCTAGGTAAGCTCCAATTTTTTAAATTATATTTATGTGATTTTAGTTCAAATATACATATATCCCCTTGTATCAAACCGCTTTAAAATCTTCCGTTCTTATTTCTTTTTAAAGGTACAAGCAGTTGGCCGATAAGGAACGTCGTCTTCGCGATGAGCTAATAAAAGTTGATCGTGAAATGGTACATCTCACGTCATTAATGTTGGATAGTACTCGCGATATAGACGAAACAATGAAGAGCATTTACAAAATAGATTACAAAAAGAGAGGTAAATTAATTTAATACAAAAATTGTATTAGAATAAATTTGATAAATAATTTTCATTGTTTTATCATCTTAGGTCTGCCCGTTACGGAATACAGATCATTAATAGCAGCGATAGACAAACCGATTACGCCGGCAATTATCGATATAAAGGATGCTTATAGAGATCCGATCAATAAATATTCGGCAATGGAAAGGCCGACGATTCAACCTGCCAAAAAGATAGATGTCTTAAAAGGTAATTACGATAATTAAAAGTATGGGAAATATCATATGACGAATACATATATATAAGCAAAATTTGTAAAAATTTCGAGTAACAAGAATCTTGTTTTGTACATTACTTATTATTTCTAATCGAATTAATCACAGTTTCAGAAATTTGTCCCTTCTGGGATGAACCATTTGCAGGCTCGTCAGAGTACAAAGATACCATCAGTAAAATGGGTTTGACCAATATGAAAAATCAACAGCGGTATTTAAAACCTCTTATTCCATCGAGAAAATTTGGCGATTGCAATTTATCAAAGGTAGCGCAAAAAAGAAATACATAACGTATATAAATGTTATCGGCACAATAATAATATAAATGTTGCATTTTTAATATAAATATAAAAATGCACAATTTTATGTTTGATACAATTTTTACATATTCGCATCTGAAGAAAAAATATAGAAATATCTACTGCAAAATATTACTGATAGATGTTTTTTGAAACATATTAAAAAGAAATATACAGATATTAAATTTTCAATATTAAATTAAAATTTCTTCTTCTTAAGAGAAATATAGATGTATATTTGCTTACTGTAAAATGAAGAAAATCTAAAACATGCGGATAAAGTACAATTTTTCTCCTTTATCTTTTGGAATATACAATTTCTTTATTTATCACATTGCGATAATCGGTTATTAACGAATTTCACAAGAAAATTGTTTTGAGAACAATTCTCTCAAGTTTTTACATTTTTATCTAATTGGGTTATAAATTAATTACATAATCGTTTCGCTAAGCAATTATTATATGATTTTATGTACTTTGCTTGGTCCTCGTACATACGTTTACGAAGTTGACGTTCTCGATGGCAAAAATATAATCACCTATATTGATATATTCAATCGCTTGTATCATAAACATAAACTAAATATATTAATCAATTATATGAGCTAAGTACAGTGAAAAAATCTAGAGAATATCTATAGTATGTATATGTACAAACCTTTATATTGTATTATATATCACCTCAGTTTAATAAAAATATCTTCGCACAGAGATAATAACAATATGAATGTTTGTCATGATATATTATAGTAATATATAGAGCTGCAACTTAATACAGTATCAATACATATATACATCTCGTTAACAAAACTAAGAAAATTTCAACTTATATAACAATTAACATTACTAAGATTTCAATTAAACTTTCACACAAGTGTAAACAATGCAAATACATAAAATAATATATCTGATAATATCCTCATATTTGTATATCACATGTAAGAAGATAGTTATAGAGGAACTATCACTTCTACTGACCGTAATCGTACATATTCGTTATATTCAATAATATCTCTTTTATCATACTATTGATAGTATTTCTCAGAGTAGTTTACATAAACACGGAAAGAAAAAGAAGATATAAGCATTTATGTGTAGAATAATATATAAACATAACATATGGTTTGCTTTATATATAATTTACTCTATATTTGTCACACGCCAAATATGTAATTTTTTTCATACCTTTACACATTGTAAGGTTTGCAAGTAATTTATTATAAACATTTTTTGTTTTTTTTTTTTAAATAACTAAAAGATAATATTTTTTAAATATGTGTATTTATATATAACATATTTTATAATTCCAATTCAAAAAACTCAACTTTAAATTAAATTTTTATCATATTATGTCCAATATATATAAGAAAGAAATGCCATATATAACTCTGACATATGTATAAACTGAACGTGTCTTCTTATGACTTTTTGGTGCTTACTAATATGTATTATTACTAATATGTATTAGGGCACAGTTTTATGACATAGGCAGAGATATTAAAGACGCGGTTTCATAACTTTGAAACTAGTTTTCTTATTAGCTAAAGCTTCAGTGCGCGCACATACGTTCTCTGAACTACGTCTAATGATGTCTATATACTCACTCGACGCTTGAATGTCACATTGCGCTTTCACATCGTCGTACGAATAGCAGTCTGATTTTGATGTATTTAAAATCGATCTCGTTTCCACCTAGAGATATAAAATAAACATTATGACTTAAATATTATTATTAAAAATGAAAAGGCATTGATCAAATTTTACCATTGTTTCGTTTCTTACATTCTGAGGCCATTTCTCAACATGTTGAGGGTAACTCGATCTATTCTCTCTAAAAAAAGGCCATTAAGTATATTTACATATAAAAAATTAATTTACGTACTTACACATATCAATACAAGTAAATTACATCTACTTACATTGATTCAAAGCTACGTTTTTGTTGTAATGCAGCATTTCTTGTATATTCTTCCGGATAACTGCAAATGGAATTTGTTCTCTGCTTTTGTTCTGATTCTTCGTAAGTACACATGTCATCCAAAGATAAGCACGATTTGGCAAAACCTTCTCTGCTATAAATGGCAGTTTCTATAAGTGAACTTTGAATACTACTATTTTGTTCATTTATAGTTGTACTACTACTTGTATCATAATTTTGTGGAACGTCGTTTTTGGAATCATATACTTTAATGTGTTCGCCATTCCTTAATACACTATCTATCGCATCTTTGACATTTCTCAAACTGTCATCAATCGAGAACACATTATCATCAATTTTCTCTTTTCTAATATGAGTATCGTTACAACTATCGTCCACATCGTTTTGGCTACTGCTGAGAGCCATTTCGCAGCTACTTATAGAATTGGAGCTTCTATCTCGAGCACTTACAGAACTTTCCAAACTATCCACGACATTCCTCGCTTTACAAACCGATGTAGGTATCATGATTTCGATATTACTCTCGATAACAATCTTATTGTTAATTTCAGCAAAATTATCTTTATCTTTAAGAGTTATATCACCGATATTATTTAAAATGGCACTGTTTAACGTTTCATTACTACTAGTACTTGATCTGTCTTTAGCCAATACCAAGGTCTTATTGTCAATGGCACTCTCTTCTGATTTACAAATACGTTTTGATTGGTTGTCCAAGGCAGGTGATTGCACAGGTTTGTCCAAACCTTGATCCAAAGAGGATCCAAGTGATGATTTGATGTTCTTCAATTGACTCATCGACCGAGAAGAACGGTGACATTTTTCAAAAATTATTTTTTGAAGTGGTGGTGTAAGAGGTGGATTCTGTTTACCATTACCACCTTCGGTGTCCAAAGATGAGGTAGAAAATGTTCGTTTCGAATCGTCTAAGCTATAAAACATTAAATAATATTACAAAATACAATGATAATATGGACATATATAGGATAATGTGTATGTGTATGCTCGAATATATTGTATTATAAAATATACATACTGCATCTGATTGGGTTTTATGTTAATCAGTGTAGCGAGATTTGGTAGCGTCGCTCTTAAATCGGCGGTAGGAAGGCCGCAATACCATCGAAGTTGTGCAATATTCTTATTCAACAGGTATACAGCATAATGAAATTGCAACTTATCTTTACTTCGAGCAAACAATGGAAATCTAAAAATATACATATATATCAATAATATATACATGCATAAATCTTTATTACACTTATAAATAAAAATAATTTTGAAATAATTCTTACTGTCTGTCGTTGTCAGATAAACTTTCTGTAATGTGATCTATAACTTTACTGCGCGAACCATAATGTATAATAGGATACCTAGTTGGTACATTCAAAAAATTTGCAATCATTTGCGTTGTATGCGCGACGAAACCTAATGCCACAGCCACTTGTGTGTCATTCGATAACTCTAATTCTTCGCTGTCTGGCAAATAAACATCGTTTATTCTGAACTTTCCAATATTATCCTATAAGATCAAGAAGATATCCCAATATTTTTTGACATATCCTAATAGGTTTTTTTTTTAAATTTTTTTAGAGAACGCTCTATACCTGTCTAATTGAATATATTAAACTCAATTCCGAGATTAATTGCCTTCGTCTTTGCGCAAGTTGACTGCTCATTTGCAGGTACGTTTCCCTTGTATCCATGTGATTTTGCCGCCATTCATTCAGTCTTTCCATGTCTTTATTCAATTCTCTATATCTTTCCATCAAATCAGAACCTGGGAAATAATTCTTTATTATCTATATTTTTTCAGATATATATCAGGTATTCTAATTCTAAATATATTTACCATGATCTTGATTTTCTTCTACAATATTAGTGTGTAATTGATTCAATATGCGAATTTCTGCCATTTTTCGCGCTCTTTCTTGCTCTAATAATTTGGTTCTAAATTTAGCCATTTCTAATTCTTTACGTATTTTCATAATTTCCATTTTCTTTTCCCTGTTTACTCTTCGTGGTTGCAATAATCTATTCAAAGTTGTCTGTGGATATTTGGGAGTATGAAAATCATCGCCCGAGGCAATGCGTATTCTGAGCGCTTGCACCGATTCTGTTTGTTGCTTTAGTGCCTGCATTTTGCTTCTTAAACTGCTAAGCTTATTTACAGTATAACTACTCTTAGCTTCAGATGTATTTATATTCATATAAAGATATCGTTTCAAATCCGGACTTGTTACAAAGCAGTATACAGGAGTAAAGTATCCACCTTGAAAATGGAATATCAAAGAATTTTCTTTCAGGATGATCTCTAAATTAGTCGGAAGTTTAGGACCCATGTATATTAATCCAGTGAAAGATATCGCCCAAGTAAAGAGGGTTACATCAGTCGTATTGTCACCTGGCATCAAACGCCTCCAGATCCTCAAGATAATTTCTATTTAAAGAGACAATGAGAGAGATCATTTTTTCGTTTCTTACGAGAATCAAATAAGCTAAGAGCAAGATACAATGATAAGTACCATACTTATACCAAGAAACATAGCATTTATTGTACTAACAGATAGTAACGCTCACCACTGGCTGTTGAATAACCTGTGGCATGTAGAGTGGGTACTTCAAGACTCGACCATCTTGGATTGGCATTGTCGATCGCTTCGCTTGTGTACAACGGAGACGACATGCTTGATCTATGCAACGTATAATAGAACCAACATACTTCTCCATTTACGTTGGCTTTCAAATTATGGCCTATTATTTGTACTAAACTTCTGAGCCGTAACTGAAAAAATAATATTATATATAACGTGCAGAAAAACAATAGTCTTCAGTCAAAGCTTTTGTGTAAAAGCTATTTTTATCCATGTCAATTTTCAATTATTCCAACTCACTTGTTGTGTAGCGAGGGGGAGCCAGATCTTATACCGCGGGGCGATTCGCGGTTGAAGAGTTAAATCTAAATCCTTAACGAGGTTACGCGATTCGGAGAGCTCCATCGTGTAACTTCATAGTACTGCGATAGTATTATCCAGTCGCAAAAAAGTCTCGCAATAGTGAAAACTGAACGTTTCAATTAATTGGAGTAATTATAATCGTATATGCGCGCGAACAGGTTATGCCGATTCATTGCGAGATAAAGCGCAAACAAGCAAATCTGCATTTAACGATAGCTCGACGAATGCATTCGCCAAGGCTGGCTTATCGTGCGTTGGTCTCACGATTAAGTCGTTATATACGATACATATGATCTACGCGACGAGCGTGATAACGTTTGACAAATTCTGACAGCTCTTCGTATTGACATCTATCGGTGCTCTGACACTTCGTCCAGGTTGCGTTCAAAAATTAGTCGGAATGAAGTAGCGTTTGGTTGGCCAATCGGAATGAGAGAAATTTCTGCGGCCTGATTGGTCGATCGAGAGCTCCTCTATGGCCGCATTCAGTGGATTCAACAGTTGGGGCAACATTACTAGATTTTCCGATGTAATTTGACGCTGATTGGTCGAAACTGAAAGTAGAAACCAATCACGTTCGATTGCTATTTAACGGTCGAGTTCGCTGAATGCGGCCTATTTTGATGGGTAATTTTCGAACGCATTTCTAGAATTCCAGTACAGCCAACTACCGAGGGACGAGAAGATCAAAGAAAAAAACTGTTTACCCGCTGGACTTGATTCATTCCAATCGTTTGTTTATCGAACTTGTTTCATTTTGAAGAATACACAATTTACCAGAATATTTTCGCGTTATCGTGAAGAATCTTTTCCTGGTTAAATATTAGAAAGTGTACAATATATTTCCTCGTCAGCGGTTTTTCTCTTACTCCAATCGAAGAATCTCGCTACGTGGAACATGAGCGCAAATTTGTGGCCATCCTGTAGATTCCTGTTCTTTTTTTACTTGTGTCTTTTTACACTTTCCTTTATTCCGCTCATTACTTGCATTACTGCTTCAATTACTACTTCTAAATGCAAAACAAGGTACGATCGAAACGAATTGTACGTATTATTTTATATCTGACGTGTTAATATCTGTTCCTTCCAACATTTGTCTAGAATTTTCTACAATTTTTTTTTTCTCGCCCAACATTTGATTTGAGACAAAAATGTGAATCCCTCTTCGTCTTTCTCGCATGCACTTTCTTTGTTCCTAATTCTCTGTCTCTTTTAAAGAAACGTCGGACCGAGATGATTAAGCGAACCTTGGCAAAGTTTAATTAACAAATTTGCTCGTTTGAAACGTACTTTTTTCCGCATTTACAACAAATGAGTGCACCAATGTTCAAACGAGCTTGGAGAGAAAGAAGAAAGGAAAAAAGAAACGGCGACTGAAGATGAAGAGCCAGCTGTAAGATTTTTTTTTCAACGTCCATCATTTATGCAATCGCCTTTTGTAGGTATGTAAGCGCCATACAAATAATATCGAATAATTTAACGGCGTTGGGAATTTTTTTTCTAAGATCTTCTAAGAGGGGGCACCTCTCTTGCAGACCCCAGGAATGGCGTGCATAATAAACTAATACGGCACTGCGACCAGTACAAAATGGTCGACGTGCCTTGGTCGTGTCGTTGACGGTGGGCCTGCGTTACCAGCACCAGCCCGTGCTATTGAACCGAGTCCCGTATCGGAGACGAGACGGAGTAAATAACGCCCGTGAAACGTGCGCGGACGCAGCTAAATGGCGCGATAGAACCGCACCGCCTCTCTCCGGGGTACGTATTTTCCGCGCGATCCACCTGTCAATAAAAAGTACGACGGCGACAACAAAGTGCACGAGTACAAAGCGCGCTCTCGAGCGCCGATTCCCGTCCCGAGTTGGCGTCCGCGCGCGCGCGCGCGATCATTCGGGCCTTCCTTCTCTCCTCGCGATTTTGAATCTCGCACGTGAGATTTCGCTCTCGCGCGGGGAAAATCGCCGCTCGAGGCAGCGACGTTGTTCCCCGAGACGACGCGAAGAAACGCGCTCCGATTTCGCTTCAACGTCGCTCAACTCCTCCCCAGGTGAGACTTCTCCGACTGTTTGCAGTCTACGTGCGGTCGTCGAGGAAGATCGAGAACGAGCGAGGGACGTGAGGAGCGATGGAGAAGCGGCAGGAGGTGCTCGCCCCGTTTTCCTCCGGTGAGTCTTTCGCCGCACATTTGTATGCTCGACTCGCCTTTCTCCGTCTGTCACAAGAAAGTGCGTGGTCGGGCCGTTTTGTTGTGTAGGCGTGTAGGTACAAGGCGTTTGTCGAACTAGACTATATTTATTTTTATATATTTCCATGTGCAGTTTTATGTTTATTTCGCGACATACGCGGTGTACCTAGACGATTGTTATTAAATAATATATATATGTGGATTTTTATATATTAAATATTTAAAAAATTAACTGTGAAATTTATTGAAAAAAAGATAAATATTTCTAGAGGAAAAATATTTATTTAAATATCTGTTGGAAAAGTTTCCAATAGTTTATATTTTAAAGCTGATAGGAATAATCTCTAGCAACGATTACATCATGGTTTTAAAATAAAACATTGTATGTATAATATTTCTTGTTGGAATTACTTCCTATTGAATTGAATGAATTTTTGTAAAGAGAAAAATACTAGTTTTATTGTATTGAAAAGTACAAATGAATACTAGATAGAATCTTAGGAGAAATAAATGTACCAGTATGTATTGGATTGGAATAATCTCATGCAGTAGCAACCCTGATATGTTTGGTGCATATATGTATCATTGCTATTTATGTCGTAACAGAAACAAAAGAATATTCTTGAAGTAATCAATACCATGAATCAAGTAGAGGAGCAACATACATGCACACTTTCTCTATATTCTGGAAAATATTTAAGATATACAATAGTATACATTAATTTTATATTGTAATATTTTTTAACATCACATAAATAGAATATAACGATGTATCATATAAATAGAAAAATGTTTATAAGCAAGGTTGCTTTATTCAATTATGATCTATAAATGTAAATATAATATTTGCATTATATTGTATTATATATACATTTATAGATCATTAATTTTAGAGTGCTTTTTAGTCTTTAAATTTTTACAAGCAATTTTGCATTATTGAATTATGATCTATAAATGTAAATATAATATTTGCATTATAGTGTATTATGTATTGTATACATTTATAGATCACTAATTTCAGAGTGCTTTTTAGCCTTTCAATATTTTAGAAATCACTTCAAGCATAACACACACTGCAGAAGTTTCCTTATTATATTATACTATATATATATATATATATATATATATATATATATATATATATATGTTCGTATTATGCCTCTGCACGTGAGCAAAGACATTAGAGGAATCTAATCTGCAAATTTTCGCCAGTGTTTAACTCATCCATTAAAGCGACATTAAAGCGAGTTTAACGTTAAATGGCGCGGTAAAACGCTTACTGCGGTATTCTATCGTGAGAATTCCATTCCATGTGTATCTAAAAATTAACGATAGTTTTGCACTTAATATACACTGCAACAAAAATAATCCACTTAATTTTTTCGCAGCACGACCGATCATTATTTCATAAGAGGAAGAAAAAAAAGGAAACTTAAAAAAATCTTAATCCCAATCTTGGTTTATACCCTCGTTTTTAATGCATCATTTAAAAGCCACGAGATACCGAAAGTTTCTTCAGGAAAATTTGTGTACTCCAGTTATTATTTCTTAGCGCGAGCGTGGAATTTCGTACCATCATTTGCAAGATAATTACTTTGCGAGCGCTAAAAGGCTTCTCTCCACGTGCAAGCCAATAAGTATCGCTGTATCGAATACTGACGATCCGACAGTCTCGTCGCTGAGAAGCTCTCTCTCTAGCCTCGCTCTTTCTCTCAGGATGAAGGGGGACCGATCGTTACGGGCTACCCCAGCGAAAATCATTACTACCAGAATATTTAATAATGCTGATAATACCAAGTCGGAGTCGCCGCGGCCTACATTCAAATGCCAGCTGGAGTAACACAATTGCATCTGTCTGTCTCTTTCTTCCCGGATCATTTCCTGGTAACCGACGCCGTTGTCGAAGGGTTGCTGTTTATATCGTCGAAGCTTGTTACTAGCTGTGGAGAAACCTTTTCGCGGCAAATTGATAACTGTCAGATGAAGAAATATGATGTATTGAAGACGTGAATATTGAAACAGATGGAGAGTTTTATTGTGAGATAAAATCAAGTATTTCATTATTTAATGCGTTTAGAAATGCAGGACACGTGCCTCTCTTTTCTTTTCTTCGTTATATTTTGCATTTAGAGACATAAAATATTAGTACAAAAGTACAAAAAGAGCCTACAGATAATGGTTCTCATAATATCCATTTTAATATCGTATGAAATTTAATTTCAAAACATTTAAAAAAATTATATATTAAATATATATTATATATATATATATATATATATATATATATATATATATATTAAACCGCATTTTCTGATATTATTTCATATTGAAGTTATTAGTTCTATGTAGATATACATGTATATGTAAACCGATTGGGACATAATTGCGTTTAATTAGTAAAATCAATAAAATAATAATAATACAATATAATAATAATAATAAATATAATAAATATAATAATAATTTTCATGCAGAATTTTCGCTTCTACTTCATGAACTTTTACATGCGATATCTCGAAAATCGTGCATCTTCTTTAAAGTAATATTAAAGTTTAAAACGACACATAAAATCGCTTTAATATCGAGGCATCCAAAGTTCTTTTATAAACTTTAACTTATAAGTTACAAGTTATATAAATAACTGAAGATTGAAGAGCTCTATTTAAAGCTCAGATTAGAGTTTTAATATTGCAAACAAAGGGAAAAGAATTATTTCCCAATAGGTTTTATCTTATTGTTAGTAGAATGTTAATGTAAAATTTTTGAATTAACGAATTCACTGATATCAATCGATCGCAACCTTCAACTATAATCCTTTCTTCGTCTCTTTCTATTTCTATTTGTAGAAAGTGAGAAACGGATACAGATTTGAACTTGAATCCAAGTTAATCGATATTGATGAAACTATTCGTTTATTCATAAAGATATTCAGAGCGTTTTATATCTCAACAGAGTTACCATGAAGGCGATGGCCTGATAAAATTTCCGAAAAAGCGGAAGATTACTGTCTACGAGAGGACGTGAAAAGCCGAGAGGAGGTCGGATCCGGAGGCGGCAATTGAAGATTCGTATCGGGCTACACTTGGCAAGGGATGGAAAGATACAAATCTAACAAACATGCCGCTGCGCTGATGCCAATAGCGGAGGTGGTGGTGGAAGCAGCGCGAGTTGAAGGTTGGCGGCGGCGAGTCGTAGGGTCGCGGGGGTGCCCGGAGGCGGCGGGGTGGCGCGCACGGACCAGCGGATCAATTCGCGCTCCGGGACCTACACAGGGGGAAAAGCAACAGTCTGTCAGCCCCTTTCCACCCGGAAAAGTCGCTCCGGCCACGGTACGCTATTATCTCTCTCGCGCGCATCCGTCTCAAGGTTTTCGTCGAGAAGTCCAGTCGGACGACGACGATGACATCCGTCGTCGCGATTTTATATCGCGAGAGAAGATCGCGAAGAAAGAGCCTGGTACACGCGAGACTGTGCGGCCTACGATAGAGAGAGAACAGAGAAACCCGTGGGAAATCCTACGCAAGCTATTACAACTGGCAGCATCGGCAACGCGCGTAAAGAACGTCGACATTATTAACGCGTCGCGGGAATTATAGCATATATCCTGCTTACGTCAAAATTAAGAACCGCGGCGGCTGCAGCGCGAGTCGAATCGAACCTTGTAGTACCTTACCTTAGTCTTATTATGCGACGCGTTGCGTTACAGTTTTCTGGGTTGTTTCTCACGAACGAGAGAATGCGAGAGATTGTTCGAGTCGCATGCAGTTGAGAATAAACAACTAATGAATTGATGTCGGTTCTTTTCCGATTTCACGTTTCCACGTCGCTGTGAGATCTTTAACATTCAACGTTCGCGTTCGATTGCCCGATTTGGTGTCTGGTTTGACCTTAGTACTCGATGATATTGTCAACTCGGAGAGAGAAAGCTCGTTTCGATCAAACACGTCGTGAGGAAAGTCCTCGAGAGGGCGATGTTACGTTATCCGCTTACTTAAGCGGGACGCGAGTTGTCGTTAGTGGAATACGTGATTTGACCTGATTTCCATTGAATATGCCTTTATGCAGTATCCAAGAGAAAGAGAGAGAGAAAGAGAGAGAGAGGAGCCGGAGTCCGTGGAGATGACGCCGTCGCGGGGGCCGGCGATTGTCACAGAGTCGCTCGTTTGTTCCCAAGCCCAGTGAGTCAATAGTGAGGCGGCGCGAGGAGGATGACGTTTAGATATCGGTTTTCCGGTATCGCGCTTTGGAACTCTCCCTCCGATTACACACGACTCGCTTATACGCGCCAATAAATTACTTTGCTCTTTTTACACCATCCCTCTACCCCACCGCGCGCTTCCGCTATCGAGCGACGAAAAATGTAGCACCCATGTCCCTCGTTGAGCACGCTAATAGAACGAAGGAGTCTAGCAGTAGAATCCAGTTCTTCCCGAAGCATAAATTTTTTAATTAACGCAGTTAATACAGGGACAATGGCGACGATATCACTTGCTGATCTTAAAGATAAACACTTGTCAGACAGGAGCGTTGTGTATGCTTGCAGACGAGTGTCCGAACAGCGGCGAGGATAGCGAGGAGGATGTAATAACCGATTACCTTGGCTCATCGCACTCCGACTGCGATCGCGTACCACCAATCATTAATGGAGATCTGCGCGGCCTGAGTTTGCACGGCAGCATAGTCACGGGGATTGGCTACATCACCAAAGACAATACCGATAAAGCGTCGATCGTCATGTCCGAGAGCGGCGAGGAACAGCAGTACCAGCGGCAGCAACAACAGCAGCAACAACATCCGTTGCTCGCACTCGGCACTAATATACAAACCCAGCCTAATCCTCTGGTACCCATCATTAGCGTCACACCGCATTCACCTGGTCTGGCGAAGAACTATCCGGTTCTAGGTAACATTTCGCGAGCTTTAGCGGAAAATACAAGAAATAAGATTGAAATTTGACGTATCAAGATATTATGTTCTTGTTTTATTCATTTAACGTGTTACACAATATGAATACTAAAAAAATTAATATAATTTACGTAAAAATTATAGAAATAAAGTTTAGTAAAATTTCGATTATCCTTTTTCTAAATCACAAGCGAGTATTTTTATTTCAATGCGATTTAACGAATTGCAACTTGGTTTGTTTTTTCATAGAAGAGAACTTGCAACAGCTGCACGAGATCCACGATTGCATTCAGCGTATGCGAGACCTTACGTTGGGCACCTTGGGGTACCACATTCGCGTGTCCAACAACTCCGACGCTCCGCAAAGATTGACTTCCTCCTGCCCGTCCCTGTGTCCGCTGATCACCGCCGAGCTCGCGTCTCGTTCCGGTAACAATCATCACCATGACACTGGATCCGATCCAGATCTCTTTCTCGCCAATTGCTCCACCAACAGTTCCCCGACGCATTTCCCGACGGCGGGCAGTCGCGCCCGCACGCAACAGTCGCAGAGTATAGACAGGCGACGCAGCTGGACCGGAGATCTGGAAGATCTGGAGGAGAGCCGGCGTGGTAACCGTCGATATTCTCAGAATCATCTGCAGGCCCAAAATATGGTTAATATCGTCCGTTTTTTGTTGAAACCAGGGCACGATCCGATCTCGGTGAGTTCAAGTTTCGATGCCGCAGGATTTTGATGCTACGCAAAAGAATATTTTGTCATTATTTTTATGTAATGCATGCGCATTTTTTTCTTTTATTTAAGAAATATAAAAATTTCCCATCTTCGCGCGCATATTCTGCGTAGCATCGAGATCTGAACTCGTCGAAATTATATCGGTCTTAAATGCCCGGTCACTCTTAACACTCTCGCTTTACAATGGTGGCATGGCTCTGGTTGCTTGCGCATTATACGTTTCCCGCCAAGGCCGCCGCTCTAATGCTCGCCACACAATCACAACGTACCCCATTTACTCGTTTCAGCGACAACGCAGCATTAGTTTAAGTAGCCTAGACAGCGAAAACGAGCTAGAATTAGATGGAAAACCGTGTGCTGGACCGGTAAGCGTAGGCAATCGGGCATGCAGGTCACAAACGAGCACTCACTCGCTGAACGAAGCTGATCTTGTACAGGTAAATTTCAGAGATCCCCTTCGAGGGACGCGATTCCCTCTTTCCCGTGCACAGGCATACTATATAGCGAATTTTTCTTTGACAGAGTGAATATCAGAAGATAGTCACAAAGAGGGGTAGTCAGAGATTAGCAGAAAGTAGCAGTTTAATGCCAGGACTGACTGGTTCGCGTTTACCTCTTCAGAAATCCATATCGACGCCCTCGATCGTTACACCGCAAGTTCACGCACATTTAGCCGAAACCGGAACTCGGACGACGCCTTCACTCGCAGCGTAAGTCTATTATGCGAAGGATTGAAGATCGCATAGCTAGATCGATGATGAAAAAACCATCTTAGAAATTACATGTATTTTCTATCATTGAAAATCATGTCTCTCTCTTAAACAAGAACAAAAATATTTTTAAGCTTTTTCAAACAATCGTAATCTAGCTTGTGATCTTGTTATAAATTAACGCACAAAAAAGCTATGCACACATCTCGCGCGTATTATAAACTCATGCGTGCATAGGCATTCATGTGTGTATATGTATTTTCACGCGTATATATTTTGTCTAATTTTTTTCTTTTTTAAGATTTTTCAATTTTTCGCACAAGTAGAAACTTATTTCAAAAATAAACACAGACGTGTGTCCGTGCATGAACTTTTATAAACTAGTAGAATGGAGATGTTTCTTTCTATTTCTCTCTTTTTCTTAGAGATGTCTACATTCATGAATGTTTAAAACATTCTGCATTATGTAAATCTCTTAGCATGACTGCTCGCGTGTCATTTTGCCGTAAGCCACATGAAACATGAACGCAAGAAAATGTTATATTATTTATTAATATAACTAATATCTTGAAATTTTCATTGTCTGAGAGATCAAAATAATAAACAAATAATAATAATATATCCATTATTGATCCGCAAGTAGTAATAATAGTAGTAAAAGTAATAATTTATATTTCTCTTTCTTTTTCTCTCCTTGATAAACACATTTGCCAAACATTTACCATTTTTCTTAAACGCAAGCAGTTTGCTATTTCAAATATTCAATATCAATGTGCTCTTCTGCAACATAGTATCGAAGAATATTTCGACTATAATATTTTATTTTACACGATAGTTGCTTATATATAGTTTGCGTTTGTACTTGAAAATTTGCTATACAATCCTGCATGAAACAGCCGTGAAAGAAACGAAAAGGGTAGCGGGAGTGAGACAGAAACTGAGGATCTTCATACATCACACAGCCACGAATTCCACGAAGAACGGGAGGGCACTCCGAGTGTCCAGATATGCCTTGACGAGCTTTTGACCGAGTGAGTAAAATTTGATGCCTTAAAATCTTCATATATATTCAACCGAATTATTTATGATATTGCAAATATATTTTTAATGTCTCTGATGGAAATGGTTTGTACGCCGGTTTGCCGCCAATCGATCAATTTTAACAACTACAAATAGAAAGAGAGTCTACAGTTGCATTACAACTGTGAAACTAAACATAGATGAATCTAGATACATTTATTATTTTAAATTAACATAAATTTCTACATATTTATGTATCTCTTTTTATCTCTTAATTATAGCCTACAAGATTTGAATTTGTGTGTGTGTGTGTGTGTGTGTGTACACACACACACGCTATATATAAATACCTATAATGTTTCATGGCAGTTTAATGTCACTTAAGACTCATTAAAAATTATTGAATTTTTTAAATGCCAATCTATGAAAATTGCTATGTCACACATAGCTCGTGCATGCTACACATTTCTTTTTGAACACGTAGTTTTGATTGCACAGCGGCTATACACATATATATACTTCTATATCTCATGATAAGCTAATTGGATCGAAATGCTTTTATAGTTGCACTGCTGATCACATATAACAAGATACGATTTTAATTAAACGTCTTATTTGAAATCGAACAATGTCGACATTTATACTAATTTTTCAGTGGTACTGCATACGATGATCATCATTCCGAAAAGACTAGAAGGAAGCGCGGTTCCATCTTCTTTCGCAAAAAGAAGGTAGAGGATAACTAAATCCAGTTACGTAATATATCATTTGGATGAATCTACTGTACTAAAATCTCATTTTAGGATAAAAGCGGCAAAAAGAGTCATCTGTGGGTAACGTTGACGATAGGCTCTCAAGGAAGCCTACTGTGTGACGTTTGTATGAAACATTCGACGAATAAGCCGCTCCTTCATTGCGATAGTAAGAGAACTATTTATTTCAAGTTAAATGCGTGATTACCTCGACTTTTATGAATAATTAACTTATGTAGAAATTATATCTTAATTTATTCTTATTATTAAATCAGTTTGCGGAGCATCCGTTCATCAAAGCCAAAGCTGCAAGGATCAATTGATGCTGGAATGCATCAAGTCTAAACATCACTCCAGCAAATCCACATCAAAATCTTTATCGAGCGTTTCCACAATTTCAAGTAATAACAGCATTAACAAACGTGGTTCCACAACATCGTTGCCTCTGCCAGCGTCATCCGGAAGCGGAAGGTAATATAAGTTTCATCGACGATAAAATTATACATCTTTTGCATTGGATCTGCGTATCTGTGGTTCAAGATTCGCACGCAAATGGCATGGCGCTGGGCCTAAGCTCGGAGTTTATAATAAACTCCTCTTATACTTGTGCGAAACGAGTAATGAGTAACTCGGATCGTGTTTTTTTTTTCCAATTGGCAGACTAGGATTCATTGTTTCATTTCATATATATTTTTAGGCGAGAAAGAAGATATATTTAATAATTTTATTGATTGAGTATAAAAAATATTTGTTATTTATTTAATTGTATTTAATATATACATAGTAGGTAGTATATATAACATATATGTGAAAGATGTTTGAAAAGCCTTAAACTAAAGAGTTGTGCGTGTGTTTTGTTACTCCGAGGCTTTGGCTGGCTCAGAAGCTTATTTCTTCGTTAATTTTGCAGTTTAGCAACATCAATAGTACGGCAAGCTTTAGCGCGTTCAGCCTCGTGCCGCCTACATTTTGACTGATAATATTATTTACATATTATACGTATTACTTATACAGAATATCATATGCTCAGACTACCTCAGCTAGTTTTTCGTTTACTACACAAACTATACCTGAAATAATACTAACGATTGATATTATACTTACATTATTAATTACACAACAACGAGAAATAATAACGATAGCACATTGACTTGGTAATTTTGAGGATTATTTGGTTTTCTAATTTTAACGTCATGTTGCGTTTGTGATAAAAGAACACAAGGTTATCTATTGATGACTAAAAATCGCTTGCATATGGGGAACGATTCGTTAAGATAGATCGACGCATAAAATCGCAAAGAAAAAAAATTAACAAGAAAAATGGAGGAAAAACAGCCTGGCAGGCGAAATGAAGTTGCCCTAATACAGTTATGTGCTTTTTCCTTCTCCCGTGCATTCTCCCTCGTGCAACCACGTGCAAACCGATCGATTGTACGACGATTAAAGGGAAATTAACAGCCACAAGAAAACCATGTCAAGCTACAGCCCTTGGCGGCGAGTCGCTACTAAGCTTGGAGTCAAGTAAGTCTCTGATATCTGATGTGTTCCTCCTGTATTCTGTTCCGAAAGCGTTTCGTTCGTTTCTGTTCGTGTGTTATTCTTATTACACGCGTCTAGTAAAAAGACGCGCGTCTCTCGTTCCTCGATTTTTTTCTCGCACACATATACACATATCGTCTTCGAATCTGTCCACACGGTAATCAAATCTTCATATTGTATAATCGGAAGAAACATCATATCTTTGCCCTGCCTGTGCTTCTGATCTTGTGCTTGCTTCTTCTATGATTTGTGTCCATACAATGAGATATATATATATATTTATATATATTTTGTGTTTCATATCTTCTCGTTGTAATCTTCTTAAATTCTAGCGCGTAAGTTCACGTGTATATTAGTCCATAAGGTATTTTCTCCGTGATAATTATATTTTATATATATATATACACACATCAAACACACATATGTATTATACAATAGATACATGTTCGTGACATATGTTATCATATAATTTCTTTTTCTTCTTTCCTTTCTACACAGTTTACACCCAGTTCAATCCTGTCAGATAGATAATTTGTCACATTTTTTTATCTCATTGTTTCTGCATTTCTCAATGTCATCATGACACTTCATACTTGAATATTCATATAGACAGTTTTCGCAGTAATTTGTCAAGAGGTTTTGGGTCGGGTCGGGATTTACGATTTAATGAACATAAAAATAAATAATGTTCTTCGTATTTCCCCGTCATACATAAATCCGCATTTCTGATCAATTAGAGAAATTTAAATATAAATTGTAGGATATGATAGGAGTGAAAAAAGAAAGTGGTTGCATTTATTACGCGTATCCCACCCGACCTGAACTCGGAGGAACTTAAAAGCTCTCGGTTATGCGCTTTTTGTTATTAATATCAAAGACTTTAATCTCTCTCTGAATTTATCTTAAATCTGCTAGCTCTATCGCTATGCATTTCGACGAACAACAATAATTATATTACAATGCAGTATAGCTTAATAATATATTGGATAAATATATATATATATACATATTGACTGTATAATGAGAATTGGATGAAGATTCACATACGCTTAAATGAAGATGTCAAATATCATCTTGGCAAGGTTTGTATAGACATGGTCTGAGACAAGTCTAAACTAAAAAAACAGTTTTGCAACGCGTATTATTCTTCAGTCTTCTTAATAAAAGGCCGGCATCTCAATACGTTAATTTCAAGAGTCTCTCAAGCTGGAATTCAACCTAACGTTATATGCATTGTTTATGGGGAGAGTAAGATTTTTTCCTTAATCACATATAGTGCTTTATGAAACAAAGCTATATCTTTCTTTCAGTCAAACGATAAACGAAGAGAAAGATGGCGAGGGCGGGCAACATCGTGATCTTCCCAGGTTTGTAAATATCTTTCCTTTTTTTTCTTTTCTATATATAGATATTATAATAAACTTTGGCCCACGTAATCAAAGCAATATTACCGGTAATCTCATAACGCTTTAACAAAATTGAAGAATCAAGAGAAAAACTAATACAATAATTTTTTTTCATTTCAGTGGATGGGAAGAATTTGATTTCGGTGATGACGTTCATCAATTCACCGTAGACGATCTCGACGATATAGATCCCGACTTAACGTTGGGAAAGGAAGAACACGATTCCTGGAGCTCCGCGATCGGCCGTAACATTGCTCTGCGCCTCGTCGATCATTGCGAGCGCGAGGTGAAAAGACAGGAACATATATATGAGTTCGTGCTCACGGAGAAACACCATTGCTTGGTGCTGCTCGCGATGGAAAAGATTTTTGCGGAAGGACTGCGACGGCACTTTCGTCTCGGTCAGCCGGATCTTGAGCGTATGTTTCCCCGATTGCGGGATCTGATCGACATCCATCTACGATTTCTACAAAAACTGCGGAAACGCCAGAACGCCAATCCCGTGGTCTCTACGATCGTCGATATTCTAATCGAGCAGTTCTCAGGCGATAACGCGCAACGCATGAAAAGCGCATACGGAGAATTTTGTAGTCGTCATCGGGATGCCGTCGAGACATACAAATATTATTTGCGTAACGATCCTCGCTTCGCCCGCTTCGTACGATATTGTCAGGTATATTTTAGTAATAAACAACACAATTTAATTTACGCAGGATTCTAGTGTGAATAGTACAATCCAAAATAAAATATCGATGTTTTTAGACGAATCCCTTATTGAAAAAGAAAGGTATACCTGAATGTATACTTTTTGTTACTCAACGTTTGACAAAGTATCCATTACTGATCGAGCCACTCATCAAAACCAGCACTGTGCAAGACGAAGGTGAAGATTTACGTAAAGCACTGATCCTCGTTAAAGAGATCTTAGCTGATGTAGACGCCTGCGTAGCCGATAAGGAGCGAGAAGATAGAAAATTAGAGATATACAATAAGTGAGTTTCGATTTTTTTTCTTTCGCGTTTTCTTATTTTTTATTCGATGTCAGTTATCTCTTTGAAACTAAACGATGATATTTTCACAGGATTGATGCGAAGTCATTCGTGACATATCGTGGTGCCAAATTTAAAAAGTCGGATATAATCAACAGAATCTTGAAGTTTGAGGGCACTGCATACTTGATGCAAGGTCGTGGAAAAATGATTGCCATCGTAGTGGTCGTTCTCTCAGACATATTGTTTTTCTTGGCTGAGAGGGATCAGAAATACGCGTTCTTCGTGCCTGACAATAAAGCCGGTATAGTGTCGTTACAGAAACTGTTAGTTCGCGAAAAAGCTCGTCAAGAATCTAGTATTTATCTGATAAGCAGCAATCCGGCTGAACCTGAGATGTTTGAACTAAAGATTCAGAAACCAAAGGATAAGCAATTATGGATACAAGCTATTCGATCGGCAGTCGAAGCTTGCCCACAAGAATCTGAGAATGAGACTGAAGCGCTGATGGAAAATAGTAATGAATTACGGGACATTCGTTCCTCTTCGATCTCGTTGGCTTCTGTTGAAGAAAAGCAACGTATCGCCAAAGCTAAGGAATCACATATACTTAGAATTGTCGGTATGTCCTGCTTTCTTCTAATTCTCTTTATAACTTTTAATATTATTATTTTATGTAAGTCAATTATATTTATAAATAAAAAAATTTATCATTGCAGACGAATTGCGAAAAAAAGATACCGAGCAGGCGCTGCTGTTTGAAGACAAGATCAATTTGCAAATGCGACTTTTACAAGCCGCAAACATTTGGAGCGGGAACGAGAGTGACAATGAAAGAATCGAGAAACTTGAGAAAGAAGGCGCCGATTATACTCGATTGGTGCATAATGAGAGGACTGATACCACTCAATTATGGCAAGAGGTTAATGTTAATTCTAAGTTATATTTCGCGATTATTTATTGGATTCTTAATCTATTAGTATGAATGACTAGAAATAAATTTTATGTTTAACATAGGTATTTGTAGCCGTACAAGAAGCGACACGTCTCGCTAGCTCATTATCGTTCAGCGCGGGTGGTGCTAATTTATCGAGAAGTTTAAGTTCTGCCGGTGAACGTCACAGTGAAGCTTACGTTCCACCGGCTCTTTGTGTGCCTCGAAGAGCCGAAACTTTCGCCGGTTTTGATCACAATAAGGTATGTAAAAACAGAGCAAAAAAAAATAACAATTATGAAAGTGCAATCAAGTACTTTAATCACGCTTTTAGGAGAGGTATCCGCTGCGTGATCCAAACGCATTGCACGCCGTAATTCCCGTTCCGAAACTTGGCGAGTTACCGAAAGAAAATCCCGATGAGAAGGAAGAATTGGAGACGAACAAGGATCAGCAGTGGGCGGCAATACGTTTGTCTCATCATGTTTATACGTTGCTTTGTATAATAAGCAGTCAGATGACGACAATTGACAGCCTACAGGCGCAATTGGCCGCGTGTAAGGATGGCGGCACGGGTAAATCGTCCAATAATCGTCCAAATCCGAATCGTCAGTTAGAAGAGCTGCGAAATCTGCAGGATCAGCTCTGTCGAGAGAAAGCGGCGTTTCGCGCTGCCTCTCAGCAGGAAAAAATCCAATTGGAGGAAGAACGGGCCGAGCTGGCCCGACAAAGAGAACAACTGGCTGCAGAACAGCGAGATGTGACACAGCAACGAGATCAATTGTATCGACGGCTCGAAGCGTTGGACCGACAGGGCATCACGTTGGTCGGAAGTTCCACAACCGGCTCGATTCATCTATCGCATTTGACGCAAAACACTGACACGATGCAAAGCACACGCGGCAAAGCGCAACCCGAAGCCAAACGCATCCCCCTAAATCTGATTAGCGCGACAAATCAGCAAAAAGTTCAAAGCAACTTGCCGGTCAAACAACAATTACCGCTAAAGCTTGCTAGTGGGAGTAACAACAATACAAGGTAAAATCGGCTTGTCTAATATTAATATTACATTGTGATATCACGTTGATATTTTACAATAAAAGCATGTTTATGTTTTTCAATCTATAGAAGTAGTAGTACCACGAGTAATAACAGTCCAGATCGACACTCTAGAACGGGCAGTAGTCCGGCGATCGTCACCAGCTCTGCGTATTCTTCGCCGGAGCTCGGAAATAGCCATCATCACGGAATCAGCAGCGGGAGTCACACGTACTCGTCGAATCGATCACTTCGAATCACTCGCTCTCCGCCCGAAGTTTCGTATGCGCAGCAACAACAACAGCAGCAACGAAGCGCAGAGCAACAATCGCAGCAGCAACAACAGCAACCGCTGGAGGAAGAGGTGATTTTTTTCTGACGATTCTTCCGATTCGGTCGCAAGCACTCATCACGTTCGTCGCGCGCCGCTGCTGCTACTGGTGGTACAACCACGCCAACCTCCACGCCAACACCGTCGCCGCGCAGCCAGTCGCGGAACAGTCAGCCCCGAAGTCGCGTTAAGTCCTTTTGACTTTCGACATAAACTTCTTACGGTAATGCAGTCTATACTTTATCCGGTGCTTTGCGGATACAAGCTTTTGAAATCTCATCGTAATTTCTTATCATTTTGCGTCCTTCTTCTTTTATTGTTTCTCGTGTTTCATTTTTTTTCTCATTACTTTGATCGTCTTACGACAGCATCTTCTACATGCATCTTTTTATTTCACATCCGTTGAGATTATACTTGAGTGCAATACGAGAATTTATCTTACCCTCACATCACAATGATACTATCATTAATAAATCCGAATAATTAGCCTCGGTAAAGTTGGGAGAAGAAAAAAAAATAATAATTGTTACGTTCCAACTGCTACAACTGATGGCAATAATATAATTTTTATGTCAAATTTCATGAAATTACCTTGACGAAAGAAATATACGTTAAGAATAAAATCCAATTTCTATTAAGAGTTATGCATAATAATCAGAAGTGCTCGTGGGAGACAAAGAGAGAGAGAAAGAAAAAAGTATTAATGGCCGGCGAATAGCAAAGTAGATCTGCCGATCTTGTTAAAGTCTTGCTCGTTATGTTATTAAGCCGACTGACAATTTTAGAAACACAAGATTTTAGACGAATCTTTTAAGCAAACCTGTTGCTGCTTGCTGAAATATGCAAGATAGATGAATACATATATATATTATGGTTACATATACATTGAATGTGTACATATATACTTTTTCATGAGTGTGTATGTGTAATTGATTATGAATGAAAAGACGAATGTACGCGTGTGGTATGTGTTTCTTTTCACACATACACGCATATCTGAGTTATCTTTGTGAATGCACGCTGTTGTGAATGTGAGAGAACGATGGCTATTCTTATATCATAACTATTAAAGTATTTTAATGCTAAAGCGACGTAAGATTTATCATCAACGATAATGAATTATCATCATTACTATTGTTACGTGTGCCAAGCTACTGTCGCAAATCGAAATTAATACTGCATTTTATTTTTGACCAAAATTATTTGTTCCAGAAATAATTCCGTTCGTCAAGAGCACACGATATACACTTGGTATTTTCTCCACTGAAATACCGAAATAGGAATATATATATAAAAAAATAGCGGGAGGAATTCATATATCTGGTATTTCGTTTCGAGATTATTCACTGCCATTATATTGTTATTCTTTATCGAGTGTTCTTTTTCTTATATTATTTCTACAAATTGTACACTATTTATTGTGTTGCTTAAGATTAATAATTAAAGTTTCTATACGAAACTACGTAAAATGTGGAAACTGGGAAAGTTTGTTGTACAAGAATCGCGTAACGAATATCCCATCGTTCCGAATTCGCATCTTTTCGCGGATCTTGTAATCCCCCCTTGTCTGACATATTTTATTTATACATGTATCATGCTTATCAACGAAGAAAGTTTTTAAATAGGAATTTTTTAATCATATAAGGTACTGTATGTCGGAGCTGATTTACTATTCTGTATGTAAATTGCAAACGATACGGTACGTGTATTTAGCATTTATATTAATGAAAATCATCTCATCGAATCAAATCATTCTTATCTTTCAAATTTGAAAAGGACAATTCTGTACGCGAAAATTCCATTAATACGTAAAATATATTGTTATGATGATTGTCAATATGCATCCGAATTATGGATTCCTATACTATTCGGTTTACAAACGGTCATAGTTAAATAACGCTGTGTAAATATACATTCCTTAACAGATAAGACTGGCATGCAATATGATTGAATTGACGAAGGCTAGATAGAGGGTTGATCATTGTAATAGATCGACGATAAGAAAAAAAACGACTAATGAATTGACCTCGTTAAGGAAATTTAAGTAATAATACTATCAACTGCTCGCGTCTCAATCAATCGTGTGGTGACAATAGATCTTAAAAGTATTCCATAAGATATGCTGAATTACGCGAGAGAAAAGAAAAAAAAAGAGAAAAAAAGCACATAAGAGCGATAACTTATTATATACGAATCTATACCTACTATTACTTACTATCTACTGCGATGCCGAGCTAAATAAAAGCTCAAACTCAGACTATTATTGCGATTAGCTGTTACAGTATCTGCCACGGGTGACTTCATATTGTGAGTAACATATAAATTCAAAATTGTACAACTAGTAGCATTCACAACACTCACTAGAGAGAAAAGAAAAAATCGGAAAATTTCAAATTGATTTTCAAAACTAAATTGAAATGTCTGTAATCGATTTAAGAAAACATTTTACACACTCGCGGTGCAAAAGCCACGATGCGATAAAGCGAATCAACGATATCGCATGCTATGCAATCAAATTTTGTGTCTTTCGATGTGAAAAGTGATTATAAAAAAAATGATTTATTCTTAATGACATAAATAAATAAATGAATGAAGTCACATATGCAATCTCCCGTGGGATGACACGCATTGAAGAATCAAATCGGCAACAGCTAAGGATTAGCGCGACGGCCTACGCGCGCCTATCTTGTGGCGTTTTCTATCTTTTTTTTTCCTAGGATAATGTCACGCGGATAGTGACGCACAGTTTGAAAAGATTATATATATATATATATACACATATATACACAGGGTATTCGGAAAATCACCCGCAGTACTTCGGAAAGTGATTTTCTAAACCCAAAAAGAAGGAAAAAAAGCTATATAAATGTAGGAAATAAATTACCGAGTTATAGCCACTTTTACGTTAAAAAAAAAATCTTAATTTATAACTTGGCATCCATCTTTTAAAAATTTTTTAATTTAAATTTTTAAGTTGAATTTTACATTTTACATTTAAATCGAAATATTAAATTTAAAAATTTTTAATTTTAATTTTTAATTTTAATTTTAAATTATTTAATTTTAATTATTTAATTTTAATTTTAAATTTAAAAAAATTTTATTTTAAAAGAAAGAGGGACGCCAAGTGGATTGTAAATAATGATGTTTTATTCTAAAAGTGGCTATATTTTTTAATTTAAATTTTTAAGTTGAATTTTACATTTTACATTTAAATCGAAATATTAAATTTAAAAATTTTTAATTTTAATTTTTAATTTTAATTTTAAATTTAAAATTAAAAATTTTAAATTTAAAAAAATTTTATTTTAAAAGAAAGAGGGACGCCAAGTGGATTGTAAATAATGATATTTTAATCTAAAAGTGGCTATAACTCGAAAACAACTTATTTCTGGACCTATGTTTATGTAACTTTTTTTCCTTCTTCTTGGGTCCCGAATTTCTTTCCGAAGTACTTAAAAAGTACGAGCTATTTTCGGGACACCTTGTATATCATATATATATATGTATGTGTATATATACATATATATATATATATATAATATATATATATATATATAATATACATATATATATATATATATATATATGTATGTATATATATAATGAAATTATAGTAACGCGGTTTTTTCCACGTTTTAGCGAATCTTTACGTCCCTGATACTCATGGGAAGTATTTTTGTACGTTTACTCTGTACCTACTGTACCGTTTCGCTCTAAAACTATATCTATTGTTATCATTGTGATACTCGCTATACTGCGATCGTCTTTTGAATCGTTAATGTAATATTTACATAATATAATGTGTAATAAGCGGGCATGTATTTGATTACATTGATACATCACAGTGATGGAGATGTCTTCGAGAATTTTAAAGATTTTCAAACGCAGAGTGTATTGACGATATAGACTTACTATAGATTGTTATTATTATTATTGAAAATTGTTTGATCGATTACTCTCCAGATCAAGAGTATTCTTTACTCAGTAATATTTGGTATGATTTTTATAATGATTGTCAACATATACTCCGTTTTTCTCACTATAGCGAAACGAAATCATTTCCATACCTTAAGTCTGTCTCATTCTTTTCTTCTTCGTCTAATTAATTCCATATATTCGCGGTTACACGTGATTTACATTCCTTGGCATTTACACGATACCCGTGATTGCATTTTTGATCAGTATATGTGTGACTCGCCGTTGAATAATTAATCGCATAAACACAAATAATATACCTATTTATTATAAATGTACATACTACTGTTATTGTAATAAAGAAGAATGTGAGGAAAATATATATATCTATATATATATGATTATATGATTCTTCGATCAATGTGCTTTGTTACAGAGTTTTATTGTACATATTTCTTACAAAATTTTCGTATCGAAACAATCTCCATCTTCCTAATCGTTTATATATTTAATAAGGTTTAGTTCTGTGATGTCGATCACGACCTTTCCCATTGCTAATTTTAGTCAACAGCTTGCAGGGTGAACTTTGTTGCATCGTTTCCGCTTGCCGCCACACATTAATAATACCTCCTTCGCCAACTGTCACCAAACAATCGCTCTACATAATCAAAGGTACGAAATCATGTTGATAATTCTTTAAATTACAAAAAGTATATAATTCCTTCTAAATTTCTATTCACCTTTTCATGTATCCAACTATCCCGCACTATTTGCTTATTTCCTACAATGTCGTGACATGTTTCCAAACGATTCTTCATAATGTTTAAGCATCTTAAATTCTCCCTGAAAAGAATATGGATATTTTACTTGTAAATATATTCGAAACAATCGAGAAATTATTTTCTAAAATAAAATCTTCTAAGAATAATTTAATTAAATGCAAATTACACATTTTCAAGAATTTTAACGATTTTAGATAGTATATATATTTATAAGCATATTATGCTAATAAATTAATACCCTTTAGCTGTACTGGAACCTGTTAGCAGAAATGGTTGCCCAAATACATTTGTGGCATGGAATCTCACTAAATAACAATTATCAGGATCATCATTCTGCAAAAAACAAAATTTCTCAAGATTATTCTTCAAGAAAAATTATAAAAATATAGTAAGATAAGAACTTATAACAAAAAATGTACGAACCTGTGATACAGCCAGATGACTTCTTGTAAATGTTGCATATGCACTGGCATCTTCGCAATTCCATAATTGTAATGTATGTGTATGTGTTGTACACCATAAGGAGTCATCAGTTAACCAACCTAATCTATCCTAAAACAAAAACTGATATTAATATAAAGAATTTGTTCTATATTCTATTTTATATAAAATGTGCAAGATATTTCTCTCACCACTGATGATTCAGTGTTCAATGAGCATGTTAAGGCCAAGTCTTCCGAGGGCTGTGTGAGATCAAATAAATTCATCAGACCATCTGTACTACCGGATGCCAAAACATTCTGCTTAACAGGGTGAAAACTCAGACAAGTGACATCATCCATATGAGATTCCCAATATCCACCGAGGAGATTGTTTCTATTCTCTATTTTGGAACCATTATATCTTACATCCCAAAACAAAATAAATGCATCTCCACCTGTGTGTTCTGTTCCACCAGCTATAAGTCTATCATCACAACTAATATCAAAGCTGGCTAAAGGTTTTGTTTTACCATCCTCTGTGCTATCTAAAATATATGTTAAAATAGAAAAATATTATAACAGTTAAAGTTCTTACCGATGAAAAATTAGTTTATGATTATTAAAGCTAATAATTACCTATAAATTTTGCCACAACCTTTCCTTTAGCACGCAAATCGCATGCTGAGATTTGTCCATCATTAGTAGCGGTATATAATATATTTCTGGAATTAGGACTGAACTTAACTCCCACGATAGGCGTTTGATTGTGTTCTAGCGTAATCATTCGGCTTAAGGACTCACCAACAGAATATATTACACATGAATGATCAGATAATGCTGCACCAATCCTAAATTCTGGCTCACTGTAACAAGCAATGATTCGTGATTGAAAATAAAATTAATACATATGTATAAACAATTAGACCATTTTACATCAAATCTAAGTAAGAGTGTCAAAGTTTACTAAGTGTTCTAAGCGTTACTGACATTTTCAGGAAAAATTATGGCTACATTTAAACAAGTAGATTAATAACCAAAATTGTCGAAACTAAAAAAGATGTATTGCTAGATATACATGTAGATAAAAAAAAATATAATAAAAATATATTCATTTTTTTCGCAGATTTAACATGAAGTGCTTCATAGGGAAATTTAAGATTTGCCTTTGAGTCCCACAAACAGAAAGGATGTAATTCTGATCGTGCGACACCACCTCCTCCATTGTCATTATTAGCTCGCCTTTTTCGCCAATCTTCTCAGTATCTTGTTCGGTTCTTGATTCCGCACCATTCTCGACATTCAACCTCTTCAGAGACTCTACTATTTTCGACATGCTGCTCACAGATCGGAGAACGTATTTAGGGTTAGATCAGAAACATGAACGCGATCCGATTGTGAGTCGAATTCAGAAATGCCAAATTGTACAAACGCAACAACACGTTTACAGCGTGGAGGGAAAACGCACATTAAAACAATAAGCATGACTATCCCCTCCATGCGTTGTAAGTGTGCTCAGAGAGAGGACTGGGAGATGTCATGGCTCGCTTTTAGGCCGGGTCTACAATAGGTAATTTAAGCACTAAGCCTTAAAAAATTGACCAATCACAATCGAGTATTCTCTTCATACTTGACTGTGATTGGTCAATTTCTTAAGGCTTAAGGCTTAAATTACCTATTGTAGACCCGGCCTTAGGTGATCCCTGAAGCGATATTCCCTTTGTGGACATTAAAAACGTGGACATCAACTACAAAGCCAATGTCCATGACCGGTATTCATAGTCCGATCTTAAGGCTATAGCACACACTTTCCATAAGACATAACAATAAGGTTTCGACCAATCACGTTGCTCAATTTGGTTACGGACGGCCAAATTGAGCAACGCGATTGGTCGAAACCTTACTGTCATGTCTTATGGAAAGTGTGTGCTATAGCCTTTATATTTGAGATCGTCTTAAGTTCGAGCTTGAAATGCTACGCAGCTATTTGATTGGTTGAATGAGGTCTTAAGTCAACCTCCAAGCAGACTTAAGACGATCTTAAATATAAGATCGGACTATGAATACCGGCCTTAATGGACATTGGCTTTGTAGTTCATGTCCACGTTTCCAATATTTATAGAGGGAGTATCGCTTTCAGGGATCACTTAAAAGTACGCCATGACATCTCTCAGTCTTCTCTCTGGCCGTAATCACACTACGGGTTGCGGGCTTTGTTGCGATTGGAGTTGACCAATCAGAGTAGCCGGTCGACAAATTGCTTTATCTGATTGGTCAATTTCAACTGCAACCGAGCCCGCAACCTAGAGAACCTCTAGGAGAGAGAATGGACAACTGATCATGTGACATTTGATCAAGCTTTTTCATGATTGGCTGGCAGAAAATGTATCAATTTTAGCTATTGCGACGCCAATGCAAAATATGATACACACACAAATAGGTTAATATATGTGTGTCATGTGTGTCCTATTTGTGTGTCATCATATTTTGCATTGGCGTCGCAATAGCTAAAATTGATACATTTTCTGCCAGCCAATCATGAAAAAGCTTGATCAGTTGTCCATTCTCTCTCCTAGAGGTTCTCTACCGCAACCCGTAGTGAACAGGAAGTGCATCATGGGCTGCGTTCCAAAATTCACTGCCACTAATGAAAATCTATAATTTACGTGACGTACACTATAGATTTTCAGTACTGGCAGTGAATTTTGGAACACAGTCATTGTGTGCAAGTAACGTCGAGGATAACTAGTGTAACCTTACTCTACTGTTCGCGGACCATGCGTCTTTCGTACAACATGGCGACCGGCAAAGGCTTGGCTGTGATTTTCTTGCCGAGAACCATCAACTTAATTGGGAACAATAAGCTAAACAAGTTCTCGTGCAATGTTTTACAGCAGGGCAATGCGTGTCGGCGACACGTGGCGAGCATTGCGTCAACTGTCGGTCGCCCAAATTGCGGCAAAACAGAAAAAGGTAGAGTATGAACCCTTCGAGATCTATCTTCTAGATTACATCATTGTCCCGTAGAATTGCGTTACTTTCATTAACTTCGTCGGCTTGTCAACAACTTTCTCTCATTAGCGTTTCAATCGCTAATGTATTTGTATTCATCGTTTCTGCCATCACTTTATGTGTGACGCATACTCCGCATCTATCACGTTAACATAACCTATAATTTTAATTATCTATGTATAGAGTATACATTGTTCTAAAAAAAATTTGTCAACTGAAATATTTTCTTTCGAAACACTAATCTGTATCTATAGAATCAGCTGATCTGTAATGGAACTCTATTTTTAGATATTTGAGCAATTCAAATCTAATTCAAATCTAATCAAATGATTTAATTTAAGACAAGATTTTTAGATGCTTAATGATATTGAATTTTGTTTTGTTTTCTATTATTTATTTTAGATAATTTTGGAAGGATAGTGCAGCCACATAGAACCATACATATAACAAATAGATTGTTAAAACGCAATTATTATGAGATCCTGGGTGTTTCCAAAAATGCTTCAGCCAAAGACATAAAAAAAGCTTATTATCAATTAGCTAAAAAATATCATCCTGATACGAATAAAGGAGATCCGGATGCTGGTAAAAAGTTTCAGGAAGTTTCAGAAGCTTATGAAGTATTGAGCGATGATACTAAGAGGAAAGAATTTGATATGTGGGGTGCAACTTCTGAGCAAATGGGGATGGGAATGGGTAGTCAGGGAACCAAGAGTTACAATCAACACTGGCAATACAGGTCAACTATTAACGCGGAAGAATTGTTTAGAAAAATATTTGGCGATGCTGGATTTCAAAGCGGAGCCTTTAATGACTTTGAAGATTTTGCAGAGACATCGTACGGTTTTGGAGCGGCTCAAGAGGTATGCAAAGATCTGTAGCATTTATTTTCTAATTACATTACAGGACAAAGATAATATTCTTTTTGTTACACAGGTGATAATGAACTTAACATTTTCTCAAGCTGCCAGAGGTGTAAATAAGGATATCCAGGTAAATGTAGTAGACAATTGTCCGAAATGTCAAGGCTCACGTTGTGAGATTGGAACGAAACCGGCAAAATGTCATTATTGTAATGGTACAGGAGTGGAGACGATAACCACTGGTCCTTTTATAATGAACTCCACTTGTCGATACTGTCAAGGTACAAGAATGCACATCAAATTTCCTTGTACAGAGTGTGGAGCAAAAGGACAGACGGTACAAATTTCTTGTTTATTCGTCATCTTAAAAAAGATTTCGTTTTCTTATTTATTCTCATATTTTAATTACACTGCGTTTCTATAGGTACAACGTAAGAAAATAACGGTACCGGTTCCCGCCGGAGTGGAAGACGGTCAAACGATTCGAATGCCGGTCGGCAGGAAGGAGATATTTGTAACATTCCGTGTAGAGAAATCCCGGTATTTCCGCCGTGACGGCGCCGACGTGCACACCGACGCGGGAATCTCGCTGGCGCAGGCGGTATTGGGCGGTACGATACGAGTGGAGGGCGTATATGAGGATCTAACTATCCAAATAACACCGGGCACGTCGTCTCATACGCGAATCCGTTTGAGTGGCAAAGGGTTAAAAAAAGTCACTGGAATTGGTTACGGCGATCATTACGTGACCATTAAAGTCTTGGTACCTAAACAATTGACCGATAAACAACGGGCGTTACTACAAACGTACGCTGAGCTTGAGACCGATACCCCCGGCAGTATACATGGTGTAACATATAAAACAGACGGTAAGGATAAACAATGAGAAAAATTAAATTATCATTTATAATAGAATATATTCCTTTGACATCCTTATCGTATCTTACATGATATAATAAATATATAATAATTTATCTCCATTATACATACTTGCAAATCGCTTGAGTTTTCTCCTATTGTGCCTGCTACTGTATTGAATAAAACATTAAAATGTGTTCCATCGGCGTTTAAAGCAATCGCTGAAACGAGAGCTTTTCACTTACATGGAAATTCTTGCAATAATAATAAAAGTTAGAATAACAATGATGATTCATTGTGAAGTAGATGTATCGCTTCGAGTCTTTTTCATAAGTAGCTTCAATGTTTTTTCTAGGCACAGCAGGCCCAAAGGTGCAAACTCAAGCAAGACAAGAGGATCAAAATGATCAAAATAATCAAAATAATAGTCTACTTGGAAAAATTAAAAAAGCTATATTTGGATAAATTGAATTGTAAGTAAATTACTGAAGCATAATTTCTACAAATCAATTATTACATAAACATACATACTTTTAAGTTAATAGATCTAAATATTTTTTCTTTATAAATGGAATTGTAAATACCTTTATTAATATAATTTCTTAATTATATGTCTAGATTAATCAAAGGATTTAAATTAAATTCTTTTGGATCTCTTTTATAACATAAAGATTTCTTTTGGATCAATTTTGTGACACGGAAATATGATAAATATATTTATTACGATTTGCAAATTACCATTATGAAATTCTCGTAATTAGTTAAATTTCTGTTCTTTTTTTTCTTCAGATCTTGAATATTCTATAATAGGCATACCGAAAGAATACAAATATATTGTTACAAATTGTTGTTTATCCACAGGTACAAAAGAGAGTTATTCAGGTCCGTTACACTTAATAGAGTCTATACGAATAGCACTGGGAAATATGCCTGAATTTGAAAAACTGTCTTCATCGGAGCCCGAACATCCGGGAGATAAACGGCAGAATAGGTCTGTGCGCACCAAAGATACGTCGAATACCGATAGGAAAAATGACACTAATGGTGAAATGCAACGGCAGAAAATGCCTTAGCTATAATTGCATAACGTTTAAAGCAATCTCTTAAAATCTAGAGAATGCTATTCATTGCTAATAAATACAAAAATATCGCTAGTACTACTAAAAGGAATCGTAGAGGGGATACATTGCAGTCGTGTACACTTTTGATCAAGTTAAAAATAAATCTGAGGATCTGGATAATCAATAGTAAATAAATGAAACCAGTTTGATGTCGCTTAGATATCCTAGTTGTATAGTTGTATCGTAGCGTACAAGTTTGTCTTTATTTGTTACATCTTATTTAAATAAAGCATACATGGAGATACAAGTATACAAATCTATCTATTTTGATCGTGTGTATGTACAATGTATATTTGTAAAAGAAATCCACACAACACAATTTACATCCTTTTACATATACTTGGAACTGCATGTATTCTTTTACTTATTTTTTTTCATTCAGGAATTGTTTTCTACATGCATATAAATTGTACAAAAAATCTATGTTTTGACAATGTGGATCGATATGCTTGATAACAAAGTGCGCGCGCGCGTGCACATTTTAACTTACAAAATAAAAGATTCATCGTTCTATGATTTTTTCGCGTAGTTTAATTATCGATAGTTCGATAGTCCGCTATCGAACACATTAGAATACAAAACAAAGACAATATCGACTACTTAATAAGCACGCAAGAGGCCTGAAAAAAATATTGGATAAATTGAATGAGAATTTAAGCTTCGATCAATAAACCATATTTCAGTCCGATATTTGTGAGACTTTGCGTCGCTGATACTCGTAACACAGCTACCACTATCGCTGCAATAGTAACAGCCCCTTCTAAGTAGAGACCATATAATATTCGCACGTGACCGACAATGGTGGAAAGACCGCCCGCCGCAGTGAAATCCAATGGAAACAACACACTCGCCATAATCGGCCTTGATCGCGCTATACCAAAGCACAGTATTCCCAAAATGTAATAAGCAACTATAATAGAAACCAAAGTATTTCATTTTATTACATTTTATCATCTTAATATTACATTTTGATATATAAAAGCTACATTCTTAACTTGTTATTAATTTATGTACACATTTACATGAGAATAATTGTACGCTGTTGAAATAAGTATTTACCTGACAAGACAAATGGTAAGATTTTGACCCATCTTGGCATCGACATCGGGGAATAGCTGGATTCTCCGTTATCGGATCGCGCGCCTCGTCTAGCGAACGCGTACCTTTGTAGACGAACTGCTACCATCACACCGAAATTTAGTATCAGAAGAAAATGTGCGGGAATTCCAATAACGGCGAAAATTACTCCTACTGTGCGACCGGCAGTAGTTCGCGGAACAGGCGCTCCGAAACCTGTAAAATTCAACAATAGAAATAAGTCGAGAGGATACAAAAATTTTAAAATGTAAACAAAGATTGACATGTACTTCTGCATTTACACCAAAACAATTCTTCAAGCTAATTATTCAAGAATTAAACTCGACATATAATTGGCATGCCTAAAGTAGTGATTAGCGATACAGCGAACAGCACGCAACCCGGAAATGTCCACAGCTGTCCGCTATTACCGCCCTCGCCGTAGCCGGAACTAACGGCAATCAAGAGGAGTTCCTCGTGTTTGGCCACGTACTGACGAACTTTGTCACTCCATAACGGCTCCACATCCTGATCCCGTTCCGTACGCAATTGCCGCAACTCTGTCGCCAAACCGACCGCCAGATCTTTTTGCATGTTCTTTAGCAATACGACCTGTTCGCGCTCACGTGGTCCTTCCGCGGCGCAAAACGCCGCCGCGCCTGCCACCGTCCACATAACGAGTAGCCATAAAAGACCTGCAATGAATGTTAAATTATGTTATATATGTTAAATTAATTTAATAGATAGGCTTAAATGCCTTAAAATCATAAAACTATAAATCAGCTGAGCCTACCAAACTGTGACAACGATAACCGTCCCAAAAATCTTAGATACTTCCAAAATCTCGAAGAGTTGAAAGAAGAATTTTCGTTATCCTCTTCGATGTCTCTAAGAGACGGCAGTACTCTCAATCGTAGAGGTAATCCTTCTATGGTCTGAATAGCTACGGACTTTGTCCATTGTGTTGATATCATACCATTTTTCAAATGAGGTGAGATGTCCGTAGAGATCGTGGTCGGTGTATCTGTAATATCTATATTTTTAATTTGTAAATTTTATGTATATGCGGCAAAAGAGAAAACTAAATTTATAACACACATATATACATATACATAAAATTTATAAAATCTAAATTTTAAATTTAAATTTTAAATTTACATTTAAATTTTAAATTTTAAAAAAAAGGAATGCCAAGCGGACTATAAATTACGATATTTGTAACATAAAAGTGGCTATAATTCGAAAACGATTTATTTCCGGACCTGTGTTTATATAGCTTTTTTTTCCTTCTTTTTGTGTTCCGAATGACTTCCCGAAGTACTGCGGGCAATTTTTCAGACACCCTATATAATATGTGTATAATGATATTGTTCTTTTTTTTTAAGTTCAAAGTTCTTCAGAATGTACCGAAGAACGTTTGCAAAGAATAGTCAAGTCAATTTGTCTTTAGATTCCCGTTGAAAGTTGTATCAAGAAAACACACAGTGATCGATTGCTTGAAACTTGATACCGTATACATATTCCCTCTTCATGTTATACTGTCCCTTCTATATCAAACTATTACGTGATAGACCTTTCTTCATTGCCTTTTTATGCGCGTGTGAGTGATTATAGGATATTAATTATTGACTATCTAAAAATATTTTATAAGTTCTATCTGCAACATATCTTCAACTTTTTTTGCATTATTCTAAACCTTCTTAATACATACTTCAATATTTTATTTATATAAATATATATTATATATATAAATATATATATATATATATATATATATATATATATATAAATTAAAATTTGATTGCAACAGTCAGATAACACCTACCGACGCCGCAAATGACATCGTCGTCGTCGTCTCTCTCGTCGTCCTTTGCATGATGCTCCGTCATTTTCACGCGAAACTCGGTGAAACGACGTGTAGAAGCATCCTTGAAGAGAGAAGATGCGTCCTTGATCTGCGGATGAACCAAGTTTCTAGAGAGATGGTGTCGTTTTCCGGTGCCGAAGATGAGAGAGGACCGCGGGTCCACGGCATGTCGTCTGCGCGGCACAGCAGCGGCCACGACAGACGCCGGGGTGTGTGGTAATGTCGCGATATCCAGCACGTCACTGATGGGCGTCGCGACGCTCCCGACGGCCGGTGGTCGCGGAAAAAGTGGCACATACATCGGTTAAGGTCAAGATTGTGACCGCGCTCTACAATAGGATCATGTTTTTCCGTAATCGATTACATAATCGCCGATATTTCACGCGTTGTACTTTCCTTGTTTCAACAATCCTCGAGCCTCCCCAGGAGATTCCTCTCAACTGGGCAACAAGCACTTGTTGAATAGACTCATCTCGCCAGGCATTTCCCAGATGCACTTCTTCAATAATTCTCAAGAAACTGTACATTCCGCTGGGAATTCTTTATAATTTTAGCATTTTAGAGACTTAATCTCACGCAAAATTTTTATCGATGTACATTTTTTGTATTGTAATTTTACTTCTGTCTTGGATGTAACGACAGCAACGTTTAATTCATCATTTATTTTCAATAATCAATCCAAATTTGTGACAAAATTAATCATTATATAATCATTATTCATTCATATGTAACTAGAAACTTTTTGAGATTAATAAATTTTTATCCGTCGCGCGATCGCAATTTATTAATTTACTTCTATTTCTTGCAGAGCTTTTTTTCTCGCTTATTCATGCAAAAGCATGTACATAAGAGTTGGATCGATCAGTTCTGCACGGAAACAATGTCTTATATTTTATTAATTATAATACTGTCTCTACACTGTTGAATACACATTATATGAATTATGGAGACGATAACTAATTTATGGCATTTAACTTGGCAATCAACATGTGCTGTCGTATCTCTCACTTACAATTAGCTATAGCTTGCCAGTTATATAAATATTCTCAACCAGATATTTCGATAAATATTCACATATCTGATTTCATGACTAAGTCTCGATAATATTTCGAAATTTATCATCAAACTAATAATAAAAAAAAAAAAAACAAAGATAGGGAAACAGAAGCAAAATTACAAATATGCCTGGCGATTCGCTACCGTGAAGATTCGAGGAACTACTGGTCCCGTGGAACGAAATTTTCGTGCATTTGGCGCGTTGCATTGTCGGAAGGGAGTGCTGGTATACGTATATAATACTCTTATGTATGCAGATCGCTGAAATTAGAATATGCTCTTGAAATCAATGACGGCGACTCTTAAATGATCCATAGTATTTTATCTATAACTAATCGCACACACAATGTCTCACCTTTAGACACGCTCGTACGATGAATCTGGTATGATGGTGTAGCTAATATTCGACTCTACATCGCAATCGCGGCACGTGATTGTAATTGCTACAATGGGTCATGCAATACGCCGATTTGCAGCTTCTGACTTCTGTAATACGCAATAGTAATATTAATAATATAATAATTTAACAATTCGTAACTGCAATTGCTATGTTTTATATTTTACTTTATATTGTACTTTGTATTGTACCTCTCTTTCTTCATTTTTTTTCTATAAGTTTCATCGTTTATAAATATATAAAATATGTATATAATATTCTTCGTTTTGTTTGCGCAATCTTTTCGATACGCTCTCATTATTGAATTATCGATCATGTATATGTGTATGCGTGTGACCTTATTTCTTTGCATACATTGTTCTCGCGTGTGCTGTGCTTTATTTCACAGAGATTCCATATGATTCTACAATATATACACAGACAAATGAAATATAAAATATTAACAACTAAAGAGTTACAACAAACGAAAGAAAAAGAGAAACTTATTTTGTTAGAATTTATAAATCAAAATGAAAGTTTCATCATTAAAATTTATTTCGGATTGTTAATGGAGATAGTTCTATGTGTCATTAGCAGTGTCTTATTCTCTTGCTCCTGCAATCGCGGCTATGCATCCTCGGTTGCGCATCCTCGCGGTTCGCCAACAGCGTTTGCGCGACATCGATCCGCGATATTTCGCGGTCTCGCCCCTCGGTAAACGTCACCCCGTGCCAGTTCACGGCGGATGTTCCTCGGAGGATCCGCCGTTTGCACTTATAATATGGAACTTTGTTCTACTATTCTCGATCGACGACGAGATCGAGGAATTCCTGAGGTGCGTGAGATTAAGACTCGAACAGTCTTTCGTTATTGATTAATCAATTATAGCTTTACTTGCATGTGTCAAACGTATCGCTTCTAAAATCACTCCACATTACTAAAAATATAACAGCAACTGAACAATACAGATAATATGGAATAATTTACGTTTTATTTCTGCAGATATTTTTATAGTATGAAAAAGAATAGTAAGAAAATAAGAGCTTTAAATATATTTAATTATAAAATAATGTCATGAAAAAGAAGCGAAATGGAAAAGTGAAAAATATAAATTATCACAATTGCATTAAACTTATAATTGCACCACGCACTGAAGGCAAAGCTCAACAACATATCAAATCATATAAAAAATATACATATGAAATATGTACATTAAATATGTATATCTACAATATAGAGATATATGTAAATAATATCAATATAATATTATTTTAGAATGTAATATTATCGTGAGATATTAAATAAAAACTCAAATATTTCTTTCTATTTTTATCTTTTGTGAAAATAATTTTAGTTAAAAAAAATAATTACTTGTATATTCTCAAATAATTTAACAACCGATTAAACTATGCTATAGCGTCTTCCTCACAGAATTACTAGGCATTATAATCTTAATGCTATCGCGTCTCTTGATTTTGTAAATTATCTTAAATGAAAATTACATTTAAATGAAATTAATTAAATTCTAAATCGATATATATTTTCAGATAAGAAAGCGATGCGCAGCCTTGCTCGCAGGCTACTAGTATGGCCGGCATTTATGCTATCCCTCCTGGTGGTCGGTCGTTTGCTGTTCGGCCGCGATTTTCGATTGCCGACGACGACAATCGTTTTTCACGAGGACGATGGCATCTCGATACCAAGCGGAAGCCGTACGAATTTGCAGCAAGATTCCGGTCCGTCGGGGCCGCCCGCTTATGCGGCAGGCATGTATATGGCGGGTCGGCGACCCCGCAACGGAAGTGCCTGCAGATGGTACTATGGTCTGCCGGATGTTCTTTCTTATGCACCGTCCAGGCTCACTTGGAGCCCCGAAATCGGCGAAAAAAGTCCTTATAGGTACAAGGCTCCACAAAAGATTGTTACTTTTATTTTGCTAGAAAATATAATGAAATCGGAGCGATGAAAATATAATGATATCGAAAGCGGAGCACGGAAAAAAATTTGCTCGTATAATAAATGTATACATGTATAGAGAGAACAAATTTAATCAATTATGATATTAATAAAAATTTTTTAATATATATATTCTTATTTAAAATATATATTCTTATTTAAAATATATTTTTGTTAAACTTATTGCAGAAAATAAACTACTTTGCTCGTCTTTCTGTGAATGAATTCATTAGGCAATGTTTTTCTACTTCACGTGAATAAAACATATCGATTAATGTCACGATAATAAAGTGTTTAATTCGTTTTTGCATTAAATATAAACGATGGATGACTGATACTGTTACGATGGGAATCCTTTTCTTTCTGCAGGATCCTACCGTTTGTGTTGCGCAGTGCCACCGAAGCGACAGATGGGTTGCCCCAGATCACGCTGTCCACGCACGCCACCGCCGATCAGGTTTACGGGATCGTGGAGTTGGCCAGACGATGGGAGGGACCGCTCAGCCTGGCAGTATTTGCGCCAGGTCTCGACGCTGGCCTCGCTGTCGCTCAGCTTGATCGAGCTTGTCGGTGCGAGCCTGCCATGTACAAGGTCTTCCTCAATTTCCATGTCATGAATGCAATGTCATGCAATACTCATCGACCCTCAAAGTTTTCATACTTTTGTCGATATATCCGGAAGTCCATAAATGCATGAGTGCTTCTAGGACATTCTATAATATAAAACGATATTTTTTATATTATCGCATACATGCAAACATTTTTTATATATTTCTAAATAGATTTTTCGTTAGTTTTCATAAAACTTATTTCAGTTTGCTTATGTAAATATAATTTATTATAAGTATCGTATAAACTAGTTTAATTCTTGTTAACGGTTGAAATAATTTTCTAGACACGCTAAATTATTCACATAACATACATCAGTTGGCACGAACCGGCTTACTTTAAAAGCATAATAGATGCGGATTCCGTTATATCAACACGCACATTTGCGATTAGCATAACCGTTTTAATCCATATGGAATGTCAATTGTCTTAATTAAGATTCTATGGATTAAGAACATTTGATTATACATTTCATATAAATAGAAACTGAAGAAAAAAGTATTGAACCACTATAATTGCCTAATTAATTAGATCTTATGTACAACAGCATAAGAATGAAAAATTATACTACATAAAATCTTCTCAAAAACAAGTTAATATTTAACGTATATAATACAAAAAAATTGTAAACCAATAAAATCAGATATGTATTTATCAAAGTATGAGAGATCTTATTTAAGATACAAATCTCTCTCTTTCTCTCTCTTTTTTTTTCTCTCAATGGAAATTAAATATCTTGATAGATAATATATATCTTAGAAAAAAATAATCTCTAAAATTTAAAATCTATATTTCAAATCATTACTATAAAATATTGTTACTCATAGCAGATGTTATAACGATTTTAATAAGAAATGATAAGATATGTATTGTGATCGATTATCGATGCAATTTTCTCACCTTTTACAGATATCTATTCTTCTTGGAATACAAAATATTACCTATGCTTTCTCCTACTATCCTGTTTTCTACAGTACAGAATTCGCATCTTGATCTAAGGATTCGATGATTGCAGGTTTCCGTCCACTTGGTGTTTCCGGCCGGTCGACCACCCGCTCTAAGTGCGAAGAGTCGTGTTCAAGGCGATTGCGCCGCCTCTGATCTTCAATGGCGACAAGCCGAGACCGAGAGACAAAAGAGGAGTATGACATATCCGATCAATGTCGCCCGGAACGTGGCGAGGACGGCGGCGAACACGTCCCGCGTGTTGGTATCGGACATTGAGCTGCTGCCGAGCGCGCGACTAGCTTCCGGTTTCATGGACATGGTACGTCGGAGGCCGCCCAAGGTCGGCGTGATCTTCGTCGTGCCCGTCTTCGAGATAGAGTCCAACGAACCGCCGCCGGCGACGAAGCGCGAGCTCCTCGCTGCTTGTCGAGCCGGTCTAGCGGTATATTTTCATAGGTAAATTTACATGGAAATTTATGATTTCGGGAATATGTCCTAGATTTAAAAAAAATACCAATATACACCTATGTTTACATAAGATTTCTCCGTGAAATGAAGCATCTTTGGCGAAACTATGTTCAAATAAGATGGATGTAACAAGGTGAATCCTTCGTAGGTTCCTCTGTCCGCACTGCCAGCGATTTCCCGGATTGACCAGGTGGATGATCAGGCCGGATCCGGGCAGAGTCCGACCGTTGATCATCACCAAAAGGGAATATCCTCATCATAGGTGGGAGCCGGTTTTCATCGGTACGCGCGAGGATCCGCTTTACACGGAAGAGATGTCCTGGGAAGGAAAACAGGATAAGATGGCTCAGGTATTTTAAATATAGATTTTCTCTCAAATTATATTAAATGTAAAAAAGAAATTATAATTAATTATATATTATACTCTAGAAAAATATAAATTGATTTATATATGTAAAATTTATATATAAATAATTATATATAAAGTACTATTATTATTATTACTTTTATATACATATATATATATATATATATATATTTATTATATATGTAATATCCTAATAAATATCCTAATTTATAACTTAAATTTATTATAGAAAAATTTAGATTATATTATATTTAGATTATATATATATATATATATTTATTTATTTATTTATTATATATGTAATATCCTAATAAATATCCTAATTTATAACTTAAATTTATTATATAAAAATTTAGATTATATTATCTTTAGATTATATATATATATATATATATATATATATATATATATATATATTATAAATTAGACTATATATTATATCGGACTTTCTTGTTTTATATAATCGGGATTTTATATTTTATTCACCTTGTATACAGATGTTCGAGATGTGTCTGCTGAATTATCGGCTAGTTGTGCTCGACGGTGCCTTTTTAGTGCATACTCCGGGAATTAAGCGGAAAACGCACAAGCTCATCTCGGCCACGCAGGAGTTTTTCCGGCCGCACGAGAGGCGAAACGCCAGGATCTATCAACGCGTGACGAAACATTTAATCAAGCAATATCCGATTAATCGTAGATGCGCTCAATGAGACTTTTATGAATCAGCGTAATTCTTCGTCCTCGAGAAAAAAAAAATAGAGAGAAATTGCTTCGACGCGCACGCGGTGCCTGATATATCTGTATACGAACGATAGGAAAATATTTTTCGGTGACATCGCGAAAGTTTTAATTAGACTTATAGAAGAATATATCAATCGTTTTTCGAATATATCATCGCGGAAATAAAAATTTTTATACGCAAAAAAATAAATGTTACAATTTCACCTGCCTCCCGATCAAATTAAAATACTTGACATTCCAACGTATATTTTTCCAAGTTTCGATTTTTTAAATTACACATATCAACGTCCTTACGTCCTCAACCGCAAAGTACGCGTTACTAGAGTTATGCGGACTAGAATCTGAAAATAGTCGCGCCAAGGTGAGTCGCTATTGGTCGCCTCACCGCAGGAAGCCATTTCAACGAACACACTTTTAACAATCCATGTGATCGGAGCAATTAGCATTTCGGAGCATAAAAAACGACGTTCTCTTATTTCGAGTACAAAAATAAGATAGAATCTCTCCAAATATTGTGAAAGTTATCGTCAATCACTCGACACCGATAATACGCGCGGATATCAATTGCTGGAAATAAAATCAATATCGTTCATCTCTGCGTAGACTCTAGATTCTCGCGGCTGTCCGATGACTCACCCGGTAACCGCAACATTTTTCTCGGCGCGATAAAAATCGCACGTGACACGTATAGTATAGGATATAATAACGCATACGGGATAAGAATCTTCGCAAGTAAGCCCAACGTAAGTAAAGCTAATACCGAATCGCCAAATAAGGTCGAAGGGGAGAGATCCATTACCGATTCCATGGAAACGTCCGCATGACAAAAAAACAAAGGGAGCGATTGAAAAGAGGAAAGGAGAAGGAGAATGCAGTGAAAGAGCGTGTGAGAGAGAGAGAGAAAGAGAGAAAGACACCCACCACCCACACCCACCTCCCACTGCAGGCTGCGTAGGATCGGATACGATCGGACGTGCTCGTCCTTGCCGGGCGCGCCTGTCGAAACGAAACGCTGGCACGCACGAGCGGGCCAGTCTCGTGCGGTAATCATTAATTAATTAGAGGTATCTCGCCGTCTATGATGGCTCGCCGAGGTTGACAGTATTGGTGCGACGAGTATCAAAGCGGTGAAACGCACGGTCACGCGGCCAAATGGTCTCGTTATCTCGATCGTACGACAATCGCTCCTCCCGCTGCTGCTGCTAGTGGTGGCGCAATAATAGTAGCGGTAATAAATCCTAGTAGTTATATGATAGATTAATAATAATGAGACTTTGATCAGTGTCGATGAAGCTCGATTTCGATCGTAGATATCCATTCTTATCGCAATTCTTTTCTCTTCTGTTTTTCTCTCTCGTTACCTCGAAGCTTATCGAAGTGTCATTACGAGTTCCGATAGCAACGGAAACGTCATAGGCTACGAGCTCGCGCGCTCTCTCGTCGTGTATTCTTTTCGTCTAGTTCAGTGGCGCGTTTCAGATAGTCAAGATACATGTCAAGGTGGTCGCTTTGAGTGTGCTGCTTACTGCATTCGAAGAAAATTTCCGATTAATTTTCGCGGTGTATTTATTTACACGAGAATAATAAAATCCCGCGTCTCGATCGTATCCTTCCGGTAAATGCATAGCGACGAGAGACAACATAACTTTGACATTGATTAATCCTAATTTCCCCTCACTCGCTCTTTAAATTCTCCTGTAATTTTTTTTATATCTATAGCTATATGTACCTGGATATGAATCAAGTAATTTAGTGTAATTTAACATAGCATACACTCACAATTCTCTCAAATGTGAATAACTAAACAATGTTTCTCCTTTAGGCTATCAGTTAGGCTATTATAATCATTATATGCTAATACATTTGTGCATTACAGGCTATAGAGGAATGAATATCTTGAAAAATATTTCGGCGACCTTTTGGTCGCCGAACATCTGGTTGCCTCATAATATAACATGGGAGGATATCAGTCCGAATGCAGACAATAAGTATGCTAATTATCAGCATTTAATATTTCCTCTGCCCATGGCACTTGTTCTATTAGGGATAAGATATACTCTTGAAAGGTAAGGTTCCTTCTGATATATCTTCTGATTTTGTAGCCCTATTATACTTTATCTCATCTTACTTGTGAATAATGATTATGAATATATATGTATAATTTTCAAAATATATCATAAAGAAAATATTTAATGTGTATTATAAAATTTATGGAATTTTGGAAGAAGACTAGCCTATACAATTGTTTAGATTCATAATTCACTTTTCAGGTATTGGTTTGCTCCTTTTGGAAAGTCGCTTGGTATAAAAAATACTAGGAGCAAACGAGCAGTACCTAATGAAATATTAGAAAAAGCATATCTTAGTAAGAAAACCAATCATAAGCAGGTAAGTGACACTAATTTATCCCATGAAACAAAATTATATATGCAATTGCAACAAAAAATCAAATTTTCTTTCAATAGATTATAAAGCTTATAAAGTCATTTTTATAAATAACATTAAAATATTGTCTTATATGGTAGTAAAATATTATAATAGTATTAAAATACTATAATAATATTAAAATACAAATTGAAGCATCAATTATTAATATACTTGTATATTATCTGCATTTTATGTGTTAGCATCGTGTAACACACAACTATATTTTAAGATTTCGGGATTGGCTCATCAATTAGATTGGTCTGAAAGGCAAGTGGAAAGATGGCTACGATTACGTCGTTCTCAAGATAAGCCATCTACTCTTACAAAGTTCTGTGAAACCAGGTTAGTCATCCTAATTAATTATACTGTACATTTTGCAAAAATTGTACAACACTCAGAAAAATAATATATGTAATCTTTTCTTTTAGTTGGAGATGTTTCTATTATGTATATTCATTCCTTTATGGCCTTGTTGTCCTGTGGGACAAACCATGGCTTTGGGATATAAAATATTGTTATTATAATTATCCTTACCATCCTGTTACCAGTGATATATGGTGGTATTATATGATATCAATGTCATTTTATTGGGCATTAAGCTTCTCTCAATTCTTTGATGTGAAGAGAAAAGATTTCTGGCAGATGTTCATTCATCATATAGCGACAATTTCGCTCATGTGTTTCTCGTGGGTCGGAAACCTAACAAGGATTGGTTCTTTAGTCTTGCTATGTCACGATTGTGCGGATATATTGTTGGAGGTAACAATTAAAGGATTAAAATTGCTCACAACGGTATTTCGTATATTTTCAATTCATATAATTTTTTTCTCGATTCTTTCAGATGGCAAAAATGGCCAAGTATGCAAATTATCAAAAATTATGTGATTATATATTTGTCATATTTACAATTCTTTGGATTGTGACACGTATAGGTGTATATCCATTTTGGATAATATATAGGTATGTATCAATGTTATATCTTTGTTCAATTCAATTAAATATATGGATGCAGATTAATCCAAACTTATTACGTGTTACAGCACATCTATAGAAGCGCCTAAAATAGTGCCGATGTTCCCTGCATATTATATCTTTAATACTTTATTACTTTTATTACTGATACTCCATTTCATTTGGACTTATTTAATTCTTAAAATCGCATATAACTCGTTCAATGCTGGTCAGGTACGTGGTGTTGATTTATACAAATTGTCGCGTGCACGTTCGTTGAAATATTTTTTTAATATCAATGAATAAATATACTTTTATATGCTAATCTTCTCTTCTTTTTCTTTGAAAAAAATATTACAGATGGAAGGTGATATTCGCAGTAGTAGCAGTGATGAAATATCTGATACTCCAGTCAATAATATTCCCATAAACAACACAAATTATATTAACTAAACGAATTCAAGAGCAAAAACCCACTAACAAACAGCATGCTAGACGAGTCATTATTTTATGAACTATTTCCAAGGCAGAGAATTCATCCGGACATTTTAGCCAGGTGCTAATCTCTCTCTTACAAATATAATAAAATTCTTTGATACAATTTTAATCTCGTAATTCGCAAAATATTAATATTAACGTATCTAATCTCATCTAAAATTATATATAATTTTTTTCATTTTCTCTTTTGGTAGTATTTTTCTTAAAGCTTCAATGTTTCATTATAAATCTACCTATAATTTTCTCAATTGTCGTGCACTTGCATTAATGAAAATATATATACAGAACAACGAAAAAAGAAAAATAACAAAGAACACAATCCCCATTATTCGTATCATAAATATGTATACTTTATTTAAGAATTAATTAAGAGTGTATATTTATATATACACATTCTTTAAGCGAATTTTTAATACTTAGTTAAGATAAGAATGGACCAAAGTTGCAAGATATTCAATGTCTGAACTCCATCTATTATCTCCAAGTTAATATCGCATTACTATTTTGAAATATGTATTTATTTATTTTCATATACTTTGTGAGCATTAGTCAGAGTAATCAATAAGTGAGAATATATTACTCAATAATAAATTTCTACTAATTATATAATTACACACACACACACACACATACACACATCATATATCTTCACATATATTCATTAACATATACACACATGTGCTTTATCTTAAAAGGACCTCTCTTTCCCTCATTATATAAAGGTCAACCAAATACATTTGTATACTAGTGCATAATCTTCTCAAAAATACGATAATTTAAGTATATGTTAACTATGTATTTCGCGATGTTAATAGATCGCTTAGGCTGCTGCAACTTTTGCATTTATCAACGTATAAATATTACATAAATTGTACGTTGTACTTACAATGTGAGCCTTTATACAAGTCACTGGTATTATTAATTATTTTTATATAATACAGTTGCAATGTCATCCTCTTGTATCTAATAAAATTTCCTTGCCGATTCTTGAATGCTCCTATTTTACTTTATTGTGTTTCCCGTTACAATCTAAAAATAGCATTAAATATCCAAATTGTAAAATTACATTTATTTCAAATTTTCGCCATATTGGCAAGATTTCATCTATCAAGATCTTAATTATGTAATGAATTATAAAACTAGCATATAAATATATTACACTGCTATAATTACTCCGATATTTCGCTGGGATTATTTTCTTTTAATTCTTAAAAATCCGGAAATAATGTTTCCTTAAGCCAATGAAAAAATATATGCGAGCAATTATCTTGTAATATATTAATCACCTTTGAACTTCTGACGTTTAGTTCCTTTTGATAGAGAAAGAAAATTTCAGAAAATACAGATAAAATATTACGTAGTGATGTCATGCAATTGGCTATTGCTTGGAAAATGTTTAAAGTCCCGAAAATAATAGTCAATCATGATAAGGCATTGTGTTCATGTTTGTTTCTTGCTATTTGTAATACTCGTTCTTGCGTACCGAGCCTGAAAGCGCAGGAATAAACATACGGGGTGACATTAAATTTATTACACTTCTATGATACATGCATATTACATACACGTATGTACTACTTGTTGGATCTATTCCGTCTTTTCCTCTATCAAGATGCGAACGCGTCGCTCATCGCGTCATCCGCGACAGAGAGGGGATCGCAGGCCTGGAAGGGATCACCTTGATGTGTCATTTGAATTTTAGCCGGTTTCTGTTCAATTGCGTTGTCGATTCCATTAACCGGTGAACGTCGTCTGATAAAAATATGGGAGGAAAATGGTCCAGCATGGATCCTTCGCAAGTCGAGGTTCCAGAGATAAATGTTCTTCTGGAAAGAGATCCTTATTTAAGGATGTATGAAACTGATATTCGCCGAAGGTATTTATGTTTAAAGTAATTTATGTAAACATTTACGTAATTTTTATCCTTATTACTACGTAATAACTTGAGACCTCTCGTAGTTATTTTTAGTAATAATGTTTTATCTTTAGGTATGCCTTATTTAAGGATTATGTTGAAAAAATAGAGGCAGGAGACGGAGACTTGAAGCAATTTACAACTGCGTACAAAAACTTTGGTATTCATGTTCAAGATGACAATAGTGTCGTTGCAAAAGAATGGGCACCTGGTGCACAGGAAGTATTTCTGACTGGAGATTTCAGTAAGAGAAAGCTATATTTATGTATAATTTAACATCATAAAAATCTTGATTTGATTAATATGACTCTTTTCTATATAATTATAAAGATAATTGGAATAAAACTGCTACACCGTACAAAAAATTAGAATATGGAAAATGGGAGTTGAATTTACCTCCGAATGCAGATGGTAGTTGTCCTTTAAAGCATCTATCTGAAGTAAAACTTATCATAAAAAATCATAATAATGAATTGCTTGAAAGACTGAGCCCTTGGGCAAATTATGTAGTACAGCCACCGAAAACAGAAGGAACTACTTTTAAACAACGTATATGGCATCCAGAAAATGTATATAGATATAGTTAGCAATATAAATGTGTTGACATATGGAGAACATAACAAGAAAATTTGTATTTATATATATATTTTTTTTTTCAGGTATACAAGTTTAAGCATCCTAAACCAAAAAAACCAGAAAGTTTGAGAATTTATGAATGTCATGTTGGAATTGCTACTCAGGAAGGGCGGGTCGGCACATACTTGGAGTTTGCCAAAAATGTGATTCCACGGATTGAAAGGCAAAAATATAATGCAATACAACTAATGGCAATAATGGAGCATGCATATTATGCTAGTTTTGGATATCAGGTATATGTGTATAGAATAAATTTCCAAATTATATAAAAATCTGCAACTCTATAATGTGTCTTATTAAATTTATTTAGATAACTTCCTTTTATGCTGTTTCATCTCGTTATGGAACACCGGATGAATTGAAAGAATTGATAGATGTGGCACATCAACATGGTCTCTATGTTTTATTAGATGTGGTGCATTCGCATGCTTCCAAGAATACTTTAGATGGGCTAAACATGTTTGATGGTACAGATGCATGTTTCTTCCATTCTGGCTTTCGCGGCGAGCATTCTTTATGGGACAGTAGATTGTTCAACTATGGGGAATACGAAGTACTTCGATTTTTACTGTCCAATTTACGTTGGTTTATTGAGGAATATGCTTTTGATGGATTCAGGTATTTATTTTCTGTGAGAAGAGATCTTTATAGTTTGTAAAAAATTTGTGACATTTCTCCGTAATTTTTTATTAAAATGTTTGAATATTTGGTAGATTTGACGGCGTTACATCGATGTTGTATCATTCAAGAGGTTTAGGACAAGGTTTCAGTGGTCATTATGATGAATATTACAATTTGAATGTTGATGTGGAGGGTATAGTCTACTTAATGATCGCTAACCATATGTTGCACGATATATTTCCCGAGATTGTTACGATAGCCGAAGATGTTAGTGGAATGCCAGGCGTTTGCAGGTATAAAACATATATCAATTTATATAAGTTGAAGCAAATAAAAATTTAAATGTAATATATAATAATATAATAACTGATAAAATATTCAAGGCCAGTCGCCGAAGGTGGAATAGGATTCGATTATCGGTTAGCCATGGCTATTCCTGATAAGTGGATCAAACTATTAAAAGAAACCAAAGATGAAGATTGGAAGATGGGCGAAATTTGCTGGACATTGTCTAATCGAAGATGGATGGAGAAGGCGGTCGCTTATTCCGAGTCTCATGATCAGGCTCTCGTGGGTGATAAGACGATTGCATTTTGGCTCATGGATAAGGAGATGTACACGCACATGAGTACACTTAGTGATCACAGTGACATTATCTCTCGTGGCATTGCCCTCCATAATCTAATCACGCTGATAACGCATGGTTTGGGTGGCGAAGCTTATCTCAACTTTATAGGTAATCATTCAGTTAATTTTATGTGCACAATTATATTTTCAAAATATATTTAATTTATGTATCAAGAAAAACTATAACAGCATAAAGATATTCGACAAAAATGTGTCTAATAGGCAACGAATTTGGCCATCCCGAATGGCTGGATTTTCCAAGGATTGGAAATGCAGAAAGTTATCATTACGCTAGACGTCAGTGGAATTTAGCGGACGATCCTATACTCAAGTACAAATATATGAATAATTGGGATCGCGCGATCAATACGCTAGAAGAGAAATACGGATGGCTACATGCTCATCCTGTAAGCAGTTTTGTACATTACACTATCTTTTATTATTTGCGTAAACTCAGTGTTGAAGAATTGAGAGATATTTAAAGAATTAGAGTAACTTGTGAGAACAAAAAATATTAATTTTATAGGGCTATGTAAGCTGGAAACATGAAGATGACAAAGTAATCGTATTTGATCGAGCTGATTTAACATTTGTCTTCAATTTTCATCCATCCAAATCATTTGCTGATTATCCAATTGGTATGAAAAATCCAGGAACGTACAAGATTGTTTTATGTAGCGACGATGAACAATTTGGAGGACAACGTCGTGTAGATACAAATGTACAACATTTTACACAACCGGAACCGTTTTCTGCATATCAACACAAGATGATGGTTTACATTCCGTGCCGTACAGCTATCGTTTATGCACAAACTGGTAATGCATAAATATATTTTATGTTAATATCGTGTATAGTGAATAATATTAATAAACAATTTAATTTTGTAGATTCATAAGCCATTTTATAGAAAAATGGAGGGCTTGTCCAAAAATTATAGATAATATAATAGATTATACATAAATGAAAAGAGAAAGATCTTATATTTTTATAGAATACAAAATTATATGAAACTTATTTACACAATTAAATTGGAACTTGCATATAAAGATATGTTATAAACCCTGAAAAAATGCAAATCAATTTTTATTAGTTTTAATCAATTTATTAATTTTTATCAGTTTTTATTAATAAATATTGTATATATTTATATATATTATAATTGCTTAAAAAGGCTGAGATGTATTTAATTTATTCAAAAAAGTCAAAAGTTATCTTTACTTTTTATTATTCCACTTTTTCTAATTTTCAGAATATATTTCGAATAAGCTTTGTATGTCAAAATATATATCTTCTTACATTTTATAAAATGTACTTTTACAAAAGTTATTATTGAAGAGAGATTTATTCAATGTTAAAGAAATTAATTGCATTTAGGTATTTATAATATGAGAAAATAAGCCTGTTTTTTTTTCTTTTTTTCCCTTCAATTGAATCTTCAAATATAATGTTTCCACTTTGATCATTAATTTATATTATAAATATATTTATCTTGTCTGAAAACTGCACAATTCATATAATTTTTTATTTATGTACCTTATTTATTACGTTGCTGAAGTAGTATTTACATTATTTGTAATTTGTGTCACACTAAATTCAGCCTCATTTATATCATAATCTTTCATTTTTCTTTCTAATAACCACCATTTGTTTAGAAAGCCTATATCCACTACTCTTTCATGAAAGGTTACAAATCGTGGTTTTAGGTAAGGGCAGACAGCCTTGTACAATGAACAATCTTTATCATAATTATCTAACCAGATCAGAGACAAAATACCCAAGTTTAATGTCCTCACAAGTCCTTCATTGTAACATTGTTCCAACCATTGTATATGCTGTACAGAAACAGGATTGCGTATAGGTTCTCCCACTTGTATTAATTTTATACTACTTTGTATCAATTGCTCCCTAAACGTAGTTTCATCTGGATTGCATCGACTACTATAAAAACAGCCTCCTAAAACTATAATATATAATTATTTTCTATACAAGCAAATTATTTTTATTTATATATGTCTTAAAACCAATTATAATTCAAATCAATTATAATTTTGAGAAACATACAAAGAATGATACATACATGTAGTGTATATTGCAGCACGTACAGGACGTTTTTTGCAATCTATGACTGCGTCAATCGCAACACCTTTATAATCTTTATACAGAGTATGCCAATAATTTGCTATAAAAAAAAAATTTTTTGTTACATGAACATAATATGACATTTCATTCTTTCTATTCTTATTTACCCCAACGTTCGAGAAAAGTGCCTTTAATTTTTTCGGGCATTTCATAGTTATTGATTTTATTCCCAATTTCATTAAATCTCGACGTAAACAATTTAAAAACTGCTTTGAGTCGATAAGGAAGTTGAATTATTTGTTGAGAATTCATGTTAAATTTTTTTTCAAATACAATTGTATGAATTTAAATACTGTCACGATACCATTATTACATTTGGTTGTTTGAAATAATAGGTTATGTAAACCGCGTTCAATGTGAAGTAGCTATTCCTAGTTTTAAGGCGATATCGCATTAATCCGATAAAAGGATTGGCTATCTGTTAGGGAATTTTAATTTTGTTAAGTTATTCCTTAAATCGAGTTAGAATTGACCAATCGGGTGGCACCCGATTGACCACGTCGCCAATTGGCCAATTCAAAATAGGACTCTCTGATTGGTTAATCGTTGCTGGTTACCCTAGGCACAGGTCGATATAATTGGCTGTGGTCAATCGCAACGTGGTCAAACGGAACGCTCCCGACCAATCAGAGTAGCCGGCCGACGAATTGCTTTGTTCTGATTGGTCATTAAGGATTCCATGCGCGCGCATGCGCGGCTTTGCGCATGCGCGATTGCAAATTACATTTTAATCTCATGGTTGCGCATGCGCAGAGCCGCACATGCGCGCGCACGGAATTCTTAATCGGAACACTGCGGCCCGTAGTGTGATTACGACTTTGCGTGGCACATCTTGTACTTTTTATTATCCGCGGCCATACACAAACGTGTACAGCATCGATTAAAAGTTTTGAAAAGTTTTGTTCCGTGTCGAACGAGTGACCGAGAAGGCGGATCCGCGGATCTGCCGGTTCTCGATTTTGGGACGAGACAAAATTCGCCGTGCGAATATCTGTCGCAAAAAATTGTCCATCAACAGCACTGTCATCGTCAATTGTGCAATCGTCATCATGTTTATTCAGCTGCGATCCGTTCATCGCGCGCGATCGATTTCACGTGTCCTGTCAACCGAAAAGACGAGCTTGTGATAGCGGTGAAAAAAAGCAACGTCGAGATCCGTGTCTTTCAGCTGCACCTCGTTACACTTTTGGTACTTGGAATGAAACATCTGTTCGAAACGAGATAGATGTATGTATATATTCGTGCTTTGTGACGAGAAAAAGCGAACGAGAGTGCAGCTGATACGATCGAATCGGTAAAAATAAGTACGTAGGATTTGGCGGGAGAGAAAAGAGAAGAGAAGACAATTTACAAAGTGGAATGTAGAAGAGTGTAATTAGAATTAGGAGGAGCGAGTTCTCGGAGTACAGTCCGCTCCAGTTCGACATTGGTAGTATACCAGCAATAAGCAGCCCTTCGAGGTGCAGTAAAGTAGGAGCGCGCAAATGTCAGATGGCTTATGACGGCTACGAAGCGAGAGTAGGAATGTGACGGGTGCAATTTGGCGGCTTTTGAATTTTCTCAGCAGAAGGACTCAAGTCCGCGCGACTCGCTGAGAATCGTCAATCGTGCACGATGGAGGGCCACCAGGTACGTAAATCCGCGTCCGATGTATGAGAGACACATTGTTTCGAGTTCGATCAACTCGATCGTTATGACTCATTCTGTTAACAAATGGAATTATTCCAGAGCAATTCTTCTTTTCCCATTGTATTCTCAGCGAAAATTTGATTTTATATTCGATTTTATGTGCTGTTTCTTTGTTTTTTTTTTTTTCCTCCAGGTAAGAGCGCTCTATGACTTCGCGGGTGAGTCAGGAACGGCGGAATTGTCTATCACTGCTGGGGAGCTTTTGACTGTTATACGAGACAATGTAGGAGATGGCTGGTGCGAGGGATTTAATCAGAGTGGACAATCAGGCTTGTTTCCAGCGGCGTACGTTCAAGTGGTCGAACAAGCTGCAATCTCTTCCAGTACATATTTTTATTTATGAAAATTAAATATATTTCTTATATTATTCTATTTTTGTTAAAAAAATATTAATTATGATTCAACTTTGTATTTCTGATGAAAAAAGAAAGGGATAGATAAGTCATTTACTTTTGGAAAATTATATAATGTAGCTGATATTGATTTAAATATGGATTATATATACAGATACTGTGGCATTATCCCAGCAAAGCTCTGGGGATTATTGGGACGATGACTGGGATGACGATTCTGAAGTTGGACAAACACAGGCTTATGTTCCACCTACGCAACAACAGCAGTCACAAATTATACTGCCACAGCAGAATAGTGCTAGCGAATATGGCGATCAAGTATCAATGCATACTATACATTCTGTGATACCAGACAGGCCTATACCCAATGTACCAAAGAAAAATAACAAGTTTTCTACATTGATCAAATCAGGAGAAGATAGTTTCCTAATGGGCACTAGAATAGTGACTGTGCCTGAGAGCGAAAAAATTTTTATAGAAGAGGACGAAGTTGGCCGATGCAAGTGGATGCCGACCGGAGAATCTTATAGTTGCGTCGTCACATCGCCTAAGAAGGAATCCAAACTGAAGGGTCTCAAAAGTTTCATCGTCTATCAGCTAACTCCCACAGTAAGAAAAATTGTTGCACCTTCTTTCTTGCATTCAATTAGAATTGTAAAACTTTTTTTCTAATATTAACATTTATTTAAATTATAGTTCAACAACATACAAGTCTCGAGAAGATACAAGCACTTTGATTGGCTACACGAGCGTTTAGAGGAAAAATATTGCTTCATTCCTATCCCACCTCTTCCCGACAAGCAAATATCCGGACGCTACGAAAATGCGTTTATCGAGCATCGACGTACGCAGCTGCAAGAGTTTGTTGATTACGTATGTCGACATCCCGTGCTGTCGCGTAGTCGTGTTTGGGAGCACTTTATCACGTGTACGGATGAAAAGCGATGGAAGGCGGGAAAACGACAGGCAGAAAAGGACGAACTGTTAGGCGTAAATTACTTTAACGCCATTCAGTGTCCGGACACGTCTCTGGATATCATAAAGATGGAGATTCAAACGGACGCCTTCGGTAAATTTATCAGCGGATTAGATCCGATAGTGAAGAACTTTATGGCCGTGGCGGCCGACCAAGCGAGGAAGCATCAAGTGCTCTACAAAAGAGAATTCCAAAAGATTGGCCAATCATTTACGTCACTCGGCCACGCTCTGGAGGCGGATGATAACGGTCGTGGAAAGCTGACGCGCGCGTTGAAAGCTACCGGCGACGCTTACAACGATATTGGCAAGCTGTACGAAGATCAGCCCAAATTCGATTGGGAGCCATTGGCTGATAAATTTCATATTTATCGCGGTATTATTAGCAATTTTCCGGACGTTATCAGCATTCATAAGGTATTTTACGATGTCACAGTCCAATTAATTGAAGTATAATTTGAACAGCTTAATTATCAATGGTCCATTTTTTTATAGAGCGCTGTGCAAAAACGAAAGGATTGCGATCGATTGGTCAGCGAACACAAGATGGAACCGCAGCAATTACGCGAGCTTTCACATCGAACTGACGTAATAGCCCGCGCGCTAATCGCCGAGGAAACACATTTTCAAACGGAACGCGAAGTACATATAAATAAAGCTGTAAAGACACATCTCAGGGAACAAATCACCTTCTATCAAAAAATAGTCGATAAACTACAGGAGGCGTTAAATGCGTTTGATGAATAATACTCGAACAATTGTCATAATCTGCCTAAGTAATATAAAATCTGATCGCTCTAAAGCCGGTTAAAATCATTGCTCACAGACAGGTACTCCGAGTACGATCATGATGAATATGCCAAATGCACATAATTTCACAGTGAGATATGTACATACATTAAATATGTATTAATTACACCACAGCAGTCGAATAGTTAAACTAGATAATATGAATAATTGCAAAATTGCTATACATAATTGTCAGTATAGTCAAGTGATCATCTCAAGATTGATAAATAATTGGAATTGATATACAGTTATGCAATAATCATTGATATATTATGACAAATTATAATAATATATTTTGCCTTGATATTAATTTCAATGTTTATTATGTCTCGACATGTAATTCTGAAATTTTCATAAAATGTTTTCTTTATGAATTTTTTTAAATAGAGAATTATATTGCCAATATTATTATGTATATATAAATTTAAATTTTGTAATCTATATCCGATTTTATTATAAATGTTGATTGCAAAGCATTGTATATTGCAATGTGAATTGTTATAAGTGTAATAATATTTTGTAACCAAAAACATTCATATTTGTGTGTGTTCTATATCATTAAAAATTGATAATCGTGTCTATTGATCTTGCTTGGAACGTACAATAAATTATATATCGAAATTTCCATATTCTATATTAGCACAAAAATGTTATTACTTTTAAACAAAATAATCAAAATCGAAAATGTACATATAACTTACACTAAATAATTACGCTTAATTAATAATATGACAAGATCAGATTTGTTTAACAAGCAGCTAAATATAGAATACATTCTAAACTTTGCTTTGTAAGATTGATAAGTATTTGCCAAACTTGATATGGATTATATTTTCTTCTGCAGAATATGAAAATTATTTATTCTATCGCAGTGAGAATTTTATATATCGTTTGGCGCACGTCATAAAGGAAAAAAAGATAAATTGTTTACGCATAATGTTTATGGAATGTTCAAGGGGCAGTCATTGTACACATAGATCTAATAAAACGCATTATTATTTATATAATTATGACACATGAATCTATACATTTTTAGTATAAGAAGCATGCGTAATGCGTTAGTGAAAAATAACAAAGTGCAAGACACGCTACATTCTTGTTATCGCATTTAAATAAGTGTACAAAGAGCTTATGTATATATACATATACATATTAACATATAGGCACATATATGTATATAAATCGACATACCTATGGCTAAATTTGTATACAAAAAATATTATTAATTAACATGAATTGATAAACACAGGACAAGTGCATTCAATAATAATGGAATATTACTGCAATCCTTTGTTGAATCGGTCCGTTTTATTCGTTTACTGTTTTGAATTTACAATCGCAGCATTAATATCCACATGATATTCGATGAAAGAATTTCCCATTAATTCACTGACAAATATTGCTAGCAACGCAGTTTACATGTAATATATATTTCGAAAAATCAAAATTATTAGAATATCTCGACAAGAGATAAATTAAAGCGAAGAATAAAATGAAATATGTCGAATAAATCGAATAAATAATTGTTTTTTCTTTTTGGAAAGGATTTTAATAAACGGCTATTAAGTCAAGAATTTTAAATATCATTTATTAGTTGTATCACATTCTCAATCAACTACCATATAAACAGTTCATACCGTTTCCTATCATTGCCACGCCTTCTCTTCAATTCAATTCAATTTTATTAACAAAATATCTCTTGGTGTATCATGAACTTATTACGCTTCTACTATGTGATCTTTTTTTTAACCACGGTGTATATTATTTGTATATACAAATATATAGATCAAAAGAAATTCACAAAGATTTCGATCGTCATGGGAGAAGAATCATTGTGCTTGATGACCCGAGCGATAAGATGCGTGAAAGATTAAAATTGTACAAAAACAACAGAAATAACAAACGAACTATTGTCCCAAGTTCATTCGGAGCGCGCGCGAAGACAGTCTTTCTAAAGTACTTCACGTGTATATTGTATATATGCGACACTTTTTTTTTCTTCTAATTATAACTCGCGTACAAAAAATAGCGCCCATCCTTGTGCAATCACATGATCACGCATAATCGACAACAACTAAATAAGTCATGCAAATATAGGATAAATCGTATGTTTAATGCGCCGCGTTCGCTGTAATACTCTCTTATATCTATCTCAAAATATGCATACATCGATCTTTCCTAAGGCCAATCATTCTTAAAAAAAAAAAAATCAGTAATGAAGAATAAAATATTTTTAAGTAAGACACTTTGAATAATATTCATCAAAATAGGATTTTTCTTCTCTCTCTCTCTCTCTCATCCTATTTTACATGCTTTCTTTCAGACATAGGCCGCAATATATGTATATAAAGAATGTATGCTATGTTACATAGTTAAGCTTTCAGAGCCTGATAGGACAGTATTGATATGCCGTTAACATCGCCAAATCGAGCGTAATAACAAAGAGGTAATAAGCTCTGCGTGATCCAACGTCACCGGAAGGACATTGCAAACACATTGGCACATTTTAAAATCTATTTTATCTTTATTCCGATTATATTCTTCAACGTGCGACATCGATTCGCGAAAGCAAATCGGCGCGCGAATTATCTCGATTATTATATTCATTATAGTATAGAGAGCTTTTCTTTGTTTTCTTCTATACTCTGTTTATAACTTTTGTGTTTTACGATAATATAAGACGGGGGGAGCGGGGCAAAATTGTCTCGACGAGAGACAATTATTCATAAACTCGGTACATTTGCATTTTCTAGCATAACGATCGCAAAAAGCCTTATACAATGAGAAAAATACAGGATAGGAAGATATTAGTACTCGATGTATGCAATCGCGTTAACGTTAGACAAGAACGTTCGCTTCCTAGTTAAAGTTCGAAAATTGTTTCGGTAATATAACACGAATGGCATACGCACAGATCATGTCAAGAATCTTTGCCGCGAGTGAAGAAAAGATTTTTGACATTGCGCATGATACATCATGCTACTTCTATCATTTCCTTTCTCGTTCTCGCTCTATGCACACAGCAGTCAGATTGGCCTTTACAATTTTTTTTTTCTTTAGCTAAGACTGCATTAACAATTTATTCTCGTCGCTATTTAGGATCAGCTTATCTTTACATCACATTTACAGTATTCCTGCCGATATGTTTGTTCATATGTGTGTGGCACGGTATTCTGAATATACAAGCTAAAGCTCTGTTTTAAAGATCTCTCTTTTTTTAGAATTTTTATCGCAGAGCCGTCACAACGTGCGTGTCTATTAGCGTAAAACGAATTCTAGCGAATCTCTCTTATTAGATGACATGATGTTGATTACACGCGGAGCACTTTAGCATCGGGATCGAAAGAATACAGATATACGTTCGAAAGGGACTATTACTGCAATAATAATTACACTCATTAATATAGAATTCTAATTCTCTACCAATCTATTGTGTATTAATGAGAAAGACACGTACAGCGTGCGTGTCCACGACAATCTTCGATCCTTCGCATATCCAATTCGTACAAGAAATTGTGGAGCACTGTACGTACATTTCTTACGCATTGATACATTTGAGCGCTTTAAATATAATCTACAAGCTTCGATAAAAAGAAAACATTATCTCGCAACACAGATATTCGAACACGTTCTGTGATATAAGCACCTATTAAAGTCTCTACTAATGGCACGTATGGTAATGTACCATCATCATGTCATCCAAGGCACTTCAGAAGTCAATTTACACAATGAAAGACACCAATAATAGTTTAGTTGGATTAGTATATAAGATTATTTTGACAAGCGCAGAATTAACAATAATTTTATATACTGTTGTATCGCTTGTTCATTGCACCGTCAGATAAATAGTATTATTCTACGGCCGTAAAGTAGAAAGTGTCCGTTGTTATTAGGTTTAAGACTGTCGAGAATATGAAACTCGAGATGCGAGGTAAAGATATTTAAATTAATGGGAGTGTTTTAATTGTGTTTCTTCGGAAAAGCAAACAAAAATAAATTACATTTGCAATACTAAGATGTTTCAAATGGCTAATTGGACGAAATTCACTGCTAGAGAGCGATGTTTTCCAACGCATCTTCAAAGATAAGATCATCATCGAGATTCAGTACGCTTTCTTTTTTCTATAATTTTCTACGATATTCCTTTACATCGAGAAGTGCCCGCTGTACGGACGGATGCCTAATATGATAATGCCAAGAGATTATATTATATTATAGTTTAATTCTGCGAGAGAAAAAGTGAGTACACACTATAAACAGGGAGTCTGTTCGAAAGCGCAATTAGCATATTTTTCTTTTTCACATTGTTTGCTCGGATCTTTTTTTTTTTAACAAGAGCCATATGTGTGTGTTTCGAATGTTCTACTTTCATAACTAATAACTGTGTAACACGGGAATCGCTAGTCGGTCTCTTTTTATTCATAGATATGTCTTGTAAAGAATATTTTAGCTTTGCAATTGAACAGCGGTTTACATTATATGATATTTATCCCAATTTATCAAACTTGCCTATAATATTCATTCAAGCAACAATTTTGGTAAATTTGAGGCATTCAAAATATGTATTTTGATTAAAATGTGATTTATATGGTATAAGCTTCATGCTCAGTTCACTTTTTAATAAAGATTGAATGGTGGTTGATATGAAACTCTCCTCATTCCGAATTACAATTGTACATTTTTATATCTTGCATGAAGAAGATCCTCGCGACTACCAGTCTTGATACGAATACCGCAAAATTATTATTGTGAGAAATTATACTTTTACTAATATTGCGAATAAAAATAATAAAAACTTATAAATAGATTAGAAATCAGATCATTTAAATAACATTCTCTTTCATTTCTCGTTCATTAATTCAATTTTGTGTTTATACGATAAAATAAAATGTGTTAAAATTACTAGCTCCTATATTACCGTATAATAATTCCGATATATGGCACACATTCCAATTGTTAAAACATTACATTACATTAAAACAAACTCATTAAATCATCATACAAATTGAGGCAGAATAAAATAACATTACATGTTTTTACATGTAGGAAATAATTATAATCGCTGTGACATTATCTTTACAAAAGTGTGTTTCTCATGTATATCTCTTAAAATCAGGCACACAAGATAATTTATGTGAGTTTCAACATGTATTTGTGCATTATGTACACCTTATGTATCCTATGGAAATAAAAGTGTAATATAATGCGATATATTAATATATTAGCAGAATAATGTACATATATGTTTATGCTCAAGCTAACTCAGTGGATCCTATTCACAGAGTAGATCCTATGTGTAATATAATAATATCACTATATATATATATATGAAGGATAGTAGAGAGAAAAAATGTATATATATAGATATATGCATACGTACAGGATACGTATTATACAGGATAGTATATTTTGTACAAGTGTTTGCTATGCAAGCATTTATATAAGTAAAGGCATATGTCAAATATATTAAAAAAGAAATAGAAATAAAATCCGCTAATAAAATAGGAAAAAAAGATGAAAAAGAAAAGGAAACAGATCTCAGGCTATATATCTGTGCATTAAGCGACCTCTCTCTATATATCGTTTGCATTTTTTTGGATAATAGGTTTCCGAATCATCCGGAACAAGTAAACTATGACCTCTGTGTAAATAGATAACGAATCATCCTCTATCATTCTCTGAGATGTATATTACGGAGTGAGCGAGGGTCGAATTACATAGGAACCTTAGCAGATGGAATTTCTCATATTCATCCGTGATCTAGCAATACAAGGTCTCTATGCTGCACAGAATTGTATCAAACAGCCGCGCTACTTATTACACCGAATTTTTTATAAAATATAAAAATTTGTCGTTGTACTTCTGTTCGCGTAATGTATATACGCTATATTATATAATAGAGCAGATTCGATCTAACAACGTAATCGCGGCACGCAATCTTCAAGTCTTATATTATTAGAGAGATGCGACCGTCCTTTGTCCTATCAGATCGACGCGAAACGTATTCTGCAAATTGCTACACGATCTATTGCTTATGCGTATACAACACAGGAAACATCGTAAATTATAAGAATAAAGCCTAAGCAAAAATAATTGTCGTAACTGTTGTAGAAGAAGGTACGAGAGTTGTATTGTATCGCATGGGCCCGCCAAAGCGAATTGTGATTTACGCCTTTCGATGTCGAATGTGCCTCTTAATATATGTGTGTGTGTGTGTGTGTGTGTGTGTGTGTGTGTGTGTGTGTGTGTGTGATGCAAAACACAAATTGGCTTTATAATCTATTCCCGTCGTCTCTGTAGCTTGAAAACGACAGGTATATCGCGTGATGCGACCCAGTTGATCCGGTCTTTCACGTGCACAAGACTTTACCTTCAATTTTTTTTCCGTTGCTTCCTAAGTTGCGACACATTGTCCCGAGATAGAATAGACAGAAGAAGAGAACGGTGCGTGTGCGCTGCTCCACAGCTTGAAGCGTTTGTTGCGCATGTATAATAGAATCGGCGACGAACGATCGGCGGGAATAATCGGAATGAGAAGTGAGATTCGTAAATGTCAGTAGACTTGCGCGACGCGTTGAACAACGTAGTCTGGTTCAGTTGCTGAGGTGGCTCGAGGGTGGCAGCGATCCCAACGGCCCTGTGTGCTGGTTGTAATTGATTTGCGGTTGCTCTCGATATTGCATGGGATTGCCGGCGGAAGGGCCGATTGAACCTATACCCTCTTGCTGTTGTTGCTGCTGCTGCTGCTGCTGTTGCTGCTGCTGCTGCTGCTGGCCGCTGTTTAATGCCAATCGTTGCATCTGGCGTATGACCGTGGCCGCGTGATACGCTTGCTGCAACCATGACATAAAGAGAAGACATTCCTATGATGATCAAAAAGACGCGGACGATTAATCATGCGCGCTGATGAATTGGCGATACCAACCTTCCACCTCGATTTGGCAAAATTCTTTTTAAGTTGTTCCGATACAGTACCATGGATGTTCTTATTGCTAGCAGCGTTGCCAGAAATCCTGAAAATATCAAAATCATGTAATTATGTAATTATATTATGTGTTACATTAAATCACAAATTCCTTATTTGTGCAATTTTAAATTGCTGAAATATATATTAAAATTTCTTCAAATACATTTGTCATTGTACATTTGCGAAATAATGATAGCTCGACCATTAGAGATATTTAAAAAATTCAAATACGATATATATATACAAGTATAAATTCTTTTAATAATTTTTATCAATAAAAATATAAAGATTCTCCCTTACCAAGGATGTGCAAGAGCTTGTCTGCAGCTATAACGCTCCTCGACATTGACGCACATCAGTTTTCGGATGAAATCCTTCGCGGAATCACTGATGTCGTCCCAGTATGGTGAATCGAATTCAAATTCACCTACAACAATCTAGTTAGCTTTTTGCTATAAAAAATATACAATTTATTTATAATTATATCACACCTTCGCATACCTTGATTTATCGATATTCGCAAAAAATAATATTTTAAACTAAACGAATGCGCATTCTTAACGTTCAAAAATGTGAAAATGCTGTCATGTGCTGTATAACTTTTCATCTCGTTAGTTTATTTAGATTGCGAAACGTGCACTCGGTACAGAATATCTAGGAAATATAATTTTGAAAAAAACATGCAGAATTAATTATAGTGCTGTATGTGTGTGTTATCGATAAAAATGAAGCAGTTAGTAGTCTCTGTTCTCTTAGAGAGAGTTTATTCTATTACCTTTCAGAATTTGCGCGAATAGATTGGCATCATTCTCGTCGTAGAACGGAGGGTAACCGCACAAAAGAATATACGAGATGACACCTATACTCCAAACATCCACGGCCTTGCCGTACGGTTTCTGCGCGAGAACCTCGGGTGCTGCGGATCATCGGAATAGCGTTTGATCATCGACGCTTGAAATTCGTCTCTCTTGTTTTTCTTTTCTGTTTACCGTTGCTAATAACTCACCGACGTATCCCGGTGTGCCGCATGCGGTTGCCATAATCCCGGAATCTTCCATTTTCGATAGGCCAAAGTCGCTGATCATGATCTTGCTATCTTCGTCCGGGCTATAATATAGAAGATTCTCGGGCTTGAGATCTCTGTGAACGACACCCTGTTCGTGCATGTAATCAACCGCCTCGAGCACCTGTCTTATTAAGCCGGACGCATCTTTCTCCGTGTATGAACCCTTCTCCACGATTCTGTCGAAGAGCTCTCCACCGGTGACCCTACAATATAATTTGCAAATTTGTTTTTCAAAATCTTTCAAAGGTTGAATCTAATCTCCGACACTATCGTGTTGCGAAGAATAATACAAATGCGCGTTACTTACAGCTCCATAACTAGATAGACTTTGTGTTTATCTTCGAACGTCTCCAACAATTGAACGATATTGGGATGAGTTAACCTGCGAACAACATTTTACGTTTTCTTCCTCTAATTTAAAGCATTGCACAAAATGAAAATTGATTTAATGATTTTCTTTTCATATGTGTTACTTAATTGTATTATTAATCCTCATTGTCCGATTGTATAAACAGACCTTGCTATACATTATTTACTCTTTACACACGCTTCTCTCTCGAAGAGATAAGAACAAGTTTACAAAGTTAATCAGAGAACAAACACTTATCTTACAAGAGCCGATGCTTGAAAACTAATGATAAGGATCGAGAGATCTTATTAATAATAAGAATCGCAATCGTTTAATTATTCCGGAAATGTCAAGCAAAAAACTAATATATTCTTTGACGAAAATGTTATCAAGCATCATACTCTCATTGAAGAAAGATGCTGATTTTTTCCAAGAAATACAAATATATAAAATTGTATACAAGTTGCTTTTTTCTTATAAAAAACGTGTGATATATATGTGTAATTTTCTAATCTATTTTAATGTAATCATTATATTTTAATCCAAAACTCTAACTGAAATCTAATCTTTTACTTATAATTAATCTTCTCTTAAGTTCGAAAAATAATAGAATCAACAATAAAATGACAAATAATAACATTAAACAGCGATGCAAAGTATTAGCTGAATGTTATAATCGTAACTACATAAGATATTAATAAAAAAACATGCTTCAATATTTAGCTAAAGTTATATTGTAGATTTGGCACACATATAGATTATTATAATATTAATTAGACAATCACATCTACGTAGAAAGAAATAACTATTTACAAAAATATTGTTTAATAGCGGCAAAGCAATATCTACGAAATATGTACAAGAATCCGAAAAAGATATAAAAAATCTATTAACTATTAATATACTACATAGACTATAAAATAGTATCTGTAGTATTTATAAAATAGTATCTATACTATTTATTAAATGTAAAATCTCTCTCTTTTCGGATCATTATTATTTCCATAATATTATTTCATAGCTTCATATCGTAGCAGTAACCTTCGCCCAACTTAACTTATTTTACATTATTTTCTCGTTAAGAATATACTTACTTCGTTATATCTCTTGTACATATTTCATGTTACACTACCTTGTGAAAAAATGTGTTCGTCAAACAACTAGCTCTCGATAAAAGCAGTGTCTTTTATAAGGTAATCGATCAAATTTTTGTTGCATTTCAAGCAACTAAGAAGGCTAAAACATCATCAAGTGATCGCATGAGTCAACACGTGGATATGTGCCAGTTTTTTTCTTTTCACGAATAGAATATATGAGCGTAAAGTATTCATGTGTTATTATGTAAGAAGCTTGTTCTTCCGTCACGGTATTTTATTTATCGTGATCTAGATATAGCGAGTTTACTGCTTGTGACTTTTCTACTCGATTTTAGTAATATTATATGTGTGTGCAAAAATTAAGCATCTTTATAAATTATAATATCACTTACGATAGATGTACAATCTAGTAGTAAGATAACAATAAAGGCGTAGCAATGTATAGCATTTTTTATAGCACTACTAGAATAACATTTACATAATCACGGCAAGTTCCCACGATTAATTTCTTACAATTCTGTGCATCAAAACTGGCGAGACAAATTTTAATATGTAATATCTGATCAAAGAAGATGAATATGATGCATTTTTAAGAGAAGCATATAATATTCAGCTCCGATCTTTCTTCTTTCTCCGATAAAATTAAAAAAATAGTACTTTCTCTATCATTGACTGATAATAAATAAAAAGACGTATTGAAATAAAAGAGTTAACACGAAGAAATTAACGATATTTTTAAGAATTGAATAATTTCTCGAAAATAAAAATTGATAAATATATATTTTATAGATATTAAACTCATACATTAAAAATCATAAAACATAAAGCATAGCTTAACATATAAAATAAAATATCTAAATAAATATATCACACTCTTCCTAATTTGTTTTGAGATTAATCCGGATGAAGATTATTATATAAATAATTTATATAATTATTATATAAATATTTTATATAAATAAAACGCGTGAATCGATCGATATTTATAAAATATATTATATGATTATCTGATATATATTATATGATTATCTGTTTGCTGTAACTATACTTTTGTTTGGTGTGTTATGTTATTTCTTTAAGAAGAAGCGTGTTTGATAAAGTAACACAATTTTAAATTCAAATTTCGGAGAGACAGCATACATTTCCATATTTTTATGTATGTCTTCTTCTAAATATTTTACGTTGTTTTGTAACTTTGCTATGAGACGGAATAAAAAATATAGAAACAAAAGATTTTTAAAATTAGAAAGATTTTTAATTAAAATAAATTTTAAATACGTTTTCTTGTGTATACGTGTGATATTAATGTTCCCTATGAATTATCGGAAATATTAATATCTCGATATCGTTGTCATATTATCGTTTCATTTTGAGTGATTTTAAATACATAGATACTAAATATATAGATACTACGAGCATAATTACACTGAGATTGTTATCGCGCAAATCGATGTCCACTGATTAAAATAGTATTATCTAACGGCTGTCGTCAAAAATTTATTATCATAAATTTATATCATGTGTTTTTCTGCTAAAAAAAAGCTGTCCATTTTTTTACGATGAATTACAAAAGCTTACGAAAAAATTGCATGTACAATAAAAAAACATATTTTTGCACATTCCATATTTTTCGGATAATTTTACAAAAAAAAAAAAGAGAAGAATTTGTTGTTACACAAAATATTTTCGGCATCCTAATAAAAACATTTCGATAGAGGGAAAGAGACTCTTTATAGTAATATTTTTCTTTTTCGTATAAAAGATGATCCGTCGAAGATGGGGTGTGCAAATATATGTATTATATATTGATTTTTTTAACTATACCCACTGTAGTTTCTCGCTTAGCGAAAGGTGTGGCAAGTACCAAGGATACCAAAACTGTGTTGAACGCTACGTAGTGACGAACGTGCACAGATCGTGCATCTTCGTGTATTTATAATTATATATATATATATATATATATATATATATATATATATATATGATTTGAATTGTAAAAATGTATGGCATATCGTCGAGAATGATACAGAAGAATAATACTGAGAGCGATACAGGTAGTTGGTGCCCGTGCTCTCTGGGACCCCACACTTACCATCTCTTTTCGCCACTACTATCCGACCTGAGCGATCCGCCACCACTCTGTGGTGTCGCACTTTCACTGAACCTACGAAGTATAATAAAAAATACCATACACAATTACGTAATTATATATATGTAAATATCGAGGGCAGAGCTGATATCGCGCTTACTCGCGCGCCCAGTTTATTCAATTTTTTCTGTTTGTTTTATTTTTTACCACATTGATAAACTCCCAGGGTTTTCCCAGCTTGGTTGTATAAGAACATGGATTTTTATAACAAATCGATATTGAGGTATTAATTACAAATAGAGGTGCAATAAAGATTAGAGTCTCGCTCGTCATGAAAGGTAAATCGTGGTAAGCGGATTATGAAAATAGATATATATTCGACACACAAAGAGTATCAATGTTATTGAAATTCCATATATGCACATGCAATGTCCTTTTTCTGTAAAAGAATTTCGAATACAAAACTCATTGTCAGTTTCACATTTACTTATATATATTTCATTGAACTTGAATTTAATTTACATTTATTTAAATAAAATATCAATTTTATCGTTATGATATATGAATTATGTATGTTTGCAGTTTCGTCGTGATGAAGAGTAACGTGTGCGTATGTGTGTTTTATCACCTTCTGCAATATTGATTGATAATTTCGTGATACAACAGAATTCTCAGAAATCTTTTTTTTATAATTTTTTCAAATTGATCTTGCGTGACTGAATTTAGTCTTGTTATGTAAATCAATAACATAGAATAGGATGATGGAAGAGAGAGATAATTCAATGATAAAAACATTGAAAAGTACCATCTCAACACAGATCTATTAGTCGTGTCAGAGAAGACATTGTCAAAAATACATGTATCCACATGATAAAAGATATTATGACTAATGACTTTCGAATATGCGTTATAAAATATGTTTAACAGAGCATCAATAGAGACAATATATAGCTTATATACGAGAGGCACATTATTTGCATACAACATTAAGGATAACAAGAGGACAGACGACAGCCATCAGAGCTTGCTGCAGATGCCACATCACAGCGCTTTTCTTGAAAAAAATTTTCCGAGATAGATTGCGTGTGTGAGCTGGATTATAACACCATATACAATGTATACGTGGTCATAATAATATCGTATAAGTGAGAAGCGCACAATAAAATTAATAACAGGTCATAGATTAATTTTAATTCATATTCCCAATCGAAAAACTTCTCTCCACGTTATTTTTATATAATAATACTTGCAACGCTACACCAAATGAATTTGCCTGATGTATGCTAGAGAGCTATGAGGGAGAGGATATGATACTCGAGTAATATAATTTTGAAGATGAAGCATTTGTTAGATAAAGGGAAGCATGCATATAACTATATCGAAATGGAATCCAACGGTAATAGAACTGGTATACTTAAATCAGCCAATTATATCAGTTTTTGGAATGCCTAAGTGTTATAAGGAGCAACTATAAACCAAACAAAGAGTTACATTACTAGTAAAAATTCATCTACTGTAGGTCCAGCTCTCGGAATCTCTGCTTCCTACCTTCGCAGAACTTTGATTTCGTTCTCTAACGAATCCTCCTTTCCCTTTAGCGCCTTCTTGTCGATTATCTTCACGGCAAACATTTGACCAGGCTTCTCTTTACTCTCCGCTAGTCTCACTTCGGAAAATGCACCCCTAAACAAAGAAAAATAAGAGATGTATTTAGACATGGAAAATAAGTTTATCTATAATTGAAGATACATCGTGTACGTGACGTTTCCTTAAGTGTGTCATTATTCGTGCAATTACGTAAACTAATGTTTTTTTTTAATTTATAGATCAATTAATGCAAATTATCACCAGTTACAATTGGTTATAGACCACACTTTGGGTACAATAATGTGCTGCAAGCAATTAACTTTTCAATTATCATATGGAATATGATAACAGATGCGTCTTGAAACATATATAGAATTTGTATTAAAAGACAGGCATCGTGTTATCCAAGAAACAGGAGGCCTTTTATTCTCCGTAAAATTTACGTTTTATTTTCCAGTGTCTCTTGACAAATATATGTCGAAAAAGTGTGAGAGAAGAAGTAGAACAAAATATAATTTTAATTTAAAATAACGCTTATATAACCTTGAGAAAAAAGCTCGCTTTTTTGAAAGAAAAAACTCGCTTATCTCTATCTAAATTCCTTTTCTTGAATTTTTACAAAAGACATATTATTATATAATCAAAGTCGGAGATTGTAAATGTATTCAACGATTCTTGATTCTCTTGTCATGTAAATATATTCAACGATTCTTGATTCTTCTATCTATTATTTAAGAGGTTCCAATTAAATGGAAACAGTTTTATTGAAAAGGAATTCGATTTTATAAACAAGCTGATTTAATTATATCTGTTTACGGAAGTTGTAGACATTTTATATTTAGTGCAGGATCGCATTAGATATGTTCTCTGTCACTTAAATATTCATTATATGCATATGTATTGCAATGCATCGACAATCTGTTACATAAACGACACAATAATTCATTGACAAATAACACTGACACAGCTATTTATAGTTATATATGTCAGGGATTGACGTTCAAAGCATTTTTTTCAGATAAATACGGATAATGCGCGCATATAAAATGATTAAGAAAAATATCGATGACGATTAAGCGCATTTTTTTCTGAATTTATCTAGTCAATAATCGTCAAGTTTAATTCGGATTCCGAAAAGTATCGACGAGAAGAAAGATATATAATCCGCATATTTAATTTTTAAGTTCCAAACACAAAAGATATAGATCGAATGTTGAAATTGTAAAAATAAAATCATGAAGATATGCAATGATTACGATGCAAAAGAGATACAAATTTTCATCTCTATTATACTTTTCAAATCTCATAAACTCACACAATGTGTGTATGTGTACAATAAAAAATAAAATGTTAATTATAATATTTATCACATGTCCCAGAAAGTCCACTCTAAATTTTAAATTAAAATAACTCATTCGTCGTATGTTACTTATTGACAATCTAAAAATGTTAAATAATTAACACAATACTTTACATTTATTTTTGTTATTGTGACTTTAAGTGTAATGTAAAAATAATATACAAATTAATTAAAATTACATGAAAAAATAATTACAATAACTCGTAAGAAATGTTGAGGAAATTAATATAAAATAGTAATTATTTTAACTTAAATTATTTGTAGAAACATTTCATTTTAATAAATTTGATTATTTTTATATGTTCAAGATTATTTGAAGATTCACTTTAACTTTTCTTAGAATGTTAAACTGACTTTGAGACATGTTGATTGTTTAAAATGATTATGAATTATTAAAAATACTCAAAATAATATTCCATTTCTAAGAGACATATGTATATAAAGTGTTAAGTTACGAAGTTGACATAAATATAACACACGAAAACGTTATAAAAATAATAACATATAGGTTGTATTAATTTTACATTGAAGGACTAATCAAAACATAGTAACACAAGAAAATTTTGACATATGGACGCACAATTTTTTACTGTATGTGTATGTGTATTTGTGTATGTGACATTGAAACAGAATTTCCGATTGAAAACACCAATCAAGTTGAGCAATCTCGCAAAGTGTTATTAGAAAGATGCATATACATTATATTTTAATACGATTTTAATGCATCCGGAGTGACGTCGGGAGACATCTTTTATGCGCAAAAAAAAGCGAAGCTTCGCGAAATATCTCGAAAAGCAATTCATCGAGCGAAAGAAAGTTACGTTGCAGTAATGTCGGCGAAACAAAAAAAAGAAAGCTCGGACACTTTCATTTGTGCAATCCACTTAGCATGCGGACACCTCGTCGTTTTACGCAAACGAAGGAAATTGGAAATTGTACGCTTCGAAGAAGGCCACGGAGAAAAAAAGATGTGCCTATACATCCAAAATATCCAAAAGTCATCCGAGATCCGTCTTTTCAATCATTGATTCTTCCGATTTAGTCGGGAATTTCGTCTCATCGAAAATATATCGAAGCCAATCGTTATATAATTTTGCAATGATTAAACACGAATGAAAATCATCTCTATCAAACGAAAAATTATATTAATTGTAAAACAAGATTCAATTACGTTCTTGCCTTTTCGAAGCTTCAATTTGCGAGAGACGTTTTACTTTAAATCTTTCTTTTTTTAACTGAAAAATATAGAGGAAGAAGAAAGAGGGAGAAACTTCGACTTACATTTTATTCAGAAAAAATCTACTCCGAACTAATCGAGGAAACTACGGTTAAAAGAACGCGCAATGGTTCGAGGCTATTCTGTATTCATACGAATTTCGTCGGATTTAGTGCGAATAGAAGATGATCCTGGAGGATCGTGCGAGATGAATACTAATATCGCGGTTCCTACAAATGAAAGGAATAACCAATATGAAAGAGATATATCGCGCGAGAAAAAGAACGAGAAAGAGAAAAAATATCACCTCATTTCTAGCGGGTGAATTTTAAATAATTTTAATCTAACCTTTGCGAAAATATTTGCAATTTTATCGTTTCGCAAACGACATCTCCATCTTTTTCCTCGCGCAATTCGCATCGATTTAAAAAAAAAAAATTCTTCAATTATATCATCCATCTCTAGCGTCGTATAAATTTTAATATTCCAACATTCTTCGGCCTTCTCGATCATCGTTACGCAACGTGTAATCATAGGCAATCTTTTATACGCGAATCGAAGAGATGTCACACATATGTGACGCGTGGCAGCGAAAGTGTTAAGAGCTAACGCTTAATCGATCTTGTGCACAGAATATACATGTAACGCGCGCACACATTGTTACGCTTATATTTGTTGTTTCATACAATATTACACATATGTAATATTATAATATTAAATTATTAATGTAACATCGTTGGATTATTACATGAGAGCCAATGCAGAGAATAATGTTAATTCGCGTAATATTATAAAATAAAAAGAGTCATGCGTAATTGATCCCGGGAAGAGCTTATCGTAAAGATGTACATTTCCATGTACATGAAATATGAGAAAATAGCATTTATCTTTCTCGAAAATGTAAATATTTAGCAATGAAAAGAGTATAACTCTCCATTATTTGCGCATCTGTATTTCCCTTAGGTAAACAGATTCCGTATAAATAATTACGTATTTTCCGGAGCACCGCGCATCGAGATCTTCATCTGTCATTAACTCTCTAATCTGCGGCGATAAATGTTTAAGCGGCGATTAAAATCCGGAAATTGGATATCCGTTAAAGCGTTGTATCAAATTAATCGGAAAAGAATCATGTTTTATCCAGCGGTGACATTTAATCCGTTAAATTCCTTCGGTAATCGCCGAGTATCGCGGCTCGATAATTAAACGGCTCCGGATGATTGAATTTTCGCAAACGTAAAAATATGCAGCTTGACGTTTGTCGCGCGAGAGAGAAACATGCGTGACAGCGTCGCACACAAAAGTGTTTCCTCAATTTCGCGCCGTGATAATCAGGTGGACGGAGGGATGATACACTTACGTGCCCAATAGATCCTTCAGGACGTACTTGTCCTCGACGGAGGGCGACCTGTCGTCCTTCCCGTCCTTCTTCATCTTCTTGTTCGAGTCCTTCTTGCCGAAGAGCGGCATCTTGTCCCCCGAAACTCGCGCGCGCGCGCGTCTATTATATACGACACAACGTATCTGTTACACGCAACGACGTATCTGTCACATAAACGGCAACGCACTCGCGAGGATCCCGTTCCACGGATCGGCGTGCGAATCGCACGAGTTGAAAAAAGTCCGGGGACTCCAAGATTCACCGATCCCCGAGAGGATCGAGATTCGCGTCGACCGATCGTCGTCCTCCGGCGCACTGGGAAGACACCCGACGCGTCAGACGCGCTGGCAGATCGTCATGTTCTCCCGACGACTCCGCAGGAGCGATCGTGAACCCGCGACCTTTCGGATCGCCCGCGATAGCCCGGCCCGCCGCGCTCTTCCCACCGGCCGTTGTCTATATCTCCGTCTCTCTCTCTCTCCTCGCGGGCCCGCGAATCGTGTCCTCCTGTCGTATCTCGTCTTTTTCTCTCTCTCTCTCTATTTCTCTCTCGCACTCCCTCGCGTCCCTCGTCCGTTGGCCGACTACTCAGCTACCGCTGTGCCGTAGCTTCTTTCGCTACCGTTCACCACCACCACCATCGCTACCACCACTACTCGCGCAGAGTCCACCAGTGCACGCGTCTTCGTATCGGGCTCAGGGTCGCGGCCTCGTCAGATAGCTCGCGTTCCTTGCCACCGGACGCTTCTTTATCGCGCTGCCGCCACGTCGTCGCTCCTCGTCGCTCCTGGCGATACGCGTTTGCGCCCGTTCCAGCCCCGGGTCATAATGCCAGCAGTGCACTCGTAGCACTGCGACGATCACGGTATAGACATCCGAGCGGACCGGATGAGCGAGAATGATAGCTCGATTATAGCGCGGTGGCAGATGGCACCAAGAGCCGCTGCGGCGTGCGTTCGATAATTCGTCAGAAATTTCTTGGGCCTGTTCTTTTTAGCTGCACTGCTGCACTAGTGCAATAAGTTGGAAAGAGACAAACATACTTTCTTTCGGGTGGCACCCGATTGACCACGTCGCCAATTGGCCAATTCAAAATAGGACTCTCTGATTGGTTAATCGTTGCTGGTTACCCTAGGCACAGGTCGATATAATTGGCTGTGGTCAAACGGGACGCTCCCCTTTCTTTCACTCTAACTAATTGCACTAGTGCAGCAGTGCAGCTAAAAAGAACAGACCCCTTGTCTCACGTTGGCGTCGCCAATCGAGAGTGTTTACGACAATTAATCGGATCTCTGATCGGACTGAGCAGTGGTACTCAGCGATAGATTTCCTAAATTTCCCTAGACTAATCCGGATCAATGATGTGTCTCTGAAGTAATCGAATTAGATTAACAGTCATCGAAAGAAATTGTGGTCGAGCTGATCGAAAAAATTGTGAAAAACGATAAGAAATTATAGAAGATACTTTATTATTCTTTTAATTAATATATCTTTATTTATCAAATATATATTAATAAACAAATGTATTTTACTGGAATAAGATGTTTTCTATAAAATAAGAATAAGTTGTTAATCTAATTCGATTACTTCAGAAACACATCATTGATCCGGATTAGTCTAGGGAAATTTAGAAAGTCTATCGCTGAGTATCACTGTTCAGTCTGATCAAAGATCCGATTAATTGTCGTAAACACCCCGAGTACTCTTGATCGGAGCGTGTTTTTTCGCGCATGCGCGGTGCGATAAAGCTAAAGGCGCAAATTCGTGGGACGCTCGACTCTCATTTTCAGCTGTTGCGTCTGTAATTTGACATGTCTCTGGATTCCTAGTTTGTTATTGTTTATATTGACAATATTGTGTTGATTGTAATTTTGTTCATTTAGTTCGTCAGCGAATTGCGGTCGAAAAAATGGTTTATAGTAAAGAACATAAGATGGTTTTGCAAAGTATTATGCACGAGGGTGCTTTGCATGAAAATCGTGGAAAGGAGTTAATTTCAAAATTATTTGGTACATAAATAATATCATAAATCGATCACAAATAATAAAATGCACACGATATTTTATATACAATTATATATGAAATATATTGTGCCAAAAATTAAATCGAATTTTATTAATTATCGACAATTTTAGGTCACGAAAATACGGCGAAAATAATAAACGAAATAAATTTGAAATTACAACCATTATACATGATCATAAAGTGTATGAATTGCGAAGTTACCGGTCAGCTGTATTGGGTTTGGGCAAGTACTGTGCAAGATAAAATTGCCAGGTAATAACTATTTAAATATTTTAAGATTTATATACATGTTTCATATTTAGATTTTGCTTAACTTGCGATTAATGTTTACAGCTTTCATCCTGAATTTTCGCAAGCTGAATTAACCCTGTTGCGTAATGTATATTCTGAAATTGTTACTTCAGGCAACGGTTACGTATCGAGTACATGGTGCCTTAATTTATGTTCGACGTTAAATATAAAATTAACCAAAGCTAGGGCCGAAGAATTCCTATATGAAATGGTTAATAAGAAATGGTTAACGTGCAAGGTACTAGATTTTTGCCTCTTGATAATTTGATGGGTTATTTTTAAGAATTTCTATTATAAAAAAAACTTTTTTCAGAATGGTAAATACTATATGGGAGTAAGAAGTATAGTTGAATTATTACAATATTTCAAAGACACGTATCAAGAGAATCTTCATTCTTGTACTTTATGCAAACAAGTACTTTTTTATGTAAGCTGACTGTAAATATATACATACTGACACAAAATACATACTACTTTAACAATAATTAATTTTATCATTCTACAGGGCGAGAAATGCGATCAATGTAATACTACAACGCATGTTCATTGTTTAAAGAATTATACAATGAATCGCGGAGATTTGGAATGTCCTAATTGTCACCATCCTATATCGCAACACAATCATTCTGGTAATATTTTATCTTTCTTTTTAATTTCATTTTGTGTCTTTAGCCAATAATCATATTTAATATATCAAGTTGCTTTTTTAACATAAACAGTTTACTCATTGTGATATTTTAAAATATATATTGATTTTATTTTTAAAAAGATTCATATTTTCTAGATAATAGTATCAATTCTGAAATGGATGTTGACGAGATGGATACTGAAATGAATGAAGTGACACAACCTAGTCAGAGAAGATCAAAAAGAAAAAGATACTAAAGATTAATGGTAATATGTAAGATATTTAATTAATTATAATAAATTTTACATTTGCATAAGCGTCAAAGAATGAAGACTAATTATTTTTTTATTATACAAAAATATGTACATTTAAGTAATAAATATTATAATACAAATTTTTATATCTACTTGTTGTGATTTTCTTCAAATTTTTCTCTCAAATATTTTAGACCAGCCATTATACTATCCTCGTTTATATTTCGTGACACTGTTTCTTTTTTGTTTGTGAGAGTGGATTTGTCACTGGAAGATGAAATCTCACCAGGAAGAGGAATATTCATGTTATTTGGCAATTTATGCTGTTCAGGTGTCCCAAGATAACCATACTTATTTGCTGAATAATTATTAGATAGATGAGACAATGGATATGAAACAGTTTGTCTCTGAGAAGGCAATAAATTAGATAAACTTGTAACAGGGTTCAACACCGATTCTGTTGTATATTTAGGCAACTCGTATCCAACGTTACTCTTATTTATTGTACTATTATATTCTACTAAATTGCTTTTATCATTTTGACTATCAACATTTTTTGCAATGGAGATTATTTCATTGCTAGACTCATTACTATCTTCATAACTTTGCAAACTGATATTAGATTTTGCAATGGGTTCTTGAGATTCACAATTTTCTGTTTTATCAAGCTGTTTATCATGAATTAATTGCTCATCAATATTTTTAGAATTGTAAAATCCAGCACTTGTAAAATTATCATAAACGGGTCCAAATTCACCAATTCTTTGTTCTCTACATTTATGTACCCATTCTTCTTGTGACATTACATGCCAATGATTCTTTTTACCCAATAGTTCTCCAAAGGCTTTTATTTTATCTTCATCATTATTCTTTTCTTCCTGGTGCGTGGTTTCAGTTCCCACGATGTTTGCAGATTTATGATCAGTTTCCACATTAGGATTTCCATTATCATTTTCAATAGATTTATTATTATCTTTGTTAGCTTCATTATCGGTAGAATTAATTAACTTGTTTTCTAATACCAATTCCTCTTCTGTAGGTTCCGCTGGCAAGCCTGCTCTGATCCGCTGTCTAATTCTTGCCGCCTTTAATCTATTTTGTTCCATTCTCTCTTTCAATTCCTTAATCTCTTTCATTTCTTTCTGTCTTCTCTCTGTTTCCTTCCTTAAATTTGCTAGATTCTCTTGTTGCTTCACTCTCTGCTCCTCATCTTGAGAAAATGCATAGTAACCAACACCATGCGTTCGCGCTTCGTCAAACAATATATCTTGATAATGTATATCAACTTTATCTGCAAGCTTTTGTGTTTGTTCTTCCCATTTCCTCCTCATAATTTCTATCTCAGGTTCTTTTTCTTGGATAGGATATTGTTCCTTGTTTTCTTCTTGTTCGCCTTCATTGGCATTTTTCTTCATTATTTCTTGTTTTATTAAGTCATCTTTCTTTTGCATATGCGGCAAATCTTCCCGCAGACATTTTCTGGTCCTTCCAAAACAATCTTGATACTCGACCCAACCTTCTTCCGGCTCTATTGGATGTTGTTCATTAATCTCTTCATCAACAAATTCTTCAGGTTCATCCAATTTGTTCTTAAAATCAACAAGAAATTTGTCATTATTATTTTTGGATTTCTGTAATCTCTCATACAATCTTGTTTTAGCTTCCAACATCAGTTTTGATTTTTTATGGGCAATAATGTCCTCTGTATCTATCAGTTCTTTAGGATTTTTTTCCACATCCTCCGCAACAATTTTCTTATTCCTTTTTTTATTCAGCTGTGGTTGCACATTGGTGGACTCTGCTTTTAATTTTGCCTCATTTACTTCGGCTTGTTTCCTCAACAGCTCTGCTTTCAAACCAACCAAGGATGAAAAATTGACATTGATTTTCTTGGTCATATTCATTATTGGATTGTCAACCTTAATTAAGGTCAATAAATACTCTTTGTAAAAGTAATAACGAGTTTTCTTAATAAAGATTTACGTGAAAATATCGACGATTAGTATAATCTGTGTTCTTCCTAAAAAATAAAATATACTCTAAATTAATGTTCGGGAAATTATTATTATTTATCAATCTATACACAATAATATACTTACATGTACCTATTGATTCAATAGAAACTTAAAATATATGTTTTATACAAATAATATGAACTGCGAATACATTTGATAACATTCAATAATAGGAATTAAAATACTACTTTAACAAAACTGTTGCAACTCTTTAGAAATTATGTACTATTTTGAGGTTATATTATGTTTAGGAAATTTTGACCATAGAATATATGTGTATAACAGATAAGTTAACGCATAGAATGTAAATAGTATAGTCAATTACGTGTAATACACATTGACCAATCAGGATCGAAAGAATAAAAATTCCTTTGTCCTGATTGGTCAATCAAATATTACACCCCTCGTTAAGTAAATTTTTGAACACAACCCTGATATTGAACATGTAATAAAAAAAAACACTAAAAATTCTTGGAAAAAAAAACATAAAGAAATTATAATTCGCAAGTAATCATAGTATAATAACTCATTGAAAAGAAACAAAATTCAAATTTAAATTTCATAAATATGATTAGATAATTTTTGCATACATTATTTTACACGTGATATTCCGCGTGAAATAAACATAGGATAGCAATAGCCATCTTGCTCTGGCGCGCGTCTAAACTTTCGAAAGCCACGTGACACGTTTGAAAGTAGCAAAGTCACCAAGTCACCAAGTCAACTTGAAATTCTCAATTGACGAGAGAATCCCACTTTGTTGTTTTCGCGATCATCAGATCCGATTCTTAGAATCGAAAAATAAACGTCACGATTGTGATTATCGCGATTATTCATGATAACCGTGATTCTCCACGAACGTAAGTTCCCGTGAAAACTGTGATTTAGAACACCGGCGAAGAGAGAAAACTAACATCTTCCGAGAGAAATAAACACAACAAACATTGTACGAGAGGGGGAAAGAAGAAGGTTCTCGTGACCGCGGCAAATCCGGCGACAGTTATTGGTGGTTATCAATCGAAACGTCGCTTCTCACGGACTGGAATCTTCCGGATCGTCGCAAGATTGTCCTCGAGGGTGCAGTTGCGTCGTCTATTATAACGTTTCGGAAGAATTTCCCGAGGAGAGTCAGCGAGGATTATTATTACGCGCGATTTTCTCGGTGAGTAGGGAAAAAATCTAGCGCTCTTCGTGACCGTTCGGTCCCCTTCGCTGCTCTCAAGCTGTTGCTCGGCATTGCGCGGAGTAGCGTGCACGCGGTCGCGATCTATAGCATAGCGGCCAGAGCGAGTAGGCCAAGTAAACCGGCAAGATACAGGTAAAATCGAAATGGCTCCGCGCAAGCAAGCGAAGCAGGCTGCGGCAGAGAGCGTCCAGGTTGCCGCTGCCGATGGCAACGTGACGCCGCCGAAGAAGAGGAAGGCCGCCGCGAAATCGACCACGCCGAAGCAAGCCAAGACAGCGGCACCTCGGCAAGTGAGGCAGGTGAAGGCGCAGGAGGCGGCCACCGCGTTCTCGCCGAAAAATTTGCGTAGCAGGCAAAAGGACGTTGCTCCGAAAAACGATGCGGAGAACAAGTCCAAGAAGATGTTTGTCAACAAACAGAAGGAAGAGAAAAAAACGGTAGAGGACGACGATAATACGGGTGAGCAGGTCGAAAAAAAGACGCGCGGTGGCGGCAAATCCGCGGTGACGAAAAAGGCGGGAACGAAGACGGTCACGGCGAAGCCGAAGGCGAAGGCGCCGGTCGTCAAGAAGAAGAAAGACCAAGTCGAGAACGGCGCCGGGAATGTCGGAAACGGCATCGTCACCGATGAGAATCCACCGAAGAGGGCGACTCGTCGTGGGAAAGCACCGGATGAAGAGAACGTTGCACCGGCAGCAACGAAGGTACGGGTCATCAAGAGACCGAGAAAGCGCAAGACTGCCGAGACAGAGGCGATCGCGGAGGCTGAAGACGATGAAGAACCGCCAGAGAAGAACGACGCGGAGATGATTGTGGACAACAAGAAATCTCGCGAAAAGGCGAAGAAGACAGGTATGAAAACTGGCAAACTTTGAGATTTTTTTCGATTTCTGCTTTCATTAGTCACAGATAAAAATTTTTTATTACAAAAATAAAAAAAACAAAAGAAAATTTTTACTTGAAAAGTACTTCAATTTCAAACTTATTTATCATATAATTTTTTGTTACTTTCAGCCAAGGCAGCAGTCAAGGAAAAAAAGGATTCTACAAAAATTTCCAAAGGAAAACGTAATATTGAAAAAGAAATAAAAGACGTAGGAAAAGAAGAAGGTATTTCGATGAATTTAGAATTGGAATCTGTAGATGAAAATGATACTTCTGTAGATGAAAGTAATAATGTTTCACATAATGAAAATAACAAGGCTGAAATTAAAATCGAAAAAGATAATGAAGAGAATATAAACGATACAACTGCTTTTGAAAGATCAGCAACTTTTATGCTCTTTGAGTAAATAGAGGACTGTTAAAAGAAAAAGATAAAATTAAGGATTTGAAAGGAAATACTAACATATTTTATACCTGATTAAGAATATATATGTATACAAAAAAAAAATGATTTCGTGAGATAATCTAATGTTTTAATATATTGTAAAATACTTGTAGCTTTTAAAAATCAAGCTTATTTAGAGTTTCTTTAAGTTCTAAACATTACTGTAACTATTCATTATAAATATCTGATTACAAATTTCTTTTAATAATGTTTTAACTGGCGAATATTTGTTCTTTTGGTGAGAAAAATGGATGTGTATAGGAAGAAAGGTTATATCATTACTTTTACACATTTAAATATAAAAATGATTAGATCTTAAAATTTCTAATACAATGATGCAATGTATTATACAATAATACATTGCATTATTGTTGTATTAGAAATTTTAAGATCTAATCATTTTTATATTTAAATGTGTAAAAGTAATGATATAACCTTTCTTCCCATACACATCCATTTTTGTACATTTGTATCGAATCATGGTTGTATTAAAAATTAAAATGTAATCATTCATATACTGCAAGTATCTCGTGATAAATATATTGAAATATTATATTATCTCGCATAAACAGCACAATTCTCTTTATGTATATTATTCGTAAAATGTAAAATATATTGATAAGATTTGTAATAGTTGATTCACACACAAAGATGTTATCTGAAAACATTTATAGACAAAACATATATTTTTTTATAAATATTTCATCGAAAATATTTAATATTGAATTATTAACTCTAGCTCTATATATATCGGATAACATCATGTGTAAAATAATATTTATAAAAAAAGTTTTTCAAAATAACATTTCTATTCATTCTAATTACAAATCCTTATCGACATATTGTATATTTAAGTAATTGATATATGGTGCCATAAAAAGATTTGATAGAGTTTGTGCTTCTTATTAAATTCTCTTAAATTTATGATTCTTATCCGAGCAACACATTTATGTGCGCTGAAAAATTTTAAGAATTATTTGTATAACAAATATTAATATAAATAATTTTATTTATATAATAATAATATAATTAATATATTATATTTAATATTAATATATATATATTATCCATCTATATATTTAATATTAACATATATATACATACATATATATATATATATATAAAATTAATATTATTATTATAGTAAATACCACATTGAGTAAAAACTTAAATATTTTGGGTGAATTGTGAGTGATATAGAAATGAACAAAATCTTGTAATTTTGCTCGTATAAGAATTAAGCACATTACATATTTTTCTAAAAGGATCACGAGTAATACTTAAACACTGTTTGCATACTCTAGTCCTATAGTTTTATATATTAACAATATTTATAAAAAACAATACAGTTAATTTAAACGTTTTATAGCAAAAGATATTTGGAAGATAATTTGTTTCTTTTTTATTATTATTAGACATTACTAAAGTGCCATTGTTGATTAATTAGAATATTTGTACTTTTTAGAAAAAACTTTCTCTGTACATATTTCGCGTAAATTTCACTGATCGTCTACGTTTTTTGTGATTAAGTATTACAAACTTTCTGCGTTTCAATAATACTGTACACGTATAATATATATTTTTTACGATCATTAATACGTGCAAAGTACATGTTAATTTAACGTTATATCCTTACAACTTGTATCCTCAAGTATCATTTTCCTCAATTTCCTTAAATAAAATGAACTTTTGTTTAATAAAATAAATTTTGTTTCTATATATATATAATATTCTTTCTAATATAATTTATAGTTGTCAATTTTTATTTTATAAATGATAACAAGGTACGTGTTTTAACAAAATTTTTTCTCATTTCTGATTTTCTCATTTTTATCTTTCCCGCCTTTAAAGACCAATCACGTGATTTGCAGATACTTAACGACGAGTTCACAAACTCGTTACAATTTGCGACATTTATTCCGAGACTGAAGAACGCTTTGACGACACGCATCGCACCTTGAAAATCGATCTTGTGCAAAACAGCTCGAAGCTTCGAAGGAGTACGAAACGAGTGAGTAATATTTGCAAACGCAAATTTCGGAAAAACGAGAGAATGGCGGCGATCAGTTTAGTGAATCCAAAAGCCGAATTCGCCCACTCGGCCCAAGCACTGGGGATAAACATTTCCGCCGCGAAGGGACTTCAGGATGTGATGAAGACCAATTTGGGGCCCAAGGGAACCATGAAGATGTATGTATCCGTAGGTTCACGTGCCACAATTTCGTCTACGTCGTCTACGTCAATTAATTTTCTTGGCATTTATAATTATTTGACGTTGAATTCTCCGGGAAACGAAATATCTCGTCCATTCTTTGTTTATCGATCGTCGCGGTTCCGAGGAATCTGGTCGCGATTCCCCGACGATTCCCCGACATTATTCTCCTTATTAGGACATGTCTTACAAATTGCCGGTCAAGCCTTTGACGTTTCGTGCATATTATTTCTTATTAATGCGCTTTTTTTCCTTTAGTATATTAATAGTTTATTTTAATACTTATGATCTCGATATATGATAGCAGTAAAAACAATATTAATAAATCCCTTGATAAAATTTTAATGAAATTTTTAATGAAATTTTAATGAATTATAAAGATATTTTCTTTATATAATAGCACGCGAACGCTAGTTTGGTACTAATCAAATTTTCAGGTTGGTTTCTGGAGCTGGAGATATAAAGATTACCAAGGATGGTAATGTACTCCTACATGAGATGCAAATTCAGCATCCTACAGCATCCTTAATAGCGAGAGCTTCTACAGCTCAGGACGATATGACTGGTGACGGTACAACTAGCACTGTGCTAATTATTGGTGAACTTTTGAAGCAAGCTGATCTGTATATAGCAGAGGGATTACATCCGAGAGTGGTTACCGATGGTTTTGACTTGGCTCGTGCTAAGGCATTAGAAATATTGGATGCATTGAAAATTCCAATTGAGCCTATCAAGACAAGCCTGTTGGACATTGCAAGAACCTCGCTTAGGACAAAGGTTCACTATACCGTAGCTGACAAATTAGCTGAGATTTGCGTGGATGCTGTATTGGCTATTAAGCAAGAGAATAAAGAAATAGATTTGCATATGATTGAATTAATGGAAATGCAACATAGAACAGCAATTGATACTACTCTAATCCGTGGTATAGTCACTGATCATGGAGCTAGGCATCCGGATATGCCAAAGAGGGTAGAAAATGCATACATCTTGACTTGTAATGTAAGCTTAGAATATGAAAAAAGTGAGGTGAGTATGTAATGAAAAGAATATACAAATTAATTTGACAAGTATAACAATAAAGGTATAACTGTGGATTTTAATTTTTAATAGGTGAATAGTGGATTCTTTTATAAGTCAGCTGAAGAGCGCGAAAAGTTGGTGGCTGCTGAACGCGTGTTTATCGATAATCGTGTGAAGAAGATAATCGAGTTGAAAAAGAAATTGTGCGATGGAACAGATAAATCATTCGTCGTGATAAATCAAAAAGGAATAGATCCGCAATCCTTAGATATGCTTGCAAAGGAGAACATTGTTGCTTTGCGAAGAGCCAAGCGCAGAAATATGGAGCGTTTAGCACTCGCGTGCGGTGGCGTAGCCATGAATTCTGTGGATGATCTAAAAGAAGAACATTTAGGATGGGCTGGCCTTGTATACGAACATGTGCTGGTAAATTTCTATGCTTGACGCAATACATATTAAATTATTGTAATATTATAACCAACAGAAATATAACTTATAATCTTTAATCATTTTTTTAGGGAGAAAACAAGTACACTTTCATAGAAGAATGCAAAAAACCAAATTCTGTAACAATTTTATTAAAGGTAAAATTAATTATATTTTATTATTTGTGCTAATGTATATATAAAAATACTTATAATATATTGATATTCCAGGGACCTAATAAATTTACAGTGGAACAATTGAAAGATGCTGTGCGTGATGGACTTAGGGCAATAAAGAATGCCATCGACGATGCTGCAATCGTGCCTGGAGGCGGAGCCTTTGAAGTTGCAGCTAGCCAAGCTCTCCAACGATATAAAGAACAAGTAAAAGGAAAGCAACGTCTGGGAGTACAAGCTTATGCGGAAGCTTTACTTGTCATTCCGAAAATTCTTGGTAAGTCATAGTACTTTTTAATCTCTAATTTTATGAATACTTAATATTGTTATTATTAACATCTATTTCTTCCCTTTTATTTTCAGCTGTTAATAGTGGATTTGATTCGCAAGATACAATTGTTAAATTATTAGAAGAGAGTACTGCTCTAGAAGAAGCTGTAGGATTGGATCTGTCCACAGGAGAAGCTATAAAACCCGCGGATGCTGGAATTTATGATAATTATAATGTAAAGAAACAAATTATCAATTCCTGGTAAGATATTAAAATAGTGAAATTTATTAGTGATTTGTATACAACGTTAATAACTTATGGATAAATTTTTTATTTTCAGTACAATAATCGCCAGTAATCTTCTTTTGGTTGATGAAATAATGAGAGCAGGATTATCTTCACTAAAGGGTTAATAACTCTTATGAAATTAAGAACCCATTAATAATTTCTTTCACAAAACCAATCAAATTACTAGATTATTATTCATGTTGCATTATGTCTGTTAACTAAATTTATTGCTTAAAATTTCTTGCTTCTGATGTGAATATTTAATAACATGATAAAATAAATTTTCACACTGAATTTAATAAAGTGCTTTTGTACAAAATATTCCATTATTTACTTATAACTAAAATTTATAGCATTGCGAGATTTTAGATAAGAAATATAAAAAAAACACATGTATGTTATTAATATAGAAACAATGTGAATACACGTCATATTTTTAAGAGAAAAAAAAGAAAAAAATATTACTTATACTCTAACAAAGAAAGTTGGGACATTAAATATAAAAGCGGAAAAAGATGTAAATCTGTCAAGAGATCAATGTATGATGTGGTTGTCCTATCTTTTGTGTTACAAAATAACTTCATAAAGATGTACTAATTCAAGTATATGTAATGATTTATAAAAATCAAAAATATTTATTTGAGATATGGTACATATATTTACAGTTTCTTAAAATATTTCAAGTTTACAATACGTAGGATGTGTGTCAGTCTTGTCTTATTACAGAAAATTCTGTTTTCCATCATATCAAAATGATTTGTAGCTTGAAAAAAAAAATTTGGTCACTGGAGATTATAATATAATGCATTAAAATTGAATGTATTTATCTATTTCTACACCAAACGCGCGTGACTGTTAAAATAGCATATTATAGGATATTAAACTAAAGTTTATTTTTATTTTTTTTTTTATAAAAATAAAAGTATAATAAGATATTTAAATACAAGATATTTATACAGTATAAAAAAAAGGAAGAGAGAGAAAGAGAGACATGACATTTCATTTTTTCTTACCTTGTTTCGTATTAAAGATGTTGCTATTTTGAATAAATACAATGTTGAATGATACAAACAGCTCACATATAATTTTAGGAAAGATATTAAAAATAGTTTTTCATTTGACTTTTATAATAATGACTTAAGTTTGTGATGTAATAGGTTTAACAATTATTCGATTATTCGATTTCAACAGACAACCCCATATTTTTCGTATCATATAAAAAGTATTACATCAAACATATACTCTCGCGAGAAAAGACATATTTTAAACTAAAATATTCTAAACTTTTTAATTGTACTAATCGTTTATATTTTTTTCCTTAATATCTAAATGTTTATTATTCGTATATCGTCACTTGCATTATATACATGTAACATTCTATGAAACGAAAAGATCAAGAATAAAAAAAAATACAAACGACATTGTTTTTCGTTTCTGCTAATGGTAAGTTTCACCGCGTGTAAAAATGGTAATTGAAGTTTTATATTGTAGTTACAATCACACATACCAGTTTTCGCGATGATTCGCAATTTCAATCGCCTTAATGACGGAAAATCTTGAATCTCCATATGATACGAAATTGTGTGTTGATCTACTTACCTGTATTGTATGAAAAAAAAATTATTATAATATTAGTCGGAGTTGGAAAAGATCGCGGCGTATCTAGAATCTTTCCTGATATCCTTTAATACTACTTTCGGATTGATATTAATCAATGTAGACAGAGTGGAGCAAGTTAATCTCATACTGTGACCTCCGACTACCATGTACGTGTTCAATTCGGCTAGATTAATCGGGCTACTTGGTCTTCCGTAATGAGAGGACGATTCAATTTCCTTCTCTTCCGCTTCTAATTCCGTCTCTATACTACGTGGTATTGACCGATATGACATAAAAGTGCTCGACGGATATCTTGGCAACGGATTCGTGGATTTGCGAGCGACAGCCTTAAACACGCGCGGACCTGGTCTTGCATATGAGGCCACGATCGATCTAGTCGTAGATTTTCTCGCGACAGCCTGACGACTACCGCCAACACTGCTACCTTTAAGTATCGAAATGCCGGGAGTATGGCTCTGGTTGCTCTTCATCGCGGCGTCACCAAAGTCCAGATTCCGCCTGGCCTGATTCATCGTCAAGTTCTTCATAACCGAATTCAATTTGGGAATATCCTCGGCTGAGGGACTTGAATATTTCGTAGCACTATACGCAGAGAACCGTATGGGCGTGCTAAAATATAGAGATCGCGTTGTTTATTGTTAATTAAGTGTCTTCTTAGAGGCGCACGAGGTACAACGCACGAGGTACAACGCGGTCTTACCCTTTCGACTGAACTTCCTGTTCCTGTTGTTGCCACTGCTTCTGCCATTTCTGCGGCAAATGAGAGTGAAACATGTTGTGATGCGTTATCCTATCGGTGTCAGTCTCGTAAAATTCACCGTCGTCGCACCACTGACAGACCCATCCACGCCGTTGAACCATAATCGATGATGGCTTCTCCGACCGCTCTACGAAATCGCGAGGTGACGTTTTGACAACATTCTTATTCGAGTAATCCTTGGGTGAAGACAAAGGTTTCGACAGAGGTATCTCCTTGTATTTAAATGGTAGATTGATTTTTGCACTAAAGGCGGTTTCCGGACCCTTCGATTCCTTGTGCACGAGGCTCCAATGTCGTTTAACGGATGGCAACGAGTTGCTGCGAAAGATGCAATAGAAGCAACTGTAGATCATCGTCGGCGTTGGTTTGCCCACAGATATCGCAGATTCGTCTTCGTCTTCTTCCTCCTCGTCCTCTTCCTCTTCTATATCGTCTAAGTCACAAGTATCGATTTCCTGTTTCTTAGACGTCGACGGTTTACTTGCCTCACTGCATGAAGATCCGGCCGTTGACGATAATTCCTGATATTTTAACTGCATCGTGGGATGATTAAATTCCCAATGTTCTAGCAATTCCGCCTTGAAGGAGCAACTGTAAGTGCAGTATGAACACTTGAGATTGTGCTTGGGAGAGGCGTGCGATCTCATGTGCGATTTCAGGCCGGTATAATTTATAGCCATGAAGCCGCACACCTCGCACTTCTCTCGCATATCTGTGCGATTGCCAGCAGTGGCGTCGCCGGCGTCTTCTGCGTTCAATTTTCGCTTTTTAGGTTTTAGCGAACAAACGAGACCATATTCTTTCTCCCAGAACTCGTTAGTCAACTTTGTGCTTCCCCACGCTGATGGATTGTGTATGATCTTCTCCGGATCATTTGGATGTTTCGAGCGAATATGTTGACGCATCATCGTTTCCGAGTTAGTACTGCGGTCGCAGTAAGGACACAGAAAGCCGAGTCGTTTCAAATGCGAATATTGAATGTGCAGCTTTAAGCCACGCGGGCCATTGAAAACCATTTGACAGTGCTTACAGACAAATGGCTTTTCCGGCACCTTTTCGTTCTTCTCGCAAACTAAACGTAAGAATCATACACAATATTATTTCATATGAAATGAATGCGACGAATTAAGATACAATAATTCTAAGAATGATCTTATATACTTACGTTTATTATTTTTGGGCTTATTTTCGTTATTTTTACTCTCGAGTGCATCGTCTTCTTTCATATCGATTACAAGATCGTCATTGTCTCTGCTGTCACCATCGTCGGTGTCTATACTGTTCCTGTTAGTATCTCGAAGGATGTCACTCTGCAGATTAGATATTGTAGGCGCGAGATTTACGGTTCGTTTGTCCGTTTTTTGTGGAGAAATTGCGTTATCAACTTCTTGACTTTCAGTAGATGTATTACCGGATATCGCGACACTTTTGTAGGTGACATTGACATTTTTAGATGCCTTAATCATATCCGTCTGCTTCTTCAGTAAAGTCATTACCTGTATAAAATTTATGTAATTATTTAATCATTTTTCGGCGTTTTTAAATTGAAAAATTACAAATCTTGATAAGACCATACCCAATCCTCAATCGCATTGTCCGGGGAAAGTGGTTCGTGGTCCGGAGATCCTCCATTATGGTGTTTTCCAAAATGTTGTATCAACGCATTACGATTCACCGATAAAAAACCGCAAGCTTTACAATGCCACCTAAAAATTAATAATTATATATCTAATAATTATATTAAATTAACATATAATTTCTCTTAATGACATTTTCGTAAAAAAGATGAACTTTTGAAAATGTTATGATGTACAGAATGTAATCTAAAGATAGATCGTATCTATAAAAATATTTTTAATTTAAATATTAAATTTTTTAACATCGCTTACCTCGCATACTTCAACTCCCTATAAAGATGGTCTCTCATATCGTGTTTATACTTGGTTTTGAAATGATTACACAATGTACAGATGTATAAGTTGCCGTCCGGTTTGCCATAAGGCCCAAATCTTCCTACATCCGAGTCGTTCAATTCTACCGCGTTCGTTTTAGAGTCACTGAACGATTTGTTAACACGTGCTGCATCTTTGCTCTGCTCGTTCTGCTTTTTAATTCCGTCGCTTTTCGTTTCTTCGGAAAGTTTGTCGCACGAGAGCGATCTCTTCGACTTCTCTTTAAACTGTTTATTGTTTTCCTCGCCTGACTTTGATCTCATCTTAGTTGGCTTCGTTGAGATTTCTGTGTCGCTTTTGCGTTTACCCAAAGATACCCTTGAAGATGTGGACGATGATCCCTCGCTCATCACCGGGTCTTCTATCTCCTCTTCCAAAAGAATACCGCGAATATGTCGAATTCGTGGCATGTTTCTTGTCCAAAGTGGCGTCGTGTCAAAGGGCTCATCCTGCCCCCCTTGCTCCGTAGCTTCCACGTTACGTTTATTAACTGCTTTTATTCTCTGATAGATTACAGTATAATCGGCATTAGAATCGTACGCGTGCTTGCTGCTTATATGTTGTTCGAGAATTATTTTTCCGTTTGTCTTGAATGAGCACAAAGCACACTTGTACTGACCGCTCTCACCATGAATAGTATCTGCGTGAGCGGTTATATCGGCTTTGTAAACACACTTGAAATCACAGAGATTGCACTTCCAATGATTACCGTCCGGATCGGGTACTTCTTCCTCTGTTTCTTCGTTAATTGGCTGTTGAACGTTCTCTGTATTCTCGATTTCTCTAACTACTTTGACGAACGGTCTCTTTTCCGGATGTTTATCAGTAAGATGCCGCTCTACAACGTGCCTAGATGATATTTTGAGACTATCAGAAAGCATAGAAAGTGCACTCGCGTTTCGAAAAGGGAATCTTAAAACATCTGACAAGTATATTTTTTTTATGATCGATTCTTTTGATTAAATAAACAGTACCATTTTGCGACATTTGTTATTTTAATTATAAAGTAATGTAGTTATGATTACTATTAATTAGAGTAGTACTTGTCACATGTTTTAAAATTGTAACATTGCATAAAACAGACATTTTATTTAAAAAATGTAAAAATAATGTAACCACGCATGTTAGGTCACACAGTTGAACAATTATATAAATACATACAAACCTGTGATAATGATGGTGATTACAATGGGAACACTTGTAGAGTCTTGTATCATGCATTTTTAAATGAACGCCCATTTTGTCGATTGCTATATTTTGACTCTCTTGACCCGGTGGTGGTGAAGGACAATGCGGACAACGGAAATATGGTTCTTCTGAATGCAGAGCTTTCAAGTGGTATCTCAGCATCGCTTCATCCACCGTTAGATAATTACACTCGGCCACGCTGCACACGTATCTATTTGTCAGAAAGTTAATAATTGTTAAAATTAAATGTATATATGTATATAATATTTTGCAATCTCTAACTCGATATATACCTTTTATGTTCCGGTACAAACTTTGGTATGTTATCGTCTTCTTTGTTTTCTTTGATAGTTTCTTTCGACTTTCCACCCATTCGCCCGTTTTGATGCGAGCTGCTCGCCAGGTTCACCATCTTATCGAACATCTTCTCTTTCTTATCTAAACAAGGAACGGGATTGACAGGTCCGCTTTCGGGCACGGTTTGGTCTTTCGCGTGCAGTTGCAGATGTCGTATAATGTTTGTTCGAACTTTCGTCGTGTAAGGACACACAGCGCACTGGACTTCCCGATTGTAAATCGCCTGACGCGGCAATTGCTCCAATTCATCAGGACTAAACGATAACTTTTCGATATCCGTAATCTTTTCAGTCTCTTGCTCCACTCCGGATTTTGCACCTTTACGTTTTTTCCTTTTCCGTTCAACGGATCCGAAAGGCTGTAAAATTTATATACACGGGAGAATTACATAATATATATATATATATATATATATATATATATATATATATTTTTTTTTTTTTTTTTTTTTTTTTGAACAGGAATATATCTATTTAAAATTTAATATAAATAATTATTAAAATGAAAGACTTACAATTGCGTGCACGATAAAGAGACCTTCGACCGATGGATTTGTTGGATCTGCAGGAACTAATTTGGTACCGAGATGTTTATGTTTTGTCTTCATATGTGCTGTAGCTTGAGACGCGACTGCATATCTAATTTTACATAGCGAACATCCAAAACGCTTCAATCCATGAACCTTTATGTGTTCCAGAAGAAAACCAATTCTAATGAAACGTTTTTTACAATGTGGGCAAAACAAATTTCTAACAGGTTCTCCAAAATTACACTTTTTAATGTGCGCCTTCAATAAATTTGCATTTGACGCTGCGAAACTGCATTCCAGATAGCCACATTTGTACAGTTCTAGTCCAGCACGGCCAGTGTCTTTGATGTCATCTAAAGTTAAAGGTTTTTCTGATTGTACGTCTGTACATGTACTCGTAGATGCCTTTACAAATGTACTTTTATTCTCACTAGTATCGCATACTGCAAACTGCTCTTTTTTCTCAATCTTCAGTTCAATGGAAGATTTTGAATCCGCCGTTAAATGATTTGCATCCTGTTCAATGTTTTTCTTCTCTACAATTTTCTTCTCGCCAATATTCTCCAAGATCTCAATGTCACTGTCTTCCGTTTTATCCGCGGATACTGTCGCTTCATCATTAGAGATTGATGGATTGCTAGAATTAACGGCGAGAGTCTTCAAAAATTCCGGATTATCTAGAAGATTGGTGTTGACAAATTCGTCGCTGCAATTGAATTCACTCGACAATTCTGATGGATCCCGTGTACCAGAGTCATTTATGCACGACAGTCGCTTCTCTTCCTGAACAATCTGGTTTAACTTACCCTTCTCTGATCCTTGTAGGAAGGATTTATTTTGTACAGATTGTTTCTCAACAATTTTTTTACTCACATTTTCAGTGATACCAGCAGAAGACGCATCTATAGATAGTTTTTCTGAAGCATTGAAAACATTGGCATTAGTTTCCACGTTGCTCATACTGCAACTGATTTCTTTGATAAAACTGGGCACCGTAAGATTGTTTGGTGCATCAGATTGTTCCGGATTCGAAGCAACTTCTACATTTAATGAAGTTGTAGCAGTCTTTTCATGTATTGCAACTTTTGTCAAAATATTCTTTTTTGGATCGTTAACATTCAATTTGATATTTTCTTCGTCAACTCTTATAGGCTCGTCAAAAGTTCGCACAATGAGATGTGGTACAACGTCCGCATTGCAGTCTACCTACAATACGTATTTTGAATGTCAAATAAACATAATTGATGATAAATAAATCCGGCCGTTGTAATGATGTAAATAGATTTAAAATCAAAGTCATTTTAATATAACAATAATTTTTATCATTGTTGTTTAATTATAATAATTTACCGTTGGAGGAAACGTGCGCTCAAGAGTTTGTGGCAGTCGATTATAATGTAAAGCGCTCAAATGTTGGTGCATCTCGTTTAAGATCTCAGAACCATGTAAACAATATACACATTGAAACTTGGAGTACCCGTGCAACTTGTAGTGCTGTAATTAAAACAAAATAAATAATGCAATCATTTTCTAACGACAATCAGTTGAAATTAATAAGAAGGTACTTACAGACATAAATGATTTTATCGTCACGTGTACAGAACTGCACAAATGACATGTGAAGTGAGAGCATTGATGTTCCTTCAAATGCCTAACGAATGTTTCAGGTATATAAAAGTTCTTTCTGCAATCTGAAAATATTAATAATTATTCACAATAAAAGATGTTAGATATTAATTTATTATGTTAATATATTTTTTATAATATATTAAATTTTGCTTTCCAAATATATTATTACAATATTATGCAATTGTATTGTATCATATTAGAATTATTGTGATGACGTACCCTTGCATACAAATGGTTTTACAGAATCTTGACGATTAATATCTTCCTGCTTTTGGACCGGTTTAAGCATTTTACCTAATAGAAAATAAGATCTACTGCCGGGATGGCAAGTCATCTGAAAGATTTAATCCATCAGTCACAAATATATTTTCTTCTTCACAAATATTATTTCCTTCGTAAAAATTAGAATTACTTGATGTTGTTGTACGTAGGATGGTGTAATGGCCCGATAAAAGCAATAAACGCATTGATATCGACACGCACCATGTTTTTCCCATAAGTGAGTTTGCATACTAGTCCAACTGTTTAGAGACGTGTAACAATAAGCGCACTTTTCGTAATCATATGGTTGTACGCTGTTGTTATTCTTGCTGGTCTCATTGCAGTGTTGCTGATAATGCTGAGAATATAGTGACATGGAGTCGGTTGTGTAATGACAATCGCGACCCATACACTTGAAGAAATGAACTAGTTTTGTTTCTGTCAGCATCGCCGCGTATGCTTCCACGGATTTTACTTTCGTTGGAGTAGAGGAGGAGATCGGCACATCCTTAGACATTGTGATTAGCGGCATAGGTGTTCGCACTACCTTCAGTATCTTTAAATTTGGCGAATTTGATGAGACAGTTACTTGTCGCACCTTTGGGGCAATGGGCACAAAATTTGTGGCTGGACGGTGAGTGCTGACGAATTTTGTCGAGGACATTGATGGACTCTTGACTGGAAACAACGTCACATGTTCCGATGTAGTCGGTTGAATACTCTGAGCTTTTGCTAGAGATTGCGATATAATGTTCAACTTCTTTAATATTATAGGTTGATTGGATTTCCTTAGGATAGTAGGTATCCCTTTACTTTTTGGAGATATCTCCACTGCTTTTCTGATGTCATTTATCTAAGAATCATACAATAATAAAAAACTGTAATGATGATACATTATTATATTCAACTTATATCATTATTAGTTTATTATTATTATATTATTCTTATTGTTAGATATTCCCCACTTACAATAAGATTTTCACTTCCAGTATTGTCGGATCTGGGTGCGAGGCTAATTACGTTTTCAATCTTCAAAAACGAACACTCTTCCTCCGTGTTAGCCTGCGACGCATCTATCGCGCTATCTGATTGAGTTCCATCTAACAATAAAATAATTTGAATCATTATAATATAAATAATATATACATGTATATCTTTATTAAATATATTAATTGATAAATTTCTCTAAAAATTTAATACATTCTATTCTTAAGGACTCTATCATAACGTATAAATGCTTCGATCACTCGCCTGTCCTGGAAGCTCGTGTGTCCTCTTGATTATCCGACTGTACCGGCATAGATAGCATGTCACCGCTCAGTCGTCTGAACCTGATGAAATTCTTGGGTGGACTACCATCACCGCACAGCATCGATGTTTCTTTCTTCGACAAATGCTCATTTGATTCTTTCGTCAATAAACGTTTGGCAGTTGCGAGCGGTACGACATCCGGTGGGTTCGGAATCGATGACATAGGCTCGCTCTTAATCTCTACTTTAATGTCGAGTATCGGTTCGGGTACCGGTTCTAGTGGTTTGACATTCTGAAGCTGTGCGGCCAGTCTCTGAATTGTTGTCAGCATCGGATCCCGCGACGACGCGTTCATACTCGATGTCTCTTTCAGGATCGTGTTGACGTCAGTCGGTAGCTCGGAATCTGATTGTTCGCTACTGGAATCCGATTCAAAGATCGGCGCCGAACGCTCGTTGTCACTGATTTCGCCATCACTCTCAGCGCCCTTCTTGCACGGATCCATGATTGCGAGAGGATCTCGAATCTTTATTCCATCTGTCTTGTCGCTCGTCGTCTCTGGTTTATCAGTAACTGGCTGTTCTTCCGTGGAAGAAGAAGGATCTTCGTGTCTATTCGGTTCACTCAATACATTCTCCTTAATAATTATATTGTCCTCGGGCTTTACAGATTCTACGGTAGAATTCGTAAGAAGCAATGAAGAATTTTCTCTTGTCTCCGGAACGTCCGCCACTGAGGAATCGCATTCGGGAACAGGACTAACGACCGCGTCCGTACGCATCTTGTCCTGTAGTTTGTCTATTATAGACAAACCTGGTTTAGAATGGTTGTTTAAAATACCGATATTATGGGCAATTTCCTGCATCATCTTCTGCCGTTCCCGCTGTATTTCATCTTCTTTATTTTCCAATTCAGGCGGGCAAACAAATACGCTTAGATTACCGGTGCTTACCGGCCCTTCTGGTTCTTCTTGGGACACTCCTGACCTTTCTCCCACTTCTTCATCCTTGATGTCAATTGCTTCTTCCGTTTTTGGCTCATGTAGAATATATTCTTCAATATTATCATTGTCGTTTTGAGATACTTCCCTTACAACATTCTCTAGCACATCTTTGTGTTCCACGTCTTCGAGTTCAGAAATTTTCGGCTTCGTTTCTACGACGAAAGATTCTTCCACATTAACGGAAGTTGGTTCTCGCGATATCTCATCGTTGTTACTCGCTACATTCTCGACGCTCGCAGACATATTAATCTTCAAGATCTCGATATTCATCTTAGTATCTCGATGCCAAAATATAACGTGGGCTTCCACATTCTGTCGCTTTAGTTGGACGTAATTGCAACCGCGACATAAATAGCCGTAGATGACGCCTTCCCGCGGCACTTCATCTTCGGTTGCAGCCTCGTTGAATGTGTCATTGTGCTTACGACACATTTTATAATAATGTGTTCTCATAGACGCTTTAGCCACCGCTTGATAAGAACAACTATTGCACTGGAATCTGTATTCGCCTGTGTGCGTGGTACAATGCTCGTAAAAGGCCTCAAGCGCGACGTCCGCCGCACCTTCTGTGACATAGTAACAGAATCTGCAACGGAACTTGCATACCTGATTCGTTGTTTCTATTGCGGATGCTACGGTCGCGCTACTCTCTAAAATCGCGGTTTCAGCATTCGTCGGGCTAAGACGCGCAATTAGCACTTCTCGTCCAAGATGATTCATTTTGTAATGGTGAACAATGTTTTTACCCGTGAAGACGCACAACAGGCATTTATACTTGTCCTGGCCAGTCCATATGTAATCCATCAGTTGCTTAATCTCAATCCTGCAAAACAGCTCCTCGATCTGCTCATCGTAAACAATCTTTGATGTTTCTTTGCAAAGTGTATTCGTGTTAGCATTCGGTGGCGCGATGACAGCTTGTGTTGTACTTGCTTCTTCCGTCTCCATCTTTATTGTAGGCTTAGTTTCCTCGATGGAAATAAGCATATCGTTCGAAAGTGCTTCCTTAATTGCATCCAAAGACTCTGTTAATGCCAAGTTTAACTCGTTATAATCTATATCAAAATTATCTGTATTTATAGGTGGTTTAATTTCACATTTTACTAGAGAATCTGCATTTGTATCGTTTACAGTATGATTATGCTCGGAAGGTTTATCTATCGTTTTGTTATCTTCTGATGTTGATCGATTACTTTCAGTATCCATTGAAACATTATTTTCAGTATTTGTCTCCTCGGTTGTTTGAGCGGTTTTAGAGGAAGCAGTTTTCTTTCTCTTTTTCTTAGATACTATTCCCATCTGCCAGCTAGATTTCTTTTTTTTCTTCTTTGTCGAAGTCTTTCTCGCATTCGTCTCAGTGATTGATGGTTCAGTTGTATCCTCGTCGAGATCTGCTTCGTTACCCTTGTCAGTCAGCGATGTATTCTTCTCTGTTGTTGCTGGTACCAGCCCGACTAGGATATTGCTCAACAGCTCTTCTCTAGTAGATGTTCTAGCTGCGCCACCGCTCGTTCTTTTTCCAGCAATTGTGCTACTCGACATGGAAGTATCCGATAGTACGCTTTCTTCATCCGTAAAGGACATTCCATCTTCGTTATCGTTAAGCAAGGACGTCTTTCTCGATTTCGAATTTCGTTTATTCATGTTTTTGCCGATTTGTCGTGACCTTAAACTCGCCGTCGTATCTTCTTCTGAATCCTGATCGGACTGTTCTGGCTGAAGAGAGACATCTACCGCTGCAGCTAATTTAGACACATCTATTCCGAAGCTCTCATCGGATGAGCTATCAAACATAACTTTAGATGAGTCTACCTTTGCGAAATCCGTCTTTTCTACGATCACTCGTGGTTCCTTCACAACATCTTTACGCAAGATGCGTTTAGATCTACGTAGCGAATCATTGATTTCCTCGCTGCAATCTTCTTCTTGATTCGGCGTTTTATTATCACCGGTATTCAATTTCTCAGTCCGCAGAGCCAACGGTTGATCCTCCTCACTTTCAGAACTAAGAATAGATTCTTTAGCACGTAAATTACGAGTCCGTTTAATGTCCTTCTTATTCTTGACTTTCGATTTACTCGACTCTCTAATATTGCGAGATCTTAAAACTTTCTTCGATTTGTTCACTACCGCTTCGATACTCGACTCCGCGACTTTCTTTTCAGCTTCAGACCCTTTATCCTTCTTAGAACTCGTCGACAGTGTGCCTGGAGTTATCCCCGCGACTGACTGATCTTCCTTCAAAAATCGACACATACGATGACCTGTCGCTGTCACTACGCCTTCGCTAATAAACATTTCTCTGATATCTTCTTGCAACATTTCCAGAGAATTTCTTCTCTTCGTTTTTACTTTTGGTTTATCACTAGAAATTTCATCAGTTTGACCATCCACAATATCAGAAACAGATTCCGCGCATTCTGTTTGATCTTTATTTTGATCCAACGAACGTTCCATGTTATTTTTATCCTTGGATTTTTCTATAGATTCTATAGGTTCTATAGATTTTTCTATAGATTGATTGACTTTATCTTCAGCGTGTTTCTTCGCTTTATCATCACTTTCTAATCGACTATTTACTTGTTTATTATTTTCTGATTGAAGATCAATCTTTTTAGTACTATCTTTTAACCGATTATTCTCTTTATTACTTTTCTTCTTTGTTCGTGCGTTTTTATTCTTATTATTGTCATCTATTTGACTGTCACGCTTTTCGTCATGATTTCCTGATAAGCTATTATTTTTATCGACAGTAACATCTTTAACTAACTCTTTATTTACATTATCAGATACTGCTGTTTCATTTTTCTCTTCCAAATTTTTAATTTTTTCCGTTGCAGAATTTGATTCTTCCGTTTTCTCATTGCTTGCATCAAAACTAGTAGTTAAAACTCCAAGCCTTTCTGCAAGACACTCATCATCCGAACTATCCGACACGATTACTCGTCTCTTTTTCTTAGTTGAAGTCTTCTTCGCTTCAACCTTAGTTTCATCTTTATCTGAGTTGCTTTCAGATTCAGACTCGATAATCTTCTTGATTTTTTTGAGCTTCTTCGTCTCCAACGCTTCTCCAAGTTTCTGTATTAGTTTAGCCTGTTCAAATAATTTCTTTCCTTCACCGGATTCGAATGATTTCCTGATAAGCGCCTCGATCCACTCCTGTGTTACCTCTTCCTTAGATTTCGAGTCGTCCGCTTCTGCTTCGTTTTTCTTGCTTTTTTCCACATCATTCAATTTGGAATTGCTCGTCACCGAATCTGCTTCACCAATCTTCACCTCGTTCTTATTAGTTTCTTCGACGAGAGATGAGGCAACTTCTCCCTCTTTTGCAGCATTATTTTGCTTGGATTGTACCATTACGTGACTGGTATCGCTACTGCTGCTTACTTCGGCACTTGCATCATCCTTGCTTGTACTCTCAAAACGTGAGTTTTTATTTCTTTTCTTATTATCATTTTTTGTACGCGACAAACTACACGAGATGTTTTCAGTTTCTTTTGTCTTGTTAGAACAACTCGATTGCGGTGGTTCGGATCGCTTAATTTTGGGAATCTTAAATTTTTGCAAACCGGTACTTTGATTGGCCTTCGTATCAATCACGCCATATAAACTCTCTAACGGTGATTGCATTCTGTCTTTCGGCAATTTATCTATTTTCTCTTTTTCAGGTTCCGACTTTTGCGATTTTGTTTTTCCTTTTGTTTTTATGATCGTCGGACGTTTCCTAGGATCCTTTTCGTTTTGAGTTGCTTCTTTGGCTTTTGTTGATGTATTCACGTGTTTATCTTTGGCAAGACGTGGATCTCTAGCGGAACCGCCGGTTTCTTTGGTCTGATTCAAGCTCGTCGTATTGTGCTCCGTACGAACGCGTGGATCTCGATTCGGAAAATTATCTCGCGGCCAATCGGGTCGACGATTGAAACCAGGCCTCACTTCTATCCTATTCTTTTCATAATATCCATCTCGTCCACGACCTATATTACATCTGTCCCGCGTGCCCCAAGGATATGGTGTGCTAGGCCGCGGATATGAAGTTCCTGGGGAATTTTCCGTGACTTGAATTCCACAAGGAATCACATTTTCACCCGTTCGGTTAACAGGCGCCTCCCAATTTGGTCTCACGTGAGGATATTCTGTTGATCTGTCGACAGTGAAAGCTGGGTCATAAGATCCTGGAGCCATTGGAAAGCCTCTATATTGCGAAGCGACCGGAAACGTCGGGGAAGACATTAAAGGAGGCAGATTCTCCCGAATATTTTCTGGTCTTGCGGTTACGTGATTCATATCTTGCGATCGCACGGCGGGAGTTATTAATGGTCTGGGACCAGTCGGAAACTGATTCGGCCTAAATTGTAATTCCATCGGATGTTGATAAGGATGCTGTGAAGATTGTAAAGATGATTGGGCTATTCCACCATATGCAGGAGATGTCCACTGTGCGTTCCCAAATGCATGGTCATTGGTGGTGATCGGGGTAGGTTGCCAATGCATTTGATTAACATGCATGTTGTAGTAGTCAGTACCTTCTATTATAAATTCGCTCTCCGATCTAGACGGAGCCGTATCCTTCCGTCCTTCTGGTGGTAAGTTTGAACGTCTCTGATATAATGGAACGTTTCTTTCGTCCGATTTGTTTGCAATATTATGATAAAGAATTGATATTTGAGGTGATGTTTCCTCAGGAATGTTGGAACCAGCAGCTAACTTATCTTTGGCGCTTTCATGACCGTGAGAGTCGCGTTGTCGTGGATGTCTCTCGTAGTTATCTGCGTAACGTGGCTCTTGAAACTTGGAATTTGAAAAAGATGTTTGCGGTCGGTGATCGTTCAATTGATGAGACGGTCCTTTAATCTCGCTCGATTTTACACTCGAGGGTCCTGCTGCATTCGGCAAGCATTTTCTAGGAGTGATTTTAGTTGTATGCTTGTCCACTTCCTCTGATCGCTTCTCGTTTTCTCTATCCGACAGCAGGGGACTTTTCGATACCTTGCCATCCTTGGCCACTTCTTGTTTGTCTGAATCTTTTTTTTGCTTCGTAACATTGTCATTCGCCTTATCACTCCTTTTATCGTTGTCGCTTTCATCGTTTAACAACTCCGCTAAATCTTCCATGGATAGCGGGGGCTCATTCGAGAGAGGTGGTGGCGAAAACAGAAGTGGTATCGACGACGGTTTTGACGACGGTTTCGACGACAACTTCGATGATGTGTTATGATTATCTTTTGGTCTGGGTGATGTAATCGTAGGTTTCGCAAATAGTATCTCAGGATCAGGAGACTTGAGTCTCACCTCGGGAACATTGACGGGTGATTCCGATCTAGAAGAATTGTTGTCGGCTATCATATCTAAATGTAGCTTATTCTTCTCTAGGACTGATGTTAATCGCCTAGATCCACCGAGAGAAGGCACCGGAACGGTTGGTATGTCTTGCGAATCCAAGGCGTAGTTTCTGCCATCGTTGACTTTTTGCGGCAGATTATTACTGATCAATTTTGCCGCAGTTGCTACATCATGACCAGAAGTAACTTGCGAAGATTGCCGATCACTTCTGTTTTTTGTAACAGTATGCCTCTCTGATTCTTCCAGCATATCCCATTCGGAGAAAGAAACATCTTCTGGATTAGAATCTGTCGGCGACGAAATAGTTATTTCTTTCGTGCGATCCGTAAGCGTTATAACTGGTATTTTACGAAATTGTCGTCGTCTTTTCGAGGACAAGTCCGCATTGCGCTCCGTAGGAATTATTACAGGCAAAATTTGACAATCAGGACTGGAGGATCTGATTGTATCCGGACTCGCCGGTGTTTCTTCGATTTCTATATCCTTATCCATGTCTTGTCGTCCCGCTTTCTTATATTGATCTGATTTTTCCGATGAACTAAAAGTCACGGAGGAATTCTTTCTTTATATAATATTTCTGATACTTATTACGGATTTTAAGAATACGCTAATCAAAAAATTTTGACTTAAACATTTTTTTTTACAATTGTCTGCTCTTCTTTCTCATCTTTTTGTAATTTTCATACAAATATAACACTTACGTCGAAGGTTGCGGCATGGTACCGTCATTTTGTTTGGTTGGTAATTGCAAGCCAGGTGTGTTTCCCTGAAACTCGTATCGAATTAGAATGATTAAAATATAAAGATCAAACATGCACTACGGAAGCCTGAAAATACACAAAAGTAAACAATGCAAACAAATAATATTACAAATGAAGAACCAAACATTTAATATCAAGCGACTACAATTCTAGAGAAGAGAGAGGAAACTTGTTTATAATTCTATATTTTCATTGTGTATTGTTATTTATGCGGTGCATTTCAAAACATAAACAAGTGCTAATTTCCAGAATCCTTCTTAAACTGTACACATGATAGATGTAGATGACATAAAGATATTCAATTGTGTAATATGTCGTAATGAAAATACCGTAACATTTTCGAAATAAAATACAGTGATATTATACAGTATACATATGACAGAAACATTACATTAAATTAGTATATACTATTTTGCACTATTTCGTATCATTTATTGAGAAAACGAAGAGAAAAATAGTGCGGAAATAATATATATAAAATATGCTGTTCAAAACAATCACATCGTTTCCTCAACTATATACATTCATGAATGTATATGTAATCTAATAGTTTTACATTTGCATTTTTTTAACGTATAGAATTTTAATGAATAAGTATAATTTCTGAATTTTCTTTCTCAGTGAGAATATTTAAATGTATGCATAAAATATTTTAAAAAATTATTTTTTAATTGTTTTGTGCAATGCTTATAATAAAATATATGCAAAAATATAATAAAATTATAATATGTACAAAAGAACAAAAGCAAAATATAATTAGACATATACAGAGTGTCCTAAAGTTTATATTTCCAATATTTAAGAACGTAAATATAAACATAGACTTGGTTAAAATTTTTAGAACACTCTATATACTTCAATAAGCTTATATTCATCAACTGAGATAAAATTATCATGTACATGTATTCGAACTCAATGTGCTTATTTATAACATGCATGTGTCAGCATATCTACCTTTTCTACTCTATTGTGCAATTTCTGCAAAACATCCTCGCATCGCTGCAATGTCTCGATTTTCAGCCTGTTCCATCAATAACATTTTTAATTAAAGAATGTCTACACTACAGTATCATATTTTTCATATAGTATTAATTTTTTACAATTATATACAAAAAATAAATCATAAATTATACAAGCAAAATTCATACAATAAACTATAAATAATACAATTTTGTATCATTTTTTTAATCCAACATACCTTCGTCTGCTATTTGACAAAATCCCGTGTAAACTTTGCATTTTTTGCAATTGAATTTCTCGATTATCCTTATCTTTAACGTTTTCTAATCTTTCAATCATCGCTTCCAAAAATGGAATGTATTTTTGCATTTCTGCAAATTTCTTGTCGTATTCGTCCATCCTGTACTTTGTTTTTGGTCAACCTGCAGACAGAAAAATTGTGCTATTTTTTTATAACTATATATTTTTATTTAACTTTATATATTTTATATTATATTACAACAACATTTTGTCATGTTACAGCCGTATGTTCAAATTTTTAAATAAATAATCTTGTTTATATTTTCTAAAAATTGTCCCACAAATCATTGGTGGATGATTTCAATGAGAGTGAAACAAAAATGAGAAGAAGTGAGATGCGAAATTTTATGATTTTAACAAACTTTGACTGTGTTTAATAACGCTGACTCTCGACTTTAGATAAAGCTTTCGAGAAATTTTTGCATGTTCGAAAAATGAAGGAAAAACTTGTAATATTTTTTAATCGAACGAAATTTTTTTATAATGAAAACATCCTTTCTAGACATTTTTCAAATTTCTTCATAAAGATTTTTTGTAAAATATAAAATCACGAATCCAAAATTTGATTTAACATTAATAAATTACAGTACCTTGAATTTGCGTATTTGTGTAATGACAGGGAGAAAAAATATTTCCTACAAAAAAGGAAAATGCAAAATGCTAACGAAAATTTCTTAAAATTGTGACACCATCTTTGACAATCTATTCAACTAGTAAAACACTATTCAAGGATGGATAGAACCATCAATACGGAGTATGGATTGTACCATCCATGTGTAAAAGTCGTTAAAAGAGAGAAAGATGGAACGTGAAGACGGTTAATTCTGTCAATTTTTGTTCAACGCTGTAATATTGGTCAGAAAGAGAGAGAAACAGGTAGCAGTTTTTACGTTCTCCCCCCCCCCCCCTCTCCCTTCCTCCTTCCCATTTTGCTGATCACATTTGATACACTTTAAATACGGATGGCACAGTCCATGCTCTATGTCTATGGCTAAAGCATTCATCATTTATCTCTCTTTCTTTCTTTCCACTTTCCTCTTTCCCGCTGTTCCTGCTTTCTCTTTATCTTTATTGAAGTGAGGACGATTATGTTTTATTATACAAGATATTTTTATAATATATCTGTACAGTGTTTTCAATTTTATGTACAGTAAATTCTCTTAAACATACTTACATCGATATAATTGCCATTGTAAAGAATGGTATGTAAAATTCTAATCATCGTAACTTGGTGAAAATACATGATTAATTAATTTCGTTATTATTTAAATAATCGTCTGTTTCATTTTTTGAATACGAAAGAATAAAATGTATATTCTTTAGTATTAATGCAATGTTGAAAACAATTTTTAAAATTTTTTACAAACTATTTCATAATCTTTTGCTGTCGCAAAGTATCTCAAATAAATCCATTTTTAAGCGATTATGCTACAAGGTCAGTTTTTATAATATTCTCTTTGGTCATTTGCTCTATATCAATCTCTTGAAAAATCGACAGATATTGCTGCGTTGCTTTTATTTTTATTAAATGCGATTGTGTTCATTTCTGTCTATTTATTATAGTGTAGTAAATATTGGTGTAATATTCATTGATGATTCTTTTGATCTTCGTGCGTTGCCATTTATTTAAAAATCTTCATTGAAGTAATAAAAGAAACACATTCCACAATTCTATTCCTTAAAATGCTTGGATCATAAAAATACAACAGCAATGCTAATAAAATATGTATTGTAATGCACCGAGATTATTATTTGTTATTAATATAGATCATACTCTTGATGATACACATAATTAAACAAACTATCGTGCAATATTGATAAGCAACTATGTTTGTTTAATATGAATATATATTTTATAGTAATCAAGCTATTTAAAATTTGTGTAATACTGTTTCTTCCTTTTTTCCAGTTCTCTTTTGTTTCATTCATACTTTGCTTCGTTGCTGGCGATAGAATAATAAAATTTCTACGTGATTTCACACAGTAATTGAGTAAACATTACTCTTTATCCAAACATGCAAGTTCCACTTGAGTATATTTTCTTAGAGTTTCTTTTATATATGCACAGAGTTGAAAGGCCGAGAACGTCCTTCGAGACGAGCGTCCAATCTTCGTCAAAGGGCTGAATGACGATGCCGCACTTCGACCAACGCATATACTTCACTGACGATCGATTATTTTCCGACGATTCTCCGCACTCTTTGTCACCGCTGTTGTTCACAACATATATAGGGTGAATCATAAGTCATGCGCTACATTGGATTTTAAAAGAATGTAATATTTTTTCGCAAAATAGACTAATTGTAAAATTTGGTTGAATTTTTACCATAATGGATTTACAAAAGTCTTATTCTTAATATTTGCTTGTTAATCTCAAAACTGTTTCCTCAAGACGATTTTGTAATTTATAAATTATATTTTTATAACTTATATTACAATCAATGTTAAATTACAACAATTATTCACACAAGTTAATATATCGTCGTTTATAATACGACTACGTATGCTCAAAAAATATACATATTATTATGTATAATTTTTTCTAAGAAAATATTAAAATCATTTTTCCAAATTTTATATATTTTGCAATTCGTGACTTGTAAAACACTGTATATAGTAGTACACGCAGTCGCATTAGGCTTACGCACTAACGTAAGTAATACGATATCCCTAGTTTTGCTGTAATAAATGTAAACTTTTCCACCATAGCTAATCATGATGGTGTTACATAGTGTAAGGAGACGAATATTGATCCAATCAACCCCTTTCCCACGCAGTGCGCTGGTGTTAAATAAAAACGATATTTCGGTGTTTAAGAATAGTTGAATTAACACAACATTTTTTCTATAATTAGAATAATTCGAGCAATATATTATATTCTTTTCGGATTATAAGCCGATTATAAAAAAATGGATTATAAAAAAATATCGTTTGTTCAATTTGATCGTGTATAAATAATATATAATTTTTAATTTGAAAAAAGAGAGAAATAATTCTCAATAATGTTACAAATATTACTTGCAAATATTGTTGAATAAGTTATTATGAAAATCATTTGCTGTTTATTCAAGTGATATATATATATATATATATATATATATATATATATATACACACACACACACACACACAATATATCAAAACATTGTGGAAGAAGACACTATAAATCAACACATACTTAACATATTGATTAAAAACTTATTGAATATGTACATATTAAAACTTATTGAATATGTACATATTAAAACTTATTGAATATGTACATATTAAAACTTATTGAATATGTACATATGTGTCTCTAAACAATTTAATTTTTATAAAAATAAAAATATAACTTATAACAATATTTTATAATGTTTAAACTCAATATTTTATAAACTCAATATTTTATAAATTTAATAAATTATAAAATGTTTTAGAATATTCAAGTTTGATATTCAAGTTTGTTGCAAGTAGAAAAAAAACCAATATAACACACATACATACATATCACATATAACATTATATTATACGCCTACGGCCATAATTTATGGCCATTAATTTGTGGTAATAAGGTATATATGTGTAGGACCGTATAATACATTCCGAAACGTTATTAAACTTGCGCTGAATTGTCATACAATATTGCGTAAAATGTAATAAATATAATACGCGTTCTTCAACAGCATACAATACATTTGAAATTTGTTACTTCTTGTCTAACTTCTTAACAAATTTCTATTTCTTCCAGTCTGAATTATCTTCAACAGAATTTTTATTTCGAATTCACAAAAATATTACGTCTTAAGATATTTCATCTTAAAATTGGAAAATACTCGACGTCCATTTGTATTCTTAGCATTTCTAAAAATTCGTATATCGTTTAGTTTTGCGACTTTACGATTGTGATTTGTGGTTTTACCCATGTAAAATCACGTGAATTCCATGATATTAAACACTGATACTGAAACTTTGTTATTTGAAAAATTTACACTTTTCACAATTTTGCACTTTTTTTTATGATAAATACACTTATGTTTTTAAAACACTCACATTGTTCACAGTAAATGAACGAAAATTTATTAATGCAAACTGAGCACATTTTTACACACACATCAATCTGAAATAAATCTGTAATTAAAAATTTAAATTTAAATAAATTTAATGTTTTATGATATATTTTACAGAATTTCATCATATCTTCAAAAATTTGTAATAGTATCATATAGTTTTCTTCAAAGATCATACTTAATACACATTTTTATATTTCAGAATGGAACAAATGATGACCGTTTATGGAAATAACATGGAGATAAATTCAGCATACATAAAAAAATGAGAACTCTTTGTAACTTTCCATGTTCGGCCATTTTAAAAGCCATTTTAATACGCATATTTGATCTCAAATGGAATATTCCAAAGTTGAAGAAAACTGAAGTTATTGTGGAAGAAGATTCTCTATTACAAAGTTAGAGAAATATTGGATTTAAAAGACAAAGTATACGATATAAATCGAAAAAGAGAAACTAGTCATTCTAAGCTATTAGCAAAATTCCGAATATCGGTTGGAAAACTAAGATGGCAAACTAAGGTTGAAACCAAAGTCAACCAAGTTTACACTTGTCAAGTTTATACAACTTGAGTATGTCCAAAAGATGCCTTCCAGAAGTGCTGACCGGAATAAAAATATATTCGCCTTCGAAAATTACGTGCGAAAGATAAAACGCAAATTGGTATAAGAGGCATATATTCACTCACGATTCCCATTCAGATTGCCAACGAGGCAGTTAATTGTGAAGTATATTCACATACGTACCAATGTCCAAAATTCTATCAAAATTATTCAGCGTCACTAATCGATCTGTCAGCACTCTACACTATAAAGGTATTCTATTAAGATATCGCGTCGTAAATTGCTGTATGTCTAATAAATCGTAATTTTACGATCTAGAAAAGTAGGAAGGCAAAGACCAAATGCAATGGATGAAACAGTTCAATTTTGCCAGTAGGCAGCGCAATATTCGCTATGGCGGCGCCACTTGGCTGAGGCCAAGACCTCTAGCTTTCCGCTTGGAAACACGGGCTAATAAAAGTAAGTTTCGTCCATGAACGATATAATACATAGGGACTCCGCATATGCCCAAAACGAATAATCTCCGCAGATAATTTATTGTCTTTTCCTGCGCAGATGAATCACAAAAAAATAAAAAGAAAGAGAAAGAGGAAACGAACCTCTATTGTCACTCTCTTTCTAGATGTTAGTTTCACTCAATTAGGTAGCAAAATAAAAGGCAAGCGGAATCCATATATACTGCGTCCATGATTTCGTCAGTCATGGCTCGTAGCATGACTATTCAGCAATTTAGATAGAAAAAATACATCGTGAAGTTGAACTATATCAGAATATATCCAGAATATATCTAAAAAATATAAAAGTGCTTATAAGATTTATTCGTTATGATGTGATTATAATAAAAACTACAATTTGCTTTCTGTGACCGAAGTGATAAGAAAACCGAAAAGATATTTATAGATTCGAAAACTTCGACAAGCTCGAAAATATACAACAGAAATGTACAAAAAATCCATTGTTTAAATACTTATCAACAAATTTATCGCTAATGAATTTTCGACATGTTGCAAATTAACACAAATAGTTTGTGTTAATCTCACACATTTCATTTTGAGAATTATTTAAAAGTACATTTTAAAAAAATTTTTTGAGGCATTTTAAAAGTATATAAATGTTTTGAGATATATTTAAGAAATTTTCTGTATAATATTCAATGTAAAAAAATTGAAATTCGATTTTTTAATCCTAAATAAATTTTTAAAAATACCTCAAAGTTTTCTTAAATTATCGTGGAACGTTGAAGTGTATAGTATAGCGATTATAGATTTAATACAGTCTGTCACACTCTTGAAAATGATTATGGTCGACAATACGTCATTCGTTACGTAAATTGTGACACTAGTGAAACATTAATAAAAGAATATATTACACATATATATGAAAATCGGTTCCTTCTTATGCTTCATGCAATGTATAAATATGGCATAAGATAAAAGACATCATCGCCTTTCCTATAGCAAGAATACAATAGATCTTTTATGTCGGAATACGGACTACGAGTCGTATTCGTGTCACACAATGGCGACTCCATTTAACAATTGGACTTCTCTCTAAATCAGCGATATAAAACTCGACCGAAAATTATTTCATAACGCGAAAATCCTGAATTTTATTAAAAATCTACATTACAAATATAAAAAAATTAAGAGATACTAAGAATCTATTTCACGGAGAAATCTCAGTTCGATTGTATCCCATATAAGAAAATTACAAATTATGTATAAGTAATTATGTATAATTGTATAATTATGTATAAATTATGTATAACAAATTATGTATAATTAAAAATTACAAAACTCTATCATAATCAACCCGATCGCTAAATTAGCATAAATTACAAGTAGCGCGAACCGAAATCGTGAAACGAATTCAAGTAATCCATAATAATATTAAGATCCAATGTCTACAAAAAGCATCAAGAGATACAAGAGAGACACGATTTTATTTTTGCGCACCTGATAAATCATTACAATCGGAGGAATCAGCCGGCTTTGCATCGATCGTCTCCTATTTCTCGTTACGATCCTGCGTCCCTAGTGTTCCAGTCTTCTCTCTCCCTTTCTCTCTCTCTCTTTACTACGCGCAACTGTGCAGATCGCAAGGTTTCATCGACTCTCCTTTCGCTTTGCGCTTCGGCATACAAAATTACACCGCACACAATGTCGCGATTACTTGGCGGCACTAAATCGCCGCAGGCGATTTCCTTTTTTCGAGCTTCTTGCAGCGCTCTCTACAGCCGTGTGCAACGCCGTGTGGGAAACTAGAGCGTCGACGAAGCAACAACAACGCGATGACGATGAACTCGTTTTGTGTCAGGCACTCGCTGCACATCGATGAGAAGATTGTCCGTTGCCGCTACGATCTTTCGATTGCACGATTATAAACGCACATCGTTTAGGATTAATCGTACCCAATTCCTTTCCCATCAATATTAGAAGATTGCCAATCGTTGTTCCAGAGCTAGCGATTCAAGCTGCCAGTTTAATATTATTATGCCAGAATAACATTCTTATACGAAACACTTTCGCTCTCTCTATCCACTTTATCAACTTTCGAAAGGTTTGTTGTATTAAATAAAGTCATACATGATATCTTTGCATATTATCTTGCGTATTGTTGCACATGTAATTTTTCCTCAGTTCAGGTCATATTTGCTAGCATTTTTAAATAATTTTTCTTTAATCTCGATTCGTATATAAAAATTCCCCGGTGAATAATGTAATTACACCCCTAGGGGGAAAAACACAGCAAAGCTCGCGAAGAGGCGCAAGTCAGATTGCGGATGAGCGACGCAAATTCCTATTGATTTGTAATACAAGGTTGACGCAATGACTTCCTGCGCACAGCTGACGAAGTTCCATTGACATTTCACCTGGAATGTCTCACTCTACGCTCTCGTTGGAGCTCGGAAAATTATCATCGCTCATGCTCGAAGCGCATTCGTAAAAAATACACTACACTACATACACAATTAGACACTATTGTTAGACGCACAATTATTTTCGCTTTTAGTTAAATTTGTAATAAATAACAATTTTCTCCTATAATTATTACTGTCAATTTCAGTAGAATCCTATTATAAGCAACGAACAGTAAAATCTAAGAAACTCGATTATCGCATAAGAACCGTTATATACGTTGCCGTAAAAAGACGCAGTCCCGGTCCATTGTCTGTTACCTTGCCAGATGTCGATCAGGTACCTCGATAACCTCGTCCTATTCCGGCCAATCGCAGATCGTTTCGCTTAGAAATCATCTCAAACACAATGTGCTTCTTCTTTCAGCTACATTATTCGTTCTTACCACTCGTCCAGGTCCGTTACGCTCCGGCGTATCGATGGGAGAACAAACTACGTCTATATCGTCTTGCCTAGAATTGTTAGAAAGCGATCAGCTATTTCTTAGAAAAGTCACTCGTCATAATTGTTTCTACGGCTCGCGTATATTTATTCGACATCGATTCCAACGAGCGTTCGGGTGTCGAAGCAAGGGTAAGAGCATCGAAATGCGTGCGTAGGACGAGTCGTCGAGTTTAATATCTCGCATCACTTTGCACGTCGTTGTCGCGCCAAAAGTATCGAGACTTTGTTCCGAAGGGAAACGACGACTACGATGGTAGATCGCTTAGACGTTTGGCGCAGTTATGGTGACGCGTTGTTCGACGATTCGTACATTACGTCACGAATGGTTCCGCTAAAGCGATCGACGAGGCGTGCGGAGTCCCTGGCTCCGAGAATCCGATCCGGAGTCCCGTTGGATCCCGCGAAATTCCTCGCGCTCACGACGAACAAAGGGCGGATCAAGGGCGCCAAGGACCGATAACAGCGGTATCGCACGGAGCACTGCGTGAGAGGACAATTCATCATCATTACATATACGCGTATATGCGCATCTCGAAAAGCCAGCGACACGCACAAAAATCATCTCTTTCTCTTTCTCTCTCTCTCTCTTTCTCTTTCAATCTCCATCAATCTCCCCGTACAATTGTCTCTCTTCGAGACCGTCCCTTTGTCGTCGCTCGCGACGGGACGCTCCTCGCTCCCCGTCTCCTCGTCGCCCGCGAGACGAGCTAATCGTTCGCGTTCTAATTGCGAGGGAGTTAATCGAAGGACGCGCGATGCCTTACGCAATGGCCGTCGTGTACATGGCGCCGCAACAAAATCATAGTTTCTATCATTGTCCTCTCCTGCCTCCCGCACGCGGCCCTAATGTCCGCGATGCGCATTCTACAATCGCGACGTCCAATCGAGCCTCAATTTCGCGCTCGATCTCGACGCTCCCCCTCACCTCACTTCACTCGCCCATCGGGTCGTCGCATCTCCCAATAACGAGCATGTGTACAATATAAACCATATGTACAACGTACGCATTCTATCATTTCTCGGATAGAGCGGATCATTCGCCGCCAGCTACTCCGAGGAAATCGATTCGCAGGAAAGGAGGGGAGATTCGAGAGGACCTCGCAGGCTCGTAGAATGTACGCCGATAAACGAGGGCAGCCCTTTCATCTCGCTACGATTACCGTTCAAGTCATCCAAAAAAGGCCTCTCATTCAAACATTTACTCACCACTCAGACGCATAGCGTGACTCGCAACATGAAGACACGCGGATGGTCGCTAAACGACGCTGGCTTCCTAAAACCGGGATGGCTGCAGGGTATCACGACAATAAAAACGATAAAAACTCGCTCGGAGGAAGAGGAAGAGGCGAGAAAAACGATCTCCCGCGAGTGTATTTGGCTGCATACGGCCAGAAGTCTACGAGAGAGAGGACGGAAGGGAGAGAGGGGAGAGCAGGGACATGTTCACGCGAGATATGTACCTCTCGATCTTGTCGACTATGTTCAAGCTGGTCGCGGAATCTAACCTCCTCGACGAATCCCCATCGTGTTTATCGAAAATCTTCTCAAATCTTTCTCTTGCGCAAGATTCGCGGAATGAAACCCTCGCTCCTCCCATCCCTCGTGTCACGCGCGTCGCGCACCCGACGACGGCGATTCCTCGCACTTGGCATCGCGGACGATCGTCCGGCCGCGGCTCGCAACGCTACGTACGTGGAACGAGACTTGCGCAGGTTTCATTCTGTTTTCCCTACTTTATGCTTTTCAGGATGACCTGGACTCTCGAGGAAGCGAGATGCGACGCGAGGCTCCGCGTCCGAGGAAATGCCGCCCTACAGGTCAGCTGCGCCAGAAAGTTACGACGATCCGCCATTTTTGTCTACACCTACTCCTGCTCCTTGTGCCCGCTAGAGTGGGAACGCGCGCGCATGCGCGGGAGTCTCGGTTCGTGCGATAGGTCATGAGAGTTATATTGGTTCTAAATGCGACACGTTTAAACTTTAAACCTCTTTAATTAATCTCGCGCGCATTAATTTCTCTAGTATTATTTAACTTTATATAATTGAATTTTATTTGGATTAAGAAATACCTAATAAATTTGATTAAAATCAAGAAATAAAAATTTAATCTCTCAACCTGTTTGTTGAGCTTTTAAACATGGCAGTTTTTAAATTTGCTTCTCTACAGACGCGGTAATTTCAAATCGTGATCATACGACTTATCATAATTTTCAGCAGCAACTGGCGCAGTCATAAACTGACGATAAACAATTTCGTTCAATTATAATTAAAATCATTTGGTAAAACAACGTCGACGAATAATTGTACTTTTATTATGTTAATTTAAAGAAAAGCGTTTGATCGAACGTGAAAAAAATTCTTAAATTATTAATTAATAAAAATCAAAATAAATATAAAATATCTTGATTTCATGAACAAATTCTTTAGACGAATGATTTAAAAGACCAGTCATTTCATAAGACGAATGAAATGACGAGAATGATAATCACAGTTCCCTGTATTTATTTGTGACATTTCTCTCGACTCTTCACATAATATAATATTTAGTAACTTTATTTACAAGTTATCGACCCAGTGCATAGACTAAACATATTTTAGTTTGCTCGGGAATCGATTTATTTACAAAAATGTGTCTTCGAATTATGGAACAATCTTCAAGTCCGCAAATGCATGGGACACGGTATCTCGTTCGCAAATATCTTTCATTTAATGAAAGCAGAAATGTAATCATCTTATAAAAAGATTCAGATTGAAAAGTCCCTCGCGCATCTTGCATAACAATTTCTCCCTTTGTTTCTCGCACCAAATATTGGTAAATAATCTTCGTCGTCCTCAAAAATAAAGCTGAATGTAAATGCGAATACGCTTCAGAAATACGGCTCTTTTGTCTCAGCATCCGAAAAGGGAATCGTTACCACCAAACCAATGAATATTCACGCTTCATCCTGAGAAAACGCGGGGTATATAGTATCCTGGAGAAAATATATCTCCGAAATAAATTTTTCATTTCAAATGTACCTTTCCAATTTTAATTGCTCCTGATTAATTGTTTTTTCAATATTACCAAGCAGCATATGTTGGCTTCATAAACGTTTTCTAAACGTATCTAATATCATTATATACATTTAAAAGAAACGTTTATAAAACCACCACGTGCTACCTAAATTAATTTTGTATCTCTAGTAAAAAAAGCTGATTGTTATACAAGCTACTTATTTTCTTATTTTTGAATATATTTGATGCCTCGCGCTTCCTTTCAACACGATTACCCTTTTATGAAACAAAATTAGCATAATGTAACATTTGTGGAAGTTCCATTCTCTATACACATATATATATATATAGCGTCGAAACATAAGATGTCCCCCCAGTGATACTTGTATAAAGATATTTCATGCTTAGAATGATTTAAATTCTTTTTTTACTCTTCATTCTAACTTTGTACATGCTTGTGGACACTTGAGAAGCTTACTGTGATGGATTGCTCCGAGATATAATTTAAACCACCGTGCAATAATACAATCATCCAGAGTCTAACGATGAACGAAAATGCTATTGAAACGAGACCTTTTTGTCGCCAATATACAGTATATTGTTTAAATAATAATTTTCTTTCATTTTATCAACAAACGCAACAAGTATAGTTAGTGAAATTTTAGAGTCCCATAAGCCGTCTTGCATTTTTCGAATTACGTGAATCTCGCATTGCAGTGTGCACGTTATAAAAATCGTGAATATCATTGCGAATAGTTAATATTATATATAAGCATGTCAGATTCATAATCGTCATCTACCTGCAAATTGCTTCTTTGACACTTATCTTTTTTTCTTTCTCATATTGGATATTAATATATATTTTAATGAAATATTGAATATAAGATATTAAGAATGTTGAAAAATATAGTCTTGAGTGTGTGTATGTGTGTGTGTATGAGAGAAAGAAGCTATTCTTTTATAAAAATATCAAGTTTTAGAAATTTTATCAAAGAATAAACATGTAAGAGTCATGATCCATATTTATCTCTCTTTCGTATTTAAATATTAGGCCTAACAAAATTAACATATGAGAATATAAGTCAATATAACAATCTGGAAATGTTTACGATATATTAATTTTTATCACACATAATTACTACTATTGTGGCATTTTTGTTAAATTATTGCTACATTATACATATGCATACACACACACATACACATAAAAAAATTTATAATTTTATATACCAACACAAAATAAATTGTAAAATTTAATTTTATATCATTTCTCTTTTTGTTTTTAAATATATTATGTAAATTTATTTCGCGTTTCTTATATGACCTCATATACAATTATATGCGATTATAAAAAAAGGATTATCGTATGCAAGTAAAATATAATTGTAACGGATATTCATAAATTAAAATATGTGTAACTCGTTTATATAAATGTTATGCAATAAAAAAAAAAAAAGAAATATAGATAAATATTATTTCTCGATATACAGTACTAATGTTTTTTTTTTTTTTTTTTCTTCAAGATATTTTATCTTTTGAGATATAATTCTCTTAAAAATATAATTGCTTAATGAACTAATAGAGAAGAAAAATGCAATTATGCGCGCATAATGAGACTCTAAGATACATATATAATAAAATAGTAATGACGCTATCTTTTCAAAATATAAAAAGCAAAGTAAACTTTTGATAGCGTTATCATTTTAAATTGAACCCAATTCTCTTCATAATCATACAAAAATGATTATCTCATAGAAAGTGTAAGCAATTAAATCAAAAGCAAACACACATTAGCAACAGTATTGATATCAATCGAAATTCGTAAAAGGATATCTCGTTTTAATCGATCCTCTATTGGTGGAATGTTTTCATTTTTTTTTAATTAATTCTGCAAACGATATATTCTTCTATATACCTCCCGAGGCTTTTTATTAAGAGACATTTCAGTCTATCTACCACTTTCGATCAGGATAATGATACCGTACTCTCACGCGTTCTCCTATGAGAGAGAGAAGTATATATTATATTATATTTATTTTTATAATATATATATATGTATGTATGTGTGACGTCATGTGTTATCTCGTATGCTTTTTGTGTTAAAGTCACATGGTTTGCAGCAATACAAATAGAATATTAAATGTTACTACCATTCTGTGTAAGTAATTATAATCGGATGGTAGCCTGTTCTCACAAATTCAAGAGGTCCGCGTATTATTTGCCTAAGGGATTTTGCAATTTTCCCATTATAAATAAGCGACATATTCTATAAACAATACTAGATTATAAACATACCAACTATTTAAATCATATTCCTGCAGACGACAACGCTAAATTTTTGTTGTACTAGATGTATAGAGTATGTAGATGCATCTTTATGTTGGCTGACAGTAAATAAAAAATATTCTTTTGTCTCGTATTTAACAAACACAATTTCAACATGTGCAACAGTGCTTTTAGTATTTGTGAATCATTAAATCAAAATACTATCATAATACAGCTTCATATTTGTACACTTATCAATGAGAAAATGAGAGATTAGTAGAAATATGCTCTGAGTAAAGACATATATAAATTATTTGAATCACTAAGTAATTCCCAAAATCTCACCAACAAGACGCAAAAGAAACTTGCAGTCCTATCTTAGGCAAATAGATCTTATCGTGTTGTCATTTAAAAAGTACGCGTTAAGCTCTAACAGCTTGTCATAATCAACAATAAGAATTTTCACATTTTTTTCAGTCTTATAAGCAATACATCGTTTTCATTTTAGAAAGCTAGTCACTTTCGCGTTTAAACACGACCCGCTTTGTTCTCAATATTATACTATCCTGTACATTTGTAATTTCTAATCAATCTTCCGTGAAATTTGAAAAAGTGGTTGCATAAACAATGTCAGCAATCCTTTCGACGAAGAAAAGAGAATCCTTCAAAAGAGAAGTACTGTCCAACCGAGTAATCGACTATTTCTAACCGAAATACATGACACATTAATTCGATAAACTCCTTGTCAATACGAAGATTTGATAAAAAGATCTATGTAGGCGAGCACCTTTGTAATTTAACCAGCGTATTCAGCATCGGTGCAGTGCATCAAAGATGTTTCGGACGTAAAGATCTGTATCACGAAGAATACTGGTTGATTTTAACCAGTGGAGTAATGTTATCGATGCGTTTGAAAAATTGAAACGTAATCCGAATATGGTATAGTATATCACTTTAGTTATGCACTATGGTTGACGCATGTTGAAGTCTCTCAAGCTCTTCCAATGACAGGACGTTTGTTTGCCCAAGCTCTGGCAGCTTCCCGGCTCGAGCTTGAGCGAGGAGTTCCGGGCTGAACCATCGTGCAAGTTGGTTAGACGTTGGCGAAAGGTCACCTCCGTTACTACCCACAAATCCGAGGCCCGGCGAAGGTTGACGGCCGACTGTCATGTTTAATTGTTGCGATCGCATCGCTCGCCCATCTGTGAACATAATTTAATCAATCATGTAATAAATTATCATTTAAATAACAGGAATAAATGTTATTGTAAAATATATATATGCAGAATAATTATAAAAATATATAAAATAAAATATATAGTTTGTCAATATTATTTATATAATATGATAATATGAATGTTTTATTAATATTTTAGCATAAATATTTCAACATAGTTATTAGTTATTTACTTAATCCAAAGATAAATGATGTCAAGACAGGATTAAATAGGGGAGAGCTAAGAATGGCTTGCTATTATTCCGATTTCTGAACACCGTTGCATGCAATTTGATTGGGGAGAGGAGAAACACCTGAAAATTAATGTAAATAGGATAAGGAAGGAATTTTATAGCAAATATCAATTTTTATCAACTATAAAAATCGGATTTTATATTGTTCGTTTTGTTAAAAAATTTTTTTTTAGTAGTATAACACTTCTATCACTTTTTGCTTCATTGAATCACGTTACCTGTACGATTGGAATTGTAATTTTGATTCATGACAAGTTGCATCGGTGTATTTACAGTCCGTTGTGGCGGTTGTTGCTGTTGCATGTTAGTTGTTCCATGCGGTGGTTGTTGCATATTGGTGAGATGTGCGGAGACTTGCTGAGCCTTCATTTGGGTATTTATAGAGTTTGATCTCGGATTCATAATCGAGTTTTGGACTACTGGGTTATATTGCGGAACATTATGATGCGGCAATGAAGTGGCCATAGTATGCTTGGATCGGGCTGGATTGCCATATACATTTGCGACCGTTCTATGTTGATGTTGGAATTCCACGTTTCCTGTATTGTATTGGAATTGATTGCTGCTCGTGTTGCCGCTGTTACCACCTTTCACTATAGGTCGACCTAAGATTAGAGAATTTCATAGTGTTTAATATTATGTTATTAATATAGTCAATAATGTTTTACAACGTTAATCGCAATAATAAAGCTTCTAAATATTTTATGACAATCAATAATAAGGCTTATAAAAATTTGTCATTATAATTTTGTCATTATAAATTTGTCATTATAAAAGTTAAGAAGATAAACCTGGATGCTGTTTAAGCGATGAATTCGACCATGTCGATGGAACGGATTGTGGCCGCAACGCGGTATGTCTCGAGAGAGCTCCCTGTGTAAGTAGTTGAACTGCAGACTGCATTTGTTGCATCTGTGAAGCTTGAGTTTGTGTAGACAATTTTGATGGGTCATTGTTGCTTCCTATATTAGGAAAAAAAATAAATTTTTAATAACAAGCAATTATATGAAAATTAAATCTAAATATTAATAACACAAAACACAAATGAGTTATTTATACAAGGTGTCCGACATATTGCCCGCAGTACTTCGGGAAGTAATTCGGGACTCAAAAAAAAAGGAAAAAAGCTATATTATAAACATAGATCTGGAAATAAGTCGTTTCCGAGTTATAGTAACTTTTATGTTAAAAAAATCGTAATTTATGGTTCGTTTGGCATTTCTTTTTAAAATTTTTTTTTAATTTAAAATTTAAAAATTTGAATTTAAAATTTAAATTCAAATGTTTGAATTTAAATTTAAAATTTAAATTTGAATTTTTAAATTTTAAATTTAAATTTAAAATTTAAATTCAAATTTTTAAATTTAAATTTTAAATTTAAATTTTAAATTTTAAATTTAAATTTTAAATTTGAATTTTTAAATTTGAATTTTTAAATTTAAATTTTAAATTTAAAAATTTAAATTTAAAAATTCAAATTTAAAATTTGAATTTAAAAATTCGAATTTAAAATTTAAATTTTAAATTCAAATTTCAAATTTAAATTTAAAAATTTGAATTTAAATTTAAATATTAAATTCGAATTTTTAAATTTAAATTTTTAAATTTAAAATTTAAATTTAAAAATTCAAATTTAAAATTTAAAAATTCAAATTTAAAATTTGAATTTAAAAATTCGAATTTAAAATTTAAATTTTAAATTCAAATTTCAAATTTAAATTTAAAAATTTGAATTTAAATTTAAATATTAAATTCGAATTTTTAAATTTAAATTTTTAAATTTAAAATTTAAATTTAAAAATTCAAATTTAAAATTTAAAAATTTAAATTTAAAAATTCAAATTTAAAATTTAAAAATTTAAATTTAAAATTTAAAAATTTAAATTTAAAAATTTAAATTTTAAAAAAAATTTAAATGTGGGATGTCAAGCGGCCTATAAATTATGATTTTTGTATCCGGATCACTTCCCGAAGTACGGGCGATTTTCCAGACATCCTGTATAGTATGAAAATATGCTTTATTGATATTATCATAATGCTTTCTTAATGTTAATGTTAATGCCTTCTTTCGTCAAAAAATTTAATTTAATAAAAAAGTAACTTAAATTGTAAATGTGTTTGAACATGTGTTTAAAAACATTCAAAAAATAAATGTTTTTGTCAAAGTTAAATTGTACAATTTAAATCAATTTCACATAAATGTCATTTCAACATTATGTACATATATACATACATATACACATACTGCAGACTTGAAACACCAACAATATACTTACTAAATATTATTCATTGAGATATTATCATTCAAATGTTACTATATATAACTACATGATTTACATAAATTGTTATTTATATATTATCCGAAATTATTTGCCTATATTGTATTGTGTTGTTAATAAATGTAATCATAATGATATTATCAGAGTAACAAATACAGCTTACTTGTATATTACATTTATTTTTTATACGTTTATTATTGCAAATTGATAAGCATAAGGATGAAGCAAATTACATAATTAAAAGGAATACGCAAAACTCGCTAGCAAGCTTATATTTTGATGAAAAGTTGCAATACTAATAATAGGAGAAAATGTGAATATGTATAAAAGAAAAGTTAAAGCAAATGAGATAAATCGATACAAAGCCTTTTATTACTTAAAAAAACTTATTTCAACATACTATTAAGGAATATAATAAATCTATGTTATTAAGAGTTTATTTTATAAAGTGCTCTTTTTGTATCTCACATATAAAATAAAAATAATATATATTTTTAAATATCTGTCATATTAGAAAGATGTAACAGATATTTATTGCACAAATATTTAGTTTTTAATGCCGATTTTCTTTCATGACCTTTCAAATTTTAAAGCATCTCATTTCTGAAATGTCAAGCGAAAAAACAAAATGGCAGCTTTTCGTTTATAATCGCAAAAATAATAAAACAAAAATATAGCTTTAAACATAGCAATCAAAAATTATATTATAATATTTATGTGTGTATGTGTGTGTGTGCGTGCATTTTATGAAACTTCAGAACTGCTAGAAAACAGTATAATTAGATATCTTCATCATGATTTACGAATACTAGCATTTTAAGAATTAATATTTTCTATTCCATCTGATACTGTAGATACGGTCATTTGATTATTTTCATTTACTAGCTTTTCCACCTCGGATGTTTTTTTTACTGTCTCATCAAATGAGACACAATCGTTATTGTTGGTATCATTATCTATATCTATTACGTTAGGCTCTGATACTTTTGCATTGTCGTTTGCATTTTCATTAACATCAAGGAAAACATTTTCCTTCGTTATGTTATTAGCCGGATTATCTTTTATTATATCCTTTTCTTGTTGTAATGAATATAAATATTTGGTTTTTAATGCCGATTCTTCCGTACAAGTATGTTTATTATTTGTATTAGCTATAGCAGATTGCAAAAAGATCATTTTAAGGGTCTCATTTTGCACTTGATTGACTGACTTGGAAAATTTAGATGAATCGACGGAAGGAACAGCGATATTTCTATGATTATTTTGATCTCGAGACATGCGAGAGTGATTAATGTTTCCATTAATTGCGGGTATAGAAAAAGTCGTTTCTAATTTGCGGAATTGATTCGCACCATCGGGTTCCTTGTCAGCAGTCATTTTACGTAAAACGGAGGTTGGGGTAAAAGCGAGCGGACTCGCTGTTTGCTTAGCTGGTGAATTAATAACAGGACTCGACGCGCGCAGTTGCTGCTGTTGTACTTGTTGTTGTTGTTGTTGTTGTTGTTGCTGCTGCTGCTGTTGTTGATCCTGCCGCTTGCGAAAATTTTCACGCTGTTCCTCCAATTTTTTCTTGATTAAAGCATTTTGCATTATAGTCTGAGTATGCATAACAATCTCCCGTGGCGATGGCACTCTGTGTGGTATCACTGTTATAATAATAATTTATGCATCACAAATTTTTTATATAACACAATTTTCTCTAATTTTGTTAATATTGCTAAAGATTAATAACATATCTGATAAAAGTTTATATCGGATTAACATTTCTCAAGTGATTTTACTATACTGCATGTCCCATTTTTCTTAAATTAGGAATAATTTTATACACAAGGGATAATATAACAAATTTCGCAAAATACAAAGTTTATTGGATTCATTATACTACCTGGATGTTGTACTGTTAAAGTACTAGGACTAGCTGCTAAATTTGATGATATTATCGGAGGTGGACAATAAGCTGCATTCCAAATATAATACAAAATTGTTCAATTTAAGTTTTCGTTTAAAAAGGGATGTTGAATAAGGAAAAAAGAGGAGAATAGTTGTGTGCATGTAAAATCTTACCGTTATTCATCGGAGATGGAATCCTCTGTTGTTGCTGTTGAAAGAGCATCTGTTGCAACATATGATCCTGAGGGGTAGCAGGAGCGGGATGAGGATGCGGACTTATAGTACGAGGTGTAGTACCGCCGTACATTTTCAAAATATTCACTAGCACTTCTCGATGGCGATGCTGCATAGCGGGATTCTATTAACGATACAATCAAAATTATGAACAATTTTTATATCACATAAAAACATTAATAATGGCAGACTCGAAAATTTTTTAATTAAATATATAAAATAGTTTTTAAACGGCAATACGACTCTCGTGTTGTTATTGATACACAATTATTTATTACATATGATGCTAATATAAATATAATAGATATAATTATTGAAGAGAGTCATATAGCAAACATATGTTAAATTATTGTTATTGTTACTTTATATATTGTTATATTTGCGCTGAAGAGGAGGATCTCGAAGAGGAGATCGAAACGCTATATAACTCTTCAATAATTGTATTTAAACTATTTTACATATTTTATATCACATGATAAAACTATTATATAATTACTATGGACAATTTGTGCATTATCAATAACTTACCTGCAACTGTTGCATTAGGTGTTGTCTTGTAATCTCTCCTTGTTGCAGACCTTGAATAATCGCTTGAGCTTCTGGTCGTTGTAAGAGTTCTTGACTTGATGGGATATTATTTATCATCATTTGCATTTCCGCTGGTACCGGACTAACACCTAGCATTCGCTGATTACCCATCATCATTGATAACATATCGGAATGTCGTTGTTTCTGCTGTTGTTGTTGTTGCTATAATGATATATACAGAAAATTTATAAAAATCTCTTATCACATATAGATGACAATTAGAGCACTATAGATATATCATACTTGTATTTGCAAGACTTTCATCAGATTCTCATGTTGCATTTGAGCTTGATGTGGATGTTGAGTAGGACCAAGGGGACCGACATGATTAAATGTCGTAGTATGAATCGGTTCTGTAGGTGGCTGTTGATGTGATACAGGTGGCTGCTGCTGCGTTTTTAATTGCGAATTAAGTAGCTAAAAAATAAAAATAAGAGTTATTACAAATATATATATATATATATATATATATATATAAGGAAAATTAAATATAATATAAACTTACTTGCATTAATGTTACAGGTTGTTTTGGTGTGATAGGTCCGTTAGCTGCAGGCACAGCTTGTCCTCCATTCATTTGAGCAAGCTAAATCATTTTTTATAATAAGTTTACATGAAATAAAATAGAATAAATAAATATCAACGTACCAGTTTTTTAAAAGCAGAGAGATCTTCTTCAGTCTTATTTACATGGGGTGTATCAGTCGAAGTCGTAGGTGGAGGAGCACCACCCCGCATGCGTGCTTCCAATTCTTCCAAGCTGTGCACAACTTTTCCACCAATTTCTAGAAAGAAATATATTTATATTTCATGAGATATGTTTTTATGAGATAATATTTATGCAAACATATGACTTACCCAAATCTTTAATAGAACAGTTTTTCACCATAGGGATAGCTGTATTAGCATCACCCTGGCCATTTTGGCTTGGTTTATTACCACGATGTAACATTTCAAGTAACTTTACATTTGTAGCAGAGTTAGTATTATTCGTCGTATTAGCCGGAGAAATGGGAGCAAAATAAGTGTTAGATTCCGTTACTGATGGTATTTGGATGTTCGGCTCGGTGATGTCGTTTAATAAATTGTTCAATAGTTCATCTTGTATGGAAGCCCTACGACTATCCACCTGTTGAATTGGACTTTCTCTCTTGAACCATTGACTAAATCGAGAACCAGTTCCACTACTCGAACCAACTCCGTTCTACAAATATAAAGAATTTATTTGAGTGAGACAAAAAGTATAAGATGATTTCAGATATTATATTAAGTGCAAAAATATGAAAAAATTAAAATACATAAAAAATAAAAATGATTATAAACATGACTCACTGTTAATAATCCAGATACACCAGCAAATGTATCAGATTTCAGAAACTCATCTAGATTAAAGTCAGGATGCGAATCCTCTTGATTCTGATTAGCGCTGGAATTTTCTACTGACTCAGATGTTGTCGGTTCGGTCACAGTACTTTCGTTAATGTCATTTTCTTTACTCTGAGTGATGGAAGATTGTTCGATCTGTTCAGAAATCGGAGAATGTGGTGCTGGTACAGCGTTTAGAGGTTGATCCATAACAGTTGGAGTGCTACGTCCTTTAGGACCCGCCAAGTTTTCGTTCAATTTGTCATCCTTTTCCGTAGCGTTCTTCTTATTTCGTTTCTTCTGTGCGGGAGTCTGTTTCTTGTTCTTGGAATTACCGCTGCTGTTCACCACTTTTTCCTCTGGAATGTCTTCAAAGCCCCTTAACTCAATCGTATCGTGCTGAGATGTAGGTCCCGAACTAAACCATTCCGGCTCGTCCATCGAATCGCGATTGTCACTGTAAGTCCGTCGACGATCGTTGTTGAATCTCTTTCCGCGATCTTTTGTGTCGCGATCTGTCGGATGATTGTTCCGCTCCGATCCTCCTCTGTCACCACGATCACGCTCTCTCTCGCCACGATCACCGTAATCCCGGCCGAATGATCTCCGTTCGAATCTCTCATCCCGCTCGCGTAAACTGTCACGATCACGTTCCCTTTCACGTATATCACGTTCTCTATCACGCTCTTTTCCATCACGGTTATCTCTGTTATCACGATCACGCAGAGGACCACTAGAGGTCGTGCCTGATCTAAAACCATAATCTGCGCGTTCGGATTCAATCTTTTCATTTTCCGATCTAAAATCCCATATATCTCGCGCTAGAATCCTGCCACTACCGATTCGGCGAACAGGTTCACGATGGCTGACCTAAATATTTCATAAAAACGTTTAATAATTGTATTTATTAGGAAAATGTATAAAAGCGATACTAATAAAGGTAGATATATAACCGCGCGTGTCTCAATAAAACAGAAATGATCGCGAGTTATATTATAAGTTTGTATACCTCTGTTTTGCCGATCGGACTTTCCGGACGCCGATTTGGTGGTTGATTCACATTAACGAAACATCCCGAATTAAAACTTCTTCGTTGAGGGCTCAAAACGATGCCATCTTGCTCTTTACGTATTCGGTCCCGTGGATCACCATTATTACGTCGCTTACTATGATTCTCAGTGATTTGATCACTACGTCCGGTCCTTTCCTCCTTCGGGGGTGTATCGCTACGCTTTCTATCTGAATGCCAACGTTCGGGATCCCAAACACCTCGTGAGCTGCCAGAAAAAATTAGCGATTAACAAAACAAACATTGATATATCGAAAATTCGAGAGAAGGCTATAAACTCTTGTACATACTTGTTGTAAGCATTGTCTAGGAATGCAGGCCTACGTTTAGATAATCGCAAATTTTTTATCAGCATCAGTTCCTCCTGAAAGCAAAAAAAAAAAAAATGTAAATACATATATTGCAAGACTCAATGTGCGATCACGCTATTTTAATAAATTCCAATAACATTTGCAAAGTGACATTTACTCGAGAATATTGAAACTGAGGTCTAGAACGGCCTACTTCCATGATCGAAGCGTCAGTCACCTCTCCAGCCACAGACATCGATATAATGGCTTCATCCCCTGTAAAACAACAAAAAAATAAAATTATCGTTTAGTAATAATACATGTGCGCGCGCGCACATATATACCGGCAAAACTACAGATCGTTCTAATCTCGAGGTTTAAAATCGAAATCGAAATTCGAAACAATAAGAACCTGCCGGGAACATCACAATCGCGAACAATTGTTCATCCTAACACACGTATTAGAACGGCTTGGCGTGACGCGGTCATACTTACGGAAGGTCACCCGCTTTAGAGGATTGACAGATTTGTTTTTCCGGAACCAATGGCAAGCTCTGGTCTGCATAACAAGGATATCTAAGAAAGGAGAGCCGGTCGGACCGACCAGCGGTCGTTTCCGCGGTCGCCGGTACCAGTTCGAGCCGACAAAACGATTGACGGCGATGAGTCTCATTGTATAAATCGGTTGTCTTGCTTCAAATAAATCGAATAGACTATTTATCTGGCTATTCTGCTCTATCTAACTGCCACTGTGTTTCTTCGCGCAACCGTTGTCTCTCGACAATGTAAATAAACAGATGAAGGGCAAACAGTCGACAAATTCCCGAATCAAAGTCCCGTCACGAATACATTGATCCGCGAGTCATTGGAAAATGAGAGATTCCCTCGCAAAAAATTTGCCTTTCACTTTTTAAGACTCGAGTAAGATAAAAGAATAAAATGAAATCAAGTAAAAACTCGAGCGAGATCTAAATGTCGAAATTTATCCGTTGGCTTTAAAAGCTGGCAAAAAATAATTCTGGAAGTCTCGTCCGGACTTTTCGTCCTTTGAAACAAAGCAACTTGGGAAACAAATTTTTTTTTGTTTTTCGCGTTTTTTTCTCTCGTGGCGAGAAAAAAGGTTGAATATATCTAACTTTTTAAATATATACCAAGCTGCAGAAATTGTTTATTTCTATTATCAAAATTGATATTTGATGTTAGAAATGGTCAATTTTACATACGTATCCACCGTCTATATATCACTCGCGCGACTTGTTACTGAAGAAATATATGTAAACAGTTGTGTAAGCACAGTACCGTGCAGACTGACTAATTCAAACTGCTTTCAGACAAGATAATACTCTGACAAGCCAATGAAAGCTTTCGTGAAAAGATCTTAGTCAAGAGGGCACTTGATTCGCTATAAAGATAATTTAAATATAACTGACTCTATCATATCCAGGAAAGTTTCTAGAAATGATCCTAAATTATTATCCTAAATGTATGAGTAGATAAATCTTTATGATACATAGCTATATTAAATATATATCACATTTTGTCTTTAAAATAATATCCTTTGCCTCCAAAATCTAAAAGTGTACCTATTCTTTTTTTACATAATTTATTCGAGAGATTTTATTAATTTAATTAAATATTTAAGTGTATATAAAATAATTTAAGTGTGTATAAAAGGAAATGATATTTATGTATACGTATAGATTGAAGTGTATTAAAGACTAATTTGAATGAAAGAGAAAGTATAATTGATTAGAAGATTAGAAAGATTTAATACAGCAATATTACACGAATCTTAGATACAGAAAATATCAGTATTACAATATAAAAGTCCTAGATATATAAAATATTAACAAAATATTAACAAAGGAAAACAATTTTGCTAATTAAAGTTTTAATCAATGTAAATAACACTCATATGTGCATAATATACATATATTGAAAATGAATTATAAAGTAAAAAAGATGAAGAAAAACAATGAAATTAACAGGAAGTGGATTTTGACTTTGACCTATTGATCTTAATTACAATGATCTATAGAAAAATGTAAAAATATTTTTATTTTTTCATTATAAAATTATTTTTATATAAACATTTTTTATATGAAACCAGAGCATTAATCACTGTGTTCGAGAGATTTTAAGAAGAGAGAGATAAATATATAAATCTAATAATATATAATAAATACTAAAAAGAAATATTAAGAAATTTAAGTAGAATTAATCGAGTTAACTCTTCTAAAAAATCTCAATAAATATTTAAGTAAAAAGAGGGCCCAAATATATATGTAAAAATCTCTGAATAATTTTAACAAAACTGACAGAAATATCGAAGATTGCGTTCCTACTTTTTTCAAATTCTCGTTAATTTTCGTCCAACGGGAGTCGGAGGGAGATATCGAATCTGTTCTAGCTGCACTTTCTGTACTTTCTTTCGCGATCTTCCCTTCTGTTTCCGCGATACTCAAATTTCCATTTCGTTTCGCGAGAAACGCACTTGTAATACACCGTTAAAAGAAACAAATAGACTTACTCTGACCGAAGAGAGAGACGGACGAACGACTCGACTCGCGACTCGGAGGTTATTTTCCGACATTGCTCGGCTCACGAGCGACGCTTCGATAAAGAAATGAGGAGAGAGCGAGAAGGAGACAGCTAGAGAAAGATATATGTAATCAATCGACTCGTACCTTCTTCCTTCTTCGTCGTCGCGGTCATCGTCGTCGCTGTCGCTGTCGCCGCCGTCGTCGTCGTCGGCGGCGGCGGTTGCTTGTCACTTGTCACGGACTCGACGGACATCGCGCCGATGACGCTGATTACGTCGACCTCGATCGGCTGGCGGAGGGCGCGTGTCCTGCGCGAATACCGACGTTCCGTGTCTCCTCGGTTTGTATCGGCCAAGTTCCTTCCCCGAGAGATTCTTCGCGCGATCTTTATCTACGCCTCTCGTACACGAGCAGCGATACGCACGCACACATACACGTACAGGCGCACCTACACAAAATCACACGCGACGCGGCGCGATCGCTAGCTAACTCGACACACACACGCACACACACACACGCATATATATGTACATACACGACCGATGGGGAACACACTCGCGGAAGCGCGCGCACCTTATATACGTACAGTTTACACCTCTATTATGTGTGTATATATATATGTTATATATATTGCTTAAAAGTACCGCTTAGTATCACAGACTGGTTTTCCCTTTTATACGTCTCGCGGCTCGAAGATACGAAACCTCGATAGGGCAATGTGTACTTCTTCTCCTGTTTCGATAGAGATGAACGAATAGTATGGATAGGAGGAAAGATGGTGGTGGGGGGCGAGAAAGGGTGGAAAAGAGAATTCGCGAGAAGACAGAGAGTGTGTTTATATCAAGAGGATATCAAGAGAGTGAGAAAGAAAGAGAGTTTACACGCGAAGCTGCGCAAACGGATGGGTCCTTCTGACGGTCTTGCGAGGGACACGATCGCGATTCTCCCGTTGTGTGTCGCCAAATAATCATTTCATGTCTCAATGTTTGCGAGCTCCCTGCCGATCGCCGTCAGTCCGTCGATCTCTGTATCGTACACAACCCGAGAAAAAATACGTATTACACACACACACGCACGACACACTGGCTCTCACGATGCTATATGCAAAAATAGAAAATAGCTGCACTCGATCCCCACTTCGGCTGCTGCTGCTGCTATTTCTCTGTTGCCTCTCCGCGATTTCTCGACGCGGCTAAACGTTTCTGGCCTAGGAGATTGCGGAACAAGGAGATAGGGCTTGCGGCACGAGTTTCCTGGCAGCAACGCGAAAGAAGGAGACGAACGCTACGACAGAAGGGCGCTGTCATCGAAGACGATTCGACGTTCGACGGTCACTAATTCGTCGAGGATTGAAGTTTGTTCGATTCTTTGATAGCTCCATTTGATAGCCAATCGTGCGCATTCAGCGGACTCGTCAGTTGGGCAATATTACTAGACTTTCCGATATAATTCGACGCTGATTGGTCGGATCTGAAAGTAGAAACCAATCATGTTCGATTGCCATTTGATGGTGAAATCGCTGAATACATCGGTCATTGGCTATGGTCGAGAAGATGCTTCGGATGCATTGAAGCGTTTGATTGACCAATCAGATTAAAGAAATCTTTACTTCTTTGTTTTGATTGGTCGATCAAACGCTTCAAAGCATCCAAAGCGTTTTCCCGACCGCAATAATGCCTATGTTCCAAAATTCACTGCCAGCGCTGAAAATATATAATATACGTAACGTGAACTATAGATTTTCAGCACTGGCAGTGAATTTTGGAACACGCCCAATATGTACTTGTTGAAAAACCCTAGAAATTCTCTATGTGATGATCAATGAATATTGGTTTCAAATTTATCGATCAAAACGTTGGTTTTTTCAAAATGGAGTCAATAACAAGTTGTTAATATTTCATGATATAAATCGATTAAAAAAATGAAATATATTTAATATTTTTTTGTAATGTACATGTTATATAATATTTGTAATAATATAATAATAATTGTGTGTAGTCACTATGATTGTAAAACATACTTGTTGTAATGGAAAATCGATAAGATTTTGTTGTGAGTAACATTTTAGTTTATCTCTGGCAATATAAATAATTTATTTTAAATATATATATTATAATAAGAAAATATATGAGATTATAAAATTTCGTAAGAATTATATTAAGATATGTCACTTTGCAGTTCACTTATATAAATCGAATCTTGCGTTTGTTCCAAAGTGCAATCCAACAACAACAGAAGATGTAAGGAAATTAAAGGAATTTATCGATAAACATCATCGTTTATGCATATTAACCGGAGCAGGAATATCCACAGAAAGTGGGATCCCTGATTACAGATCGGCAGAAGTAGGTCTCTATGCACGAAGCAATCATAAACCAATTCTTTATAAAGAATTTTGCAACAGTGAGGCAATAAGAAGACGATACTGGGCTAGAAACTATGTAGGATGGCCAAGGTTCAAGTTTTTATAACTTGGAATCTTAGAATCTTATTTATAAGAAAATAATAAATGGAGAACTCTTACAGATTTTCTTCTCTTAAACCAAACATTACACACGAGATACTAAGAGACTTGGAATATGTTGGAAAGGTAGAATGTATAGTTACACAGAATGTAGACAATTTACATTCAAAGGCAGGAAGTAAAAAAGTAATAGAGTTGCATGGAACAGCATTCAGAATTATGTGCTTTAATTGTGATCATAAGATATATAGACATGAACTTCAAGAAGTTTTTCAAAAACTCAATCCATCTATGGTTGCAACTACTCAGATGATAAGACCTGATGGAGATGTAGAATTATCGCAGGTAAAATACAATATCTATCCACATTATATATATATATATATATATATATATGTGTGTGTGTGTGTGTGTGTGTGTGTGTGTGTGTGTGTGTGTGTGTGTATGTATGTATGTATGTATGTATGTATGTATGTATGTATGTATGTATGTATGTATGTATGTATGTATATACATGCAGTTTCTGTAATATTACATATTAATAATGAAATATATTTAACAGGCTCAAGTTGAAAATTTTAATGTTCCTGCTTGCGATAACTGTGGTGGTATTTTGAAACCAGATATAATATTTTTTGGCGAAAATATTCCACGCAATATAGTAGAAAAAGTAAAAAATAATATCGAAAATTCAGATGCTTTACTAATTTTGGGAACGAGTCTTGCTACATTCTCTTCATATAGAATTGTGTTGCAAGCAGTTGAAGCCAACAAACCAATTGCAATAGTAAATATTGGCAAAACTAGAGCTGATGAATTTATGAACTTAAAACTGGAAGGAAGATGTGGAGACATACTTTCAAAGGTCTGGCAACTGAATGCATCAAACAATTCTATAAGATGATGAAAAATGTGAATATCTTTGAAATATCAAATAATATATATAACTTATTATAGACAACTTATTCAATATTAATAAGATACAATGTATAACTTAGTTCTTTTTTTTAATTAATGAATAATGCTCAATTAAAAAGATACAATAAGTAAATAAATTCTTATTTGGAAAAAATCGTACACTTCTGTTTAATTCTCCACAAACATTCTTCTCGGATGTTATATATAAACATTCATAAATATTAATTTTTTAATGAGAAGACTTTGCCTCCTTTGCATTTTGTAGACTTTGAGTAATGTACAATTTTGCTAAACTTTGAGAACAGAATTGCGAGATGTGTTCGCTATACGTATTAATTTGCCCAGCAACAATCATTGGATTTAATCTTGGTGGAACTGGCAGAGGTCTCATCAGTTTGTTAATATCGTCATCAGGTAGCGGCGGTTCGTCCTTTGCAGCCCTAGCGGCATTTTCTTGAGCCCTCTTAGCCAAGAGTCTGTTTTTATCTTGTTGCTGTCGAACCACCAATTGTTGATATCTATTAAACTTCATAGCTTCTTGATTCAATTCGTCTACTCGATCCATCAAACATCTCAATTGATTCTCTAATACTGTAGCTGTGCCAAGATCCAAATACTTTGTGCCTTGCTCCTCAGGAATCATTTCATCCAATTCTGACATCATAATGTTTGTCAAATTACTATTCTTTATAACTACTGGAATCTCAACAAAGAGACTCTCGTATCCAATCTTCAAAGTACGCAAAGCTTCTGGAGTAAACTCATTCTCCTTGTACATTTGTATTGCTTGTGGAGTGAGCCGGTATGCTTTGAGTGTCAAAAAACCTCTGGCAGATTTTGCTGTATCGTAAATAAGCACAACTGATTCTTCGATAGAAGTTTGATAATGATATTGCGACTCCAACAAGGATAGATTTAAAAAGTTTCCAACGTCTGCACTTTGATACCAACCGACATGAAAGTGATCAACGTTCACCCTGTGAAATATGATTAAAAAAAGTGATTAAACAATTTTTGCTTTAAATGAGTTGGAATATTTCAGTTCTTACCATCTCAATCTTCGCATCATAGCAAGTTGATATTCCTCCTCGTCCATAATTTCATCATTTTTGGGGAATGGGAAGCAATTGGTGATTTCCAAGCGATTTTGTACAACCAAACCAAGTAGAGCACCTTGTGCAACTTCCATGTTACCAGCGGACTCCTCATGGCAATGTTTTACCATCTTCATTACCACGAGCCCATCGCATTGCACATAATCTATACGCGGCTCTACCTCGGGAATCCGTCTCGACGTTGTCCTCGAAACCATCTTCAACGAATTTAACTTCTCACAGTGCTAAGAGACTCTTTAACTACGTGCTTCCACCTTGATTTTAACCAAAGGAAAGAGCAATATGCCACCGAACGTCACTCGCTGTGCGTTCATAAAGCATTTCAATGGCCGCATTCAGCAGATATAACCGCTAAGTAGCAATCGAACATGATTGGTTTCTACTTTTAGGTCCGACCAATCAGCGTCGAATTACGTCGGAAAATCTAGTAATGTTGCCCAACTGTTGAGTCCGCTGAATGCGGCCAATGGAGACCTAATCTCTTGAATCGACTTTACAAGACTGATCGCGGATTGGTTACTCGCTAGAAAATTTGATACTTCCTAGAAAAATTTTTTGCTTGCAGCTCTACACATGCGCCAGATTTATTGGTGCCGGATTCCGGGAGTGTCTCGTTTGATCACGTTGCGATTGACCACAGCCAATTATATCGATTTGTGCCTAGGGTAACCAGCAACGATTGACCAATCAAAGAGTCCTATTTTGAATTGGCCAATTAGCGACGTGGTCAATCGGGTGTCACCGCCGGATTGCCCTCCACATCACGTGGTCATGCGCTCGCCAATCACGTACTGCTGAGTATGCGCGGTCCCTCACTGCGCATGTTCTAACGTCAAATCAAATTGCTACACCACCAATAATGCGCCAAGTTGCTGCTGCGCGTGCAACTTTAGAGATGCGCACGCACGCATCGTGCATGCCCGGTTAGAATAACGTAACGGGTATAGCGGCTATGTAGCCTTACAAATGGACGAAATGCATGGAAAGATTGAAACATGGAAAAGATTAATACACTTAGAGAAATTGCGATATGTATTGGAGGATATTCAGGTATGGTTCCTTGTTTATCATGTTTATCTATAAACACATGATTTATTTTTAATAATAATTTTAGATGAACATTCGTGCGCGACCTGACAACAAATCGAACGAGAATATTTTGAAATTACTGTTACCCTTGCATCATGTAGCAGACAAATGTCGCACAGCGGACAATCCAAACTGTGAAACTGGAAAGGAAATAGCTGAATTAACTAAACTGCTTTGCTCATTATTAACTAATGTACCTGATGGCAACAAGTTTGCTAAAATTTTATTTAAAATTGTTCATTGTTTGCTCTCTTTAAATCTGTATAAGGATGCAGCAGATGTCTGTTTTTATCTGCAGCCTGGCAAGTTGTATAATCCTCAAGATAATACTATGAACCTTTTGACAAAAGTATTATCTTTATGGCATATTTCTGCAAAAAATTTATATCTGACTTTTACCACTGAATCTTTAAATATAGAAAACTACAATAGTTTAAAAAGTTTCATAAAATATGAAATCAAAATGACTCAAATTGCATATAAAAATTATACAAATCAATTAATTGACGCAATAAGCAAACATTTAGATAAAATAATATCAGTTGACAAAGAAAATAAGTATTTTGATGACTTTTACAAATATATATTGGAATATTTAAAAAAAACGCAGTTGTATTTGGATAAAGATGAAAAATATGTCATATATTATCATATACTGCGTATCATATGTCATGTAATATGTAGGACTATCAACGTGACTAATATTGAATGTACAGTGAAAATATTTAATGAATTTTTCAGTTATTTCAATACTGTTTTAGCAGATGATCAAGAATGTTATCAGTGTTTTCAACAATTTCAAAGATTTTGTACAACATTTTTAGTACCAATGGAGAATCTTATATGTAACGGTGCCAAAAATATACAAGATATTGTTTCTTGTCAATTAAACATGAAAAAATATAGTGAAACAGAATGTCTAAAATGGAATGCATTGTTTATTGGAGAAATAGTTGAACCTATGTTTAAATATTGGGAAATATGCATAGAAACTGACAAACATGTAATAAAGCAATTGCTTGATACTGGCATTTTATTAGAAACAATGAACTTATTTTTACATATAGATACAAATAAATTTTATACTAAACAAGTATCAGTTGAATGCAAGTGGTGCTTAAATAAAACAGTATGTACAGTTAACAGGGATTTATATAATTCTATAATAATGAAATATAAATGTGCCAGTTTATTATGCAAATATCATGTTAAAAATATGCCGAAAAAAATGTGCATTCTTGCTAGAGCAACCTTAGAGCAAAATGTCAAATGGATTATACATGAAGTGGAAGAGAGCAAATGTAAACGCTGGATGTATTTGTGGAATATTTCTCGTACTTTAATTTATAATATGAGCAGATTATCAGAGCATGTTTATGAAGAAACCACACGTTTATATTCCTTCTTATGTCGTTCTATTTTTCAATTTCAAAAAATTGAATCAAATGTCGAGGACCTTGAAAATATTATTCCCTTGGCATTATACAACTTAAGTGCCTTGCATATAAAGAATGGTATGTATAAAGAAGCCATAACTGCATCTGCATTGAATGCCTTATTAACTTATGATCAATCAAATAAGAAAGCTTTTCATATATGGACGATTATTAAAAAAAATGTTTCTGAGAAAATTGCGCAATTAACTATACTCGACTGCCTGAAAAATGATGAAGACAAGATAAAGAATGAAATAGGCTTATCAATTGATATTTCCAAATATGATCTTATTAAGTTATGCTCATATGAAGCGAAAAGTTTGTTGGAAAAGAGTATTCCATTTACCAATGGTGTGTCGGCAGTTTTAGACAAATTCAGAAAATTAAAGCCAAGTAATTGCCAATACGCACATGTGATACAATTATTAGGATATTATTTGTTAACTTTTGAACATGATAGTTCCATTCTTACATATCATGAACAAATTATATCTGATTTGAAGCAGGACAAGTCAAATTCTGTGGCACTTTTATGCTTGGAGGCCAACTTAATTTTTTTTACATTTGTGGAGGAATTGCATATGATGAATAAGCAAACTCAAGTGGAAATGGAAAATACAAAATTTGCTCTTTATGCTCCCGAGCTACCAGAACTTGTCGAAACTAAATCTCCAAATATAGTTCCTGCTTACACTATGATAAATGTTAAAAAAGCTTCCAGCCTTATGCTAAGTTTACAAGAATGTTTAAAAAAATGGAAGCAATTGTTTAAATATAATATAGTAAGTTATGAAAGAGTATCTAGTATATGTTAGAAACAACTATTAAAGTTTTTAAGAGTTCAAAGTAAAGTAAAATAATGCAAATAAAAATTTTATTGTCAACAGAAAGATATTGTCAAGAATTGGGAACCAACTCTCGTACTTCGCATATTAATAACAGCTGGTGAATATTCTCGATTACATCGTTATGAAGAATGTGAAATTGAAGCATGGACGTTAGCATATAGATTAGCATCAGAAATCGATGATTGTCATGGGATTATTTATGGTATTTATTTATATTAGAGTAATTAAGAGAATATTATGTGTTCTTAGTAAGTTAATATAAATTTTATTATAGTCACAGCTCGTTGTATTTCATTGAGACAAATTAATTACAATTGGATTGATGTTGCTAAGCAATATGCAATAAAACACAAAAATTCCGAGGATAAAAATATAACTAATACCATTGCTATGTTTTGGATAAGCTTGGCAGATCTCTATTTTGAATATGAAGAGGTGAGACAATAGTGGAAACATACAAATATTTTTTACTAATATAAATATAAATATATGTATATGATTGTGTGATATCCATTTTTTAGTATGATGATGCTAAGAAGTTACTCTTTGAAGCTAGAAACCTACCAGGAATTTCATTTTTTGGTAATACATCTATATATTTGCTAAGCTTAGATGTTATTATACGCAATAATAGTTTGTATAATATGCAACACGAGAATTACGCTTCATACATCGTGGATAGTCTGTTTACATCCAGATGCTTAAATCAAGATCTATTGACGGAAAAATGTAATTACAAATAATAAAATTACTTGCATCTTTATTTAATTTTAAGTGAAATATACACACAAAAGTTAAACTCTATGTGATATTGTTATTGTTATTCTTTTTTTAGGGACAAACCAGGCGGATTATCTTTTCAGTTACGATGTGGTTTTCACTACGGCGATTAATTTAGCCATGAGAATAAATAGTTTATTATCCTTTCGTGGAATTAGCCCGGATTTAGTGCGACATTTAAAGTCAGCACAGAGCTTGGGCGCAGTACTTCGTGTTGCCGAATTGTTGAAATCACTGTGTTATATCGATCTATCGCGTTCACAATTAGACGATTGCGAAGTGAAACTGCAAGGTCTTGAGCACATGTTGGGCCTCGAGACAGTTCAGTCGCCAAAAGTTAAACCCGTCGAACAAACGTCTGCTTATCTCGCCGTGACTCCTACAAAGATTGTGAATGATCCTATCAGAGATACACCTCAGCACAGCGCCTCGCCAATACTCGGCAAAAGAGTTTTCAGCTTGCCAAAATTTACGCTGCATACAGAATGTAATTGCTACATGTGCGACAATGTATCATATCAATATTTAGTTTTTGCCACCACCTATATCAGAGCACAACTATATGCCATGCAAAATCAAGTCGCAATAGCTCTCGATCACTTTTACGGTGCTTTTGAAATAAGGCAGAGATTGTTCAAAGAAGAGGAATCGGTTTTGTTCGAAAACCGGCCTGATAACAAAACCGGCGTGAAGCGATTTTCTTGGCAAACACGATTCTATATCATCGATTATATTCATTTATTGATCGATTTCTGTTATTTTCTGAAAACAAATGTACCATCGAGGCAACAGAATGCGTTTGATATCGCCAATTTAGCGATCGATATATGTCACAAATATAAATTAGAAGGACATCCCGTCTACATGTCGGCTAAAGAATTAGCGTTGGATAATGATTTTCAATCGATAATGGAATTTTTAGATTGTTCAAGTATGTATATTGCTTAACATGTAACATTTTTTCTATCAAGGGGTCTACTATGTATCTCGAAAGTAGTGAAAATGTGAAAAGTGAGCAAATTTACTAGAATATTTATAATTTCGTTAGTCAACATCTAGTAAATTTGCTCATTTTTCACATTTTCACTCCTTTCGAGATACATAATAGATCTCCAGGATCTAGCTTTGAAGATTTTTTATATAACGACTTATCTGTTACAGCGTTTACAGTCCCGCAACCACATGACATTGATGTAACTAGATACACAAAAGCTTCAACTGACTCGAACGTTTGTGTTACGCCATCCGCTCAGAATCATCAACCCAAAAAACCTCTCTCGATCCGACGTAAAAGAAGTCCAGTAGCTTTAAATGTAGCTAAAATTAATATAATTTGGAGTGACGATGAAGATGACGATAGCTTGTCACCACCATTAATTACGCGCTCAACTAGAAAATTAAAGATTACAGGTGCAAAATTAACGACGAGAAAAAATTTGGAAGAAGATTTATCCGATGACGATAATTCAAATATAAAAGATTCTACACCGAAAAAAACAAAATCGGAATATGATCTAAATGGAGGAGATAGTACACAGAAAAAATCGACAAAAGATATTATAATTAAAATAGTGCCTTTAGTTCCAGATATTTCAGAAACCTTGATGGATTTGATAGACAAATCAGATGTACCTGCTACAATGGAAAACATTGATGAATTGATAAAAAAAGTAGAAAGTCTCAAAATTAACTCTAGAAAAACGCCAAGGAGAATGAATCTTGGAGATAAAACAAAATTAACAGTTGCTGATCATAATAAAAATGTAAATCAAGCCCTTGAATTACTGAAAGATATAGCTATAAATGAAAAGGCAGATGAAAATATTGATCCTCTAACACCAACAAAAATCGATAAACAGATACAAGATCAGAAGACTCCACAGTCTGAAAGAAAATTTTTTAAAACTGGAATATTGAAAAAATATGAAAACGTAAAATTAAATATAAATAATGAAACGCACAATATAAGAACAAGATCCAGTCTTAGGAAAGCTAAAGAGAAACTATGATGGAGATACTGTAAAAACTGTGTATCTTTCAAAATTTTGTAAAACACAATGACTGTATATTTCATAACAAAAAATTGAATCATTATTTTTATACAAGGAATATATCAAAGATGTAAAAATATGAAAAATTTATTTAAGTTAGACGATTATAGATTTCACATGTATTTATTTCTAATAGGATAAAAATTATATTTAAAGATTCTATTTTAGCCTTTTATTACATACTTAATAAATAAAATGATTTTGTTCTGCAATTAAATATCCTTTCAATTATAAACTCATTCAATATTTTCGACATTATTTCATATGTTTTTCATCTTATCGTATTTATTATTATTCTTAACACAAGTATCACACAAGTTTTTATTATAACATAGTAATCAACGTCTTATAACATACCTAACATAAAAACTGTGGCGTTGCAAAGGAAATTAACATGTAGATATGTTTACATGCTTATTATACAATATTGTTTTGTAATGTAGAAAGTAACTAAAAAACCTATTAGATACTTTTAGTAAATTGATTTGATAGATCGATTGTATGGATTATCATGTGTTAAATTTAAAATTTTTTGATTTCTTTGATTTACTTTTTGAACTGTTTTCAGAATATTACATGGAAGAAAATTAATTTCTCGTTTTATACAAGTATAATACATTAACACATGAAATTAAAAAATTCAGAAAAAAAATCCCAATTATAGAATAAACACAATTTATCGCGTAATAGTAAAGAGTAATAATATAATCAATATAGAAAGATGTGTCATAGAACTGAAACATTCTTAATCAGGCCACTTTTGCGCTTGTAATGAATTGTCATGCGAGTATGGACATAGGAGCTTTTTCTGTTTTTCTTGCGTATAAAAATAACAAAGTTATAATAATCAGAATAATCACAGTCTATATAAATGGCTATGATGATAATTCTAAAGCCGTGAAACATTCGTTGTTTATATCATGTTTAAGACTTAAAATCTTTGCTTCTTCCTGCGTCTTAGCCAATTCCATCAGTGCCAGAGCACCTAGCCATTTCTTATTGTCTTCCTGTATTGGTGACTTGGTTATATTGTTCTCTGTCTTAATATCAATTATTTTCGTTTCCGTTCTATCAACATTCGTTACAGTAGGTATTGTTGAAACGATCTCTACTTTGTTGCTGCTTGAACTACCAGCCAACATTAACACTGTTGGTCTCGTTTCGTTTTCACTGATGTGAAAATTGGTTGATGTATCTTGATTCGCTATCTCTTTATAAGGAGAGATGTGATCTGTGTAGTCGATATGAATCAATTCGGAATTTTCAGTGTTTGCAATGTATTCATTAATACTAGTTTTAAAAATACTCTGATTACTTGGCAAGGTACTTGGTGACTCTAAACAATTCCAATCGTTTAAAGAATCGTCAATCTTATATAGATGCTTCTCCGTTGTTTTTGAAGACTCATTATTCTGATTCATGTCCCATATTTGAGAAGAGACATAAGAAGATTCCAATTGTGCATTTTGAATTATTAGTTCGTTGTCCATATTCGATATAGATGTAGTATTGTCCGCGACAGAATTGTCTTGAATGAGTGACGTGTACCAATGTAACTCGGATGATTCCGTGGATCCATTCAGACTCTGCTTCTCATCAATTTTGTATACAGAGGTTGCACCGTTAGATCTAACTTCCCCGTTTAAATCTAACTGTGCTTGTTCTAAGCAAGCGTATCGCAGCCATCGCTTCTTTGGTTGTAATCTATCCAAAGGCCTTCTCAATGGCGTATTCGCCAACTTGGCATTTGTTGCTTCTTCGTCTTCGGATGTTTGCAGTATTGCGCAGCATGTTCCTGTCGGATCTTCATCTTGGCTTTCTTCCTGACTATCTTGACTCTCACTACAGTATAGGCGTTGACTTGGTGGTTTGCGATCGAGATTTTCTTGCTCTCCTGCCATATCCATCATCAGGCCTTTTCTAGATTTTATCCTTTTGTGGTTCTCGGCGGTGCTCTTCCACGTCTTTTTCTTTCGTTCATTCTTCCCGGTTGGTGTTCTTTCCTCTCGTTCTCTCGACATCTTGTAACGCTCCAACCATCGAGTAACATCATGCGGCAATTCCATGTTTTCAGATACTGGTTTTAATACAAAATCATCCGACCTTGTTAAATTTGCATAAGGATGATCAGGACAATGTCTATTGGCATGAGTAAATCTCGTTTCACAGCCTGGCTCGGTACATAAAAATGGTTTCTCTCCTGTATGTAGTCGTTGGTGAGTCTTTAACTGTCCCGATTGAGTAAAAGCCTTTGTGCAGCCAGGATAATCGCATAAATATGGACGTTCTCCTGTAATTATAAATGTTTTAAAGTTATAACATATATTAAATTCATATATTATCTAATGTAATATAAAAATGAGTCATTTATAACACTTAATAAACTACAAATTAATGTAGAATCTAGTAAGCAAAAATTGTTTTAGAAAGTTTTTAATATCATTAATATAGCTCATAATTTTCGATATAATAATGAAAAATAGTAATGAACCAAGAAAAAAAACTACATTATCTATACATATTCATACAGCATAAAACATTGCAGCAATATTGCGGCAATATTGCAATCAATGTTGCTGCAATGTTACAATAACAATAATATTGCTGCAATATTCTGTGCTGTATACATTTAGCACTTCACGGATATCAGTTTCCTTCGATTAATCCCGCATTCACAAAAAAATGAAAGGAAAATCATATTAGAAGAATACAATATATCACAAACAAGACGTATTTTCGAGAAACAAATTTAAACACGACGCACGGATGATCGAAAAGCGTCGCTGTAGCCTCTTTTTGTTGTCCATAGACAAAGACCGCGTGTCGTAACGGATCGCGCGTGCACGTTCCTCCCTCTCTCGCCCTCTGTCCCGCAGCCGCAAATATTAAAATCCGCGCGCAACTCGCACGCCGACGCGGTCGCCGCGTCGTAATTTCGCGCGCAATCGGCAAACATTGGCCACGCAGTGGACTCGTAAATGCGTTACGCCGAGAGCGAGACACGCGAGGCGAGCCATTTAAGTATTTAAAGCGCGGCATGATGGCCGATTGGCGGGACGCGAGCACGCGAGAGGAAGACGGACACGCGACACGCGCGTCGTTTTCTCGCGATCGTTGAATAAAGTCGCGTCGACTTTGAGTGGCGAGGGCTCCGGACGAGCGAATGGCAACGTTCCCGATAGCGCCGAGCCTGGGACGGTGCTCCGGGACGACGCGATCTCTAGTTAATCACCGGTGTGGGTGCGCAGATGCGCCTGCAGACTCTTCTCACGCGGGAACACTCGGCTGCAGTACTTGCACTTGATGTTGCTCGGCGACGTGCTCCCCTGCATCATGAGGTCCGTGAGAGCGTCGGCGCGCGGTCGGCCGCGACGGTGGCTCTCGAACCCGACGCCTTCCCGGTGGCTCCTGGACCCGACGCCGCCGCCCGCACCCGCACCGTGCTCCCTGTACTCGGGCGAGGAACACGAGCTGCCCGGACTGAGATTCACGCGCGCCTCCTCGCCCCAGTTCCACGGGTAAAACGTGTCGCAGGGACTGCGCTCCAACGCCTCCGCTGACGGCCGCGACTCCCGTTTCGGCGTGCGCAGTTCCATGATGCACTCGCTTTCTCACTCACTCGGCCCAACGCCGCCACCTCTTTCACCGCGCGGATTCGTACTTGGTCGCGAGCGGGATAACCGCCCTCGACCGGTTGGCTGACACGAGCGACCTCTTTGCCGCCGCGCGCGGTACGCGTGCCGCGTGCAACGTGCAACTGGTAAACCGCCAAAATACGCACGTATTCGCGCGACCGCGACCGCGCGGTCGAGGGAAATGGCCGACGCGTGCGCGCGCATCCGCAACGACTTATTCAACCGCGTGCGAGAGCCAAGGACGAACGGAATGAGCGAACATGCTCCGCGCGAGATGACTCGTCGAGAAAAGAGGCTTTCCAACATTTTTTTTCCTCTCTATTAAGATGTCACGCTCTGTATATTTTAATACGTGGGCGCGCGTGCAAATACGCGTTGCACGTGCGATCGTCTTGTTGCGTTTCGAGAGGAAATACGCCATGTTAACGTCACAGACACCACCGACCAATCGGAAAGCTCGATAGCTTTAGGATGGTATCCACAGCACGGCAAGCTTCGTCGGATGCATCGATTGGCTGCTATTGATAGAGACTTAAAAAATATCCCTATCCGAGAGCCAATCGGCGTGTTGGAAAAATTCGTCGCGCGACAAAAAGATATCATTCCTAAGCATCCGATTGGTCGATTCTCTCATCTTGTCTCTCTGTATTTTTTACTACGAGCGGTTGCGGATTTTCGACATTTTTTTATCAAAATATATAATAAATATTAAATAATTATATAATAAATGTATAATATATTAATAAATGTGAATCAAGTGTTGTTCGACGAATTAAGATTTTAATTCGATTCGTCGTAACGCGCAATTTAAGCGAGCTGTGAAATGTTGTCATCGCGCGCAAAATCCACGTCAATTCTGATCGAACGCCATCATTTTTCTACGTTTTGGATGACGCGATCGAGGATTGCCATCGTCGAACGTTAGCCGCGACTTTTTACAAGTTTCGAACGCGCCGAATCGCGTTTTACCGGCATCTTTCGTGGCGCTTCTGGAAATCGCGCGACTTCCCGGCGACTTTTGAACAATTGAGAGTCTCTTCGACGCCGGCTCGCTCGTCGTCATCGCACTCGAGCCGGATGAAAATTTCCGGCGCGATTTTTAACGCCTCATCCGACGCGAAAAATGAATCGTTCGATAAAAGGCTAATATTTCTGAAAACGACTTGGTTTCCTAAATACTGGCGAGGGAGATGGCGCGCTAGGCTGCCGCAAGGCGATTAAGCGATCCCTCCCCTCTCCGTACCGTGCCCTAGCGGGATAGACCTAGACCTCGTGGTGGACTGAGCACTGCGATTTCGGCCATATTGGATAGTGAATGTCTGAACTCACACAAGGGCTCGAGAGTAGCCGAAAAGCTCCACAAAATCCTCGACGACGTGAGGATACACATTCAAGATGGAAAACGAGTACACCGTCACGGTCAGGAATAAGTTCCTGCTCGCGCTCGACGAGAGCGAGGATCCTCTCGAGGTGTTAAAAGTGAAGGAACTCGAGAAAGAGGCGAAGAAGAAAGAGAGGATCTCCGAAAAGGAGAATAAAAGCAAGCAGCAGCAGCAGCAACAGCAGCAGCAGCAGCAGGACGGCCAGAAGTCCGCCAACAACAAGACGCCGAAGAGCCGCGTCATCAAGGATGCCCAGCAGCCGCCGTCCAAGACGCAGGATCCTAAAAAGGATCAAGGTTAGTCCCGGTTCTCTCCCTCGCCTCTCCGGCGCCTCGCGCGCGTCATGGCCGTCGACTCGCTCCTCGTGCTCGGCCCATGTGCTCGCCCATCTCTCCCACGATATCCTCGGGAATCCTCGCGATCGCCCTCTCCCGCCCCCCCCGGCGCCTCCCGCGCGCGCCTTCTCGATCGATCGTTCGTTGAATTTCAGCGAAGCGGCGTGTCCGCGATAGCGGCCAGCGGGCATCGCTCGGCTCCATCGGCGACCGCGTGCGCCGCGCCGGGCCGATATTTTCTAAAAATGATTTAAAAATAGGCCCTCCTGCGCCTACCTACTCGACGGTCTTATATGACTCGGAGGCGGCTACGAGTCGAATCGTGTGCGCCCCGAGACTTTTCACTACCGTGGAATATTTTTTTGATTGAGAGATTCGCGAGGCACGGACTCTCCTCTGTCTACCATCTCTCCTTTCCAAGTTCGTCCACGATGTCCGTCTTAAATGAGATTGTGAGATTACACGGGCACAATTTTATATCTTTTGCGTCCGTGCAATGGAGTTTTATAATTTTGAGTGATATTTTTTATTATGCAATATTTATGGATAACAATGGATATAGTTGATTTCTATTGCGCACTTTGGAAATGTTTGTATGATTGATTTTAAGATGCAATAGGTATTAATTTTCAGGTACTATTATTTATGAGATTCTTTGGATATTATTTATTATTTATCTTCAAATTATTTATTAACTTGAAAAATATATAAAGAATTTAAAAGGATTTTTTCAATTAAAGTTTTTGTACAATTAAGCAGGTGAATCTTTATCGGCAAATCATAAATTACATCTATTATATTTATAATATAATAATTGTAATAATTTTATATTTATCTTTTTCAAGTACAAACTTTTAGAAATTTTTCTCTGCTTTTCTCTCATTAAAATTTTTATATAAAGTAGATATTTTCCCTATAAAGTATATATAATTTAATATTTTATAAATAAATACATAATCTAGATATTAAAATAATTTATATTAAAATTGTGCAATAAAATACATTTGTGTTGGAAGTAAATATTTTAATTTAATAAAATATTTATTTACAAAGAAAAAATTTCATATTTAAATGCTTTTTATATTAATATTTTAGTCGAGAAAAAATCAGTCCAACCAAGGACAAGTGGTGGTGATCGCAATGTAAAGTTCTCCAATGAATCCAGAGAAGAGCGTAACAATAGACGTAATCGTGAAGAAGGAGAAAAACCACGAGGGCAAGGAGAGTTTAGGAGGGGTCCTCCTAGGTTAGTTTTTATAAAACAAGCAGTAAATATTACACGATTGTAGTTGAGATGTTTGGCCACTCTGTTCTAAATTATTCACATTATGCAAAAAGTTTAAATATTTCATTTAGAAAAAAAATTTATATTTATATAAATTATATAATTGCAATACATTAGCAATGTCTTTTGATCAAATGTTAACAGAACAGAATATATTTTATGTATATTGTATATAATTGAAACAAAATGTAATTATTAATGTAGATAAATGATATTCAGATGTGAAATATCTGCAATAATAATGTAATTATGTTTCAGTGAAAATCGCGAACCGCGAGAATTCAGGAATTCGAGTGAAACTCAACGCACTGAATACGGGGAGCGCCGTGGCCGTGGTGGTATGCGTGGTATGGGACGCGGACGTGGTGGCCCACGTGGACGTGTTGGTTTCGATAATCGCGGCAAACGTGAATTCGATCGCCAGTCCGGTTCCGATAAAACGTAAGTTTTAAAATATATGCAATGATGCATATGCACATACATACAGAGGGAGAGAGAGAGACAAAGCATACTTGGATATCTCTACATGATAATGTTCGCCTCGAGGTTAGCATATGCACTATATCAAGATAGTAATTATAGTCAATACCAAGTTATTTTTAAAGCACCAATAAACAAGAATATTTCTATTTTCATTGCTTTATATGCTGAATTCTTAATTTCATTTTGTTTAATTGTATTAATATTTGATTTTATTCATTTTAATTATTCTAATTTTATATACAATAGCTGAATAGCTTCTTTCAAATGTCTCTATTCTGTTACATGAATTTGTTAATTATATAAATAAACAGAAATCTTAATACATTTGTAACAATGTATGCATTATTAATTTTGTAATAACGTTATATATTATGCAACTTAATGTTTATTAATGTATATTAAATCTTAAACTATTTCATTGTTTATCTATTAACAGTGGTATTAAACCGGTGGACAAGAAAGATGGTGCTGGCAGTCATAACTGGGGCACTCATAATGACGAGATTGAGTAAGTAGTTAATACTTTGAATTTCTTATGGCTAGAGCATACACAGCTACCATAAGTATAGTTTTTTGAATCAAAAGACAACATATCTTAATTGTTATTTATTTTTTTTTTCCAGGGAAAGCCTCAATCAGGAAACTCAAGAATGGAACAATGAAAAACCAGAAACCGATCCTCAAGCACCAACTGAAGTTAAAAATGGAGAAACGGCCGCGGATACGACTGTCGAAGAGAAACCGGTCGAGGAGGAGACACGCGAACTTACTCTGGACGAATGGAAAGCTCTGCGTAGCACCCGAGCAAAGCCTCAGTACAATCTTCGAAAGGCTGGTGAAGGCGAGGATTTATCACGTTGGAAAAAGATGTACGCTCTTGAAAAGAAAAAAGAGGGCAATGAAGAGGAGGATGAGGAAGAAGAGGAGTACGACGCTGCCGCCGAGTACCCTCAGCGCGTTGGCAGACAAAAGCGTGTATTAGGTATCGAAATCCAATTTAGTGACTCGCGACGTGGTTCTGGTGGTCGTGGCCGAGGTGGCCGCGGTCGTGGCGATCGCATGAACGGACGTGGATTTGGAAATCGTGGTGCCCCGAGAGATAGCGAGTCACGCGTGAGTATATTATATAATGTATTATAAAAGTTTTTGTTTTTCTTTTTAAAAAAAAAAGATTGTATAAATCATGTGTATTTTTCGTTCGCAGCCGCAAAATGAACAAAGGTCACCGCGAAGTCGTCAAAATGCTCCAAAAGTGGACGATGAGAATGACTTTCCTTCCTTGGGATAGATAGCTTCATCTATTTACTATACAACATCCCACCATTGTCACCATCAATACATCTATTACGATAAAGCTACACTAAAAAAAAACAAATATTGCTATCAAGAATTTTGCGTTAGTGATATCATTATTAATGCATAATACACAGTACAGTTGCAGAAATGAGATACGTAATAATATCTAAAAATTCCTTTCATGGCTTGAATGCCATTGTTATATATATTGGAATATATTCGTACACACAAAAAATGTACAATGTATGAACATGAAAAAAATAGTTAAAATGATTCTTTTTTTGCACTTGTGAGGAGCCATTTTGTCAATAACTAGTCTGAGACATCGGCTAATGGATAACTCAGTCCTATACTCTTCCATCGAAATCGAGGTCAATATTGCAGCTCGCATTCCTCTATTTTTTGTGTACAGCAAAATTTTTCTTTCTCTCAGCAACTCTATTCGATTCGGATTTAAACAGATTAAAATTTCTCTCTCTTTCTCTTTTTTAGAAAAGATGCTATTTTTCAAGCATGTTTGCTGGTCCGCTTAAATTTTTTGCTCTTCCTCAATCTTTTTATATATTCTTCCTGTGATCTTTTTTGAATTCAAGATTGTAACAAATTCATGGAAGTTGTTTCCTTCTTCACAGATTATTCATCCGCTGGCCAATGTCTCAGATTAATTGCAAACAAATGACTTCCCATGAATATAAAAAAGAATCATTATCTCTATTTATTTCTCTTGCTCATACATCATACATTTTTTCTTTATATTCATACACATGCTTATGTATGAATACATGCGCCAATATGTAACAGTGGCGTTCAAATTACAAAAAGATGTGGAAAGCCGTCTGTAACTAGTCTGAGACATTACTCATCGGAAGAAGATCTGTGAAGAAGGAAACACAACTTCCATGAACTTGTTTGTAATCTTGAACTCGATTGAAACTTACGGGAAGAATATATAAGAAGATTGAGAGAGAAAGAGAGAGTTTAATTGGACTAGCAAATATGTTTGAATAGCATATATTTCAACTAACAATTTCAATCTATTTAAATCCGAATTGAAGACTAGAAAAGTTACGGAAAGAAACGAAAAAATTATGATGTACACAAAAAAATAGAAGAATACGAATTGCGGTATCGATTTCGATGACGCGTTAAAAGGCCTAAGGGAGGCTGGATATAGCATCGATACGTGCGCGAACATGTATAATATCTCTTTTTAGGCGTAAATTTTAAACGCACTTTCTGTTTTATAAGTTTTATACGATATTTGGAAAAGAAGTCCTTCCTCTCGTAACCGGCAGGTTTAATCACTTGTCATGTGTAAGATGTAAGAAACTTTTAACAGGAAGGGTATATTTCTATTTAAGAAAAACACATCGTATTAGAAAACAAATCATCTTTAAAATATGCTAAGTTTGACTTTATATATATATGTATACATAGAAAGAGAGAGCGAGAGAGAGAAAGAGAGACTTCCTTTTCGAAACTGAAGTCGATTTGTGAGGACTATATTTAAGTAAACTTATCTTGAATATGCATTGACAGTGTTTTAGGTATCTATACATATATGGATATACATATACATATATGTATTCTATGATAAATTGAAAACAGTGAGATGGTGCGCCAGGAAGGAAGACAGAACGAATGAGTCTACACTCATTATTACGTTATACTTACGCGTTCTTATATTCTTAATTACGAACTAATATTAGTTATTTACTATATATTTGTTATACAATTAAAGAAATAATCGCAGCCAAAAGATTCATCTCTTGTTCATTATAGAGACAAAAAAAAGAGAACAGGAAAACTTTATGGAACTGTTTGAAATTTAGGTACATGTGTAAATAACATTTACAATAATAAATTGTGACGATGATCGGATGACTTGTGTGAATTCGATTGGTAATTGTATCTGTGGGTAATAAGACTAGGCAAATGTATACTTTTCTCTTTTCTTCATCCTTGTACAAGGGAGAAAACGTAAGTACAAAGGTATATACTACTTGAATCTTGCGCGAAAGGGAAAAGATCTTTCCGATTTCGAGAATTTACTATAAGTTCTGGCAGCAATGTGATTGTTTTTCTTTTGCCAAGTAACTGAAAATCAATTTCATATTTTAAAAATATTAGATCGTTTGAATTTGCCGCCTGTACTCGTAACAAACGCCATTTCGATCGTACGGTACTAATTTCAGGTTCTAGAATTGTGTCGAATGTGCTATTCAATTTTTTATTTTTCCTGTACTACTGTGTACAAATTGCATGTAATTTTTATCAGATTAAATATATAAATAGTTATATTTAGAATAATGTCAAATATAACCGATACGATTAAAAAGCATAAATGTATGGAATAAACTTTCGCTACAAAATAAGTAAAGCAAGATGTATACAAATCAAAGAAAGAGAAAGATAAGATGCGCGTATAAATGCATACAGAATGTATCAAAAGTTGCACTTCTCGTTGTGTGATCTCTATATAAATCAAAAGCTAAATGAAAAATATTGATAATTATTTCTATCGTGTATGTACACGCACAAATGATTTCTATATATAATACTATTTGTAATTAAAATAAATTTCAAACTTGACAGCTTTAGAAATGCGCGTGGAAAAGGAAGGAGAAACCTATTTCTACCAAATAACTTTTTGAATTTTACTTTAACGAGTTATAATTTGGAGAACTCGGTACGTGTATACCTCGCTATATTTAATTTAGAAATAAATATTTTGAAAAAAGGATAAACAGAAATATAATTCTTAGACGCTAACTTTGCGAGAGGGAGGAAGTTTCAGGACTTCCTGCGTATACATGTATACGGCGAAAGAGAGATGAATGAGTAAAGAAGAGAAAGAGAGGCATCGATACGTGTTCTCGGGGAAGAAGAGACCAGTCGGTAAGAGGGTGAGAGAAGGGGAGAAGGGAAGAGCGGCGCATGCCGTAGCCACGTCCCCGTCCCCTCCCCCTCCCCGACGACTCTAAAACTCGTGCGGAGCAGATGAGAGCAGAGAGCAGAGCCCCCGTGTCGGTCGAATTTTAATGGCGGCCGATCCCGACTCCGCCGTTTGCAGTGTTGTGTTGTGAGGTGACACGGACGGCCGCTCGGCGCTCGCGCGGCGTCGACGTATGATATCGAGACGTTACGCGATCATCGTCGCGGATCATCGTCCGGTGACAGTCCCCGGGACGGCGCGGGTGTGCGTTGTGCGAGTGCGGTGGCCACGGCGGCAGCGACAGCCCGTTCGTGGTGGCGACCAGTGGCCTCTGTACGAGAACCGGGAGCGAGCCTCCTCTGCGCGGGCATGTCGCATATCCGCGATGTGCCGTAGCGAACGTCGCATCGTTGCACGAGCCTCGTAGCGTGCGTGCACATCCACGAGCAAGGTAAATTCGCCAGCAAACTCGGCCGCGAGCCGAGGTACGGTGGCGACCCTGGCGTCTCGCCCGTTGATTGTTGCTCGCGCGACAGGCCGCGCTGTACACGCGGATTCCGCGTCTCTCGCCTCGCGGAATCGACGAGTCTTCCTTTCCGCTCCCTCGCGGGATCCTCGCGGATCCCCCGCAACCGTCGCGGCCAGGTCGTGTTTTGGTATCGCGACGTGATCGCGGTGAGAACGAGATGAGGAGAACGGGAGAGGGGGGAGGTGATGGCGGCGGAGGAGGAGGAGGGTGGTGGAACGGGGATGGTAATCCTTGCCTCTTTGTGCGAAGACAGTGGCCTTTAGCTGTCAAGTGCAGCTACGTACGCTGGTCACGCTAATGAAGGACGGGGCGTGTTACGGTATTGCCCGAAATTCGCGAAGCCATCTGTCTCCCCTCATTCCTCCCCTCCCCTCGCTTCTCCTCCCATTTTCCTCTCACCACTCGTCGCGTGTGCTTTTTCATTGTTAGCTCGAGATGAGAGTATCATTTAACGAAATAACTGAAGAAAAAGTAGACAAAACAAAACGAGTGTGTTGAAAGGGGAAAAGTGATCCGAGTGCCTAAATAATTGGACTAAACTGGTTGAAGGCACATTAAATATATTTAAAAAAAAAAAAAAAAAAAAAAAAGTTCGATGAGCTGCCTATTTACGCTCCTTGACAGCCGACGAGTACAACGGCGAGAAATGGAAGCTCGTTTACACGACGAACGCATGACATTTTATTTCGGATTTAATTGTTTCACAGTGTTTCGTCGCGAGTGATAATCTTTTTTTCAATATTGCACTCTAGACTATTAAAGTCGCTGTTGTGCATTTTTTTAAGGTTATTTTGAAAAATGCAGCTTTGCTATATATTATTAGTTTACTGCAAAAGTTGGCAAAAAAAAAATTAGATACTGCAATATATTTTGAACATAATAAAATCAAATATAGATGTTGAAATATATTTTGAAAATAATAAAATCCAATGTAATAAAATTAAAAATGCATGTTGAAGAATAATAATTGTAAAATAAATGAATATACGAGCTTTAATATTTTAAATAATTAACTGACACATATAATGTAATTTATCTGTTGTGTTTCAGGAGTACCAGACAATGATCGACATGTCGGTGCCTAGATTTAAGCACAGCTGGTAGTACTGCGTTAACACTGGCTCGCTACCAGCATAGCAGGACACGCATCCCAATACCATACCTTTTACATTTCCTACCTTAGACCTGCATACGCACTGACGCACACGTGTAACGTGTGCGCATGTGCTTTGTCAGTTGTCGCATACACACCATGAGATTCCTGGGACTTACCCAGTCATTTCCCAAATCGTTCATTGTGACACCTCCGCTGCTGTTCGTTTATCGATCATCCTTTTCATCCATGTCCATTGCCACATGGTTCCTAGTGATACTGGCGACTGCGGCGATAGATACTCCTGCTAGCACTGTCCCACTGATGCAGGATAATAAATCACCGCATATATTGGCACAGTTTCCAGCGGAGAATGGACAGCGATATGGACATTTCCCCTTGGAAGCCAATGCAACTAGAGAGGGAGCTTTGAGATTTAACCATCTCACCATAGATCCTTCCATGGGAAGACTCTATGTGGGTGCAGTCAACAGACTCTTTCAACTTGATTCGAATCTCAAATTGGAAGAGCATGTCTCAACAGGTCAGTTATTTTCTTTCACATTTTGGAATACAACATTGTAACACAAATAACGAAATAATTATTGATTTCTCTTTCATTTTTCAGGCCCGAGAATGGATAATCCTCAGTGTCATCCAACAGGTTGCACGGCAAGAGACATAACTCCCTCTCTAATGGATAATGTGAACAAGCTACTAATTGCCGATCTCGAGTCGCAGACATTAATCGCCTGTGGCTCTCTTCTTCAAGGTGCTTGTGAAAAATACAAAATAGCCAACATATCTGTCAAGCCAGAGTTTATCCCCCTCAGCGTGGCCGCTAATGACGAAAATTCATCCACGTACGCTTTCATCGGGCCCGAAAAGTATAATTCATGGGGGCAAACGAACATTCTCTATGTGGGAACGACGTTTACTAATAAAGGAGATTATCGTCACGATGTACCTGCCATCTCTAGTAGAAATCTCGACAAGCTGGAGTTTGCAGAGTATACATTCAATAAACAATCAATTGTGTATATCGATGTCAAGTATCGGGATCACTTTCTCGTGAAATATGTGTATGGTTTCAACGCGAGCGATTACGCGTATTTTGTTCTGGTGCAGAAACAATCGTATTTGCCCGAACAAGAGGAACTGGGATACATTTCCAGATTAGCGCGAAGTTGTATAAGCGATCCGAATTACGATAGTTACACAGAAGTAACCCTACAATGTACAGTCGATTTGGGGGATGGAAAACAGCATTATTACAACTTGATTCAGGATGCAAAAGTCGCTGCAGCGGGCAGCGATCTGGCTATGCAACTCGGCATTTCCGTGGGCGATCCGGTGTTCGTTACCGTATTTTCGCCCAGTAGAGGCATCACGAACGAAGCTTTATCACGTTCGGCAGTTTGCATATACAGCCTGCAAGATATCGAAACCAAGTTCAACGAAAATATTCACATGTGTTTTAATGGTAGCATCAAGTATCGAAATATGGGTTACGTTAGCGGTCCTATACAAGACGGAAAATGTCCTACTGCTGGTGTAAGTAAATGAATAATTAAACGGATAAACATCTCATACAATTTGTCATTTTTTTATATCGATCGTTTTGCTCTCTTTGCAGACCACAGGAAACATTCTTAACTTTTGCGAAGTTGGACTGAAAATTTCGGGCGTATCACCAATTACGGGCCAAGCCATCTTGCATTTTCCTGATACATTTATCTCTTCGATAACCATCGCCAATACCGAAAGCCACACTGTAGCATTTTTCGGTACAAACGATGGCGTTCTTAAGAAGGTTTTGCTGTCTGGAACCGAAGCATTCGTTTATGAAAGTGTTACAATCGATAAGGGACAAAAACTATTGCCAGATACATTGATTTCACCTGATGGCGATTATATATATGTGTTGTCCACTTCGAAAGTATCAAAGGTTAAAGTGGAACACTGTAGTGGTTACACTAATTGCAGCAGTTGCCTTGATGCAAAAGATCCTTATTGCGGCTGGTGCTCTTTGGAGAAGAGGTAATAGATTAAATTTGTACATAAAACTATAAAACTATAAAATTATATATAATCTTATTTCTCGAGGTAAAAGAAATTATATATATAAAATTGTATCACACATTATTTATACCGATAATAATTCAAGTACCTCGTTGATCATTGCTATAGGTGTACCATAAGGGGAGATTGTCAGAAAGCGAGTCACAGCAGTCCACGATGGTTATCCTTGGGTACAGGTCAACAATGCATCGATTTCGAGCAGGTGTTACCCGATCGTATGCCTATTAATCAGATGACCACGGTACAATTAACAATCAGAACTTTGCCGGAATTACCAACGGGCGCTAATTACAAGTGCGTTTTTGGTAACGCCGAGCCAATAGATGCGCTGATGACTGGTTTCGGATTGTCTTGTCCAACCCCACCCGTCATGGAGAGACCCAGTATTCCCGAGGGCACCGATCATGCGCTCGTACCGCTGTCCGTGCGATCGAGCGAGACGAATAAAGATTTCGTTTCGCGTAACTTTGCGTTTTTCGATTGCTCGAGACATACCGTGTGTACCGAGTGTGTAAAGTCACAATGGGCATGCAGTTGGTGCGTCTATGATAACAAATGCACTCATAATACTAGCTGTCAGGGCATTATATCGGGAGAAAATGTAAGTTGCGTTTAATTTAGTTATATCTATGTTTTTTGCATAAATTTATCTTGTACTATAATAGATATCCTTCTCTTTTTTTCAGCAAAATCAAATCAACCTTGCTCCGCAAGGCGCACGGCACTGTCCGAGATTCGTAGAACGCAAAGAACGATTGAGGCTGCCGAACAGCGTGCCCAAGGAAATAGTGCTCGAAGTAGAAAATCTGCCACATCCGCAGGTAGGCCATAGCGGATTCCAATGTATCGTCAGTATCGAGGGTGCCAATCTGAAGGTACAAGCTCGCGTGGACAGTAGCCGTCTCATCGTGTGTGACAAGACAGTATATTCATACGAAGCGGTCACCGGCGAATATGAGGCCGAAGTGACAGTTGTCTGGAACACAAATCACCATGTGGACAAGACTACGATAATTTTGTACAAATGCGAGGTGCTCGGCTCGCATCGCGAACACGCGGACTGTTCCCTGTGCGTGACGCGGGACGCTCGATTCGAGTGCACTTGGTGCGGGAATAGCTGCGTGTATCGGCACTCGTGTCTGCAGTCGCCGTTTGCTGAGTGTCCGAAGCCTCGGATAGATATGATCAAGCCGTTAAGCGGTCCGGTCGAAGGTGGAACGCTGGTGACTATAGAGGGCAGCAATCTTGGGTTGAAGGAGAGCGACGTGGAGGGTAAGATACACATCGGTAAAACTCCATGCACTTTGGTAGATTACGAGGTATCGGTGCGCATCGTCTGCCGCACCGGTCGGCACGAAGCCACAGACGCGGCGTCTGTTATGGTTGGAAATGACGCCGGTTTCACGGAAAGCGCAGTGCTATTCAATTATAAAGACATACGCCTGACAGGCGTATATCCGTCAGTCGGACCACAGAGCGGCGGTACGCAGTTGGCTATCACCGGTAAGTATCTAAATATTGGCAGCGCGATATCTGCGTACCTTGATGAGCTGCCATGTCAGGTAAACGCGACTCAAGCGAGCAGCACGAGACTGACTTGCGTGACTAGTAAATCGGGCCGCGTCAGGCGAATTCATAAATTGACGTTGAATATCGATGGTGCAAATCGCACTCTCGTGGACAATCCGTATAATTACACTCATGATCCGACCATAATGGAGATTAAACCCTTGAGAAGCTTTGTTTCGGGCGGCCGTATGATCACCGTTCACGGAACGAATTTGGATACTATTCAGAAACCTGAAATGGAAGTTTACTTTGACAACGAGCCGTTGCCAATAAATAGAACCGTTTGCACCGTCCTCAATCCTACGCAAATGGAGTGTCCGAGTCCGAGTATTACCAAGAGATTCACCTCAATCCGACGTAACGAACGTTCAGCGGTTGCCAATGTTCAAGGCACTTCGTCGCCGCAATCATCAAGACTGAAGGAGTCCCACTTGTCTCTCAAAATCGCCTTCATCATGGATAATGTAGAAAGTGTGAGAGACTTGGAAAAGCACTTTCAGAATCTTCGTAATCGGTTGTTTTACGTCGAAGATCCGAAATTTTTCCCATTCCCACGGAATGTTAAATTATACAAGGGCGACACATTGGTGATTGAGGGCGAGAATCTCAACTATGCCAGCGACGAATCTGACGTGAATGTCACCGTTGGCACCATGCCGTGTAATGTGACGTCGCTCGCTCTCACGCAATTAGTTTGTACTCCACCGGATCAACAACCCGCCGATACGGACGAACTCGGCATCAAAACCGAAAGTGGGTTGCCGTTGGTAGTGGTACGAGTCGGTCGTAGTTTACGTTTCCCCATTGGTTATCTACGCTATGAAGTCATCAAATCATATACGATACCTCCAGAAGCGATCGCCAGCATCGCCGCCGGTACTTTCGGTCTCATCTTTCTGTTTATATTGGTGTTGGTCATTTATCGTCGTAAGAGTACTCAAGCAGAGCGCGAATATAAGCGTATACAGATACAAATGGACACGCTCGAAAGCAATGTCCGGATGGAATGCAAGCAAGCATTCGCAGAATTGCAGACGGACATGACGGACTTGACTGCGGATCTCGAATCGTCAGGCATACCTACTCTTGATCATAAAAACTACATCATGAAAGTGTTCTTCCCTGGAGTGATAGATCATCCTATATTAAATGATCCGCGCTCTCGCAGCAATGTCTCGCGTACTAATTATGATGCAGCAATGATACAGTTTGAACAACTCGTCAACAATAAATATTTTGTGTTGACGTTTATAGAAACTTTGGAAGCACAAAAGGACTTTAATATCAGGGATAAAGTAAATGTCGCCTCCTTGCTCATGGTAGTCTTAATGGGAAAGATGGAATACGCCACAGATATCCTGATGAATCTATTATTGAGATTGATTGACAAAGCGGTGAACACGAAGCATCCGCAACTTATGCTAAGACGAACGGAATCTGTAGTAGAAAAAATGTTGACAAATTGGATGGCGCTTTGCATGTATAACTATTTGAAGGACTACGCTGGCTCTTCCTTATTTTTGCTTTTCAAGGCAATCAAGCATCAGATTGAGAAGGGACCGGTGGATGTAATTACACACGACGCAAGATACTCCCTCTCGGAGGAGAGACTTTTGCGCGAGCAGATTGAGCATACGATCGTCACGTTGCACGTAGTACAGGACGATCTCGATGAGAAGATACAGTGCAAGGTCCTGGATTGCGATACCATAAGCCAGGTAAAATCCAAGATCCTCGACGCTCTGTATAAGAATACTCCGTTTTCGCTGAGGCCGTCCGTACATGATGTTGATTTAGAGTGGCGGCACGGTCGTGGTGGTCACTTGACCCTTCAGGATGAGGATCTCACGACCAAGTGCTGCGGCGAGTGGAAGAAGATAAATACATTAGCGCATTACGGCGTCAAAGAGTCAGCTGTAATGTCACTGATCCCCCGGCAGAACGACGGTTTCTTGGTAGCGTGCAAACCACCCTGCCAAAATTGTAAGCCTTCGCATTATCACCCGCAACAGCAACCGTCGAATCACCCGCATCACCCGCCGTCGCACCATCTACATCGACACTCGAATCACTGTTCGTCCACGCATCTTCCATCCACACCCAATCACGGGCTAATCAGTCCCGTGATGTACAATCATCCTATGAGCGGTCTATATTTTGACTCTCAACATTCGCCGCCCATTATAACGGCAAACGGTGACGTTGAGAGCGGTCATGGCGGTAACCAGCGGCTGTACCATCTGGTGAGGCCTATCGAGGACGTGCATTATCCTCCCGGCTTAGGCTTTAACAGTAGCAGCAAGCATCATCATCCCGAGAGAACGCACAAGGCGATCCCGGAGATATTTCTCACGCGATTACTCTCGACCAAGGGCACTGTACAAAAGTTTGTCGATGATTTTCTAAACACCATACTGACCGCCAACGAGGCGCTGCCAAGCGCGGTCAAGTGGTTATTCGATCTCCTCGACGAAGCAGCCAAACAGCACGGCATTATCGATCCAGAGGTGCCGCACGCGTGGAAATCGAACAGCCTGCCACTCCGATTCTGGGTAAATTTCATTAAGAATCCGGACTTTATGTTCGATATCAACAAGTCCACAACAGTGGACTCGAGTCTCTCCGTGATCGCGCAGACGTTCATGGATTCGTGCTCGATGACGGAACACAGACTGGGCAAAGACTCGCCGTCTAACAAGCTGCTCTTCGCCAAGGACATACCGCACTATCGTGAGAAAGTGGGTCGATTTTACACAGATGTGCAGAGATTGCCGCAGATCACCGACCAGGAGATGTCTAGTGCCATGCAGCAATTGAGCGCATCTCACGCCAACGAGTTTGATGTGATCGCGGCACTGAAAGAGCTCTACATCTATGTCAGCAAGTATTATGAACAAGTAAGTAACTTGATTTTTTCTTGTCAATTTTTCGACATACGAAGGTTAGCGACAAAGTTTGCTAATACCATTGTTTCGCTAATTCATTCCAGATCCTAGAGGCCTTGGAGACAGATGCGGGCTGTCGTAAACTACACCTAGCTCATAGACTAGAAAATGTAGCGTACACGCTCGAGGGAGAAGAGACCAGTGCCTGCTGACATACCCTCCTCACTTCCATCCCAGGACCCGTCAACCTCTCCAGAAACACTGACTAGTGCCTCCACTTCATGCATCAGATACACCTCGTTACATATGTACAAATATTACACAAATACAACACACCATGTGAATAACAATGCCGTAAAAAGAGATACACGCGATTTCGTTAGGGCTAGTCAGGCGATAGGTCACGGGATTAGAGACACAGTCCTCGTGGTTGTATTTTACCGTCTTTACGTGTTGGCCATACCGAAATACGCTTGTAAACATGTATGGATATTGGTACGGCAATATGTACGCGCCTCTGATCCTTCAATTACGATGTTGGATAGATGCCTATTGTGAATCTCTCTCTAGAAATCGAGTAAGGTAGTATTTATATATGAATCTCTCATTAAGTAAGGTAATATTTATATGAATATCTCTTATCGAATTCGAATCTCAATTCGTAGAATTAACCTTTTCGCGGACGATTGTTGTTATCGTAGTGAGAGATAATTTAGTTCTAAGTAATTAAATTATTTTTAAGGCTCTGGAGTAGTCACCGCGGCCATCTTCAATTCGTGAAGTCATAAGCGAGAAAGGACACCCAGATTTATATTGCCTGATATAGAATAGACTTAGACTGACATCTGACTCTAAATAAAAACATATTTGAATGAAATAAGACTACCAATCTCTTCAGCACACCTGTAAAAATGGACGGATACTAATCCTTTCCTTTCACAATTTATAAATAGCCGTAAATTGAGTCCGAAATGAAGCCTTGAAAATGCGAAAAAAACACGCGATTTGACAGCTGTCGAAAGGAGAGGAAAATGTTACTTTCTAAAGTTTATTCACTTATACAGCTTATTCACTTATACAGCTTAGTATCCGTTCATTTTTACAAGTTTCCTTAATACATTGCACACCACAACACTAGCACAAAGCAAATAATTATGAAATGGGACGCAACGTAAATTGGGCTGTCATTTCTCGCTTACGAGGCCATTTTTCACGCCTTAAGACCGCAGCATACACTTTTGCATAAGCGTATAACCATAAGCATAAGAAAATTAATTGGTTCATTTTCTTATGCATATACTTGGGGACCAATCAATTTCCTTATGGTTATGCGCTTATGATTATGCGCTTATGCAAAAGTGTGCGCTGCGGCCTTTATAATTCACTCTCAACCTATGTCGCCACCGTCAACTCATAGTTGACGTGCGGTGAGTACTCCGGAGCCTTAACGTTTACTTTATTTTTCACGATGTTGTTATATGTTTATAACATCGGTCTCGGCGTTTTCCTCCTGTCGGGACTCTTTTGAGGATCTGAGACGTGGATCGGTGCAAATACTTTCTTAGAAGAAATTTAAAGTGTAAATTTTACAGTCGATCTGATATCTATACGTGTGTACGCAAATACGGAACACATAAAGTAAAAGTAACATGTCTAATGGTAAGTGAGAAAAAGCCATAGTGTCCACCAGACTGTCTGTACGGAAGCAACGTACGGCAGCGAGTAGTCTGTGATCCGAGCACGAGTGGCTATGCCTATTATATCTTCATTATGATATACATAATTATTAATATGTTATATATATATACACATAAAATATATATATAAAGCAAAGAATCGTGCGCGACACACCTCCACGGATTGTAGTGAGCTAGTTAGAGAGGGACTATATGTATTATAAATTGAAAGGGTTACGCACACCCTTATAATTCACAGAGACAGAGTAACAGATAATATTAAATTAAGGCGATTTTAAAGTAATGCGCGTTAAAAAAAATTTAAAGTTAAAAGTTATATAAGAGCAGCTCAGTCTACTCTAGGCCTATCCACGTATATCGTGTACGTCAAACAAATCTTTTTCTCTTATTTTTATCTCGTTTGCTTCTCTTTCTCCGTACGCCACATAAATCTTTCTAAAATATAATACTGTGCCGAACACGGTAAAATGCTAATATTATATTTTAGAAAGATCATTTTGTGAAGCATTTATCTAATAAATTAATCTCTTCATTGTATGTATTATTATATTATTACATTATTATGTTATTATCATCGGTTATACATTATTATTATTATTTTTTCATTATTGTCTATATATATACATATATATAAATATTAATGCTGCCCATTAATTATTGCTATATTGTTAGAAATAACGAATGACAGATGCAAAACGAAACGGATCTCTTTTTAGATTGCCGAAAATATTACGAACTAATTTGATCATGTTGTAGAAAGAGTTTTGTATTTGGTCAAAATTTATGCCCAATTGTAGTAATAGTCGTATGAATTGCAGACACTCGTCATGGCACAACGACATGCCCCTACAAACACAGTGTTCTTTGAATAATCGTAACTTGCTTATTTTTAGTTAATATATAAGACTGGCAGAATTTTTTAATTCGCATTTATTTTTTTTTTTTACCTTTATTTCCTTTTTTTTACGAATCTCGATATTGCGTAACGTCAACGGACGATTATTACATTGGTCACGCACACACTGCCAAGTTTTTCCACAAATTGTCGATCCGTTCAGCCAATATAAGCTCGTTCAATCGAGGCGCAACAAGCCTCGATCGACGAGTCATCGATGTAGGTCCAGGGAGGCTGGGGACATGCTCATACTCTTGTACTTAATAATGCCGTCGTGTAATTTCAATTATATACTCTAGGTCCTCAGGCTCCCCCGTCATTCGCAATCATCAGCAACCTATGTATCTCTCTATTATATGTATATCGTATTTATTTATATATTACACGAAAAATAAATTGTAACTCGATCGCGTATGTACGTCAATCTGTAAGTTTTTATATTTTATCACGTATCTCTTTGTATCGAATTGTATGAATATTATATGTCTGTATACGTCTATTTGTTTTTTATGCAAGTATGCGTCTCTCGGTATGCGTGCCATCTGTTTCGATGCGGTAAGAAATTTATTCCCACGAGTTTTTTTTCTTTTGAAAATAAAACGTGATTTAGTTCAAGTATCTATTCTTCGAATGTAATGGCAAATCGTGTGACATTATTAATTAGATTTATTTAAATTCCATTTATAAGAAAGGATGATATTCTTTCATTTTAGATTCACATGTAGTGAATAAATTTAATACCGCTTGATACAGTCTTCCCCGGATGAGATCGGAGATTTGATTTTGAACTGAATTTTCATACTGATTATTGTGCAACGTTTCGTATGTATTTTTTATATATATATAGTTTAAAGTTCGCAGAGGTGCCATGTTTTCGTCCGCGAACTCAAAACCAATCACAGATATATAATACCTACTTATATATATATATATATATATATATATATATATATATATATATATGTATACACATACACATATATACATGTATACATTTTATTCACAAAACGATTATATTTCCATTGAAATTTAATATATGCAAATTGGAACATTCATACAATTAAGCTAACTAGAATTTCGAACCGGTATCGAAATCCGTGCGAACACAGGATAACGAAAGTACATTTATATATAAACATATATATATATATATATATATATATATATATATATGATTAAAAATTGTATAAATGGGATAAAGTGTAACGGGTTTGCACTTGTTCGTCCCTGCATTGAAAGTATCATCTCTGATCTTTTAATTTCTATTAGCACACTTTAACAATGTAAGTCGCCATTCTTATTTGTTAAAAATTTGTAATTAAGAATTATATATATTATATATGTATACATACATATATATATATATGTATATGTATATATAATATATATATAAACAGAGAGAGAAGCGCGTTAACTCAAAATGTAGCAGCTGCAATGTGTCACCAATGATTGCGAGTATATTACAAATGACTTAATCGACTGTAAGCACTGCCGTTAACGTTATTTTGGAGAAAAATACACAACGATAAAAAATTGCCGTCGCTACACGCCCTACAAACGTCCTCTGTTCCCTTAACGAGGGAAGGAATAGAGTATTTGTATATGTACACACATATATATATTGCACTTTTGATTTTTCGTTTATCACTGCCGTGATTTTGCATTTAAGAAACAAGACTATCACCGAGCCACTGTATTGTAACAGTCTGTTCTGTAACGCGTTAATTCCTTGTACATTTCCTCATAAAGGAAACTGAGGAGAACCAACAAACGACTATTCTAAAGCTGTACAACTATTTAACTTCATCTCGTATCTTCTAATCGCAGCGCAGATTTGTCGTTGAATGCATTTGCGTTTACGAGAGCTTGTATGTTGATATCTAGTGCAATTTGTTTAATTGTATGTGGTGAGAATACGGACGTTTCTTTACGTTTGAGTAATATTATGCTGTGCAGATTGACGTACATGGGAATACACGTGCGCACATATTCGTATTTACAAATGTTCACACACCAAACACACACACACACACACACACACTTATACACGTCGTTATATCAGATGCCAGTGGGCCTCCTGACAAGCGCAAAATGTTTTTTTTTTTTTTTTTTTCATGAAATTTAATTTGAAAGATATTCGTGCGATATGTAAAATATGTCGAGCAACGTTCGAGTTTGATCCAATAGAATCCATATATAATCTCGCTATACTTTACGAACGTACAAATGCTTGCGATTCTGCCGCGTTAAATCGGAAAAAATCAATTTGAAAAGATATTTTGTATTCATTTTTTCATATTTTGACAGTACACCATATTTACATTCTCAATTTTCATCTATATTTTTGTTAGAAACTGTGTTAGCAATTTTCGTACATGTTAGAAACGCGAATAAGGTAGAAGAAAATGAACAAATAAAGTGTGCATGTTATACCGCTAAGTCGAGAGAGAAGCGGTATGATTAGTATCAATAAAATATTGAGAAACGCAGTTTCTATAAACGTCCGCTGAATTTTTTATCGAGATGACGATTAAAGAGACCGCGCGTGAGTGTGTTTAAAATGTTTACGATATCCGGAATATACGCAGCAGAGTTTTCCGAGCAAATTGTACAGTCGAAAGTCGACTCCATCCAATCTGAAAAGCTTGTCAATTCTGCATTCAACGTATGTGATTATAACGCAATGGACTGAGAGAGAGAGAGAGAGAGAGATGATTTTCGTGAGGTGATTAGTGTGTCATGCTTCGTAGTTTATAGAGATAAATCTCAACATCGTGTCTCGAGTTAAGATTACTTCTTGTTAAGTGCTTCGAGAAGAGAAGAAGGGCGGGGGGAGAGAGGGATAATCCCTATAATTTTTCTCATTTAAATATTTCTCTTTTATATTTCCGATCGCCGCTATTTCCATAGGTACGCGGATTAAATTTTATCCGGCAATCATTTCCAGTAATACATAATTGCTGAGAACAATAATTGACGATCGATAATTGAGCTATACCAATACAGTCTTCGTTTCGTTGGCGTTTCCGGAAATATATCTTTCTGGCAACAATATACATTGTAAAGAATCATGGAAAAAAGAAGTAACATTTATATACAATTATATTGACACGACATTATATTGACCAATTTTGATCGCCATTAAATGTACCTTGGAGAAAGCGTGTTCTCTATTCATTAAGACGCGTACAATACACTTATTGCGAGTGCGTATCGTGTCTATATCCATTTGTGTATGTGCGTGTATGTGTATGTATGTGTACGTGCAATTGCAACCCTCGTGAATAGCTCTCTTCCCCGCACCCTGCCCCTCTCCATTGTATATAGTACTTCGACCCAATTCCTCCCCCTATCCCCCGCACGAGTAGACCTTAAGCGACACTCGAAAAAACGAAATGATTCTTGCCAAATTTTCAATGGGACGTAGGGACAAACGACTAATTGCATTAAAAAAAAATCGCAAAAAATATATTGGTATTATAAACGATTCGTATCGTATTATCTCTTTGTTATTTCGCCCACCCGCAATCTCAGCTGTACAGACATCTAATTATTAGCTTTACGATTAAGACACGATGGATCACGTGCATCGTCTTGATAATCGTTAGCATAAGAAGGAAGAGCCACGAGCGTTCAATTGGACTTGTTTTTAATTTGAGTCATTATTTACCTGCGAAGATGATATTGATTTTCCAGCCCTTTTTCACAAATAGATATTCAAAATCTCCTTTGATTTCGTCGGTAAAGATTTATTGTAATTGAACAGGCATGCGATATACAGCTACATAGCCCGTGTAAAATTATCACAGCTCGCTGGTGCGCTAAGATCTAAATATTGTTACTATAAATATACGTGAACTTTTCAAGAATACACGCCATTCGAAAGTCGTCAGAGTCGCGTGTGTTATATAAGTCGTGTTAATTTGGAATTCTTATATTAATTCGCGACTTTAATACCACCTTCGCATTCGCGAAATATACGTGGAATTTATATGTACATCTTGTATACAGTAGAACGTATATACTTGGCGCGCGTTATAGTTTTTCACTTGTGCATTTTGACAAACATTGACAATTCCAGCGTCGATGTTATGTCGCATTACGCGATATAAATTATAAATCAGCGTACTCGGTACGCGCAGAGCTAATTTCGGTCACGAAATTGTATATGCTATACATATATATAACAGTACAATTAATACGCAATCTTGAGATATGTGAAGTTTGTATAATTTTATCGCTTTCTTTTTATAAATATATCAATAAAAAGGTATTAAAAAATAATCTATTGTATATTTACATTTTAAAACTATCAATGCAGACTTGTATTACAAACGATATTACGTGTGTAATAATTATTAGCTATAGTAATATTATGTCATTATTTTCTACATACTTAATATTTTTGTAATAATAATGCGAAAGCTTATAAAGATAACAAATTTACATGGCACGTTTGTACAATTATTAATAAATTGTATCATATGGAATTGTATTTATAGGCAGTAAGAAATTCAGACACTACACAAAGGCCCAATTGTACTAATATCGATTGAATGTAATTCGATTAAACTTCAATATAAATACTATACTAGTGGTGTGTCGTCTATTCAAAACTTGTGTCATAAGGGGCCGAGATTCTTACAATCTCTCTCTTTCCCTCTTTGTAAAATATATATTCATAAAAAATAATAATAAAAATCGTCGCCCCTTTTTCTTCACAGGTTAATAAGATCAATTATAAAGTAATATTAATAAAACTTCCGAATTATTTTTACAACATATATTATTTATATATATAATCCGTTTCTGTTTTTTTTTAGCGATTTCTTTCGTAAGTAGTTTATTCTACCCCTGATTTTATCTTGTATAATAATGATTTATCTTGAGAAGATTTAACTGAGGATAATGTAGATGTACTGGATGAAGAATTCTTTGAATTTGTGGCAGTACCTGTGTTTCGTTTATCCTGCTTGGCTTTTTTCATCATGTCTTTCAGTCTTTTATCTGCGCTTATAATATGAATATTTGGTGTCACCTTAGCTCCAATGTCTATAAGAATTAATTAATCGACAGTTTAGTTAAAAAATAAAATTTATATTTTAAATATATTATATTGAATATATTATATTTTAAATATATTAGATATAGATGAGTGCGTTCGTACTTACTCGAGCTGGGTTTTTTCTGTTCTTTGGATTTGCTTTCTATCACAGTTTTTGGCGAACTTCTGTCTTTTGAAACCTAAAATGTAATAATGAATACAGGAAAATAATTACATTGACAATGACAAGTAAAATATTATCTTTTATTAAAAAATTTTCCTAAAATTTGAAGAATTTAGTAATCAATTCGAGTAATTAATAATAAAAATAAATTTCTTAAATATATATAAAACAAGTTTACAAAGTGTACAAAATGTAGACAAGCAATCTCACAATTTGCACAAATTGTAAATGCGAGTGAATACACACACCTGAGATTTTGAACAGTTAGAGCAGTACCATACTTGTTTGGGTACATCTATCTGCGAATCCAGGATATGTGGAATGTGGCATTCTTGATGATATAAAGAATGACACTCTTGACACTCTACAAGTCTATTTCTTGCTCCAACATCCATTCCTTTACAAATGACACATGTCAGATCATCCTCTAGAATTTCCAGAGCGAGATTATCGTCTGTTTGTAGGATGTCCGGTGGTGTGTCACGTGCTGGCAGATTAACAGGGGAACTATTCTTGCTCGATTTACTCGAATGCTTAGATGAACTAGAACTTTTGCTTTTCTTACTGCTACTGCTACTATGATCACTCAATACTGGTTCTTCCATCATGTACTGAGAAATAGATGAAAAAAATTACATCAATTCCTAGAATTTATATATCATTTTTCATTAAATACGCTACCTTTTTATGTAGCACATTGGAGAGCATTTTGGATGGTCCATACTTTTGTTTAATTGCCTCATCTAATAGAGCTCGTAACTGTTCTGCGGAATCCTTGTTAGTGGAGTGCAAAAGGCGTAATCCCTGTGTAAATTGCGGATCCAGTTCCAGCTGAGTCATCTTTCAAAAGTATCCTTTTCTGTCAATGCAATGTATATTAATTATAATTGCTGCTTTATAAATAATTATAATTATAAATATATAATTTTATAATTTACGACAAGACTGAATGTGATGTTTTGCGATGCAAGTCAGGTTATAATTAAATAATAGCACATAGTTTTGGTTGATATTGAAAATTTAAATACTCTATATTAACTTTCTTCTCTAAGGAGCGAGTTATGCAAACACACAATGTCTCTCTTTCAAATACAAAGTGTTATTAAAAAAGTTAAGTGTACGTTCTCTTGTTTTTTTTTATATCTTTTTGTATATATATTTATCGATATTTACCCTTTTATGTCAGAAATGAAACTGTGCGATACGTTTGCCGTTTAACTTGTAGAATCTATAAAGTCTGAATTAATGCAAAACATGCCATCCAATATTCATATGATTGTGCTAGATATATCAACACTTTGTGTCTTTATCGTTGATCAGGTCAACATGCAATGTTTTTGCTATGATACATTACTTTATCTAGGTAATTTTAGGTTATCGCATGAATCTTGAACGACATGGAATTTATCTTGTCGTATAGCTAAAGATGAGCTAAACTCGTAAAGATATTGGTCATGTTATACAATGTTTAATCGTCAATAGAAAAGGAAAAAATATAAGAGCAAAAAATATTTTTTATTAAAAAACAAATTTCAAAAATCATATTAAAAGAATTTATTTATGTTTATAAAAATTATAATTTCACAAGCAAACTTTCCGTATTTTCAATCGATTGAAAATGTGTTATTAACCGTTTTATCATCGATTTTCTGAAACTTACATATTTTATATACATTTAATATAACAATTCGACTATATAAATAAGCTATTTAATATTGTAAATTAAAAATTAAATTGTAAATTAATAAAGAGAAAGACAAATACAAAAAATTGCAGATAATAATAGCTTAATAATAGTTTTAATAATAGCAATATTGTAGACATTATTTTTTTTCCTTTTAAAAATTCTTAAAATGTACATTTTTTCCAATTCTTTTGAATTATAAACATAAATAAGTTATGTGTAGAAATGCCCAACTTTCGAAATCCTAACGATCTCTTCGACTTTGTTTCCGATCAGATCACGTTCAACAAACCCGCTGACCATTGTATTCACATATCACAATCCTTCCCGCCAAAATTCCTTTCTCCCAAATCTCTTTCAAGAAATAATATCCTTTTAATACCTTTTCAAACTGCAGGAGTTCACTCAGCGACGGATTAAACATTTTGGCGCCCCTAGGCAGCGTACATTTTGCCGCCCCTAATCCAAGGTATAGTCGCAGTGTCAGATGTAGAACCGGAAAGCAAAAAAAAAAAAAAAAAGTACAAAATATGTATCAATTTTCTGTTACCCCTGCATTAGCTGGTGAAAACATAATATATTTTTTAATATTTTCACGACCCCAGACAGAGGCGGCGAAAATTTTCTGTCTTTGAAAATTTGCCGCCCCCTCAAATTTGCCGCCCTAGGCAAATGCCTAGGTTTGCCTCTAATGTTAATCCGTCGCTGAGTTCACTAACAAAAGGATTTAAAAGCTTCAGTTCTCATTCATCATTTGTGGGAACAATATTTCCGTCTAGCGTAAGAACATTGAATTATTAGTTTGCACATCAATCGCCCTGGTAAACAAATATAGAATTTATACTGTTTATTAAATTTTCTCAATATTATATATGTTTATATAATAGTAGCGCATACGTTTCCGATATCGCCAATTTATCGGGAAATTTCTGCGCTTTCCTCATGCCTCGAATTTCAAAAATACCGCTGCTAATCGGACGACACCTACGAATCTGTCGCGCTCGCCAAGAACTCGGAGAATGTAGGTGTACCGAGCTCGATTCCCTCCGTATGTATCCGAAATGAGATTTCGCGGAGTAAATTCGAACGCGAGATAAGATCTAAAGGGTTGTCGAGAGAGGCCGCGAGGTCCTTTGAAATTCCGCAGCTCTCGCGGATCGACGCGAGTCCGTCGATGCTCGTCGACGAACGGATCCGGCGACGCGGACGAGGAGGTAGATCGAACGCCGTCGCGCGATCGAGAGAGAAAGACGGAGAAGGCGAAAATATAACCAAAGAGAGACGAAAATAGTTACCCTGCGGGCGACGACGATGACGACGACGAGAGGCGGCGAGGGCGAGCGTGGATTTCTCTCGCGCGGCTGACGGCGCATGCGCGCGCCGAGCGCCGTCTCTCTCCCGCGGAATGTCGGGCGCCTCGTCCCGTCTCCGTCCGTCCGTCGGAGCGGTCTGGCGGCGCGCGTCGAGCGACGTTGTCTGAAAATTTTCAACCCAACAGTTGGCAGCGTTGCGTAGAAAAGAAATAAATAATCAAAGCGACCATGAAGTGACAAATAAAGTCGGGATAGAGAGAACAATGCTCGCGCGTACGACGGCAAGGTGGATACTCGAGTCGTGCAGTTGCAGCGTGCGTTCCCATCGCCGTTAATACAGATCGCCCGCGTTCGTGTGCGTGGCCCGCGACGTGAACGCGCCGCGCACCGCCGCTGCTCCGCCACCGCAGGCCGCAGCAGCAGCAGCAGCCGCGCGCGACACAGCAGCAGCCGGAGAGGCGCGCTATGCGCTCACCGTGGAGGCGAGGGTGATACGCTCGGGACACTCGTTTCTGCGCGCGGTGCGCACGGGATTCATCGTCGCGCCTCGGCGCCGCTTCCAGTGCCGGTTCGTCGCGGCAGCGGGTTGGCGAACCCGAGTCGCCGAGTCGCTCGCATCCAGGTGGTGCGACAGCCTCGCAGCATCCTCCAGTCACGGTGAGGATAAATAACGGCGAGATAAACCGCAGCCACCCCCCCCCGGTCGTGCGTGGCCATTCGTCGCGTTATCCTCGTCACGAGCGGTCGCGGAGCGATGTTTAGAACCCCGAGAGAGTTTGTTGGTGTCGTCTGGTGAACGCGCCCGACTCCCGGTGCAATTGACTCCCGTGCACTCGGCCGACGTTAACCTCTCGCTCGGCCGCGCGCAGCCAGCGCGTCGCGGACGCGGATAACTAGTGCCAACTGGTGCCAGTGGCCATGCCTCTTCTTTTCCCACTGCTCAACGACAACAGCAACAGCGAGGTTTGACACGCTTGGTCGTTGGCGCACGCGATACGCTCCAACCATGAAAACGGAAAAGAAACCCAACGAGCCCAGCTGTTGTCCACCTACCACGGTTGCCAAGGATGACTCTGACGCCGATCCGGTTAAGAATAAGGACGAGGGTACAGGTAGTAATAACGACGACACGACTGGGGAGGATACAGCGGATTGTTCGAGAGATCCTTGCCTCGATTCGTCCAACGGCGAAAGTACAATGTCCGTGGAGAATCAGAATACCAATGGGAATCAGCCGATCCTGAGTTCTCTTAAACAAGAGGGAGACCCTAACAATCCCACCGATGAGTTACCTGGTAACATTGACTTATCTCTGTCTGTTTGATAGTCTGCGAATCCCTATATTTGCGCTAATGTATATTTGCTTTTTCCCTTTTGCTCGTGTACCTCATGTTAGATCAATCGAATTACTCTTTCTTCGCCATAGATTATAACGGATGTATTATTGCAGCAGAGAGCATTCAACCTCTTGTTAGTAATGTTGTGGGAAAACAGATGGGAACTAGTGCAAGCAGTGGCGAGGCTCAGTATATGCAACAGCAGAGCCAAATTTTTGTATTTTCTACACAATTAGCAAATACAGGCGCAGATGCAGTATTGAGAGGCGAATATCATTCGATCATCGCTTATCATTTTGCACAGCCAGCCACTAAAAAGTTTTTGGAGGTATATGATACATTATTGAAGGTATATTACGCGATATTGAATTTATTTTAACAATGCTCTCTATAAGTTCTCTATTACATACATAAGTAATTTATTGCAAAATTATTGTACATTTAGTTGTAAAACTTTTGTACAATTTTTATTGAAATAGTACTAGTAATTATGCGCCATTAATTTTGTTATATCCTCATTTTTCACATCTTTATTTTTTATTTATGATTCGTTTTCAATATAAATATCTTGTATAAAACATTATTTTTAATAATACATTTTTTTGTACGCTATGTATTATTTATCATTAATATATATTTACCATTTTTATTCTTTTAGAAACATCCAAATAAAGTAAATCATTTTCGCCAAAATCCTGCTCAATGGTTAAATAATCTTGCTATGATAAAACAGAAAGGCCATCAGGGAAATGCGAATAATACTTTCCCGACTGAACAACCCCCGGATTTACCAGCATTAGATCCAAATGCTCCACAATTTTGGAACGAACAACCCAACTTGCGAAACATAAACGGTGGAAATTCCCTCGGTAATGCCGAGCCATCACTCGATGATGGAAATCTAGACGTAGTGCCTTGTCTTGTGCCGAATTCACCTGGTAATTCAGGTAATTTTTATTGTCGATCGTATTAATTTATTAATAATGTGAAATTTAATGCAATATATATGCTCTTTTTTATCTCGCAGCCAATCCTCAACCCACTAATAACGCTACCATGGGCCACAGTCCAAATTTATTAGGTGGCACAACGAGTCCAGGCCCAGGTGGCTTACAACCATCGCTTCAAGGTGTCAAAGTTCCAGACGAAAATTTGACACCGAGACAAAGGCAACACAGAGAAGTTCAACTAGCGACTTTGCGAAAAATGCAGCTTATGTTGTTTAAGGATGAACAATCTGGCAATGCTTTAGCGGATACGACGCAAGGAACGTCGTGTCCTACCGCGAATGTTCCTTCCGTTGGTTCCGTACCAAATCAATGTTCTCCATCTATGGATTGGCATAAGTTGCAGCATCAATTTCTCGATGGAAAGAATAAAGTACGTTTTTTTTTTTTGCGTAATAATTTCAATTCGATATATGTGCAAATTATGAAATATTTCTAACAAAAAATATTCTTTATTACAGGCAACGGTTGGTAATCCAGGTACGGTACCGTTGCGCGGTGCTAACATGGTCAGTGGAGTACCGCGAAGTCAAGGCCCACCACCTCCGTATCATCAAACAACACGATCCGCCAGTGTACCAATCGCGATTCAAAGTCCAAATCCGTCGTCGCCCAATAATCCAACCAGCAATCTATCGCTACCGTCACCACGCGCGAGTTCCGCTTTGAATTCGCCGGCAGATTGTAACAGACAGTTCCAGCTGGGTAATCAAAGGACTAGTCATCTGCCGGGACAAAGTCCGACGAGTCAGGATTCTCCAAATCCAGTTGTCACAGCAACCGTCTCGACGACACGATTGAACCATAGCAATCCAGGAACACCAGTCTCTCATTCTCATATCGCCGCTCTTAGTCCAAGCGGTACTACTGCTCAAAAGGATTCTTCTCTTGATTTCTCTACTAATCAACAGCCAAATGGTAAGTGGGCCAAATTGTAAAAAGGAAAGGTATGTTTCTTTCTTTTTTTTTCTTTTTTTTTTTTTTTTTGCTTGCACAAATTCATTGCTTTACATAAAGTTTAATGTTTTAGTAAATTTCATTTATAGTTTCTAAATTAGATTTATTCTTTTCTCGATTTAGTGGATGGTATGTTTTGCCGAACGTTACAATCCTTAGCTCAACAGAAGCAGCAACATACCGGAAACGTTAATGCAGCGACCGTGAAAGAAGCAAATTTAATGCCAGTGCCGAGCCCTCTTCAACTTCAATATCTTAACACGTTCGAAGGACAAGAATTGACTATTCAGAAACAACCTAATACAAGTCTAAAAGATGGCAATTCGTCTACGTAAGTATCTTTTCTTTCAATTTTTTTTCTCTTCTTTCATTAATTTTTGAGCATAACGTAACTTTTTAATATAAAATTATATTATATTTAATTTCGATTATATAACTCGTATAATTATATAACTCTTTTCTTTTTATTGGCAACAGAAACACAGCCAGCTCTTCAGAAATGCCCAACAGAATCATGGCGGGAAATCTAGATAACAACAACCAGTTCCCAACTAGATCGGAAGGCGCGAGTCCGGTACAGATGGACAGTATGAATCGAGGCTTTGCAGGTTCTCTGCATAGTCCTCACACACCGCACACACCGCATACACCGGGCAGCGCTGCGCCACATACTCCAGTGGATCCCGCGAAACAAGGCAACAAGTCTAGTGCGAGTGCACAGAATAGTCCAACGCCCCACAACACCAGTATACCCGACAGTATGGGTCCTCCGCGAACGGTACCGGCATCGCCTACTATGAAACCTGATACATCGCCGCCATGCGTGAAAGACGTCCAGCAGCAACAACAACAAACGCAATCGCAACAACAGCAGCAGCAGCAACAGCCACAACAACAACAGCCTACAGTGGTGAATCCGAACAATTCTGGTAACACAACGGTAGTACCGTCGTTGAGCGGTGGCGGACCTGGTGGTGGCGCCTCGTTTGCTTGCGGCAGGCCGTCCATAAACGTGAGTCAATCTGACAACGTGCCTCTTAATCCCAACAACATAGTCGGCGGTCGACTCGGCGGCTTGAACACTATGAGTACGAATCACTTTGATCCGATAACGTCTCTGGCGCAAATGAGTCAGCAGCTCACAAATACGGCGGCTAGCAACTCTTTAGGCAATGAGCCCATGCATTCTGGCAATGCTGCTGGCATGATGCCGTTCGGCAATCCGCACGCCGCCGGCATGCACATGATGCAGATGGGCGGCGAAATGAACGGGAGCTGTCATATGGGCGCGAACAGCGGTGAGCCTGGTGGTGGTGAGGTTGGCGGGATGTGTATGGGTCTCACGGGTCCACCAACGAGCTATAGCCCTACTTCACACACAGGCAGTCCTAGCGGGATCCCCAGTAAAATGGGAGGACATTCAATGATGGGTGGTCACGGAATGATGGGCGGTCATTCGGGTACCGGCGGCCCAGGCGGTGGTGCTTATCCCGGTGGCGATCCTGGCCATGCGCCTCCACCGAGACTGATGACCGGACCACATGGTATCGCCGGACCGAGTCCATATAACGGTGCGAGCGTTCAGGTAAAGCCTAACGCGCCCAATACCATACAGTACTTGCCGGCCAGGCCGAATGTCGGCCATGCGCCACCACGTGGCCCACCGAGTCTAGATTTCCTTCAACGATTCACCAATCCGTTATCCAATATGGAATCAAAGATGGGTGGGTCACCTTCCATGAATCTACAGTACTTCCCAAACGGTTGTGTACCGAACAATATGGGGGGTCCGCATAGCGGTATGCCGTCCAGCATGAATACCACCGGGATCCCCGGCATGGGCGGCGCGCCTAGGATGGACGGTCAGTCCATGAATACTTCCGGCACTATACACCCGTCCATGAGACCATCGGTCGGCAACATGCGACCGCAGTCGAATCTAATGCGGATGCAGCACATGGTAGGCGGCGGCGTCTTCCCGGGCGGCTCCATGGATCCCGATAAAGTCTTCCCGCCTGACATGGTGTCGCAGAATCTGCCGAATCAGCCGAATCCGGCGGGCATGTACGGTGTGTCTGGCAATAAGGCCAGCCCAATGGGACTAGGACCGCCGCCCGAAGCTACTCAGCCACTACCGCCGAGCATGGGTGGCGCGACCGGCAACTTTAAGAACAATCCGTTTGGCAGTGGACCAAGTATGTCCGATCCAAATTATGCTCAACAGTTTCACAACTTCCAGCAACAGCTCTACGCCACCGGTACCAGAGGCAGCGGGCCGCCGCATCCTAATTTGCATCCGCCGCCGAACTCGCATTCGCATCAGCAGTTTTTCATGCCGAAGTAAAAAAAAAGAAGAGAAAAACTGTCCGGTGTTGATTGATCCATATCGCGATGACGATGACGATGACGATTTTACGGTGGCCTTTCAGCGTGTCCCTCTCTTTTTCTCTCTTTCGCTCTCTTTCTATCTTGCATCTGTCAGGGAGATGTTTCTATTATAATCATGCAAATTAATTCTGGAAATATAAACTGTGCTATAGATATATAGCAAACCTTGTAAAGGACAGAGAAAAATAATGATAATTATCAACGAGCATGGCAGACAGCTAACTTTGAAGATAATCTTTATGATTGGCATGCGACGAGAATTCGAGATTTAATTTCAACTCTTAATTTGTTATTATGGCGTTAGTGACGTATACATTATGCCAAGTTTTTTTTCTTTCTTTTTATCTCTTTTAATTTGTGGATCACGACACCGAGTCGCATGTCTCTAGAAAAATGTTATTCCGATACATCTTAATAGTATCGTTTTACACTGAAATTGTCCAGGGGTTTATCTGTAAATTGTAAACGTTATTAACGGAGACGTGAAGTACTCGCCTACGCGTTCGTGTAAATACTGATGTACAATCCGACGTTTTTTTTTACTTTTTCTTTTTTGTTTTTATAAGTCGTTTTATTTCGATCGAGGAGCATTGTTAGATTAAGAAATACGTTACTGTAACTAGAATGTAAAAAGAAAAAGAAAGAGAGAGGAAGAAAATAAGCGAGATCTCTCTTCTCTTTGCGTTTCGTTTATAATAGTTTGTTCAGATTAAAATAATAATTGTGCGTATGGTACGAGCGAGAAGATTCTGGTACACTGGTGCCGCGTAATTCATCCTTCCTTTATCACTAAAATACTTAAACACAGTCAAACAAGCTCAAATTTATTATTGTACATATATACCATATACATATTATACATATTATATATATATACATATATACATATATATATATATATATATACACACCTGTTGCAACATAATCCTTCAATATCGCCCGTCCCTTACGCTCCTTCATCAATCCCTTATGACCAACTCTGTGCATAATCATGACCCTTTACCTGTTTTCCCTCTTCCCTTTATCTGTAGCTTACGACATAAGAAGTAATTGACTAAGAACAATTATGTTGTTGATGAATGATTTTTATTATAAATGAAAAATAAAGATATTTACAAGAAGTCAGTACGATTTGATCGATAGTCGATTTTACGATTCTAGAACAGCCATCGGAGTTTGCGACAAATCCATAAAATGCGGATTGATTTAAAGAATAGAAAAACCTCTTATAATTTTTGTTCTCAAGGATAAGCACAAGCTATTTTTTTCTATCAATTTACTCGGATCTGTGATAATCAAAGCAAGAAAACGTACTTTTTCTTTTCCGTCTCTCTTTCAAAAAGAAAAAAAATAAAAATAATATATCTGCTTTTTTGTTTTGGGGAATGATTTTTTTAATACTATATTTTATGAGTGTATTTATTTAATCTGCATAAATTTATGTATAGATGAAATATGACGTAAAAAGAGAGAGAGAGACACAAGGGGACAAAAGAAAAAAAAATTGATTAGTTTTTCCTCCCAGCAGCTTGAGCAATACAAAGCAGAGTGACACATCGACATATTTTACGTTTGTGATAAAAGTAATGGAAATCTTAGAACACTGCGGCGACGGGGCTTGCGCAGAGCGTTAACACCATCTATATTACATAGGAGTAAGATCTTTTTCTACAACGTCACATATTTAACTTGTAAAACGAGCTCTGTGTGTATAATTTCTTCTATAGATTCATGTTGGAATTATCAATCTTGTATTTCACTCTAGCAAAACATACTACTTGCGCCCAAGTATGTCCGTCGTAAATTCTGCTAATCGAACAACGATATACCCGCGCAAATAGAAGACCTAACATTTTGCTTCCCTACGATCAACGAGAAGCTATGAGCTCAATTATAAATGTAAAGCTTATTGTTAGAGTCGACTCCTTTGTAATAAGTCACATATTATCGGCCACTTTATATATCCAAAGGTGCATACTAAATTACTAAATCTTGTTGCGTTGTGTATATTTCTTAGTTGCCGAGAACTGGTTGCGTCTCTTTCCGAGTCTCCTGTTAACCTGTAAAACAAAGAGGTCATACATCGAATGAGAAGCGTGCTTGCGCTTTTTAAAAGTTTGTTACGTCGAAGATAATCTCTACTCGATGTCTTTACGCGATATATCAAGATATAATCGCAATAAAAGCAAACTTATACTTTAAGTCTTAAGGATCTGGGACTATACATTATTTAACAAAATTCATCACACTGTATGCTGTCCGCAACTGATCATCATAATCAATTTTATACCCGAAACCCAAGTCAAACCTGTCCTTCTGTACCGCCTTTCATTGATTGGATGTGCCTGAATCACGCCGATCATCTCCGTTTCTGTAAAGGTTTATGCTTTCTCATAAACGTTCTTTTATTTTTTTATATAGCTTTATATTTAATTTGATACAAAAAAATATTGTGTTATGTTCAATGGTATTGAAATAATATTTCAAGTAATAGATATATTTTGCATTGTATTACCGCTATTAATTACCTTGACCGTTGCGCTGCTGACGACATTGTACTTCCATTCGTACTAAAAGAAAAAATGGAAATTCACAGTAATATTTCACAAAAAACTAACAGTACAATCGCATATACAATTACCTGTTTTTTGCTGGCACAAAATCATCCCATTCGCTAAGATCATATTTAGATAAATCACCATCTTCTTCTTCCTCCTCGTCATCTTCCTCTTCATCCTCCTATAATTTATAAAATAACAATTAAATCAGAAGTATTTTTAATAAATGCAATTAAAGAGTATGACTAATCTCCTCTCATCTCTTTCAAGATCACATTCTTCAATCTGCATCATTTTCAAGTTACGTTTATGTTTTCTTCTTGTTCCTCTTCATCTACTTCGTCCCTTTCCTCCTTATCTTTAGATTTACTACGCAATGGGCTGCTGTATTTGGAATCCTTGGAATCATCATCAGAATTCTTTTCAAGTCTCCGCTTTTTCTTACGTCGTCCAAACTCGTCGTACTCATCATCCTCATCCCGCCTTTCTTTGTATTCAACAACTCCTCGATCGTTATATCCACCTCCATATCCTGTGCGTTCCTCTATCTCACCAAATTTTGGAGCATTACACATATTACATTGCTGTCGGCGAGCCCAGTTCACATTACCGCATTTGCTACATTGCCAATCATCCGCGCTATAAAATATAAAGTTTTTGTATTATGTTTAATTATTTCATTTATCTATAAAGTAATCTTTGCATACACATACAAGATTTAATTACAAAACAATATATATCCTGTGTCTGTATTATCTGTATATATATATATATATATATATATATATATATATATATATATATATATATTACATATTCCAAATTTGACATTTATTTTAATAGCACGATACATATTAGAATTTAATAAATAAATTAGTAAGATAAAATGTCAACTTTACTTTCAAAAGATCTGTCTTTAATTTTCACTTAATTATTTTATATACACCTGTTACTTGTATTTGCCAATTATGTGACAAACTTGTAAAAAAATACTGATTTTCACTTTTTCATATTACTTTCTAATAAAAAATAACTCCAAATAATAATAAATATCAAGGATAGGTAGTACCTAAAAAGGCCTCTGCTCTTTTCTGCAGCTGCTTTTCCAATTTCTTGACCCAATTTTTTCTTCTTTGGGCATTCACTTCTGTCTGTATCATAATATTGTATCAAAATAAAAAATGTCTTTCACATATATATTAAATGATCATGATAATGTTGCAATGTTTAGAATCTCTCTGAATCTTATATTTTTTTTTACAATAACACGCAAATAGCATTCTATGTTTAGTATGAACCAACGTTACTATAATAGTTCAAAAACCAACTCGACATAATGGTATTTCTACTCTGCACAATTAGGTACCTTTTCCACAACGATTGCAGGAATTTCGTCTGGCAAAATTTACATTGGCACATCTGGAAAAAGGAAATGAAAGAGCAAAAAGAAACCATTAATGCAATCACATATCCTAATTTATGGCATTTAAAACAGGTGGAATATGAGAGGAATCATGATAAAATTATACGTACTGAGAGTCAGGACAGACCCAGTCACCGTCATTGATGCTACGTTGATTCTCCTCGTCCACTTTACCATCCATCTCACTATTCACAATTCAGGGCGCCGATTATATTCCCGTCTCTACGTTTCGTCTCGGAAGAGCTCCGTTTCGTGTCTAACCTTTCAAGCTCGACCGCTTATCAGTTTACCGTATTGTCGAATTAGCTGCGATATACGTGCCGTAGCTACTGCATCCTGGACAGGAGAGGATTTGACCTATCCAACGGTGGAAACTGTGACGAATGGCATTAGAGGCGCGGTGATTAGCAACCTAGAGACCGTGCGACTCGGATGAACGCACCGTGATATCTGATATCTGATTTCGTGCACGCACGAAATGCGCAGCAATGTTGACATTTCTCCACCGTAGGCTCACAAATTCCCTACATTTTCCCCCCCGGATTTCACGAATGTAAAAGTACGGTTTCTTTTCCTTTTTTAATTATCGTCGCGCGAGGAATGTAAACAAATAACAATTGTAATTTCCTTTCAGAACGATTTTTAGTGGAGAATACGCGCGCATTTTTCACGTGCATCGTTTATATTTGCATTGCTACAACGTATGTACTCTACTGTCGCCATTGATAGATGATTAGACACACGACGGATTAAGCTTCATTCACAAAGAGGCACTTGAGAGTCAGTCTCCGTGCTTGAAATATTCTGCCAGTTTCCTTTCTTATAATTTTATTATCATAGGTTGATGACGAGTGATTTGGTCACAAATGTATAGTGGTATTTCCTGGAAAAATGAGAGAAATGATTAGAAATGTCAAAGTATGAAATAAAGCATAAAGAATCGCAAGCAAAGATGATGAGAGTCAGAAACGAGACCACTTTGACCAAAGTAATTTATTTGTCTCATTAAAAACTTAGACGTTGGAATGCGACTTCTACACGTGTGAGACGGGTATAATATGTAAAACTACACGCTACGATATTTATAACTATATATGCTTCTTTTTATATATGATTCCTCACTGTGTTCAACGCAAATATATATATGTATACATATGTATACATATGTATGATATAATAGCGGCCTAGTGGTTTGATAGCGATAATTAAACTTTTAATGCGCCAACTATCGCGTCCTATGTCCCCTGCATTGACTCTTTTTGCCTTTACACATTCCTTTACATTGTCGGGCCAAGATACACGACATACATACGTGATACAAGAAGCGAAGAATTAAACGAGCAAGGTACACATGTCGCGCGAGTCGTATCTCTGAAATTTTTCAATTTATAAAGCCAAAATCGCGCCTTTTCGCGTTGTCAAGTAATATAATTTTAGAATTATATAATGTGAGAAAATCTTTTTTAGCCTTCGATTTTATCTCTCAAATACACTTCTTTCTTAATGTTGCACTTTAATTATTATTTCGCCTACGTAATACTTCGTTATATCTCGTTCCTTGTATACTATTTGGATATGTTTTCGTTCGCATCCCAGCCCGTCATTGCGTTCTGTCACATACTGATAGTCTAGACGTATATTTACAAAATTTACAGAGCGAGTTCAATTCCGCGCGAGCAAATTTCGGCGCAAAGTGTCATCGCGTTCCGATTTCTCAGTATCATCGTTGCACTAACAAAGGGTGGGGAAAATCTTTTTTTAAATATATATATATATATTTTTTTAATATATATATAATATGTATACATATGTGTATGTATATTATATATACACGCTCTTATATATACACATACACACGTGTGATGAACGCTGATTCTGAGAGATCGGTCGCTCATCTTTATTAGCGATACGATTTTTTTTTTCAAAACTGAAAAATTTTTCTCCAAGCTAGCGAATTACGAAGATCGCAATCCTGCGACATAAATTAAAGAGTGAAAAAGAGAAAGAGAGAGAGTTGACCATAAAACAGGATAAAATTGACCGAAATATTCTTCCCCTTTTTTAAATCTACCCTTGTTATTTCTAAAGATTATGAAATACTTTGTGTGATAAATAATGCCGATTTATAGCCAAAAATGAGAATGTATTTTGTATCTTTTTTTTCTTAATCGAAAGAAAATAAGATTAATTTTCGATGAGCAACTCGGATCAATTTTAGACCAGTTTATAATGATATTTTTCATACGATATCATACGGTCTTAAGATATAGATAACGTATAATTGAGATACGATTTAAAAATTCTTATTTAAAAATTTAATCGAAAAGCGGAATGCAGCAATCACAATTTGATCAATATATTTTAAATTATTATCAATCATGTTAAATATTTGACATCTTTTTTTCTTTTTACAACAATAGACGACTTTGTGATTGACAGTGAAATATGACTCAAGATACTGTTTATACTTTGTTGCTATTGACTCTTTTCATATTTGTCAAATATCAGATTATGTTACTTGACGTGAGAAAAATTGGTAAAATCGATTATTAAATTCATTTTGTATTATATATGCTTTTTTTCGTTTGAGAAAGATGCATTTGTTGTGAATATCTTCTGTTGAAATGATCGATTATTAATTCATTCATCAAGATTCATGGTCGTAGCCCCATTTTACAACAAAAAATCAATGATTGCACATTACGTTTTACTTGTTCCGCAATGATACTTTGTACAATAAGCAGTCTAGATTTTTCAATAGAAAGAAGAATACTAATTCTGTAACAGAAAAATCAAAGAGTTTTAATCAATACACATACTTGTCAATTTATCGAATTTACTTCTTTCAGTGCAATGCGCCTTTTTATATATAATTTCAAGTAAAATAAGATATATTCATATTGAATACGAGATATATTTATTTTAATAGAGAAAAGAATAGAAAAAATTATACAAAATACAACAAATGTAGCTGGAAAGGACAGACCGATATACAAACTATTTTTTTTTATCGTAAAAGATAGTTTATGAATATTTAACTATTTTGTATTTTTAATAACACAGTATTAATATTTCTTTTGATTTTTCAACTATTTTTGATTAATATAAAAATAATTTTAGAGCATATACATATAAACTATATATTATAAATTTATTTAAAAAATAGCATATATCGGTCTAGTCTTAAATCAGTAATCTTTTTTAAAATTATAAACAAGTCTTCTTCGATAAATTGTCGTTGCGTATCTTTAATCGGCATGATTTCCTTAATTTGATATTCATATTGCAATCGAATTTTGAAGCAAAAAAATTGCAATCGCTGTATTATATAAAAGCCAGGATTTCTCGACAATCTAAGTTAATTTTCAACGTCTTACAGTTGTTTATACAGATGTCTGTTGTGCAGTCTACGAGTCTTTTTTGCGAAAAGAAATTTACTTTGCATCTCTTTCTCTCTCTCTTTCTCTTTGAAAAGTTTACGCACGATGAAACATTTGGAAGCGAAAACAGCATGTCCGTCAATATATTCGTGTTCATCGTTATCGATGAAAATTTACATTCGTTCTACTTGTATACACACGTGAAAATGAAGATTTATCCTTACAGGATCGAGTAAATCAATAGCTTTATAGTTGTACACATCGGTACAGCTTTACTGCAACGAACAGAGCGAAGGCACCTTAAAATATCAAGTGTCGTTCAGTATCAAGCACCTATTATTTGCTTTTTTTCACCATTACTTTGCGAGCGAATTGCTCACGGGAGGTTTGGATTCAATTGTAACAAGAGGATTCTAATATTTTGATTCAAGCTTTCAAAGTGTTACAATCGATCCAAGCCTCCTCTCACAGAGGGGGGGGGGGAGGGAGGCCTTTGGTTTTAATTTTGGTCCTTTTTTTTCGCGAGGACATACCGTTCGGTATTTTCCTTAAGTAATTCGCTCACTGCATATCAAATTTCATATTTTGACATTCTTTTCTTGTTCACGTGCGATTCTCTTCCTCCCTTGTGTCCTCTCGTTTGTCAATTTTAAAGTCGCCGAAATGGCTTGTTTCAGGAAACAATACTTTATTATGTGAAAAAAACAAATTTTCGAAAAGGTCTCTAAGATAGAAAAGTGTCTAAAAAGAAGTCTCTATGTATGCGGGTGAATAGATTCACTTTTAACGATCATCTTATTGGATCATTGCTGAGACTTTAGGCACCTACGATTCTATGGAACTAGAATTTACAGCAATTGTACACGCTTGTCATGTGCTCGAAACGATTCTATACAGTAAATTGTGAATATATCCTCCATACGGAATACTAAATATACGTATCTGTCATCTGTGTACACTTTCGTCGTACGTTATTACCCGGTATAAATGTTCTTTATGTCTTTTTTCGTTTCGCGAGAAGAAGCCAGTAAAAGAATTCGCTCCATATTTACACTGCGCAAACTTATTTATTGAAAAGTCGCATTGTAACAGAAATCTGCAGTCGAAATATCCTAAAGTAACGTGCTGGCATATAACTGAAAATTAAATAAATGTAGCGTGAAATAACATATAAATGTAAAATAAAAATAAGACAGCCACGTATGTCTAAAGCGGGTTTCATGTATAACGAAAGCGTAACATCGACATCTTTATTAATGTCTCGATATTTGAAAATCGAGAATAACGTATGTCGTTAACGCGAACAACTTATAAAATAAAGCATACGGCGAATATAGTTATCACTATATACATCGTAACGAAATACGGGAAGATACATAATGAAAAAGAAAGTTCGCTGTCGCAAACGCGAGGCACATTCAATATGTACAACGTGTCCTGTCAAGATCCGTCAGACTGTTTCGATTTCGTGTGTTATTCTTTTATTTAAACGAAATATTCGGTATGTTGGGACATTTACATTGGCGTTTCTTTCAAATCGAGACTTTGCAAAGAGTTACAGATCGACCGGAACCCGTTTCGCGTTGTAGCCGAACTGAGAAAATATCGATCAGTCTGCCGCAATGTTTCACTGTTTCAAATAATTTCTCGTCTGCAAAGGCGAAGAGTTTGTACATCCGTTAACGTATATATGGTTTTAACGATTCAGCGAAGAAAGAAAGGGAAGAACGATTCTCCGTGATTAAAAAGATATCATTTTATGCTCCTTGTGGAAAGAATCATATAGGGAGATTGGCGATACCTAAGTAGCGCCCAGCAACTCTAAACGCGAGAGAGTTAAAGTATCCTTAATGTATAGAATACGTAACTATTATTCGTTAAGATAAACTCTCGAGAGATAATATAAAGGATATCGTCAAAATTACTTTGACTCATCGCGACGGTTTCGTATATCAAACATAAAACCATGTGTAGAAGTGTCTTCCTTATCTTACGATCAGTACCTTAATTGTCACATTTATCGTCACGCACAAACATTATACACACACATACGCGCGCACACGTACACGCACACACACAAAAGATATCCTATTTCCACATCCCCCTTATGATATCCTACGTATCTAAGATATAAATATTCGATTATAGCACTAGAATTGCGCTATTAAGAATTGCAAAACGGCCGCGTTGATTGAGAAATCGCGATAAATCTTTCGTATGTGGACCAAGTTTCAGTTTATATTATCGCTGGATGGCCAATGAAAAATCATAAATAATTCACGCATAGAACGCACATAAATAAATTAAGCGAGTCTCGTGTGGGATGAGATACGATACTCTGAAAAGAAAATAATATTTTAATTTATATACAAATCCCCTATATATCTCCGTCGCGTTAATCGAGATTAATCTTCGCGATCGCGATTCTATACAAATTTTCCTTTTGTACACCTCTCGCGCGTTTGGTCGTCTCATATATTTTATAAATATCTTTTATCTTTAATTCTCTCAGAGCGGGTGGTATGTGTATATGGAACGTCCAGAGTTTTCTCGTAACAAAATAATTTTTGCAATCCTGCATCAGAGAATGCGTGTATGTGTACATGTATGCGTACGTGTATATGTGTAAATGTATACGTGTACTTTTCAAAGAATAACTACTTTTTCGTAAAGTTCTCCCGTTTGAGACTAAGGCGATGTATATGTCTGTATGTGTCTGTGTGTGTTTAAATGCACGAATATATGCATATATATATATATATATATATATATATATATATATATATATATATATATATATGCATGGATAATCGCGGGAAAAAGGAGGAAAGTAGCAAATTCTCTCAATCGGTAAAGGTCTTATCTCGTCTTTGGATTGAAACACGGATCTTTACTTTGGTAAAAGTACGGTTCCCGTGATATACCTGATATAATAGTTTCTTCTCTGTTTCTCGTCTCTCTCTCTTTCTCTCTCTCTCGTCTCTCGCTCCAATTGCAAAGCTCGCACATTTAGCCGCACCGGGTGAGAAATCGTTTAGGCTTCGCACTGGCAGTCGATTCGAAACATCGATTCCGTTCCGCCGCGTGCAAGATTCGCGCTCCTAACGAGCGGATTGTACTATAATCGTCGAGAATAATTGTAGTAACCTTTTCACGTATTTGACACAACAGTGTTTTCCGGCAAGTCTGTCGTCGTCGTGATCGCGCTCGCTGTCACCGTCGTCACGTTTACCACCGTGCTCGACTCGGCGGTTTGCGCGGTCGAATACTTTTCTACTACATACATTTTCTTCGGTTCTTTATGCTCGATGGACGAGCTGGACTTCCTCTTGTGTTTTGAGCTCGAAGAATGGGAATGATGCAACGTCACAAGTGGGAATGACTCGACTCTGTCTTTGCTGATGTTACTGCTGCCAGACGATCTCTTCTCTCCGTGTCTGTGACTACAATGATGGCTACAATGGCATTTTCTCCTCTTCTCCTGTGATTTCTTCTCGTCATCCTTTGAGCTTGATCGTTCGGATTTTCCGGCGACTGGATAATTGTGCGACAGCTCGGGAACGGTCGCAGCATCATCCTTGCCAGTGTCGTCGCATGTTTTAGAGTCGGATTTTATCTGGGGACTTCGATGGTGATGTCGATCGTGCTTTCGTTCCCGCCTCTCGTGATCTCTTTTCTTCTTGTGTCTTCGTTCCCTGTAATCTTTTTCGTCCCTGCACTTACATTTTGATTTCGAATGCGCCTGCGACTCGGACGATTTCGGTGAATTTTCATCACTACTGCCATTCCTACCGTTACTGTGTCTTTCGTTTTCGGAGACGTTAGACGGAGACGTGAAGGTCATAATGCAAGGATACGAGGAGATACTAGTTGTTGTTGTTGTTGTTGTTGTTGTTGTTGTTGTTGTCGGCATCGTCGCCGTCGCCGTCGCCGTCATCGTCGTCGTCGTCGTTGTCGTCGTCGTCATTGCCGTTGTCGTTGTTGTCTTTTTCGTTGAATTTTCGTCACATGTGTTGTCACCAGCGGTCGCAAAGTCGACGACTTTCTCACTTTTCGCTCTTTCCTTCGCTTCGTCCTCCGCCATCTCGATCAGCGCCTTAACAGCGTTCTCGGTTGCGCATTCCATTTTCGATTTAAACGCCAATACAGTCTCCATTTCTAACAGATGACAGTATCTTTCTAGTTTTGTAACATCTTCCAAGTCTTTGGACCATTGTTTGACGATTTCAAAGCTCTCCTTATGAATCTTTTCTAATACTTCTTTCGCTGCCTCCGAAACTTCAGCACGCAGCGATTGACAAACCTCATTAACATCGGTCTTTGACTTGTAAATGGCTATTTCCAACGCCCTATCTACCACTTCGGTGGCATACGTTTTGGCAAGGATTTGTCGTTGCTTTAGTATCTCCTCCTCGATAACGGTTGGTTCTCCGGTTCCAGAAGCATCCTCCAACGGAGATAATCCACTCAATCGTTTCTTAGCATCCTTCAAGGAAGACGAGCTATCGAATTTCGAAACTGTTCTCGTTTCACTAGAAATAGTTTCTTTACTTGATATGCTCTTACTGCTGGATCTTTCATGGTGACTGCAACGATGATCTAGCTTGTGACCACTGCTATCATATTTTTTCTTCTTACAAGGATGACAATTATCAGAACTGCTGTTACTGCTGTGCGTGTGGTGACTGCTAGATTTATCGCTACTACGACGACGATCCTTATGCTTTTTCTCTGATCTCTTCTCGTCCCTCTTGTCACTATTCTGTTTCTGCTCATTGGTTTCGCTCTTAGATGACTTAGTGCTGCTGAATGGATCCGATGTTGCATTGTCGTTATCATCTTCTTTATTCTTTTGTTTAAGAGACGAGTGTTTGGAGTGATGCCGACTCTTGCGATGTTTCCCATGTTGATCGGATTTCTTCAAATTACCTTGATATTCGGCCGCCCTCTCTTTTGCCTTCTCCAGAGGATCGATCGACAATTTATGCTCCAAACGCTGGCGATTCGTGTTCTCCTTTTGTTCGTCGCCTATGCTAACAGCTTCCAGAGGCTTCTTCTCCTTGATGCGATGAGCAGACTCATTTATCACACGGCTGTGCCTAATGCTTGAACTATGCTGCGATTCTGGGTAATACTGTTTCAATCTGACATGCCAAGCGATGCTCGAAACGGCCGAGACTGTCCTAAATTGATGAATGATATTGCGCGGTAGAAAATATATATCATTATCGTAAAGATTTATCTTGGCATAACGGACACCCTGCCTGCGTAATTGATTTAGCTTTGCATCCTCTACCCACTGCACGCACTGCGATATTGGTGGCTCGTGTAAATCTAACTGCAGCTTTTCCACGAGTTCAGTAAAATCGCCAGCATAAAAAGCCACAACGTCCTTCGTGATCCTATTATATTCGGATGTCTGGCCACCGTGGACGGCCTTTAACACGCCGACTGCCGCCGTTGTCATCCTATCCAAACCATGGCCAACATGATCGGCATGTGCTTTCGTACGATCTTCGAACATGTACTCTCGTGCTTCACTCAGCCGCGGAAGATATTGCAGATTTCTTAGTTCGTTGATACCCGTTCTGCGTCGTTTGTACGGGCTCTTGTTTATGTCGGCCGTTGGTACCAATTGCTCACCTGGTCGAATCCATAAGATAGGTCCATCGTTCGATTCTTGTGGTGTATCCATCTTTACGACGGACAAAGGTCCCCAAGGTATCGTCTATAATACAGATTAACAAATAAGTATAACAAATAAATAAATAAATAAATAAATAAATAAATATATATATATATATATATATATATATATATATATATATATTCATTAATGTGTGTCTTTGCAAATATGTTTGTGTATTGTAATTTACCATTTTTAAAAACGGGTTTTCTTCCAATTTCTGCAGTAGATCCGGAAAATATCCGCCGACCTCCTCGTGAACAGTACCCACGAGACTTATTTGATGCAATGGTCCATATCTAATGGTACCATTGCTATAAGCTTTACAGACTTGCTCTTTGTATTGAGCCATTGTAGTAGTTTCTATATCACTGCTCCTACCCAATACTCCATTCTTTACAGTTAATGTGGGATAATTATTCGCCATATAATCCAAAAGATCGGGTAGATATGCAGCTGCATTATGTACTATACCCATAACATGATGAGCATTTCCATTTTCGTCTTCTCCGAAAACCACCTAAAAGAAACATGTAAATAGATTTCATCCATTGTAGTCATCCGCTATAACACAAAATTGTAAATAAGCAAAACATGTCAAACTTTTTTCTTATTTTACTGTAAAACATTGACTTCCATTTATACCTTGAAGTATTCATGCGCCAATTCATCCATTTGTTCGCGCGATAAACTATCAATTTCATCTTGATACATATGGACTACCGTCGCACCGCCATTGGGATAAGTTTCTATGTGAATATATTTCTTGTACTTTAGGCCTTCCAGTAATTCACTTTTCATCAGAGGATTATTAAGCATCTTGTAGTTTTTCGTTTGTAGATTTAACCTCAGGTTCTCATTAGTAGATTTAGAGAAGGAAAGAGAAGGTTTACCACATAATACATGACGATCTCGTTTGCACTGTACACCAATGCTCGCTCTTTTTATCCCTTTGCGTTTTTGACATCGTGAGCAGTGTCGTCTATCTTCTTTCGAACGTTTCTCTCTCGAAGATGAGTAAGTTTTTGAATGTGAACTGGAAGATGAATTGACAGTGGTATCTGTGGATTTCTCTTGAGATGCTGCTGTTGCAACAGCCATTCTATCTGTTACAGTAAGGGAAAAACTATCCTCTAACTGTTCAGATTTAACTTTTTCAAGTTCTTGTAGCGAGTCTGTTAGTTCCTTCTTAATCTCAATAGATTCTATTTTTAATTCTCTATCTGTGATGTATTTTTCATCAACGGTATCCCGCTGTTCACTCGATACCGTTTTCGTGATGTCAACTTGTGAATCATCAAGCTTTCTCGACGGTGATGGGCAAAACGGATATTCGATAGTTTCGTCTGCACACATAGCCACATTGTTAGTACTTTCTTCATTATATTTTGCTGTATCCATGACAGTAGAATTCGCCGACATCATGCTAATAGAGAACGTCGTATCTGGACTATGAGGATGCGGGCTGACAGAAACTCTTGGAGGATAATCAGGACTTCTGGGGCTGCTGATCACTTCACCATTACTCTGTGGACTTTCTCCAAGTTGTGGTGTGTTATTGGAGAAATTTATGCAGCCTTCTAATTTTGCCTTTGTAGATAATGTATGCATGTTTCCAGATAACATGATGTCGTTGTTACATGCAGACTCGGCCTAAGTAGAAAATAATATAAGTAGACGATAATATTGCAATTTTTATGATAATATATAATGTAAAAAATATAAAAATTATTTATCAATGTGTAGAAAACGCCATAACATAGGGATGTAGAAAAATATACACTAATTTAATATAGGAACATATTTAAAATATATTTTATATAAATGGCATATGTATTAGTACATATATATTTATTTATACCTACATGTATAATATGCTGAATCGGTTCTCTGGCAGCTTTTACTACTACATCATTGTTGCAATGATCTGGATTCCCTGTATCAAATATATATCATTCTATTTAATAAAAATATACAAGTGAAACTTGCTAATTATATATTACTTTAGTTTTACATTTATTATGTAAGTCATAAAGAAAAAGAATTCATGCGCATATTTTAAAACATATATCTTTTTTTTTGCTTTTTTTAAAAAAAAGATACTTTCTTTTCAGAAATAAAATAAAATTTAATTACTGTTTCTTAATTAATTGCATAAATGAACAATATTTTTAATGATATTTTATTTTAAAATAAATATAAGAAAAAGCAAATGTATAGTATACATTGTGACAAACAGTTAATATTACGAAAGTGGAGCTATAATTAGTTCGCTCTTATAGTAACTTTATTTAGAACTCTATTTAGAATGGAATTCAATCTCTTATATATTAATACTAATACATCTATTATAAAATATCTCGTTATTTAGATCATTTATGAATTTAAATTGAATATATTTAAAATAAAATATAAAATCACAAATATATACATTTTGCAAATATATACATATATATTATTCAGAGATAATTTCTAGATAATTATATATAGATTTCCAAATTTAACAAATTTATTTTGACAATTATTATATCCTTATTGAATGTACTCTGGATTGATAAAAGTATGTTTATAAAGTAAAGGCATGTTTGTGGTAAACTGCAAGGTAACTCTCGAATAAATGCATTCGAGTATGCATGCACAAACGACACGAAGATACTACTGTTGCCCATTCGAGAAATAATTTCCAAGAACTTGACGCAACGAATGACACGAACAACAACAAACGTCACGGAATGCTAATTACCGTCTGTTTCTTCCGGAAGACGAACGGTGCGGTCCGGGTCGGTCCCCGGATGAGACATGCTGCTCCGTTGGCTGGGCGTCTCGTTATCGTTCGCGACCCGTTCACCCACATCACCCACACCGGACGAGCTCGCCGAGCCCGAGTCCCTCTGTAATGCGTGCCCTTCCGTGTTCGCGTGAAACGGTGGTGACGCTGCAGGGAAACCCGTGGGCGTCCCGGGCGAATTAGGCGCGGGATCGCTCGCGCGACCGGCCGTCCTCTCGACGACGACGCGTTGCCACGTCGTTCCGGGCGTCGTCCCGTCCGTTGCCTCGCTTCCACCTGGGTTCGTCGCTCGGTCACTCGTATTATTTACATCGCATCCTACGTTTGACACGATACCCGCACCGTCCTCGGATGCCATCTTGGTTCCGTGAGCGACATCCCGGACGCGACGATACTACGCCGTCGCGGATTGGCGGACGCGCTTGCCGGCAACGACGCGCGCCGATCGTCATTCGTCCGAGCCGATGTCGCCGAGTGGGGGTCGCGCCAGTAGGCGCGACGCTTCTATCGTGGTACGCGAGACATTTTTATCCGCCGGAATCTTCGATCTCCGAGAACGTACTTTTCCGCCAAACTTTTCGATTGCTACCACGGACACGTTCCAGCTCGCCAAGCGAGGATCCTGCGACAAGATCAAACGCCGAACCCGTCGCAGTCTGTGTTTGAAATTCCATCTCGTACGTATTTTGTCAAATTCACTTGTACACGAGTGCACGTTGGAAAATAACAAAAAAACACGCGACTTTCAATAAAACGATTCGACAAACATGAGCTAGCGAATAATCATCTTCTATATAATTCTTTTATTTTACGCTAAAATGCGATTCTCGATTTAAAATTGTGTCATCGGAGCATAATTTTAAGATATATGTAATTAAAATGGTAAAAATGGACTATTCGATATATTTGATTACACGTTGCAGTTATATGACATGTTTTCGCAAAATTTCTCGAAAGTTATTCGTGAAGGATGTGATCAAAGGCACAAGATAAATAAATAAGATGTGTGCTTGAACTCAATGTAAAGTAAAATTCACTCGTATGCGCGAATGTCTTTTTTCCTCTATAAATTTCTTCTAGTTCTCAATAAATTTTTTCTAGTACTCTAATTTTACATATATATACCCAAGTAAGATCTCGAAAGAAACGACAAAGCGTTAATTCGAAAGATTAATAAATTTTTTATCGACTTGCGATACAGGCTTTACGCGGTGAGAATGGACGAGAGCAGCGAGTTTCCCATCTAGATAACGATACGCGACTCGTGACCGTCAGTCACTTGCGCGCCGCGCACTCGGCATCGTGACGAGAGCGAACGTATTCGGGAAATAAACAGAGTGCGGCGTGTGTAGTGGTGACAAGAGCGCGCGTCCAACGACCATGTCGTCGCCGAATAAGAAGGCCAAAGAGTTGGAGGATCCTGGCTCGGGCGAGGGGGATGCGCGCGATTACGACATCGAGATACAAAAGACCCTCGAGGAGATCGACGGCTGTCAGAATCAAATCGATGGCCTGAACGAGAAAGCCAGCGACGAGATCCTCGAAGTCGAGAAGAAATATAACAAGCTGCGCAAGCCCTACTTCCAGAAGCGTAACGACATCATCAAGAGGATACCCAACTTTTGGGTCACCGCTGTATCCTTTTCGGACGACGCGTCCGTGAGTCCGATGAGACCGAGACGTCGTTTTGACGTTTCCCTCGACGATGCCGGCGTCCGCCGGCAATCGCCGCCATCTTGCCTACTTGTATACGTGCATAAGCGTGTATAACCGTATAGCGATTATGCGTTTTATAATCAAATATGCGTTTACATCAATTGTCGGGTTAGCGCTACTCGTCTATCGATTTATAATTTACAACGCGTGTTTCGTTATCGCGTTAACATGCGATGATACATCACGGTACAATTTTTCGAAATCGTATTAATAACGCCAGGCGTACAAATCGGCGCACATGTATCGTTGATTTTTCTAAAGTAGATTGAATAAATCAAATGTATCAATATATAATAAGGCAGCATTTTGTTAATAATTATTAGGTATATTAAATTGATTCGATAATATATTCTTCCTTACAACAAGTTTAGTTTGTAAACAACAAAGAAATAGCAGAAATACTGGAAGAAGACGAAGAAGATGCACTGAGATTCCTAAACAAATTAGAAGTTGAAGAGTTTGAAGATATCAAATCTGGCTATAGAATTAATTTTTACTTTGATGAGAATCCATATTTTGAAAATAATGTTTTAACTAAGGAATTTCACTTAGGATCTTCTGGTGAGCCCATTTCTTGTCAATTTTCTATCATTAATTTATCATTGTATAAAAATTATAAGTATGCAGTGACTTGGAAAAAATATGACAGAACTTACAGTTTAATCGAGTATCATAGTTGCGATGAATCTCCTGCTATTTTGCAGGAGATCCAGCATCTCAAAGTACACTCATTCGTTGGAAAGAGGGTGCGGACTTAACAAAGAGAGCAAAAACCAAAGCACCATTGAAAGGACGCAAAAGGCCACTCAAACACAGATCATTTTTCGATTGGTTCACGGATCATGGAGATCCAAGTTCAGATGAAATAGCTGAACTAATTAAAGATGATATGTGGCCTAATCCATTGCAGGTAAACACTTTTTACTTTAATCATATTATTTATGTTTGTGTATATAGATGATTTATTCATATAGCATTTTTACATTGACTTGAAAAATTGTTTTCAATATTATTTATCGTGATTTCATGGATTTCAGTATTACCTGGCTCCAGATATAGATGTCGAGAATGGTATCGAAGGTGATGGCGAAGAATGTGAAAGCGAAGAAGAGGAGGAAGAGGAGGATGGCGCGGATGATGGCGATGAAGGAGGCGAAGGAGAGGAAGGAGATGATAGTATAGTAGTAGTCGAAGATGATGTTGATGAGGATGATGATGAGGAGGAGGCTGTGAATGATGAAGATGATGGTGTAAATGAAGAGGATGATTTATTGGTAGATGATGAAGTAGATCGCGAAGGTAAAAAATTTGGATATTGTTACACATAATACATTACTATAGTATGTTTAGTATTTTATAGAGTTGATTTAATTGTGTTACAGAGGGCGAAGAACCTGAATAGAATCCGAATCAGACCTCTTACTTCATATTTTACAGTGAAAAGAAAAAAAAATAATGAAATTGTGTGCACCGAATCAATTGAGAGCAGAGAAAGTTTATCGGACTGAAAATATGCCATATGAATAAATCTCAGGACACATTTCTTTTTTTTATAAATATATATATATATATATACATATATAATGAAAATAGGATGGCAGAGAATATTTAGGCGATCTAGACCCTTTCGATTGAGAACCTATGTATAAAAATACAACATTTGTTAAGATATATTGAAAGTGGTTTGAAAGGAAAGGGTCTGGATTAAATTAGATAGGTTCCACTCTTGCATTAAATCTAATCAGAACGTAACAAATTCTTCCTCAGTTATATTCATATGGCCTAGTCGTCGTTCTCTTAAAAAAAAATATGACAGGAAAATCCGCCTGGTTCTTAATATTGCGGATTCACCGATAAGTTAGGATAAAGTAGAACGAGACACTAGGTGGGGAGTTCCATTTAATTGCTTTTTCGTGAAAATTATTTAGATATGACTTCCAGAGCGAGGTGTCGTAAATAGAATTTTTGAGAGTGACAATTGTATCTTCTGCACATAAAGTACTCAAATTTTTACATCACTTACCGTCTTATTATTTTTAAATAAAACAAATATGAAATAAATTTTATCTTTTGCTACGATCTAATTAATTTATATTTTACAAAATCATTGTTGCAAATTTATTCTACAAATGACAGTGTTGTAATATTTTATGGGTAATTCACGATTGTTAGCAATTTATAATCCGTTTATAACACTCTTGCATACTATCACAAGTTTTATCTCATTTTTATTTTATCTGACATTTATATAATTTTATATTTTAATAATGTATATAGTGAAATCTCTGTATCAAAGTTTATAAGTTACAAAGTAAAAATTTACACTATGCTATTACATAGTATATGGTCTTGATAATATCGCATTACAATGTTGTCTCCAATAAACGAAAATACATAGAACTTGTACATTCATATGTGTTACTATCAAATTTTTATTATTCAGCCTATATAATATATAGAATTATTTCGTTATTTGTTATATTAGTCCAAATATGCAGCACTCTTTTACAAACTGATTATAATCATATTTAGTAATAAATATTGCTGCATTAACTTTAATTTCATTGCATTTCAAGCATAATTCTTGATGAAAGATTGCAATGTATGTAAAATCATTTATTTTATTACTTGTGCATTAATGAGAAAATGTACTTTATATCAAATTCCATTCTGAGCATGAATTTTTTGTCGAATTATAATTATTTCAACAATTTTATTATATATATAATGTAAAAATATTTGTTTAATTTTAATAAGCGATTTAATTATTAATAAGTGATAGGCACAATGATATATTTGTCACGCTCAAAAAGGCTTTGATCCTATTTTATCTCATTCACGTTCTTCCGCACTTCGTATCACGATTTACTCATTGTCACATAAAATAAGTGTATTTCGTGGACATTTCTCACATTTGATACATTATGTACTTCTAATGGTGATTTCGTTCTATGAGATTATCGTATGTATGACAGAGATATAAGATCGAAGCGTATAAAGTTGCAGCGATGTTCTCTTTAAATCTCCTATAATCGGCGTTACAATAGGGAAGAAAACATAATCGATGCAACTTTGTCGGCTACCATCACACCTATATCAATTAAACTAACAAATTAAACTCGCGAATCTCATTCATCATCTTGCATTTTTCGAAGCCTAGGGAGAAACAAGTAATTGCTACGTCTCGAATAGAAAACGTTGGTAGTCTCAATTTGATAAGATAAGCTATAATTGTCTAATTTTAGAGCAAAGTACAACAGCGATATTTTTTAATTAAGAATACGCGTTGTTTCACATTCTTCGAATACGAGTTTGTCAGTATTTATTAGATTAATACGTGTTACCCGCTAACACATGTGTGAAAAGAAGGAAATATTGTCAAAATTATATAGAAATAATAAGACCAATATAAGATTCGTATTTTACCATTGGATCCTCTTGTATGTTTATATATTATATCTACTGATTATATATACTATTAATTCGATTGGTTGTAACTTGTATGAAAAAGAGTAGCTCCTTCCAAGGATCGGTGCGTTATAATTCATTTCTTTCTATCGCACATTTTCTTTCACACGCGGAAATACTATCCCGGGAACTGTTTCATCATACGAAAACGATTCTTTTGTCTAACACGAAGGATAAATGTATAAGTGAGGATGAGACGCGAGGGCACGAATGTAAACCTCCTTCATGTCAGACGGACGTGCTAGTGTGTATTACATAATCGTGCAACAAATCAACCGAATAAAGTTGCCAGTTTGAGATACAAACGAGTTTTAATATCGTCCATTAGTAGTATAAATATAGTATATAAATATAATATAGATATAAAAGAGTACGCGTGCGAAATATATTTCATGTTGCGAACGCTATTTAGTTTATATTACCGCAGTAATTACAAAAAGCCCAGCAATCTTGCAATCGAATTTCAAACTTTCTCCGATAATTATAGTATCTTAATTTTTTTTAAAGACTTAAGAGTCTGTAATTCATTGGGTTTTTTTTTTGTATTTTTCATTCGATGGCGTGGGAGCTGCGTCCACAAAACTGTCGGCGCTCGGAAACGCGGAACAGGAAGCGGTCGATCAAATAAACTTTGCTCCGAAACCCCTACGAGCCGCGTTAACCATTCGCCCTTTTTTTCCCTCGTGAATTGTCAAATTGTCCGCTTTTTATGTCGATACGCATCATCATACGCCGTCTTCGTTTGCCTGGCGTTCTATTACAAGCAGACCAAGCACATGCTCGTCATTACGACAAAAAAGTGCCACTTCGGGTTCGAAGACGCGGCTGTGTAATAAGACGCTAACGGCTAACTTCGGGACGTTGCGTGTGCTTCTGGCGATGAAACACGAGATTTTTTTACAATGCGCGACACTCAGCCAGGGTGTTACGCGTGTCACGGTCAACATCAACATTGCCTCGATACGAGTGATACTCTGCGCCCTGAATAAGGATCTATAAAGTGTATAAATTGAGACGATTATACTACAAAAAAAGCAATTATTACAAGTTCATAAATCGATACTTTTGTAACAATATTATTAACCTAGAGTAGAGTCATTACGTATCACTTTTTCTCCTAATAATTTCTCCCGCGATAAAGTGTACATGCTAAAATTTAATAATAAAATTATTTAAGTTAAGAGCGAAAGCTTATATACGATTCTTCGGAGTTAATAGTATAAATATAATATTATTTATAAATAATAGTTCATACATGCAAATTATAAATTTCCCTTTAGAGGTGTCTGGTGGCTTTGAAAATTCGCATGACAAGGAGGCCACTGTTGAGGAAGCTCTTTGGCAAAAAAGGTTCATTGTGCCGCGGCCAATGGAGAAGAGCAAAAGAGCTGCGGAAGAAACCATGAGGACGACGATGTTGATCCAAAAGAGGTGGTGGGGTTACCTCATATTCGCGAGTCTGTTATATATAAGATGTATGTATATTTAAAACTTTGTACTTATTCGTTCTCGTTGAAAGATCAAACTGCGATAAAAGTATTTTGAAATAAATTGATCGCCACGTACTATGTATATTGTGTACTTTTAACAAATTATATTTAAAATATACTTGTCTTTAATAAAATTATAGGTAGGAAATTTTTTTAATTATTAAGTACAATGTAACGAAAATTTCGAAAATGATCGAGCTTGTCTATGTTTATGTTCGAGTCACGCTATTAGTTAACATACATGAAATCCGTATACTGTAAATATATCACGTATGTGTTTGTATTTAACGAGATAGAGAGAAGGAAAAAAAGAAAGAGAGAAAGACGAGAATCTTCCTCGGACCTCGTCTTACTACGCAACGATACTGTAGACGAAGGAGGGAGAATTAAGATGAAGAGTAGAAAGAGAGGCCCCGACCTGCGAGGGAGATGTACAAAGGTGCAGATGACAAAACCAAAGAGCCGGCGAACCAAATGCTTCAATGCAAGCTGAGCGCTCGTTCGAGACGCATCCGGGTGAAACTTTTGTCGAGAGCGACTGCTCACACGTTTTTCTCGAAGAAGTTTCAGCACGAAAAAGAGAAGAGGTCATATCAATTAACGGTCTTTTGGCAAAAAGAAAATCAAATTGTGGTGTTTGATCGACGCGAAAAATTCGCGCGAATAATAGAGCGAAAATCAATGAGCGAAGATGGCAGGATATGTCAATCTTGGTGCATCCTTTATTGTTCTTCTCTTGGTGGTCCACCTAGAGCAGCTGATCCTGCACAAAGGTATTGTTAATCGGATAACAATTGAATTCCCGCAAAAGTTCGCCTGCAAAAATTATTGAAAATTATTATAGAGAAATTTGATCGATTTTCGTAAAGATAATCGCGAAATATTTAAAAAATGCAATTTCTTTTAAGTTAATTTTGACTTTTGTAATATTTCTCATTTTTGACATAGAGATGATTAAAATTTTCTGCATATAGATACTATAATATTATAATTTCGATAAGCATAAAAAATAAAGTTTAATTTTTCAAATAAAATTCCGCTAAAATATAAATTAAAATACTCGTAGAGCAAGTTTTTTAAAAAACTATTAAGTTTAAAAAACTTAAATTTTTGATCGTCTTTTCTATATAGTCACCGAATTATTGTTGCTGATATTTGTGATCGACTAAATTTCATTGCGTCGCGACGATGCTTAATGTATACACAGGCGTGAAGCAAATCATCCTATTAGTTACTTCTCCATTGATCTAGGCTCATTTGTGGACGCAGAATGCTACATGAATCGCTTTCGATATTTCAAAACTACGAGGCAATTCCAAGAATAAAATTTAATCGCGAATATATTATAAAAAGATACAGATAACATTATAGTATATTTAAAGTTTTTTGCTTAATAATATTGATTAAAGATTAGTTATATATATTTGTTTATACATTTAAGAGAGATTAACATGAGTACACACACACACAAATCTAAATTAAAAGAATATTACTCTTCTGGCGACTTTATATATAATTTTAATTTTCTTCCTTATAAAAAATTCAAATTTATGTATATGACATTTAAATGTCACATGTCTACGACATCGTAAAATTCAGTGTTAAGTTCAAACTCCTAGTAGCAGTTTGTGACTATATAATTATATAATATCAAAAAGAATACGCGCGACGCTCATGGTACGTTACTTTCGTCGATTGATATAAATTAATTTTCATATTATATGATAGATTAGACATATTGAAGGACAATTGAAAGCATATATTGAAGAAGCTCTTTAGGCTCTTCATAGAAACTGTTTGCGTGTTAAATTGATATATCTTGCAAGATAAAATACATGATTCGCATCTGTCAGCGAGGAAATGTTGCATGCCGTTTCTCCAAGAAACGAGATTTCGTCGCTGTTATCAATATGCAAAGCATATTTTTTCCACGCTAGTTTTCTTAGATAGATATCAATAGAGTCGCAAGTTTCCTTATACACTTTATGAATGTGCAAAGCATATTTTTTCCATGCTAGTTTTCTTAGATATCAATAATCATAAGTTTTCTTATACAATTCATGATAAAATGTGCAAATATATTTTTTTCTATGCTAGTTTTCTTAGGTAAATATCAATAAAATCATAAGTTTTTTTATTCTTCATGATAGAATTATTATAAAAGAGCACTATATATATATTTACAACAAAATGTTAGGTTCTTCTTCATATTTGAATTTTTATATAGAAATAACGTATAAATAAAAGATACTTTTTTCTAACAGAAAGATGACTAAAGGATCGAGAGAATGATAAGCTTGATAAAAGCTAAATAGAACATTTGACCTAGTTTGCTACGTTGATTCTTCTAGAATTAATTTACATGTAACGATAAAGCAATCGTTGTTTTAAAAAAATCTTACTGTCATGTGTTTCTTTGTCGATTTAATTTAATTTTTATGAGAGACTCGATATAATAATCTCTCGATAAATTTCAATTAAGTTAATTCCTGTAGAAAATATACTAAATTAGAATTAAATTCTCTCAATGGCATACTATTCTTGTCCTCCACGAGCAAATTTACACGCGCCTCGCTTATTCTTTATCGCTCGAAATAGCGGCGGTTGTCGAGGGAAGAATGGAAGCTCAGTTCAAGAAATGTTGCGATCTGGGCACTTCATGGGCCCAGGAGGGCCTTAGATGCGAAAGGTTTACTGGACCTGTGGCCGGAGTGCCGAGGGTAGAGCAGGGTCTCTGCCTGGAAACCGTAGACATCTGTTGCATTCGAGCCTACCACGAGCTGGAATGCAAGAGGGGAAAAGCTGACGCGCGTCAAGGTCTCGCGTGCGTAACAAGCACGAGCACCAAGTCGAGGACATCCGGTGATCATCATCGCGACTGTTGCGAGGGTTGCAAGCTAGGTGATTTTTTTTACTCAATCTCTGTAGTTTTCATACATATACGTTGGGAAATTTAATGAACTTTCCTCGACGGATAAATCACTCGCGTGGATTAATTTTGACGAGTGTCCTGTCAAAATATCAGGTATCCTCACGGGATCTATGGGTCAAGGATGCTCCTTCAAGAGTTTTTCATTTGGTATACCATGGGATCCCGCGTTCTTGGAGTGCTGTCATGAAGCGTCACCGAGTTCGACGACTGATCTTACGAGCGAATCATCGAGCGGAAACACCGAAACTGATCTGGATTTCTCATCATCATCATCATCGTCGCCATCATCCTCGTATTCACCGTCGTCGCCACCATCCTCGTATTCACCGTCGTCGCCATCGTCATCATCGCCATTATCGTCATCATCGTCATTATCGCCATCGTCGCCGTATTCAACATCGCCGTATTCATCATCGTCTTCATCTTTTTCGCCCACATCATCCTTATCCTCACTGTCGGATGAGCCATCTTCTACAGCATCGGAATCCACATCGTATTCAGTACCAACTCCAGGTATATAATTTGTAGAAAAAAATGTTCATCCTACTCTTTATCTTAATTCATTTATAGAATATCTTCTTATATATTCTTCGTCAAATAAAAATTAGATTACTTACAATACTTGAAATAATAAATAATTGACAAATATTTGTTTTCTATAAATAAATGTCAAATCGCGCATGTTTTATGGAGCATATAAAAAGGAATATTGTTCAATGCAGTCGTAACTTTTTCCCCGCAAGCGCGACTTTAAATCGCGCGTCCTGATTTTCACAGAGTTGGATGATATCTGTCGACTCATGAAAGGCATGCTCTGCTCTGACATTTGTGTACCGACGCCTGGCTCGTATTATTGCAAATGCCGCGACGGCTTCACTTTGTTGGAGGACGGAAAGACCTGCAAGCAAGATCTGCCGACTGACAGGTATGCGAAAATAATATAGATCCTCCATACATATATTTTTTATTATAAAATAAATAAAATATATGATGCTATCGATCAAGTATCATTGCAAGATTATTATTCTAGTTAATTAATAGTATCGCAATCTTTACAAAATATTAAAAATCAATTTTATGATATTTCAGTCTTAATAATATTAATATTAATAATATTAATATTAATATTAATATTAATAATAAAAATATTAATATTAATAATAAAAATATTAATGATGAAAATTTTGCTTTGAGATGCAAATCGACTCATCCTTGTGAACAACGATGCACTGACAATGGGATGGCTGTTATATGCAGCTGTAATCCAGGATATGATTTGGCCGATGACGGACGTTCGTGTATTCCAAAGTCCAAGTCTAATGATAATAAGAAACCAAATGTAGACGAAGAGGATAACGAATTGTCACCGTTGTGTCCATCGGGTTATCGTTATAATTCCACTAATCAGGTGTGCGACGGTACGTTTACAATTTAAAAAAGTATAATTTCAGATACAGGTAAGAACAAGTGAACGTATATAAACGTTCAAAATTCATTATTTTATAGTAAAATAGCATAAATAATTATAGAAATGCGTCTCTTTGCCTAATGTCAATGCAATGTTAACGTCGGATTCGTCAATGTTTTATATTTTACGTGCGTCGATTCTATATTTCGCTATATTTTGCTGGAGCACCTGTTATCTCTGTCTTGTATCTTGCTTATGCGAATTGCGATTGAGGGAATGTATATCTCTCTCTCGATTTTTTTTATTCGATGAGATTAATTGTCCTACCTACCTCAATCGTGCTGTAATGTACTTTTTTCCGCAACTGTGCATTCGCATGTGACCCTAACTCTCGATCGACATCGATCCATTCATCAGACGTGGACGAGTGTTTGAAGCGCGACGTCTGTCCCGGTGGTAGATGCCAAAACACTATAGGATCATACGTCTGCATCACAATTACATCCGCCAAAGATGCACCCTACGAATCTTGTCCTCCGGGCTATCAATGGGAGATACGTACAGGTGTATGCATAGGTAGGTATAATTAAAAACGCGTCTTTTACTTCGATAAATCGCGCAAATCACAAATCGATAAACAAACAATCGATATAACATTATACACACTATTTTCATCATTTTTTTCAGATATCGATGAGTGCACCGTCGTATTGAACGCTTGTACCGCCGATAAACCGTTTTGCGTCAACACGCAGGGTAGTTATACATGTCTGGAAATGACCGGGGTGAAATCTTGCCCTGCGGGATTTAAGTTTGATAAATCGTTGCAACAATGCAGAGGTAATATCGCGTAAATTATCATCGGCTATTGAATTCTAATTCATGGATTAATATTAATAATTTTCCACGGAATTTTCTCTCCATTCTCACTCATCTTGTTAATTAGATGTGGACGAGTGCGCGGAAGCTATTCACAGCTGTCTAACAGATGTTGAGCAATGTCGAAACACCGAGGGTGCTTACGAATGCGACATGAAATGCGAGAAAGGATTCACGTACAGTATCGGCTTGGGTACTTGTGTCGGTAAGCGTTCATTTTCTATCGATGATGTTCAGTGAATTCTCTTTGCATGTATGTATGCAACACTATCATCGTTTTTTGACAAAGTAAACTTTTGAGTTTAACTTCCTCCTCCTACTAGGCAGGCATGTAAGCGCATCTCGCGATCTGCATTTTTCTTCATCGACGTTGTAAAAGATCAATCGAACTCGTGAACACAGTATCGTTCGATTAACTTGAAAGTGAGTCTGATTGAATTTGATTCGCATCCACGATGATCTCATTCCGCATGCAACTCTGTCATATCCTCGTATCTTCTTTTCGCATGTGAGTAATGAATTAACTTTTTAAACGCGAATGTGCTTTTGATAATTAGAATGGGATTACGATTAATCAACGATAAAAATTATATAATTGTTAAATTAAACTTCATTTAAAAAATCTAAACTTGCATTTACTTATGATAATACAAAATTTTTTGTTTCATGCTTTTTTTCTCTTCTTGAAACTAAAATGAATCTCTTTAAAAATAAATATGACAATTTGCGATTACATACCTCTTAATTTTCTTTTATTCTAGATATAGATGAGTGCATCGAGTCGAATAATCTTTGTCCCGATCCTAGCACGAAGTGCGTTAATACAGAGGGTGCATATGAATGTGTGAAATCTACTTTATTGAAGAATCTATTTTCACCTCCGCCGTTCGAGAAGAATCTCACGAAGGATTTTGCCGATCACTGGAACGTACCACCGAATTGTTTCCAGGGGTACAAACCAGCAAATGACTCCGAAATGACGACGACGTGCATCGATGTCGATGAATGCAGAGAACAATTACACTTTTGCAAACATGACGAACGTTGCATTAACGAGATCGGTGGTTACAGGTGTGAAAATATCGCGATATTTGTTAATAAAGTAGAAACAAAGAATCTTAATAGTTTATCTTAATAAAAAAAATTAGATGCGTGCCAGTTGAAAATAGCAAGAATACATCTATGGAAAACGACAATCAACACGTTTATAACCAACAACAACAATTATACAAGTCAAAAGGAACAAGCGCTGTGAACAAAGATGAACTTTGCGACTATGGCTACATGTTCGACAAAAAATCTCGTCGCTGCGTTGGTAACTATTTTATTTCGAATAATATCGTTGGATTTTGCGTCATGAAATGAATCAATTTTGTTGAAAATTATAAATTTATTATAAAAAAATAAAAAAAATAAAAAAATAAAATGTAAAAATAATTTATCGCAGATGTTGACGAATGCGCCTATGGGATAGAGTATACGAGATGCAATTTAAACGATCGTTGCATCAATGTACCGGGCAGTTATACATGTTTTCCATCCAGTTGTCCACCGGGTTTCTGGCTGCGCAACATTACCCAATTCTCCCTCTACGAAAAAATAGACTTTTGCGAGGACATAGACGAATGCACGCTCGGCTTGCATAATTGCAACATGTTGACTCATTATTGTCTTAATACGAACGGCTCCTATATTTGCGAAGCATTCGCTACCACTACCACCAGCACCACTACTACTGCTAGGACTACCACGGCCAGTAGCAAAATAATAAGAAGACCGTACATTAATTCACGTTACAACAAAGTACACGTGCTCAGAAGTAGTCCCGTGAGCTATATATGTATTCATCTTGCGAACGTAAACCTCTTAAAATTATCAATTTAATTCATGTTACTCGTATTTATGTTTCAGAGCCAAGATCGTTATTGGACCACAGAACCGTGTAGATTAGGATATAAAAGAGACGCGAGCACGGGCTATTGCGTGGATATAGACGAATGCGCTGTTGGACCAGGATGTCGCGATCACGAAAAATGCATGAATACACCGGGAGGCTACGATTGTTCGCCTCTCTGCAGCGCCGGCTGGTACTTTAGCACGACGACGAAGAGCTGTCAAGACGTGGACGAGTGTCTGTTAGGTCGACACGAGTGTCCTCAGAGTACGCACAGGTGCGTCAACACCAACGGATCTTTCAGTTGCGAATTGATACCGCCTTGTAGCCACGGCTTTAGACGTGCCTTCAACGGCAGCTGTTTGGACATCGACGAATGCTCCGAGAGCCTGCACAACTGCCGGCTTGATCTGCACCAATATTGCATTAATAAAGAAGGCAGCTTTGAATGTTTAACTAGACTGCCCTCTTGCCCGTCCGGATATCAATATTCTTTGGGCTCTCGACAATGCGAGGATATCGATGAGTGCTTGACCGGGCAATATAAATGTGACGCAAAGTTCTCCGAGAGATGTGTCAATCTACCGGGTACATATAGGTACGTGAAATTTCGACTAATTGATTGAAAATGCGTTTTATCGACAAGTAAGAATATAAACATGTATACTTATAAAGAGAAAATTTTTTTTGAAAATATATTATTTTGCAGGTGCGAAAGACCTCCTCCTCGCCAACGTCAACGACCTGCTTGTCCTTCCGGCTTTCGGTATCACACTCGCTTTCGCAAGTGCACAGGTATATATCTAATAGGTTTTTTGTGGAATTATACAATTTATAAATCGTAAAAATGTTAAATATTTGTATCTATTTAATTGTATATATTATTTCTGTTTTCGAACAATTATATTTCTAATTGTATTTTTCAATTGTAACATAATATTATGTAGAATTTGTAAAGCTCCTCTATTAACAACAATTTCAGATATTTCTTATATTTTCAGAACTCATCAGAACAAACTTTCTCAGGTTAACTGATTGCAGCATGTTTCATAAATTTCTTAAGAAATGCATGGGTGAATTATGTTGTCTTTGTTTTAAATATATATATGTATATGCATAATTGAGTATGATAATAATTGTCTGTGCATACATATTATATGACTAATAGAAATATGCTTTATGTTTTACCTTGTTTTACGCTATTTCAATTATTTGTAATTATGCTTTTTATCAGAGCTGTATAACTTGAAAAAATAATAACACTTATTCTGCAAACGAATAAAAATGCTTCATTATTTAATCTTCTTAAAAGAAGATTTAGTCTGATAATATTCCAAATTAAAATTGCCTGTTGTAACAAGTATTTTCAAACTTGAATATCTGATAAGTATTTTGTTTGATATTGTAGACGTGGACGAATGCGCAGAGGGATTAGACACATGCGGTGACGAGATCTGCTACAACCAACCTGGTGGCTACAGCTGTGCGAAGCCACCTGTTCCCGTCACCAGGAAACCATCCACGACAGCGATGCCGGTGCCGGCGAACCAAAAGTGTATGGATGGTACCAAATTCGTGAGAAACCGCGGCTGCGTTGATGTCAATGAGTGCAGAGAGCTCGAAAATGCTTGCAGTAGCAACGAGGAATGCGTCAACACCATGGGCAGCTACATATGTACTTGCAAGCCTGGTTTCAGGCGTGATAATTTCACGCAAGCTTGTGTTGATATCAACGAATGTCAATTGCAAGTAATGATAATTTTAATCGTAAAACAATTTTAAATTTAAATATAGTATATCTGTTTTATCTCGAGGAAGATAAAATAAAGAATCGCGTTATAAGTCTTTCACCGATTCTAATATCTTTGCACTTCGAAGGAAAACGATTGTCTACCGACTCAACGATGTGACAATACAATTGGCAGCTACACATGCGTGCGTTTCTTGCCGTGCGGTACCGGCTATACCTTGAACGCCGCGACCGAGATCTGCGAAGACGATGACGAATGTGCTCTTGGTACTCATGATTGCGGACCTGGTTATCAATGTAGAAATACTTTGGGTTCTTACCGCTGCGATCGTATTCGGCGTATATCGACTCCGCAAGCACGTACATTATCAATAACGACGGCGCGGATGACGGCGACACCGACGACAACGAAGACAACGACAACGCCAAGTGCGACTAGCACGAATTGTCCGCGCGGCTTCGAGCCCGGTTCCAGTGGCAAATGTATGGACATAGACGAATGCCAGAGAACGCCGAATCCTTGTGGCAGATCTATGCAAATGTGCATCAACACTTTGGGATCCTACAGGTACGCGGCGATCGAAAATTATGTCAGTAATTAGAGTAAGAATTAAAAATACAGGAGAAAATTTTACAGATGCGCGTCCAAAGTAATTTGCGCGCCCGGTTATACCTTGGACCCCGTGTCTGGACAATATTGCGTCGATGTGGATGAATGTCGAGAAGGAATACACAAGTGCGGCAAAGGACAGACTTGCGAGAACAAACAGGGAGGGTATCATTGCATCTGTCCGTCTGGTCATGCTCCCGGGCCCAACAATGACTGCGTGGACATCGATGAGTGTAGTATTTACGGTAGCGGAATTTGCGGATTAAATAGTCGTTGTGAGAACACCGTTGGCTCTTACAGATGTTTATGCGACGAAGGCTTTGAAAATGTCGGGGGTGCCGCTGGTGCTTGCCAAGTGAGCTTGTTATCGATATAATAATCTCAATCTTGTCATTATTATTAGATTTTTATATCGAAATAGAAAAATGAAATATGCAATTTGATGACCTCCAGAATACTCACAAGTATAAACTAATTTTCAATCAATAATGTTTTGCGAACAAAGTTCTTTTATATCTCAATTATAAATTACACATTTCAAGAATAAAATTATATGACGCATATACATATGTTATAATATAAAAATTATTTATATAATATTTAATGACATTTGTAGGATATCGACGAGTGTCAGCAAACAGCAGGACTCTGTCAACACATGTGCATTAACTTCTGGGGCAGCTATAAATGCGGATGCGAAGCTGGATTCAGGCTAAATGCCGATAATCGATCCTGCAGCGATATCGACGAATGCACGGAATTTAAGGACGATAATCTCTGCATCGGCATTTGCGAGAATACGCCGGGCAGTTACGCGTGCAAGTGTCCCAACGGATATAGACTCGGCATCGACGGCCGAGCCTGTCAAGGTAGTCTTTTTCCTTTTCATGTAATTTATAAAAATACAGTAAGAAAAAATGTAATGAAGTCTGAAAGATACCGAGGATGAAACATTGTATGGTGGGAAGAAAGGGAAACGGAAGAGCCAAATCGATAATTTGTATAGCAATTATGTGATAATTGGGGAATGAAAAGTGAGAGTCCCCGTTTACATACGAGTCACGGTGTTGTGAACGCGAGCATGCGTTCCACCTACACTTGCTTATCCCGCAGTTAAGTGGAGCGGTGTAATTTGTACTTGACCCGTTTGCGAGGCGAACTGGGGCATCGCTTAGGGTCACCGGCGAACACGAACGCGCTCCTCGCAATCTTCTCAATCTCGCGTAATCACGACATTCATGTCGGCGCGGTCACGATTCCGCCACGTGCCATGACATAGACCTAATTGTCTCTCAACGTTTGCAGATATCGACGAGTGTGCGACTGGTCAGGTCTGCAATGAACCGGATGAGATGTGCCAGAATACGCGCGGTAGCTACCGCTGCAATCGGATAAACTGTCCTTCTGGATATCATCGAGACAACTTGAGGAAAAAGTAATGATTCTTTTATATTGGAAATAATAGAGATTCTTAATTTTTTTAAATTCGAATTTTGGTATCTTTCGATATCGCGATTATTTGCATTTCCTCTCGAATTGATCTCGTATAATGCGAACAATCGATAAATGATTTCCCCAATTATTTGATAAAAATAAAATCGCCCAAGTACCAACCAATTTGCGATTTCAGCCGCTGTGTACGCTCCTCAAGATATTGTCGTGTAAATGACCAGGCTTGTCTTCGGTTACCCTCGCATTATTCCTACAACTTCATTACCTTCGTGAGCATGCTACCCATCCCGCCGACCGGTCGACTGGAGCTATTCACTATGAGAGGAAGTCATCAGCCCGATTCGACGATACAATTCACCATGGCATTGGTAGACGTGCGCGCACCGCCGGGTATCGCGCGTGCCACAGAGTCTTGTTTCTCCCTGAAGAGACCGGCATCATCTCAGGCGGTTCTGGTGATGACACGCAGCATCCCGGGGCCGCAGGAGATTGAACTGGATCTTAGTATGGAGATCTATCACAATACCGTGTTCGTCGGGAGCGCCGTCGCCAAGATCTTCATCTTTGTCTCGCAATACGAATTCTAAGAGGAGATTCTTTGAATATAAACGATTAGTAGGAAGAGTACAGATTAATGAGAAGATATATGAAAGATGTGACCGCGTAGAATAAAATGATATAATCAGTAGTCATTAAATTTTTGATTTCTTATTCTATTATATTTGACAAAAAAAAAATTAAAAGTAACAATTGTATTTCATCAAATTATATCATCTTATACGCGACATTTCTTGGAAGATACGGAATCTCTCTTTTCTAAATTTAAGGATTTTAAAGATTAATTAATGCGCACAGTTTTATCTCTATTAAAAAATATAAAATTTTCTTCCAGGAAATATAACAAATTAACATTTTAAATCATATATATATATATATATATATATATATATATATATATATATATGTATGTATGTATAAGCATTTCATCGTACGAATTTTCTATTGCTTGTTCGTTTTTAGGAAAAAAAAACGTTACAATAAAAATCTCGTATTAATTTCAATATTAGATGTGTATAAAAACAAATTAAATGTACATATAAATTCTTGTAAGTTACATGTAAAGGACTTGGAATAAATTTATGTTAGACATAGCACATGAAATGTTCAAAGACACTGATGCTTTATCAAAATCGTAACTTTATTAAATGTTTCACTAGCGAGACTCTTTTTCCCTCGAACTTAGACAGTTTACTGTTTCGTAAAGCCTGAAACAGCGTCTATTGCTTCGAATCAAATACTTCATTTCTCTTTTTCATAGAGAAGGAATAAAGCAACAATTCTGAGATCCTTAGTATTAATTGCCGCTTCGTTGCACGAGACGCGTGTAATGCAATATAAAAAAACACCGTGATAAAAAATAAAATATATGATAATATCACTGCGCTCTCTTTACATGTGACGATGATAATCGTCGTCGCATTATAGGTGCAAATAACAAACTCACATGCGATGCAGCGAATTGCTACTATTACTAGTAAATAATTAATAATTAATTGTGCTAAAGATAAAATTGCTGCTGTCGTGACGCATAGTCGGTAGCGAACAATAGCGCAATAGCATGATGTAATCGCTAATAAAATAATATTAATATTTTTATAATAATAACAATGATAAAGTAGCTAGTAATCTAAGTAGCTAGTAATAACACTAATAGTGGTATATTAATATACACGATAACAGGAAGAAAACAATTTAGGCGAGACGCGTTGCGTGCGCCGCGCCAGAAAAATGCATACGAAAAAATCGCGATCGCGTCGCTCAGAAATTTCTTCGACATCACGCGCGTGGGCGATACAAGAGAACGTGACAATGTCGTTTAGAAATTTCATCGAGCATATATGGCTGGGAGCGTCACAATGATTAATAATTAGTTTGTATAGCGGCTTTACGATGTATTCATCTAATTAATTTGAGATGCACGGTAAAAAAATGAAGTGTCAACGTCCGTGAAGATGAAACTTCTAAACTGGACACACCTTATCTGCTCAAGAAGGTTGCGAGAAATTTCCACAGACTTCCGTCTGCGACAATAAACTTTCAACAAGCGTACGCGAAACTAATACATAAATAGCGTGTATTAACTATTAAACGTAACAGCCTGGATGCAGCAGCAACGCGTTACCACGGCGTAACAACGATGGCAGTGACACTTGTCGCTCGTCTTAAAACTAGAAAAGTGGAAAAAGAAACGTGACTAGGATTTGCTAAGAATTTTCCGAGGCTTTTTTTTCGTATCCTCGCACCGAGTAACACCCACACATTTACACACACATACACATACACGGCAAGATGTATTTTGTGTTGGTTTTAAGTACTCGATGACAAACAATATCGAAATATCCCGTATGGGAGATTCCTTCTTACTATACACATGCATAATGCTATACGAAATTAAAAAATTCGACTCCAAATTTGTGAACAAAATCTGCTTTTAAAAAATAATGCAGCAGACTCTATACTATGTTAAATGTTACTCTCGGACTTTGCTAATCTTGTTGACAATCCTCTCTCTGTCTCTCTCTCTCAATTTTTGCAATGCACACACAATTATCGCACGTTAGATCTATATTTGGCAATAACGATCGCGAAAATAATTTTTCAAAATCCGATAATTCATAAAATATGTCTCGAAACAGAAGAAAAACATACATATAAATATTTTTCAGACTCTTATGATGATCAATTGTAAAGATATCGCTTGCCTTCAAATATTCAAACGTCCAACTTTCTCACGCAATTTAATACAGGCAACACGGTGTCTTAGCATGATAAATCATAAAACGGAGTTTTTAGATTTTTATATAACATGTGCTTTTTATATTGGAAGAAGAGTTTTGTACGTGGAAAAATTTTTATCATTCCGAACGATACTAGATGCCACGTGACACAATATCGAGTAAAATTATATTCGATTACCCGAACAAGAGACTAATCTACCAAATGTCAATTACTTATTCGACATAGGCACTGAACTAGGGAGATCCACGTCGTGAAAAATAAATATTCTAAGAGCTACCTATGCTATCTATTTAACAGAGGTAGTAGTAATATAGTTGACACTCTCATAGTTGCGACTGTTTTATATTTCATTATGATGAAAAGTGTCACCAAATATTTCGCAATTAGTTATGATATTTATATCACATTAATCTCGATTTTGCGTATCTATTTAATTATTTTCATATAAGAGAAATAGAATGAGAAGAGATCTGCGTAAAAATGCCACTGTGCGTAAAAATAGTGCATAGCTTTCGGAATTTCAAGTGTATTTTGTTTTCGTAATGTATAATATCGAGAGAGGAACGATATAGTATTATATGTAGTTTACCTGAATTCAGGGAACATCATCATACCGGCGATGGCAGTCTGTGTGATCGAGCGGTTACTTATTAATTTAACTAGTCTTCACTTTACATGAGAGAATTAACTCTTGTCCAGACAAGATTGCAACTTTGCAAGCATCCTGTTTCGGCAAGCAATTCTGGTTTTGTGGAAACAATATACAGGTTCATAAATTAACGGAAGCACACGCACCACAGTCTTTCGCATGGCACACCTTCCGCGAAACCTACACGCGTGACATTCTTATTTACGGCCTCCCTCCTCTCTCGTCTTAAAAAATGCGCGTAACGGTACATATCGTGATGTACTTGCACCATCGCTATTTCTTTAACCTTTATCCTGGTAACTGAGATCCTGATATTTTCATTATAACAGTTATGATTTATACTAAGTAGTAATTAATAATTTTCAACTTTTTGTGTAAATTATTATGGCCGCTATATATAATATTCGATTGCTGCTTTATTAAAATGAACAAAATTTTCCGGATAAGAATTAAATCTCTCATTGCGTCTGATTGCCCCTCGATAAATTTTAAGAAAATTATCGCGGTGACCGTCAAGCGATCGTATTATTGTCCAATTCGGCAAATTCGCGCGTCACCTTGCAGACGTAGTAGAGACGCTCATAGAGATCCGCGGTGCAGCCGAGGTCACGCAGGTCGTTTAGCCAATAGGAGGATGCGCGACGGCCGGTGTCGATATAAGTGATCAGGTAGCCCCTACCCGCCGTCTCTTGCGACACCACCATCTTCGTATGGTCCACGAAGAAGTTTACTTGCAGGAGAGGTACCGTTAGCTCCATCACGATGGCCTTGTCCGTACGCAGCCACCTTCTCATTCGTGGCACGCAAGCATTTTTCGACTGTCTTGGTGGTGCACGATATTTTTTCAGCTCACCACCTAGATGGCACACATTAACGCACACGGTTACGTTAATATATTGCTCGTTAAAGCCTTAGGCCGCGCCGCTATAATGACCCAAGTAGTTTACGTCACGTTCCCATTGTTGTTTTTACACTTTTGGGAAGTAAAATACTCGAGCCATGATCGGGCTTCGTGGAGAGAGATGAGATGTTTTTTAAAGAAAAAAATTGAAGTTCCACAATAAAATATAATACACAACGAATTGAAAAAAATTGATAGATCACCTTCTGTCAAGAAATCATCCATATATTCAGTAAAATGACGGAGTAACTCGAGCTTCTTTTGCAATGGCACCGGCACGTCCCTTTCTCTGTGATATCGCGTCATCTCATCGTCGGTCGTCATGTATTCCACTCTTCTGCAATACAATTATAAAAAATTGAATACGGAATTCACAGATGATTGTAATCTTATATCAAGGAAAGTTGTATGGTTCGTAACTTATCGGTAAAAATAGTCACCTTCTATCGTGAGTGTAACTGATCTTCGTGTTGTCGTTGAAGAGAACGCCGACTGACCTGTCGGAGAGCTGGAAGCCCAGCCCGTACTTGTTTGAATAATCGATCCACTTTGTGACGAAAAGCGGCACGATGTCCTCCACGATCGGCGGATTGCACGCGTTGTTTCGTTTCATCTCTGTTACGCATATCTCTAGAGCGCGATGCATCTGCACACTTTGCGCAACGAGGCCAGTCTTCTTGTGATCCGGACATAATACGCTGCTGAGTCGCTGTCGGAATCGCGGCAGCTTGGGCAATTTTCTGACCAGCCAGCTCGAAACCTTGGACTCTTTCTGCAGGCTCTTCTGCGAACGATTTAGCAGATTCAATTGCGGCTGCTGTTGCGTTTGCTGTTGTGCTTGAATAGGCTGCTGTTGCTGTTGATAACGCGGCGACGCCGCGTCGGGATGAACGATACTCTGCTGCCACATCTGAAATTTCGTGTTTCGGAAATACTTGCCAGCCAGACTTGAAGATGATAACTTCCAGGCAAGTCATTCCGGGGTCCCTCACCTGCAACTTGCTAGCTTCCTGCTGATTCCTGGCGACCGTGGATACCGAAGACGGTGACGAGGGCGGCTCGATGATCGATGCCGGTGGCATCTGGTAACAGCAAGTATGCGGCAACGACACCGGCACATATTCTTTCGTGAGATAGGCATGTTCCTTCACTCTTTCCAGACTCGGTCGTAGCTCGGGATTGGATTGCAGTAGCCACCTGATTAAGTCCTGGCCGCTCCTGCTCGCGATACTGTCGTCCACTTCGCGATAGTGATTGTTGCAGATCCTCGCGTAGGTCTCTTTGAGCGTGGCCGTGTCAAAGGGTGGTTGGCCCACCAGCAGGGCATACAATATGCAACCCAATGCCCAAACATCCGCCTCATAGCTGTATGCCTGCTTGTACAACACTTCCGGCGCTATGTAGTTTGGCGTGCCACATATTGTCCTGCAAATACAAACGATCGCCTACATGCTACGATATTTCGTTTGATGCTATGTTTAGACGAGTACATCCGTTAGTCTGTAACAATCGTTAGGGTGTCGGAAAAAGAGGAGAAAAGGGAGAAGATCTCAATGTCTTGTATATTTTTGTCGACAAAGAATAACTAAGACACCGATATAGTAATAACAAGAAAAAAGACTTTAAAATATTCTATTCATTTATATCTTTTTCCATTCTTGCACTTGTAAGTTTTTTTTTATAAATTTTACTTAATATATAAAATATAAATTTATAAATTATACTTAATTATAATTTTTTAATTATAAAAAATTAATTTTAATTATATATTAACTTTAATTATAATTTTACTTAATATATAAAATATAAATTTATAAATTATATGAAGAAATAAATTGTTAAAAATATATTTAATCGTAAACCAAAGTGGATCTTACACTCGTCTACGTTGACCATCGGGTCTGGTCGCTAGTCCGAAGTCGCCGATCTTGACGATCATCCGATCCGACAGGAACATGTTGCCCGGCTTCAGATCCCGGTGAACGACTTTCTGAGAGTGGATGTACGCAACGCCGGTCACCATTTGCTTCATGTAGTAACGCGCTTCCGGTTCTGTGACTTTGCCACGGTACTTCAGCACGTGCATCAAGCTCTGATGAAGAAGAAGAAAGGGAATAGATATTTTTATTTATCCTAGAAACTTATGTCGCTTCACGCATTAGTGACGTGCAGAAAGTCTAAATGACGCGATAAATCGCGTAGCTGGAGGATTACAAGCTGATTTTTTATATGTATTTTGGTTTATATATTTTTTTTTTGCATTTACAATCTATGATGATCTTTGCGGATGCTGCAACGAGTCATAAATATAGCATTATGAAACCTGTACAGCAAAACTTCCACAAAAGAAATTTTATATTACAGGAAACCCCATTTAAAATCCATCTAATAAGATGAGGGCAAACAATCGCAAGAAAGCATTTCCTGGCAGGAAGACGCTGTATCCTGAAGCGGAATGCACGTGTATCATCTCGTCAAAGGAATCGGCTCGCTTTATTTTTTTTGCATGATTGTTTTGTTTCATTTTGAAGGAATCTTATTTTATTCATTGCAGGTATTGCGACTCTATAAAAATACTTTTAAAAATGTATTTTTTCGTCTTTCATTTTTAGTAAATTGTCAAAAAAAGTCACGTTGCGGAAAAAAATTATTCCCGGGGAAAAATTTCGCTAAATATCCGCCAAAGTTATTTATTCACGCTGTCATGTTCAGCGAGACGAAATGATTTTCCGAGATTATTTACGCGAACCCATTAAACGGTTTTACGTAAGACGTGGATCTTTTAATATTCTTTTACTATCAAAGTCATGGGTCTCTTTAGCTTTCAGCTGTTTTTCTTATCGCACATTATTTCACCTTTTTCGCTACAGGCACACTTTACATTTATGTCTCTAAAGAATTTTTGACAGGATAGGGATTTTTTTTCGTAACTTGAACCGTCAATCAAGTAAGAAACGGACGGAAATGGGAGCCGCGAAAACGATCGAGCAGGAGAGCGAGGATAATCAGGCGATTAGTCGATGCTTCGTCGCATCCTAACGGTACAAACAGGTCGGCAGATCAGCCATGAAGAGTGCAAGTGCCGCTCTCTTTCCGGCGCGCCAGGGTGAAAATACGCGGCCGTTACTGATCGCGTTTGCAGTCGGGCACCTATAATTGTTTCTCGGTTACGGCGTGCACAATGATTCCGACACAGCGATTCAAGTCGTTGCAGGTGTTGCATGCCGTGGTAGAGATAGGTTGGACTTTAAAAGCGAGACTTGCGGAGAAATGACGGACAAGGATGTTAAAAATCATACAACTACATATTAGACGCGACAAAAATAAACTAACAAGAAACTAACAAGATGACATTACTTATTATCGCTCCGAGAATCGACAGTTTAAATAATATGCAAAACATGTATGATGGCACTAGCATCAAGATATCATAAAAGTGGAAGAGTCGAGTTGCGAAACTTCTTCTTATAAATACGCGGTAAGAAATAATAAACGTTCGCAAGGTAACAGATGCATTTTATATATATACGATACCTTTCGTGGACAGGCTTCTAGAAGCATGTACACGTTAAGATTGTCCTCGAAGTAGTGATGCATCTGGACGACGTTGACGTGATTCAGCTCTTTGTGAATCATGATCTCACGCGCGATCTATGAACAAAGTAAATATGTTATTCAGCGAAGTGCTAAAAATATAGAAATAGATGCGCACTTTTTTAATAAATACCTTTTGCATGTGGATCTTTTGCATTCGATTCTTCGGAATAATCTTGCACGCGTATTGATTTCCGTTACTGACGTCAGTCATTAGGTAGACTCTCGCAAAGCCACCCTGAAAAGCGAGAAATGAACCGTTGCTAATGGGCAGAAATTTGGCAGAAATAGCTAAAGGTAGTTGCGATAAAGGTTCTCGTGAAAATCTCGTTGTAAGCGAGATAACATGTTTTTTGACGAAATCTCTCGCGACAACGTGACCGCCTCATCTTCGAAGGACGATAAAAGGCACGAGTCCCCTCCTTCCGAGTCCTAGAAATCCCAAACTAGATCTTAAGAATTTCTCCTCGATCATCCGTCAATGACTAAGTGAAAGGTTTTCTCCGCGACCGCATTCGATCTTCAAGTAATCTAAAATTATCGTTTATCGTCTCACCGCAGTCCAAGGAAGAACGGAGAAGAAAGTGAAATAAATTTCTTTTTATGGGATCCCTCTTTGTGCGGCTTTTAACTTTAAAAGATATAAATAACGAATATATTGTAATACAGCATAAAAGTACAATCGCGAAATAAACATATGAAGAAAAAAAACGTATAATATAATCTTATAAATAAGATTTTTAATCTTGTAGCGATTTAAATAAGAAATTAACTTTCTCTCTTTCGCCGACAAATTAGAAAATCAGCATCATTTTCCGAAGAGGTCCCTTCGCTAAACGAGTGACAACAAATATCTCGCGATCGCAATCGTTTTCGCGCGATGAAAAAGGCATGTTTGATGGGCCACCGGCCAAAACTCGCCTAAAAATATTTCGATGTCATTACGAAAACGCGAAACCTATCGCGATATTAATGTCATGCAGTTATAAATATGCATACAAGAATATAAGCTTGAAATGCCAAGTTATTCCGCTCGACAAGTCCCAACCAGCTATCGCGGGTTATCCCTCGTTTCTTCGTCGGGTGTGCAACGAGAGAGAGACCATACCGTACGCAACCCAACCGGAATACGGTTATATGGCGAAGCGTTTCGTTTATTTTTAAATACCGCTGGCGATGACTAAAAATACATTCCTGCGCGCTTTGTGTGCACGCGCGCGGTTAAATGGACTGTTGACAAAAATCTCTTCGAGCCTTGTTCCCGTTTCGCGTTCGCTCTCCTCATCCGGGCTGGATTGCCCGCGATACGCGTGCATTTTCATCGAAATCAACGCGGGATGGAGAAGCCCTTCCCCGTCTGCATTCTTTTCGCTACGTAATCGAGAGTCTTTCCCTTTTCTTCCTTTTACAATGCTCTCGCAAACGAACACGTCGAGCTGTCGAGATCCCTCCGTTCGGTCAGAGAGGTACACGGCCGACTTGAGTAATCGCCTTCTTTAGCTTTCCGTTAAATATTCATGGCGCGCTCGCGAATCATGAATTACAAATAATTAATCAAGAGCTGCGGGCTCGGGAGATAATGATTAATATGCGAACGTCATTTTCCCGATACGCCGCGTCGAGGTAGCTGACGTTCGCTTCGCGTGAGCGGAGAAGGACGGCGATCCGTTAACTCGGCTTGATTTCCCCGGCGGTCGACTCGTCAAGAGCCGTGTCCGTTTAGTCCGAGTCTCATTGGCCGTCTCGGGGTCGCCGAAACGGGCCCTCGGGCCGCTCCTCGACGCCGCTGTTTCCGAGCGCGCGGCAGAGAAAACGAGCGAGCCCAGCCGAGCCGAGCCGACCGGTTTTCGCACGGCATGCACGCAGTGCGTCATCGATTCGATTCCAGAGAAATAATCCCATTCACGCGCCATTCACTTCTTGCAATCGGACATAATAATGGCGTGCGCAATTTTCAACGAGACTCGGTGCCGTCTGTCGCGGAATTTCCTGTCGAGGACTCCGAGAGGACGAGCGCTCCTCCCGAGTCTCGCGAGGAGTCGCCGCTCGTCCTCGACTCTCGCTTCGTTCGCGCGAGATTTCATTTCTCTCGTGCGAGGAACGTTTATGGAAGAATGGAGCGAGCTTTCTTTGCTAATTGAGCGAGAAGGGGAATAAATTTCAAGCCAACGAGGAGCGTTTGCGTTTGACGGACACCAGGCGCGCGTGTTCATTTGCATATCTAAATTTGGGAAACGCGCGCTCCCATCCTTTTCCCGCTACTCTTAACGAGGCCCTGACCTTTTGTTAATCTTTCCGGCTTATCAACCGCGGCAGCGGCAGTCTTGTTCGCCGTCGATCGATTCGTTTCACTCTCCGTGCTGGGAATATACTCGGCACGTTACAGTCGCGCCCAGTAACACGATTGTTATCGTCGCAAAGAGATTACTAGACCGTGAAAGTCCGGGATGCGGCGTTTTCCTGCGATAACGATAAAACTGGAAAAGAAATTTTATGTTTTTCAATTCAGAGAGACAGAGAGAGAAACGGAGAGAGTACGCAGGAACTTGTGCCCCGCGAATCTTTTCTCCGACGATATCCTCTTATTATGACCCGCGACTATAACAATTCTCTTAATGAGATAGAATGTAACTTTAATCAAAGTTACGTCAGACGCGTTCTTATTTTACAAGATAAAGTAGAAGTTAATTCGAGAAAATTAAGCTTGTTTTGCGTAACTAGGTTTCTAAAACGGCTTGTTTTAACTTGTTGTAGTAATGAGATAATCAGGGGCAAAGAAAAATGCACTCGCGTACGAAATGCTAAGAGCGTCTATCGATCAAACAAAATTCAATTCTGAGGGAGTCGATTCAACTCGGTCGCTCGTAATGACACCTGAGGAATTAAATCGTTTCCAAAGTCTACAAGCGAAATAATCAAAATTAAAAGCAGACAGTTTGTTTAATTGTTATTCGGGTTCGCAATAAAATAAAATGTACATTTTCTTATCTGTACAGTAGTAGATAATTCTGATTATCGGTGAGCTTGGGAAACGCGAGTCGGATATGAAAAGCGTTTCATCGTTTTTATCGCAGGAAATACTCTCCCGTAGAAAAGCGGGAGAAAAACCGGGGTAGAGAAATACCGTTCTGCTCGACCTGCGAAACCCCGATGTTTTGTGCGAGAATACTTGTTATGTTGAACGTAGGTAGGTAGAAAAAGTTTTCAAGGCACACGTGCGAACGATGGGGATTTGTGTATTCTATAAATCCTCTCGTTAAATTGAGAATCCCGAGGAAACTTGCCAAGGTTACTCGTATCGATCGTAATAAATTTCAAAAGTTAAAGGTCGGGAGGGTGAAATAGATTTGGCTGATTCGTAGAGCTTCATCATTATTCTTACTATTCTCAATGCTTTCATAGATTCGAGCAATTAAATAAAGGTCCGTATCGTGCAAAATAAGATCGCAAAAATGGCAAAATAAATCGTGTCAATAACGTCGTAATACGCTGATCATGTGTTTCTCGACGATTGTGATATCTGACTGATTTGTATAAAAAATTTAGCGATAGCTTATAAATCGCTCCGGAATAAAATTGATTTAGTTCTTTCAGATATCTACGCGAAAAAAATTCGAACGCGTGCAATTTAACAAGATTGTGTATGTTTGAGATATTCTGTACATATCTCCTGTCAAATAGTGCGCAGTAAGATATCACGATTTACTTATCGATCAGATATCAATCGCGCGTTTCACATTGTGATTTAAGGTCAGACGCTTTTTTTGGAGAGTAATTATTAACAAATGATATGCTCCATTTAATAAATAAACCTCATCGGCTTCATTTCCTCCGATAAATTGCGATGCATAAAGCAACATTGAAATTTGAGAGAAAGCAATTTCATCTGCGAGTGGCCGAAATGAGCAACAACATTGCGTCAACAGTGACCTTACATCTCTTGCATCTCTACGAGTGTAATTAGCTTTACTCGTTATAATACATTGCGCAATTAAGTGTAACAGATGCAGCGTGATATAAATAAAAAGTGGCGACCACGCAAGATTGATTTTCCATAGGCATTTTTATAGACGGAGGACAGCTCGTATGACAATGCGTATGTATATCCTTCATACTTTTCATCCCCTTTTTAAATACATAAAAATTTACGACTATTTATTGCTTGTAGTGAGAGCAAAAGAATTTAATACGATCAATTTATTTTTCATGAAAATTGCTTTAAATCCGGATTTTATTCACGCCGATGACAAAATCGCGCGTTATACGCTACCTTGCATCGGCGAACGATCTCGCGAAGGTCTGAAAAAGGGAGACGCGATCCGGAAAGACCAGGATGGAGAGAGACCCATCCGTTGAGCTCATCCTCACGGTGGTGCACCAGACACGCAACACCGCGAGCCAATCAGTGAAAGCCGGGCGAGATGTCATTGACTCGCGAAGGGCGCGCGCTGCGTGCCTATTAGGGACACGCGTGTGATATACGTGCTTTAGAAAACTAAACGCGTAGACAAGCGATGGAATTATAATGCGTATTCCATGTTCTGTCACGATCGTCGTCGCGGGCTCTTGCGGATGCATTCTTCAAGGTTCGAGGATTTCGCGAAGAGCGAGCGAAAAAATTGTCGGTCGCTCTTTTTCTCACGATCCGACGAGAACTAAAGCGGCTTGTCGCCGCAAGAAACTAAAACATGCATTTGTCAAGGTTGTCGTTGGACTAGAGAGACTTTTAGCCGTAAAGACAGTCAAAGATTCCTTTCATTTTATAAAAAATATCAAAGGATCGGGAGAAGAATCTGATTTCCTTTGCTTCGGGGACTTGATAAGTATCGCTGTCGAGGAAATATTTTAGCACGTATAATATAATGTGTTCGTCGCTATCGGCGCGTTTAAGATCGAAAACTGGACGCGTAAGTTTTTCGTCGCTCGGGGGGTTAACATTGTTTGCGAGGAATGAAACGAGAGACAAATCGCGAATGAACCTGCGCGACGAAGAGGGCGAAGAGATATTCGTAGCACGAGTAGAACGGTGTAGATAAGTTGCCGCACATAAGCAGCTCTTTCTCTGCAAAGTGCACGAGCAAGAGAGAGGCCGGTAACCGGTCGTGAATAATCCAGATAACAATACTGTACAATAAAGAGCATTCGCACCTTCATTCGAAAGAAATTGCATACAATAATGGCATATGCGGCGTATCTATTCGGCCAACGCCTCCCAGTTGCTCGACATTGACAGATGGTGCCATCGCGATTATACTTGTATTTCTAATTTATTCTATTTATATAAATAATATCGTATCAGATTCTCCATTAATTGTACAATGATAAAATGAAAAATGTATATTGATAATGTATAAGGAATATATATCGTTCGCAAAGCTTTCTTCGGAGCTACCCGCATGCTTGTTGCGACGCGGCGACCGCACGGATCAACAACTACATAGCTGGGCCCTAAAGTGCAAATGTAGAAACCGACAACCGGTTGCGAATAATAAATTGAGATAGCGTCGAAGCGGGAGCTTCGGAATACGGAAATATCAGAGGTGAGTTTTGATAAAGCATCAGGCGCGCACGGCATAACGGGGAAAGCCCGATTTCTAACACAAGATACGGCGCGCGGGGTAACGCCCGTGCGACCGGGTGCGAATAATCGGGATGACGAAACGACGACCGGTTTTCTCGAGAGCAGGAGGATACAAACGCAGTCTGAGACTGCATCCTCGGAAATTATCTCCGCCGGCGGCGATGGAGCGCGCGAGCCGCAGCATCTCGCCAAGATCGGGCGGACGTGAAATATTTCCACATCAACGATAACAATACTTGTACTTTCGAAGCTACAATTTACATTGCCGAATGACATTTACGAAAGTGATCTCGCGGACACGCCAGATATCTCGAATCGCCGATGACCGGTCCACTTGAGTTATGATTTTACGATCACATCCCGATGACATTCTGACGTTGCAATGAAACGAGGCTTGGATCGGTCGCATTATTTCCTGTACTAGCTGATGAATGGCAAGCACTTGATTTACAGTGCGAGATTGCATCTTCCGAAATGATCCTTCGACAGTGAAAAACGCACCGTCGACGTCACGACTGAAAGAACATCTCTGTTTGCGTCGAGTTGAAAAGTTCTTCTTGACGGATCAGCGCAAATCGATCTGCTCGAGAAAGATATTTCCTGTATGAATGACCGGATCGATCGCGGGTCGATTCGCATCGGTGCGCTCGCCGATAATCTTAGTATTTTCCACGATCGCGTAAAATCAAGCATCGCGAGACTCGAGAAATCGTGAGATTAATCGAGGTTGGGAAAAAAATCGATCCAATAAAGGAGAATAAAATCCGGAGCAACGAGATCGACGTAACGAGATTGCCTCTGGGAGTGCCTCGAGTACGTTGGCTGAATCAAGTTTATTCGGTTTAATGCTAATGAGATACTTTGACTTCCTGCTTTGCGACAAACATATATATACACATAGTGTTTATATGAAACATACAATAATCTTTTTAATCAAAAAGTCATTTCGTCAGAAAAAGAATTAAAAATTTACTCGCTTTTGTTTCCCTCGTTCTTAAAATCCTTTCTACTGTGAGATACACGCTAAAATTGGTAAGCATAATAAGACAATTCGAAGCGCTTGTTTCACGGAAATCATCTTCTAGAAATAGGAAATGAATCTTCCGTAAGCACGAGTAATATGCTTGTAGTAATAAAACACACTCGATGTTTATTATATAGTCGAGTTGTAAGGTAAAATAAACCATCTTACGAATAAGAAATAAATTTAGCCAGCGGATAATAAATTTCGATTGCTGATAGAGTTGAAAGATTACGCTCGTGTGAATTTTAAATTTCTTTAGATTTCACCTCGCGTTTGCCATCGAGTTTCCACGATCGAAAGAAATTACATTTTCCTCGTGATTTATCGAAATTGATCAATCGACGTATCGATAATTGATCAATCAATACAATACAGTTAACAATAAATCTGAATATAAATCAGAAATAATAAATCTGATATATTCTAAAAAAATGCATAATAGTTATTGCGCTCTATTGTTGGGCCACAAAGCGTTTGATTAATTGAAGATGCATTAAAATAAACATATCCCGTATCTACCTAGTATTTTATAAAGGCTATAATTATCCGTGACAATCGCCAACAATTACTAATGTCCGCATTAACTAGAGTGCAATTAGAATTATTAGCGAGTTTCAGATTAATCTTACATTGTTGCCGGCGATATAAAACTGACGTCTCGCGAATCAGTCAGTACTGTGCATACTTCCAGATCCAGGAGACGCGCTTAATCATCATCATCATCATCATCATCATCTCATTAATTATTCTCGCAAACTAAAATAAAGGGGCTCTCCGCGATTAGAAAACTCGACCTTGAGGAAGTCGTTGATCTTAGCGTACCTTCAATGTATTATGCATGATGCAGAGTCATCGACTCGGCTGGGCGCATCTCTGCTTCGGGAGAGATGGAATTTGTTGTCGTCGATATATAAAGACAACGAGTTTAAATGCCTCATTCTTCATGCCATCCACGTATATGAACTGTGCTACGTGCGTTATATATACGAGTTCAAGAAAAAAACCTGTTACAGTCTGTATCAGAGTCTCACGGTTGCGTCACAACGCATCACAGAGAGAAATCGTCGCTTTAGAAAAAGAAAACCACTTACAAATTCGAAATACCCAGCGTGAAAAGTGTACGCGCATTCTTGTCGGAAGTCTGACATGAAGACGGGCATGTCTTATCTCGGCAAACACGAGACGCATCCGTAAAAGAGAGAACGGGATTATCTCGACGGAAGTATATACCTAATCTAGGTGGTTCAGATCAAACGAGCGCGACCCTAGAATCGCGCTCTCTCTCTGCTGGATTATCTTCGTCTTTCGCCGAAGTCACCGGAACTCGTCAGAATTCCCGGTACGCGAAATGAAGCGTCGTGTGACTCACCGCCTGATGCATGGAAACGGAAAGCTGCGCGCCCATGTCTCCTTAATGAAAAAAAACATCTAAATTAACGCTCGTGGTTGAATTCTTGTCGCAATTTTCCTTATTCCATGGCTAATTCAATGGCCAGGTATCGCGACTCATCTCACATTACGCGGCACGCAGCTTATTATTTCAGGAAATACACGCGCAGCGGGCCCAAGCTGACTGTGCGAAAATTAAGTCGCTGGTGTAAATTCCTGTACGCGCGATTACGCGGCTTTAATCGCATGCGAAAAATTGTATAACGATGAATTGCGTCATTATATCGTCAGGATGCGTGTTTTGTCTACGATAAAAAGGAATAAAATATCGATAATAAGCGATAAATTATTGAGAGAAAACAATAAATTATAAATATTATCCGATACGTGCATCGCCAATCGATTTCACACGTCGGTCGGTTTCTCTTTTCTTCGACTTTACGCACTTGTCTTTTCAACGTGGGCGGCAATCAGCTGGCGAAACAATAAGGAATATCCGGCGCGGTCAATCGGGCTTACCGATTTATTATCAAGTGACGGGCTTCGAAGAACGTCGTAAACGAGACGTGTGTCGATAACGTGGACCAATACGCGGAATGATATCAAACGCACAAGGTCAACAGCTTTAGCGAGTCGTAACCCTCGGTTTCCCACGTCGGTGTGGCATGCCATTCCACGCCGCGAAAAACGGGACCTCGACAAAGCGATCGATTTGCAACGCGAGTCAACAACACAGGTGCGTTTACGTATTTTGCTGGATCGAGAATGCTATAAATTTATAAATATGTATATGTATCTACTTTTAAACTGTCTTTGTATTCGCTTACTGCAAGCAGTAAATAATTTAATCTAAATAAATTTGCACATGTACCTTTCCTAGAAACTGCCCCTTGTAATAAGCGTTCCCCTGCACAGGATCGACTACATAATCGCTCTCCTGTTGCTCGGTGGGATTGTTCCAAGAGGAAGACGTGGAAGGTCCCGGCTTCACGACGCTGGTCGTCCTTATCAGCGAGACGGCCGCGTTGCCGAAGCGGCTGCCGTTAGTCGTCGGCGTGACGTTGCTGCCTGTAGTAGTGGCCACGTTGCTAGCCGAGGAAACGTCCTGAGTCTGATTGTCGGTCCTTGAGGTCGACGGTTGCGCCGACGAGGTCGCGTAGACGAGCGTCGACGTCGGCGTCGCGGTTTGCACCTCCTCATCGTTCCGGAAGACTGCCGTGCTGCTCTTGTCCGATGGGGCGGCAGGGTAGACGGCCTGCCTCGAGGACAGCTCGATCTCCGAAGGTAGGGACGAGCCGCCATGCCTCCGGCTTCTTCGACGAACCAGGCTCTGCAAAGAGGCGGAGCCCTTGGAAAAGCCCTGACGCGATCGGGCATCCGGCACGGACCTGGTGCTACCGGTACCTGCCGAGTCGATCCTCCGCTTCGAGCATTCCGGCTCCGAGACGGTGCGGATGGTCTCGTCAAACTCCTCGCGGCACCTCGCGACATAACACGTCGTCGCCTCAATGGGACGCAGCTCGGCGCCGCACATTGGCTCCGACAGCAGACCGCGACTGTTCATCGCCACATCGCGCGGCGTAGCGTCCTGCACGTCCATCACACTCGGCGGTAGCATCTCGAAATCTTACAGAGTTACCGTGTCTATTGTATTTCGCTCCGTACAATTCGTGCGAATTGCCTCGAACTCGTCATCGATTCGATCACAATCTGAAAATTTGGCGAAAATAATTTATATCTCGATATGTTGCACTTTTGGAATTGTCATATCTGACTTGACGGAACGTCGATTGCGGACAATTTTAAACTTCCTCGGCAATAGTCGTGAGATCTCGCATACGAGGATGTATTTAGTATTGTCATATCTAGATCGATAAGACATAGACGACTATAGAGTGGCTCCGAGTGTCTTCAGACGTCATCGTCGTCTCGACGCCGACGCGCCGAGCTGACACACGTGTCCAGCATCATATCCGTCTCAGATTCAATTGCAGCGAGATGATTAAGAAACTTGTGCTCGCTCTGTCCTTGTTTTTACATGCGTTCGCGTCTCGCGCACCGAGTGACGATCGGGACGATATTGATGATTCCTGCGCGGGATATAAGACCTTCGAGGAAAGAGAATATTGACGTCATCGTAACCAGCATCCGCGCGACAACGGATACACGTAATATCGTGAGACAATAATGACACGCAATCCTGTCAAATGATTCGTGAAACTTGTTTCTCGTTCTTGTCAATTCCGATCAATTCTCTGTCACTTCTCCAGGATCAATGTTACTATTAAAATTGACACATTACTAAAATTTACTTTTGGAGCGAGATAGGGCGTCCTATTTCCCCGGCGACTGCACGTGTATCTCACTGGGAATATACCGCTCGATAACTCGCATCCACCCTTTCGGATGCTACGCTAATCGTGTGCTATCGAGCCGATGTTGCACTAGGAAACGTGTTTTTTCGCGAAGCTAACTGGTTCACAAGTCGAGATGATCTTGTATGATTACGAGAGATCCTTTGTGAGTTTTTCTGTTCTTCCGGGAGCTGTTCAGCAACGTGACGATGAACCCTTTTGCGTAGATGCGGATAACTTTTTCGGGATGCAAGTTTCTCTGATTTGATGTGTGAGCTCCTCGACGACACGAGCTTCTTCACGACGCTTGCGAGAGCTCGACCCGTGGCTGGTGTACGAGTCCGCTCGCCACTGTTCGCCGCCGCGCCGACCCAACAACCGACACACTCTGTCTCCGCTTCTTTTGCCCCCACCGTGCGCGATGCCAGGGACGTACGATTGTATTTAGAAGAAGCTCGTGGAATTTAAGATATCATCGATTGCTTTCTCCAAACACACACACAATAAGTCTATAGATATTTATGCTCCCATAATTTCCAAATATCGTAGCTCGTAATTAAGGCAATTTCTTCGCCGATATTTTTTTTCTATAGATTCTGTAAATAAATGATGAAATAAATCGAATAATAATACATTATTAAACGCAAGATACAAAGAGATGAAGACGTACCAATTATTAAGAATATAAGCAATTGGAAAAATGGCAGTGAGATTGTCCTTTTCGTTACGATATCCGTAAAATATCCATGATATTCGCGTCTCAAGGACAGTAAAAAGAACGAGTGTCTAGCTTATGCAAGTATCGCATATGACTGTATGAAAGAGAATGGAATACATTAGATGTGTACTTATGCCATTTGTGCTCCCCTAAAGTTGTAATAAACGCTAAATAAACGCGGCCAAGAGATTTCTGCACCGCAGTGCACCGTGAGAAAACGCATTGTTTCTATACACAAAGAAAACACGCATTCACTTCACCTTCTTTGAGAATAAAAATCGCTCGCCTAAACATAAAATAAACTATCTACCTGTCGGAGAGTTAAAGAGCTCTTTGTCGAATGACATTAACGTACAATGGTTAAATGAGGTAACACATTTTTGTCATTTATTAAAGAAAAGTTTGAGGTATCTTTATAGATATCATTAGCTATCTATTTTTTTTCGAAATCTTATCTTTCAGCTCTCTATCTTATCTTTTTTCGAAAAAGAATACACTTAATATTAATTGATAAGTTCCTATATCGACAGATTGTCATAACTCAATAAAGAAACTTGAAATTGAAAATCCACAAGTATTTATAATATTTTAGAAAAATCACGGAATAGATTATGCATAATAATAAATTCCGACGAGAAGGGGATACATTAGGAATATTTCCCCTTATAAATCTTATGTAAGAAGCACGCCGGTGTGACTCGAACACGTGTTGCGTCTTGATTGTAAACAAGCTGAGATGATAAACGTGCTGTATACGCGTGAATCGGGAAATGTAGATTTTTATCTCTCGGTACGCGTGTTTCTTTTTTAATTATTATTTATGCAAAATGTTAGAGTTCTCTTATTATATTCGGCACGAGAGGAGGGGACTGATTAATTAAAACACGATGAACTCGGATATGTTCGTACGCGCCTGTTTCCACTGTATTCCTTGTCCTCGTGCCTTCCAACCTGCCGTCTCCTTCACGCTCGTTCGCTCCCGGTTGCACTTTCTCCTTCTTTCTTCTCTTCCCGGCGCTCCACCGCCGTCAAACCCGGGATAGCACGCATCGTTCCGTCATGCGTATTCGGTCATTCACACACAAGGTATACCTGTTCCAACATTTCAAATGCATTAAATGCGTATCTAAATATAGGAGCAAAAATAGAAGAAGACGAGATACAAGCGCTACGCGTTGCAATCGGTTTACTTTTAGAGACATATATTTTTTGAAGCCGATTTGCGGAGTCGATATAATTTGAAATATTGTTTCAGAAATAAATCATTTGTGTACAGGGTACTTTATACTAATAGAATACAGATCCATGTAGATATTAATGTTCACTTTTTTTTACATCGACACCCGAAAACACACTTTGCTTTACGTTAATTGAAATAAAATTGTATGCGCTTTATTATAAAAATATAAACATTAGAATTATAACGGAATGTGTGACCAGAAATTTTACACTAGAAAGACATATTAAAAAAAATGAGACCGCGAAAACAATGCATTTTTGAAAGTTTTGCCAAAAGTGATTAAAAAACGCTCATTTCTTTATCATGAATAGGAATCGGTCCGTATCTTATATAGGGCACTCCGCATAAATAATGTTCAAGTTGAAAAAATGTTAAAGAAACTGCGTGATATATATATTGCTGCCGTAGCATGTTGGATCGCATTACTTGCGTCCTCCATTTCAGCATTTTAACGATTAAGTTCGTTCAATTGGAAAAAGCCGGCAATTACTGTCGTTTTCGATAACGTTAACGTCGCGTAGCCGTCGATTTTTATGACATGAAAGCGCGAGGAGAAAGCGTATTCTATAAAATTTCTAAAGCTATATAAAAATTCTCTTCTTTTATGGTTATGTCGGCGAGAACAATCCATTTACGATACCTTTCTACTCGTTCTCTGGCGGCTTTTGGAACCTTACAAATACAACAGAATAATAAATAGGCTCGAAGAAAGTTAATTGAAATTCTACTTGATGAGATAAATTCGTCTATGGGTACCTCTTTTATCCACGCCATTTTTCGAAATTCTCTATCCGCGAGAGCAAACAAAAGATATAAGAAATGTGCGTCGAAAGAACTCAAGCATGATCTTATCAGATTTATAATTAGATACCTAGCTAGATGATATCGTCGTCGTCGTCGCCGTCGTCGATAAAGCTCCATTATTTCCGAAAATTGAAAAAGCGAATAGTCCGTCCGTGTTGAAGTGAGAAAGGGAGACGGCATTTCGCGCCGGAAATAGCAAGTGCGCCGCGCGCAGGCGCGATGGCGCACCTGCATTCGCGCCATCGCAAGCATCACAAGTGTAACGACGATAGCGAAGGCGAGGTGATGGGTGATAGCGCGACCTGTCGTCGGGTCACGTACTATTCTCAAAGTTCTCGAGGAATAGACGGTGTCCTAGAAATGTTATATGAGGTGACGGAGGTGACCACCTGACGCGTAGTTTGGACAGTAGGGAACAGCTGGCCGATAGTGCGATGAATTGTCTTTCAAGGTAGTACCGAGTTGCCGATCTCTCTCGATGACGTTGCAAAAATCTATTATTACGCATCGAGACGTAAAAAATATCAAAATTAATCAGCGTTTTTTTAAATCCGGATATGGTGTGATTAACAGAGAGAGAGAGAGAGAGAGAGAGAGAGAGAGAGACGGATAGACTATAGGCTATGATTATAAATGTTTTGTTTTTCCAGGATCTAACCTACTTCACGCACGCAGTTGGAGCGATAACGCTGACGTGTGTGGACTCTCGTCCGGCGTTATCATTGACGCATAAGATGATCTCATCGCTTCGCGACAGCACTTCCCTGTTTCTTGGTCAGTATAATCGCGACGACCGCAAGCCTCGAGCGTAATTGGAGCGATATATCCGAGGACGACGACGCGTAGTCGTGACACCACGAGGACATCTCCGGAGGCTTAGTTCGACTCCGGGTGATCCTCCGCCTCTCTCACGACGCGAAGATGCTCCAGCGACGACATCGTCGTAAAAGACGTATTTTCGCTGTGACATACCGTATCGATAGCGTGCAAGATGAATTCGCTGCTGAAGACGGTCCACTCTATAGCGGGCAACAAGAGGAACTTGCTAGTCAGGGATTCTCTGCAAAAACAGCTCAATACGAGTGTCATGGAGATGCAGAGCGCGCCAAGGGTTGCCGACGATGGCGTCGTCAGCAACTGCGACGAGAGCATGACCCTATGCTCTGTGCTCGAGGCTATCTTCCTTCACGGCTTGAAAGACAGCCTGCTGAATCGAGTAACGGAAGCTCTCAGCGGTCCCGACTTCGACGCTATGCCACAGCCGAGTTTCTGGGGTCCGCTGCTCGTGTTCTCTCATCGTCAAATCATAGACCAGATACAAGCGTTGAGCCAAGTAACCACAGAGGTTGGTTATTGTCGAGCTTGGATACGATTGGCGCTAAACGAGGGTCTATTAGCTAGCTACTTTTGCTCCATAAGGAGGGACAATTCCGCTTTAAAGCCGTATTACAATCGTTCCGCTTACATCAGGGATGTAGATCTTGTCGAGGTTGCGCAAAAATTAATAGAAAGCTTGGATTACATGCGATTCGAGTTGGCTTGCAATAGTAGCCTTTTAAACTTTTGGTCTACTACTCCTTTGCTGATAGCCGGCATTTGGTCGCCGCCGATGAAATCTTGTCCCGTGTTTAGTGCGGTAGATATAGCGAAAACTATAACCACCGAATCGACCGACAACTTTGACGAAATAGAAACTGCAAGTTCTATCGGTAGTTCAATTGGAATAGGATCATTTACTTCCTCGCAGTCGATGTTTAATAATGTAGCATCTATCAGTGAAGACGAAGCGCTTAAAATTATTTTAGCTAACAAAAAATCTGATAATATTGCCCGACACGAGCACAACAATCCCGCGGATACTAGAATGGATAAAACGCAGGAAGACATGACTCAACAGTTGCACAGTAATTCTGAGGATACTGTGATAAAAAGTCAAATGGTAGATAAACAAGAGGTCAAGGAAGTACGACAGATATCAAATGGTAATGTGGAAACAGAAGATGTAGATAATATTGTTGCTGATATGGAAGATCCAGCGTTACAAAATATTTTGAGAGGTAACGATATCATTAATGACACAACTGCGGCTACCGTAGGAAATTCATTAATAGGAAAATTGGGATGGTCGACCTCATTTGAAGATTGTCAATCTTCTTTAACTTCTTCCGTGATATCTCACGGATCTACAAAGGATGCACCTCGTACACCTGCCGATGGTCCTACATACGATGCGCTTATCCAAAGTTATCAAACTGCTGGAAGTAGTACAGTATCAGATCTACAAGAATTCTTTAAAAAATATTCAAAAAAAGAGGAAACTGCCGAGGAAGAATCTAAAGATCAACCCGAACCAAAGGTATATATCTGATATAAGATATTTGTGATAATTTTAAAATATAATTTTCATTAAAATTGTTAAATTTTTGTTTACACATTGTTTTTCAGGTTGCGATAAATTTTGAAGAACAACTAGGTAATATTTCAAGGGAAAAAGGTTTAGATGTTCAAAATTACAATTGTTTCGATTGTGGTGATGCAGTCGGCATGACTTTTTCCAAAGCGCACGTGTGCTCGTTTTCGGGTAATTACTACTGTTCAAAGTGTATGGCGGAAGGGCAATATCTCATACCATCGCGTATGATTCACAATTGGGATTTGAAACAATATCCCATTAGCCGAAAAGCCGCTGCATATTTAACGGAAAATCCAGCTCTTTTGGATCTAAAGATTCTGAATCCAAAAATTTACATGGCGGTAGACACTATGGCTCAATTGCAATCTTTGCGAATACAGTTGAACCTGCTGAGAGCGTATTTATTCACGTGTCGCGAACCTATTATCGAATCTTTGCAAAAGAAGGTTGCCCCTAGAGACTATTTATACGAACACGTTCATCAATATTCCGTTTTAGACCTTCATGACATACCCAATGGAATTCTTGCGCAACAACTTCAAAAAGTTGTCGAATTTGCGAGAAATCATGTAATCAATTGTTGGCTCTGCAGTCAGAAGGGTTTTATATGCGAAGTCTGTAATAACACAAAAGTCATTTATCCTTTTGATATGGAATCCACGTTTCGAGTAAGTAATGCGTCTTCATTTCGTTATTCACATATTTTTTCTTCTCTGTTTAATATAATAATCTTACAGTAATCAATTTATTTGCAGTGCGGGGCGTGCAATGCCGTATTTCATACGGACTGCTTAAACGCAAGTAAACCTTGTCCAAAATGCGAACGCAGACGTAAACGGATGGACATGCCTCTTTTAGATATGGGATGTACAGACCTATCGCATAACAGTGTATCCTCGTCTCCGATTAATATGAATTAATGTACATTATTTGATATGTTTATACTAACATTGTTTTATCATCCTTTTATCGCTTTAAGCAGTATTGTTTGTATAACTTGCATTCCAAAAGATTAATTTCACTAGTCGCAATCATAATTTTAATCTCGAATCTCGACTTTTTCGTGTAAATAATTATGTCTATATTATATATTGTGCATAAAAATGTATAGAAATATAATATCTTTGTATATTTTTCGTCAGTTCTCCAAATATTTTGTTACAAATTTATACTATCTGAAAAAAGATATTTGTACCTTACTATCTTACGAGACTGGCAGCTTTCTACATGTAAACAAAAAATATTATATCCTTATACTTATATTTTATATATATAAATACATATATGTGTGTATATATATATGTCTATGTACATATATACATATATATATACACACACACACAAATGTTTATTATAATTCTATGTACAAAAATAGTAAAATATATCATTTACTTGTCATCTTATTGTTATTTATTATATTTAATACTGTTGCTCTATTTATGTAATTTAATAAACACATGCTTGATAAAATTGAATTTAGTTGATACATTTGTACCTCATAGCATACGGCATATATTTGAAAACTGTTTTCTCTAACAATTTTGCCTTTATGCAAAATTATAATTAAGAAATAATTTCTCTCGAATAATTTCTAATAAAAATGTACAATAAATTATATGCATATATAACTATAATAAAATTTTCTAATCTATTTTGCGATATAAAAGGCACATTCTTGAATTTACATTAAATGGCCTTGTTTGACCTTTTACAGTCACAAATTGTAAAATTAGAGAGCTCTACATTATATATTCTATTTGTTTAATTTTTTCATATATATATGTATATATAAAAATATTTATACAACTATCATATAAAATCTACAAAGTTAAAATTATTTTCCAGGTACCTATCAGAATGAAAGTAGGATACTTCAAATAAAAAAATAATTAGAAATTTAATAATGTAAAAATTAATTATTAGAAATCAGTTGTGTGGTCATTAGACTGTGAGTGTGATAAATAAAGGAATCGTCCTGTTAAAATAACAGTTTCAAATTTATCATAAAAATTACTTTGCGTACTTGTGATGCGATAATTTGATATAAGTCTTTACAATTTTTACAAGTATGTTAAGTATAAAAACACACTTAGATTTAGATATTAGAATTATCAAGAGGAAAAATTATTTTAATGTTATAAATTGCAACTCTCTTGATTTATATAAACATATATTATTGTATATTATTATATTTTGATGATAAATTTCGACGAATATATAGATACGAATTTTGTTTTGAATAATATTTATAAATTAATTATAATTATTAATTAATATTTATAAATTAAAGATAATATTTTTCATAATAATAATAATAATAATCTTAAAGCCAAGTAGAATTGATCAAAAAGTGTAAATAGAATTGATCAAAAATTGTAATGAGAAATAAAGAATTCACCTGGCATTTTACACATTTTATGTTGTAGTAAGCGAGATCGGAATGTATGCATATGTCATTGTTATGTGTATCAAAATATATATACATACAACATTATATATTGCTATTAATCCTACATTGACACAAAAAAGTTAGAATGATGCTAGCCAAATATATTATTTTTATGTATAACAAGATGCCAATGTAGGATTAAAAATTTTTTACAATTCTCGTGAAAAATATCATGTAAATAATACTTATGCTTACAATTATTTGTACTATCACCAAGATGACAAACTTGAAATATTGTCAATGGCAATATTGCAGCTTTGTCATTCCTGCATTTTGATTAAAATATTCTGAAATATGAGTTCAACTCCTCAGTTTTTTCAAGCATTTAATGCAACGTCTTAGGAAAATATGCCGAAGGTAAAATGGGTTTATCGGACAAACCTGCTCGCCTTAATCCGCCCTGCAAACCGATGCTCGCGGTTTTCGTTTTTGTACCATTCGAGATCACTGTCGGACCATTGTTATTCTCGATTATAGCCGGTGCTGAAGTCGAGGCTGGCGGATTCCCGGATGCTTTATTCACCGCGTTGAAGCGCTCCATAGGTGTGCTGGTGCTCGAGATCAAAGGGCTTTTATTGAAGGTTGTTAAGCCCACAGAATTTTCCGTTACACCGACACCCATCGACCGAGCTGTCGTACGAGTAGTCTGATGAATATTCGGATTTTGCACGATCGGATTTTTCATCAATCCCGATATCGTATTAGGCTGTGTCGTACTAGGTGCAGGTGTACGCGTTTCATATCGATTAGGAAATAATTTATTTGTCCTAGGTAATGTTAGTGGAACGGTAGATGGAATCATAACTGGAGCTGGTGTAGCAGCGCTTTGTAAAGGTGACTGATTATCAGCTAATCTCCGATTCAACCAACTAATTACTGTAAAAGATGGAAGATATATTAATTTTTTTCATGTAAGAATTTTTATTGGTAAAAATTTTTTTGGTAAAAACAAAAAATAGTCAACTTACCATTATCATTGTTTTTTATCGTCTTTTCTTTTTCCTCCAATTGATGTTGCAATGTTTTAATTTGCTCTTTTAGATTGCCTACTTCATTCTTTGCATCTTTGATATCCCTAATAAGAACCTCCATTTTAGTTTCCAATTGGCCAACCTCTTTTTGCTTGCTGTCTAATAATCTTTCCTGCTCGAGCGCTATGCTCGTTCTTAATTTCAATTTGGATTTGGTTGATGCAAGTTCATTTTGTAATTTAGTTAAAATTTCATTGGCTTTCACTAATTCGTCACTTAAGCCTCTCAAAGAATTTTGTTTACGTTGCAACTGACTATCTTTCTCGGTTAAAAGATCCTCCAAATGCTGTTTTTGTTCTTTACCCGACTTTAGCATTTCCATATGTTTGTTAATGATCACTGTTTTGTCTTTAAGTTCCTGTTCGAGCACAGCTACTTTTGTACGCAAATTATTAACAGCTTTATCCTTGTCATGATAATCTACATCTAATTTCGAGTTTTGCTTCTTGAGTAGCGACAAATCTCGTTGGGCGATATTAAGTTCCTTCTCGAGATTCTGTAATTGTTTTATTTGCTCTGCATTTGTAGCTTCTAAAAAGGATTGTTTATCCTTAAATGTTATATTTTGTGTCCGTAATTCAGCAAGTTCTGTGTGTAATTGTTTCACAGTTTCAGCATGTCTCTGCTCAACTTCCATTTTCTCTTTCTCATTTTGTCGTTGCCATTCTAAACGTGCTTGAGCCAATCTAAAAAATATTTAAACAATGCATGAATGTATAAAATAGGAATGTATAGAGGATACAAAAATGTTTAAATATAATAATTTATACTAAAATATATACCTGTCCTTTTCTATACTTATTTGCTGTGAGGAATTAATTTGTATTTGGCTTTTTTCAGTCAGGTATTTTTGCTCCAAATGTTCTAATTCTTTTGCTTTAGTTTCTAGTTTATTTGTTAGATCGTTTAATCTAGTTTCTAAACCAACCATATCTCTACTCTGTTGTAAAATATTTTCCTTCAATTGTTTAATCTTCATTGCCATATGTATCTTCAAATCAGAATCACTAGCGGGTGATATGTTCAGGCTCAAGTGACAAAGATGTTTAAAGTTATTTGTCTCCACGAGCTTAAAGTTCCAATCCCCGGTTTCTTCCGCCAATAACAAAAGAAACTTTGGTGGGGTCTTTGATAGGCTTGTACCTGGAATGTAACATTGTTCCAGCAAGCATATCAACTGAGTAGCAAAGTTGTCAAAATCAACCAGGAGACCCTGCTGTGCTTTCAGCACTTTGAAGTCATCTTCGGCAATGAATAAGGAATAAAGAAAACAAGGATCATCATCATCGGACAACAAAACGCACAAACTCTGAAACAAGAAGAAACCAAAACTCGAATTAACAAATGAAAATCCAGTATGCAAGCTGTTGAAAATGAAGCTTATCATCTTTCTATGTTCAATCAAACAGAAAGTTAAAAGAGGAAGCAATAAACATTTACACATTTTCAAAGCTAGGAATAAAAGTCATAGTATTTTCTTAAATTACCTTACGACAAACCGGACTGATGCCAGCGTGAATCTCAACGTTGACTCTGAGATCTCGCTGGCGCTCTTCCTTATGCTGCGGTTTGATATAAACTCTTTGCACCTTCGTGTAGAGAATCTCGACATTGTTCAGCTGCAGACCCGAGTCGATGGTCGTCGTGCCGCCTGCTATACTGTTTAGGTAATTCATCGTTCGATCGCGCTCTCGGAAAGCACTTGTCGATCTCGCGTCGCTCACCGCGTCTCATTTGTCGATGTTGCGGAAAATCCGGACGAAACGCTCCCGAACATACGACACGGGCTCCTTTGCTTACATCGCACAAGCACGCAAATTGACGCACGCGTATCAGACGCGTACATATACGTTTGTGCCGCCATCTTGACGGCACGCGTTACAACTAACTTCACTCCCCTCTCCTCATTAGTGAGAATCGCGTCGGAGTCGGGACTCTTCTTTTTTTCTTTCGCAAGCGAGTTTTTCTTTTTAGAAGATTGCAAATTCAACGATTAAAGGATTCTTTGAAGGTATCGATCACGATTTATCTCTCATTTTTTTAAAATTCCTCTCTAAACGCCGTAAAATCTGTTGCATCGCTTTCCGAACGCTAAAACTTTTAATTTGATAACTTGAGATAGAGGTAATTAAAATGGTAACAACCGTTGGCGATTGTCGCATGTTAATAATAATAAAATGAGTCGAAAAGTGCGCTTTATATTTTTTCTAACATGTATAAAAGTTGAAAACGTTATCATACGCTGTGATAAAAAGATAACGGCGTCAATTAATCACAGCGCAAGCGCAGCAATACTTTTGTAACTAGAAGCGGATTTTGCTGCTTTCCGATTGGCTGACGGCATCGCGAACCGATGGTTGAATCGCTGCGCCCTGATTGGCTCACGTTGTTAGTTATTCTTATACGTATACGTTTGCACCGCCACTTGCATACGCGTTGCAACAAACTGCACTCTAAATTAGTCTAGTGAGAATCGCGTCGGAATCAGGATTTTTCCTTTAGTTTTTCGTAAACGAACTTTTCTTTTTCAAAATTACGAACCAAACGATTAAAAATGTGTAAGTGGAAAACGGAAGGCTTTTCAAAGGTATCAATTACAATTTATCTCCTTTTTTCTTAAATTTACATCTAAATATTGTAACCGCTGTTACGTAAAATGTTATTTTTATGCGACATATTATGTTGAAAAGATATATCACGCGTCCATATAAATTAAATACTGTTGACGTAATTATATATGTGATATTAACCGCGTTGCACTTTTATTCGAGCAACAACTATCATTAGTGTCGTATGTGTAGATGAATAATCGGCTTAAAAATATTGCGCTTCACTTTTCAACACGCGTAATAATTTAATTTTGTTCTTTCGCCTAATTCATGAAAATCGCCTATCTCGTAACGACTGGATAACGAAAATAAATTTGAAAAATTTACTTTTATTTCGAGTAAATTTGCACAAATTTATACATGAGTATATATATATATATATATAGTATAAAATGTGAAAATATCGATAGATTAGAATTTACATACGCGAGATATCGTAAAATCAAGATAATTAGCGTCACGATAATTGTTTTTATTCGAGTATCAACGCTACGCGGACTCAACGAATCGACGAATCGACCGGTGTGAGAATAACTTAGTTCGTGCGCGCGAACAAGTCGAGCGTCTTTTGCTTCCCGCGCGATTCTGCGAGGCCGCTTCCGATTGGCCGACAGCCGCCGCGGCGGCCAATGACGGCGCGGCTTGGAGATGGTGACGTAGCGTTTAAAGCGCCGTACGTGCCGAGTTGCGCCCGCGGTCGCCATGCCATGCGACCGTCCCGCGTTTGACAGGCCCCGTTTCGGGCGGTTCGCGCCTTCCGCGACGAGGTAAAGTACGATCGCGCGCGTCGTTAACGCGCGTCGACGGACGCGTCGCGACGCCACAGTGTCGCCAAAGTGCGCGAGTGCTTGTGCCGCGAGTGACGCAACGAGTAACCGTGTTCCTGGCGATGGGATCCGCTGGCTCCCGCGCCACGACGACGACGAGGACGACGGTTAGCGGTTGGATACGGCGATTGCAGCTCCAACAATGACGTTTTTGGAGCAAGACGGATGAGAGGACGTGAGTAGTTTTTCTTTAAATTCGTAACCAATTAACCTCTCGGCCGGTTGTTGCTGGAAAAGCAGAAATTTCTCGTTCCCGAATTCAGCCGCGTGTTCTCCAACACGTCGACCGGTGGCGCTCGCGGCGTTTCTGCATTCCATACTTTGGAGCCGGGCGCGTGGAACGTGCTGCTCTTTGAGGCGTACTCCGAAAGCTGTCGGCTGATTTTATTTTCTTTTTCAATAAACTCGCGAACGCGGTTATTAAATGATGGAAGTACTTTTTTAATCGTTGTGTATTAATTGAAAAATACTAAAGAGATATTTTTTTGCTTTTCTTAGAGCGACACAAATTACGGCCAAGATTTAAATATCGCAATCTCGATTACGCTTATGTATATATACACATTGAATTGTACAAATTATGTTCATTATAATGCGATTTTTATACCACTTTTTTGGGAATAAGTAAAATTACATACATGCGTCAAAATTAAATTCGGACGAAATTAAACCGATAAAAAGAAAGAGAGAAAGATATTCGTGTGTATATATCTTTGCACACCCTTGTACATACATATATCGATTATTTATAAAAATAAAAAGAGAATGGCAAACGACGTATCGTTCGATGACTCGTTGGAAGCATCGCGTAAAAGATAGCTGTCGATTGAATAGGCCAATATCGAACAGGCGGAAGTCGATATCGCGGCTTTAAAAGGAAGTAATAAAGCAACGTGTGTATTACGATCGAACGTACATATTCATAACTATCACTTTCCTACACAGTCGCCTTTCGCATGGCGGCCAAGGGGTCAGTGCACTTGGGATCTTACGCCGCGCGAAGCTCGTCGGCGCATGCGTGCATCTGGCGCAATATTTTTGCGACTCGATAGGAAACTTTGCGCGCGTGTTACGCGAAAATAGACGTAATCGTTCTCCCCTGTTCCGATCTCATCACCGATCGCATCGAATCGCAGTCGAGACTTTCGTGACCGCTTGATAAACGTATCGATCTTTGGAAATCATTTGCATCCAACGCGTCTCTTTGTTGATATTCCGTTCAAACGATTTATGAACTCGCTATATTTTCGTATACTTTTATTAATTTTACTGATATCCATGATACGATGATAAGCGCAAAAGAATAGGAGACTTGTATCTCATTGGATTTTCTCTCTTCTCGAAAAGACAACGAAATACGACGAAATTTTCGTCGTTTCGGGTCGCGGATTCCTCGCCCTTGCAACAGTCCAGGCGATGGAAAGTAGACTTCTAGTCGCTAAAATGGAGCCTTATGACTCGGTTACGAAGCCGCGATTCATGGCCCGCTGGCAATAACGAGGCCGCTTATTTCGCAAATCCGCGCATCTCTCGAATGCGCTCCGTTACGCGAATCCTTTGTTCGCCTCGCGCGCGTCCGCCTGTCCCCTCGTCGGAGGGGGATTTACGAGGAGCGGCGGGGCATTCGGAGCGGAAAAATTTGATCCCCCGAATGAGATTCGACCGTTTTCCCTGCGTTCTCCTCCCCCGCGCTACGCGTCTTCTTTCTTCCTCCTCGTCATTCGAAGAGTCGAAAGCTGCCGAGCCCTGTAACCACCTGTCTCGCTCATAAAGGGAAGGAAGAAGGCGAGCCAACAGGTTTTAGCTCCGACACACCTGATCGAAGTCGAAGAGTATGTCTGGCCCTCTCTTTCTCGTTGGACGGAGCTTCTTTTTACGCTTCCTCTCCTCCACGTAATATCGCTTCGAATTTATCGAAACGCTTCGGTTTATAGTCGGTGGATACTCGAATTTGATCATTGAAATGCACGACTGTCTTTTGGATTTTCTCGAAAATTTCACATAGATAACGAAAAAGATAAACAAAATCTTACAATTAGATGCCTAGAGGCAGTAAAGATATAAGGAAATAAGCCTAAAATATTATTGATAAGAATAAGAAAAAGAAGTCTAAAAATAATTAAATTTAATATAGAATATTTAATAATAATCCTAAATTCTTTAACTAAAAATTTAAAAATAATATTTCATAATATTTATAATAAATCGTAAAGGAATTAGTCAATATTGAAATGGAAAAATACAAATAATTAAACTTATTCTTAATCAATTTAGGGAGAATTTTATTCTAGTAGAGGACTCAAAAATCGAGAATAAATTTACTATCCTACTCAGTTTCATTTATAAAATTTTATATTAGATTTTTTTAAGGTTAGATTAGAGATATAAAAAGAATAAATTAAAGTAAATAAAAATAGAAAAGATGAAATAAAAATTAATATTAATAATATAGGTATTATATGAGGTATGAAAGAATATTTAATTAAATATTTAATTAAATATTTAATGTTATTAAATATTATTAAATTGATAATTTAGTGTTTTTTTTTAAAACTAATTCTTTCCATTATGTTGCAAAACGCAAGCACAGTTTTCTAATCAAAGTCTTCTTAGAAATAAGAGAAGAAAGAGAGAAGGTACAATCTAGCCTCATTGTTACGTGCGACGTCTGTGCACGCGATTGTGCATCGTCTACGTAGATTACGCATCGAGTAGCAATCGCATAGTTTAAACGCCGTCGATAAATTGTTGTTATTTACGTACAGACATTCGCGACATGGCTCGCAAACTATCGATCGTGAGCACCACTGCCGCGTCGCTGGCTGGCGCTTTAAAGAGATATACCCGTATCACCTTTAAGGCTCGAGCCAGAAAAGAGGGGACTGGAGGATGCGGAGGGTTCTGGAAGAAGCGTATTTGGACGGTCCATGGCTCTCGATGAGAGACGTGGCAACAACGCGCGCGTTTGCCTCTCTCTCCCCTTCTTTCTCTCTCCCTCTCTCATTCGCTCTCACGAACGCAAACACGAGAGATCAAGGTATTGTAAAATTGCTGATTGGCTTCGAGGTCATCGGCGGGAGGAATCGGTCTCTATCGCGAGACTCTTTTCTCGTCACGGATTTGTTGAAATTATTTGTCGAAGCGTCGTCGAGAGATTCTTTCGCATCCCCCTTAACGTCAAGAGGGGGTACGTTCGCGTACAAAAATCATCAGGCTCCGCCGGAATCGTTCACTCGTCACCCTGATATCGTGCACTTTTCCTCGTTCGACAAAAAATTGTATCTTTTCTTTCAATTTAATCATTGTCGAAAAAATCACGCCTCGACGCGATTTCGCCTTGAACGTTGAAATTTGCGCGTTTCAAAGGAGCGTGCAAACAGATCTATCGAGCCATCCTTGGCGAAAATTTAAGCCGAAACGTAAATCCGGCTCGTGTGACCGTAAGCATATGCGATTTTGCAATCTATGCTCGAATTGTGCTACAATCGCGACGTTATATTATAGCGCTTCTGTTTCAGTTTGTTTAAACGTTTTCGTCAGGTCGGGTTTTCGGCTATTCGTGCTATTTCGTAGGTGATCTAATCATCGGAGGAAATTCCAGACCACCGCGCGTGAGATAGAGACGACGCAAGGTCCGTCTCGATCGTGCGTCCTTCCTTCTTCCAGCTGTCAGAAACTCGATTACCGTCCGCCCCGGACGATATTAGAAATATGCCGAAGCCATTGTTTCGCGAAATAATCAACGGCGTGCCCAACTTTGCAAATAAGATACACGCCATTTAATTCGGAATTCAATTTTTACGTCGTCCAATTAATATTAATATTCTTTACATCGTTTCGTCATTCGGGAAATTATCGAAGGAGGCTGCTTCGACGCAAATGAACGTATTTGCGAAACGGTACGACGCGATCGAATTACGCCGGTGTTAATTCGATCGATCGCGCACATCGCGATAACGGCACATCTGCCGGAAAAAGTCGAGCCGAAAAGAGTTTCCATTGTCTCCGGGACGTTTAATTTTTGTGAAACTTCCTGCCACCTTGTCCGCGCGGGAGAAAGAGAAAGAGGGAGAAAGAAAGCAACATGTGTTTACGCACCGTTTAATACCGTCACGCAATCGTATCGCAACGAAAAGAACGTAGAAGGAGCCTGCTGGTTGGTTTGGTCGCCGACGCGGTTGCAAATTTATGTAGATGAAAGGAACCACGACTCGAGTACACGTACATCCGGATACGCGTCGGTGTGCGTTTCTGCGTTATTAACGTGTGGGTTGGCACGTACGCACCGTCCTTCTATCGCTACATCTCCCTCCAATGCTGGACGTCTACGCAGTCTGTTGTACGGAATATGAAAACTTCTCGAGCGCCTTGTGTACGCTATTAGGTAGATAAATCGGGAAGAAGGTTCATTTTCGCGTCTCTCCCGCCATAAATTTTCACACACGTGACTCCGCGTTGTCCTTCGTGCGCTCCTTTTCGCTCACGGCCATCTCTCCGCTAAGGTTTCTCTCATTTTGTTTGTTTTTACCGATCGCCAGCGATTTCCAAATCTTTTCGACAGCGTGTTTTCAATCGATACGTTGACCATGTTTCGTAACGCGTGAGACATTCGAATCAAATTGTATCGAAAGAAAGTGACGTTTGCAGATTTACGCGATAGATATATTTATGGTAGATTTGAGGGATTGCAATTTGAGATGGAGAGATGACATATTTTGATTAAGAAACGATACTCGACACTGTTATAATAGCACAGCACTTGAAGTATCTTTTATTATAATTGTTCTCTCTCTCTCTTCCCTCTCTCTTTTCCATTAATCTACATTATCTTACATTTTTGTCATCGCGAGATCCCGCCATGTTGTTTCTGAAACATTTACCGTTTAAATTACATTTTATCTACATTCTTTCCCATATCACATCCGTATACATAACTCGATCCATCGATAGCTATCGGAAATACATTTCAACATCTTTCACACCACACGTCTCGGGGAAATAATTCGTTATGAGCTCGGCGTATGGCGTGTCCCTCGTAACGTGACCTCGTTCGCCCGTAGAAAACGCGCGTTACGAGGAAGTCTGCTAGCGGTTTTACGCAGCTGAAATTCTAATCACTTCCTACAAAATTTGACGCGCTTCACGCGTCAGGTTGCCGCGCGAGCAACAAAGAAG